TGTTTTTTTTTTTTTTTTTTGGTTGGTGTTCTTTTTGGCTTACAAGAATAGAAAGAGAAAACTGAAAAATATTTGTTACTTGAAGGGAGAACAACAAGTAGTTCACTTATAATATATAGAAATAAGTTAATATACAAATAGATCACGGAAGTATACACAATGTCTAGAAGGTTAAAAAGAACAAACTTGTTTTCGAAGGATGTTAGTTCATTATTATACGCATATGGTGATGTTCCACAACCATTATTATCCACAACTCATTGTTTAGATGAAGTTGTAGCACAATATTTAGTGGATGTATGTACATCAGCTGTTAATGTATCACATAATAGTAATAGGAATAAAGTTAGATTAGAGGATTTTAAATTTGCTTTGAGGAAAGATCCTATTAAATTGGGGAGAGCTGAGGAATTGATTGCTACTAATAAAGTGATTACGGAAGCTAAAAAACAATTTAATGAAACAGATAATTCATCGTTGAAAAGATTTAGAGGACAAAATGGTGAAGAAGAAGATGAGGACGATGGTGACGACGATAATGAACAAGACGATAATGACGTGGAAGGTACAGTAGATTATTCAACAACTAAAAATTCTTCAAATAAAAAGGCATCATCAAAGAAGAATAAAAAAAATAAAAACTCAAGTACAAAGACTGGTAATAGAAATAAGAAACAAAAATCATCTACTTAACCTGATATCATAGAGAGACCAATGGTTATCAAAACATTTTGCATACATACACATATCTAGATTTAATAATATTTTTTTCACACGTTATTCTTTTTTGATTTGTATATATTTATATATAGATATATCCGTTAGATGAGACTGTTTTGAAATAGAAAAGAAGAAAAATAACGAAAAGAACTACACTACTGTAGATCTAATTTATATACACTTGGATCCTTTTCTTCTTCGATCAAATAATCCTTAACACCAACAAACTTGTTCCATACTCTGTTGAAGTTAACTAATAGCATGTTTCCCACATTCTTTGGAAGATCAATATAACTTCTGAGTATGAATCTGAAAGCTTCCTTAGTATTATGAATTTCAGTTCTCCATGCTCTGGCCCAAACATTCTCTTCTTCAATCGAATTTGGAGAGACATCGTTATTAGACGTATTTTGTTTCCTCTTAGGTTGTTGTTTCTTCTTTGGCATCTTCAAATCTTTAAATTTGGATTCTTCTTCATTTTCTATTATTGGTTCTTCCACAGGATCGATAACATTTTCAGAAGTATCATTGGAACCATTTAGTTTCTTACATTTGTCAATGATAGAATCCTTAGCCTTTTCGATTAATTTAAAGAAATTATTATTTTGGAAAAAATTTGCAATGGCACCTTGATTATCTTCACCGTTGACTCTTTCATTATATAAAGTTTCAAAATTGTTAATAGATTGAATGGAGGTAGACAATCTATTAAATGTGTTCAATAAGGAGATCAATTCAAATTTAGTCAATCTATTTACCACTTGTTGTCTAGATTCTTCATCTGCTTCATTTAATTCAAATAGAATCTTCAAACTAGTGGCGTAACCTGTAGTTTGAACTTTACCCCACATCTTACATCTATCACAATGAACACAATCCATTATTTTGGTAACATTCTTGAAACGGCTTCTAAAATCGTCTTTTATTGAGGCATCATAATCATCCTTGAACATTAAATCTTCGTCGAAAATCCTACTATCCAATTGAGATACAATGTTAATGATTTTTTGTTTAACACTGTTATCATAACTATTGCAGAAATCTAATTCTTTCAAATATGGTTTGATTTTCCATAGAGATTTAGCAACAATAGCATAATTGAAATAGATATTGGAGACTCTCTCAGGAAAATTCCCTACTCTAGCCATAAATAGATCCAAATCTGGACCCCATTCGCCTGTAGTAGTATCTAAATGATCATTTGATAAATGAGTACCAATGGAAGCATGTAAACCTGATACGATTCTATAAAAGGCATCCTTGGCTAAACAAGTATCAGCTTCATCTGAAGAGAAACAATTCTCAGCGTATATACTTTTCCAAATTTGACCAGCTTCTTGACCACCATAGCCAGTAAATCTCTCTGGATTCTTTGATAGATCAACCAAGACAGCATCCTTATTCAAAAAATCATTGATATCATAATAATTCAAATCGTTATTAATATCTAATTGATTATTCTTGTTGTTATTATTGTTACAAAGTTCATTAAGGAAAGATGCATCATCTTCAGCAGTATGATGCGTCTCATTTTCATTTGTACTATCATTAGCCAAAGAACCCAGCACTTCTGGTTGCCAATATTCAGGTAATTTAGCCCAATCCTCAACAACATCAACAGCACAACTTCTACTGAAACATATACCATCATTATTTTCCCAAAATGTACATTTTTTGAAGGGATCGAATTTAAAATATCTGAAAAAATCAGTATTCACGAGACTAACGATATCTTTCCTTATCTTTTTATTAATGCTATTGATCTCTGCGATGGTTACATCACAACCTGGTCCTAAATTTTCATCTTTATCCATTTTACAGAATGGAGTTTCATCCGAAACTGCCAGTTGATTAGTCCATTGCGGTTTTTGAACAGGCTCTTCATTATTTTGGCTCAGTTGAAACGCATTCTGTTGATCAGCAGACACTAATGCCGAGGTTGTAATACTCAGAAGACTTAATATTCCACTAAGCTTCATATTTTTGTTCTAGTGAAATAAATGTTCCTTAAATAAAATATATCCTTATTTTCAGTAGCTCTTTCGTTTTTGAAAAACAGTTTAACAATAAAATAATAAGTATAAGTATCCAATATAAGTATATGTCGATAAATCAGATTCAATCGTACTGAAATTGCTTAAGAAAATATTCAAAGGAATGATATATATATATCTAATATTAAAATAATTGTGTTAAATTAAATTACTAATCTTTATTTCTTTTTTCCAATAAAGTGTTAAATAGAAATTTTCGATACCCGATGACCTTTTCCCACTATTAACTAATACTATTACTGGTATTATTACTAGTATTACTTCTATTATTGCCACACGAACAAAGGTGAAAACAAAGCGAAAAATAATGGAAAACTCCACGGTGTCAAGAACACCGAGAGAACTAGCCGTAGTAAGAGAACGCCAAACTACTGAAAGACAGATTGGTAATCACTATTGTTACTGTTACTATTGATATTTTAAGAACACCTCCTCATGGTAACAGTAACAAAAGCAATTACATATTGATGATGTTCTGATTAGTTAAGGGAAAAAGAAAATTTACAATTAGTGATTAATGTTTTATAAATGAACTACTCGTAGTATTGGTATTCTGATTGTTTTTCTTACTATTACGTAAATATGCGAAGGGAATGCGAATATGGTGGTTACAGAGTCAGTAACTGTTTGCTTACTTTGTTACCTGCTTGTTTGCTTTTTGTTTATGAGTGATATTGACGTTCCTAACCCTTGTACCTAGTGAAATACGGAGTTAGACCAAAGTTTATACTAAGGGATAGGTTGTTATGACAAAAGAGCATAAAAAGAAAGAAAGTGAAAAATGATAGAGGCCCCTGTTCGGTAGATAACACGTAATAGTTAATAAAAACTAATACCAAGCCCCATATTTCATACTTTCACATTACTTTTTGCTCTATTCTATTTTTAATTTTTTTTTTTTGCGTACTTGTATAATTTTTTGATAGATATCATAGATATTCCTTTGATAGCGATCTCCCCTCACTCATAAAGTAGAAAGATAAAAATTCTATAACGTTCTAAAGATTACTCATACAAGTTTAATAAAGTATCGACACATATACCAGTTCTATATTTCTTGGCTATGCATATGTCTTCAATTAACTCCTTTGGTAAATCGGGGAACATCTCATATAATGATTCCAAAGTTTCTTGGCGTTCTTGCTCTTCCATTCTCTTCACTGTTTTTCTCATTTGTTTATCGTCTAGCATATCTTCACTGATACCAGTATTTTGTGTTCTGATATTTTTTGGATTTTTTGGAATACTTTCTTTTGATTGTGGCTCAGACTTAGTAGTTGAGGAAGGCTGTCCAATAAAGAAATCATTGAACATAGAAACCATCGAAGATGCAATTTCATCGATTGGACTATGACTATAATCTGGATTCATAATCATTTCTTGAGTGCTGTTCCCAATATTGTCCGTATCAGTAGTATTGCCCTTTAAATTGGATTGATTTTCATTTTCTTCACGTTGTTTCTGTAACCTCTGTTGATTTGTTTTATATGCATTTTCAAAAATTTCTTCGTCATGTATCGTTAAGTCTTTTCTACTAAGATTTGTAATGAAATTAGTGGCGCCTTGCAGACTACTCAAATAATATTGATCTTCACTCTTTAAGAAATTTTCAAATCTAAACCTTTCAATAAATTTGATGTTAGATATTAAGTGTGAAACATTACCATGGATAATAACATAGATTAACAATGGAATAAAACTATCAGCACCATCTTGATCAAGTTTAAAATGTCTTAGAATACTAAATATAATTTTGCAAGTATTTAAGATACAGACCATCTTATCTCTAGGTGCCTTATAATGATTAATCTTATTTAATTCTTTACCAGCTAGTTTCAAAAATTTATTCAATTTTAATGAGATCTTATTAGTCACATCAAGGTTATCTAGTTCAATGAACTTATACTCCTCTATCTTCATTTGAAGAGAGTCATCATCCAGAATATCGTTCTTATGTTCTTCATCCAATTTATCAATACCAATCTTTTGTATTAACACAGGAGAAAAACAGAATGGATATAATTTACCCATAATCAATTTTTCAATTCCTTCTTGTGCATTTCTTAACTTCGCATTATCAAATTCACTAAATGGTTTATATTGAGAAAATTTGTCAAAGATAAACAGTTTAAAATCATTTATCAATTTCCTTTGTTCACTAGCGGTCCATAAAGCTCTCTGTGTAACAAAATTATTTAAGAAAGATCTTGTATACTTTACTAAAGGTTCTGCATTAGGATTCTTGAAGTAGCCAATAAACGTTTGGAAATCAAAAAACAACTCTTCTTGATTCTCAGCATCAGCCTTCTTATTACTTGTTTGTTTGGGTTCAGATGTTATGCTATCATTATCATCACTAATGACATTTGTTTTCGACGTCTTAAGAGTAGATGAGCCTTGACTTAATGGATCGAACTCACGTAGTAGATTTGACATCTTACTTAATGGAATATATCTCTTTCGGTTAGTTAAGTTCCAGTAATTAGAAAAAAGAGTACACTAAGTGTAATTGATTGCAATAGTAAATTGAAGTTATTTCCTATATCCACAGTTTGCCTTCTTTTGTTGTCGAGAACATTGTTTTATATTATAATTGTGGAGCTAATCGGTTGTTTTTTATTCATTTAATGATGCCAAAGGTAATATAAGTCAGGCCCGCGGCGTTAATATAGCCGACTTTATTGGAGACCTCTTCTTTAGCATAACGTTCTAAAGGTAATAATAATATATCATTGATTAAAGACAACTCTGCGAGTCATATGCTATTAATGTATATAATATTTGTATAATTATATAGTTTAACTATGCTATTGTGTACTAAAACTTTTGATTATTATTAGAACTTTTTATTTAATTTGTTCAGACTCAGGGCCTTTTGTAAGTTTAACTAATGTAGTAAATTGATAAAATATATTACCTGTTATACTGGATAAACACTGTGATATATATTAGAGGAGTACTCACTTTTTTAAAAATTGAGTACTAATGCAGCTAAATCCATTTCCTTCATGCAGCATTTAAATATTCAATGTATTTAGCAGCTTGTTCAAAATTGAAAGCCACTAAAAATGTAAAACCATTAAACATGCACATTTTGGTTATGTCATTAATGGCTTCCTCTGAATTTGTACCATCCACAACAAATATTAATATATTATTATCATCCTTGGATAAAGGAGCCATCCTTCGTGTTATATAGTCAGCATACAATTTATGATATGATAAAGTTAAAAAGAGGACAGATCTTCCTTTGATAAGATAATCATAATATATTTTCGAACCACCTTTGGATGTCACGTATCTCCAGTTTGTATTTTTCAGATTATCTAGTAACGGATTTTCTTTCTGAGTTGTATTGACTAGTACAGTCTTTCCTAGTCCTTGATCTTGTCTTTGTCGTTTCCCATTTTGTTGATTATTAGTATTATCATACTGAAAAGAAGGTCGTTGTTGATTAAATGAGTTTATAACATGCTGTTTACCTTCGTTCGTAGGTGGAACATTGATTTGCGCTTTATTTGCTGGTGGCTTTTGTATCTGTGGTTGACTTTCATTTCCACCATTTTCTTCTCTTAGTTTCTGAACTCCTGCAAGAATACTTTGGAAAGACGTTGGATCAGTATTGTTCATGTTTTATGATTGTATGTATACCTGAATACCTGAATACCTGAATACCTGAAAATTAGCGTTATAATGCAATTAAAGAAGATTGTTACTATTATGATACCATAATTAAATGTGTTCTTTTGTTCTTATTGTGATTCGCTTAGGCGCTTTCTTTCGAATGACTTATTTGTAATTTCTATCAAGAGATTGATTATCACATATAAAAGCAGGATAATTTTTTATAACCTTTGATAGTTATTATTTCGAAGAGTTAAAGATATTTATGTATAATGTAATAATCAAGGCTCTTAAAATTAAATTACACTTATATGTTATATCTAAGAAGGATTTTGAAATTTGAAGCATTTGAGGTTGCTACAAATCAAACTTCATAAAAGGGTTAGATAAAAATATGAAAATTTTACATAAGTGTGATAGATACATCGACATTAAAAGGGGACATCATGATATGCACATAGAGTTATGGATGTATCCAAAGATTGTAAACTAAATTTTTATGAATACAGAATTGTTCTTAATTTTTAATTGTTTTTTATGGGATTATATTATTTCTATATGAATATATGTTTGTATGTACAGGCCAGGCCAATCATCATAATAGAAGTGGGACGACAGTTCATCATTAGGCGTCATATTTAAGGAAAAAAGATTTTATTTATTATTTTTTTTTGTAAGTTTTCATTGATAGGTCTAAGTTGTGAGAATTCTTGAAAAAATTAAACCTTTTTCTTAGTTAGCAGGAGTGGTTGACTTGCTCTCGCCATCATTTGATGCGGAACCTTCAATTTGCTTTTGAGGTGGAGTCGTCACTTTATCTTCGTACCTTCTGCCATTCATGTAAAGAGTATACACTAAACCACCACTCATATATAGAGAACCACCAACCAGGGTTAGAACTGTCAAACGATGTAGCGTATCACTCAATCTTGTGTACCATGCGTATTTGGCCATTGTGTTTAGAAGAATTGTAGAGTGTACTTTTGATACGTATTTTCTAGTAAATAGATATTTATCAAATAAGATATAGTTATATTCAAGAATATTGGACAAATAAAACCTTTTACTTATTTATCAAGTTCTTAGTTAATCTATAATTGCTCAAGGAGTTTTCATTATTTATTGGTATATATATAGGATACTTTTTCCCTTGTTTTTTTTTTGGTTGGTTGGTCGTTTTCCCGGCCGGCTTCTTAGTATTTTCGTACCATACGATATTGAACATTAATAATTATTACGTTAGTTTAAGATATGAAACTAATTTATGTTAATTAGATTATGGAGTCATTTATTTAACTTATTTATCTGGCTCTACTTTAATTTATGGTGATAGAATCGAATCAATTGTTTGGCATTACTGCATTGATGATATTTTTTGAAAACTCTTTTGCTTTACGAATCAATTTTTGGTACTCTGATTCGGGTTCATAACCTAACATCTTACGAGTGTAGTTCTTTGCTCTTTCAATTAAAGTTTCCTTATCGGGAGATTCGGTAAAAGGAATATCCATATTTTTCATATATTCCATTAAATCCTTCACAGACCATGATTTGAACAAATTATCCATGTGATCGTTCAGGCCTTTCATTTTATGGTTCATCTTACCGTATAATTCTGAGTCTCCTACTTGGGATGTAGTATTAGAAACCCATTCCTTGATTTTCTCCAGGGATAAATCACCTGAATAGTTGAAATCTCTGTGGTCAAACATATCGATTGTTTTATTCTTCATTAAATCGATCAATTCTTTCATTGATGTGTTTGAAGAATATTCAATGTTTAATGAATTAAGAATTTTCTTAGCAAAGTCTTCTGATAATAACTTGTTAGCATGATTTTTACCTGTATTGACGTAATCAGACATACCACCCCATAGGGATTCTACAAATTCTGGATTTTTACCGATGAATGGACTTGCCATATCACTAGACTTTTTGATATACCAGTCAACATCATTCTTCAAAAGACATAAGTTCTCTTGTGCCTTTTGTAGTAATGCATCTCTATTATCTGATACAGTATCATTCATTTTGATATAATGAAACTGTAACCATCTCTTTAAATCGTCTTTGGAGAAGTCATTGAAAGCAGCTGCAGTGATATTATTATTCGAGTCAAATAACTTCTTGTTGGCCAAGTCTAAGAAATGAAGAACCTTATATTTAGCTGCTTCTTGTGTCACTGATACCTTGTACATGTTATCAGAAACCAATTTTAACAATGTATCTCTATCAGTAGAAATTGTTTCGTTAATCTTAACGCTGCTATTCTCTAACCATTGTTTTAGATCATTTATGGACCAACTTTTAAATATAGTTCGATCTGGAATTGTTCCCCTAAAATTTTCAAAGTCTTTATCAATATATTCCAAATTTTCTCCTAGGAGGGATATTAATTCATCTTTTTTCAATGAGGCATCGAATGGGATGGAATGGTCCTTAAGATAATCTTGCAATGTCCTCTTTGACCAAGTTGTAAACAGCCAATCAGTTACCTTTTCAAAGGAAGGCTCAGGTGGTGATGATACGTTTAAAAATTCTGTCAACCATGGCAAGCTCTCATCCAAAGAATCCCTATCAAAGGTCACTTGAAAATCGGGATGACCATATCGTTTCCACAGTTTTTGAACGTCATTCTGCCAATTAGCATTGGCTGTTTCTGTTAGAGTTTCAGTTTTGGTTTTGGAGTTGTCGGCCAAGACAGGATTGACTACTATAGATCCTATAGTACCTAAGAAGCACGCAATTTTACTCAATTTCATGCTGTTGTTGTTGTTTTTGTCAATATTTATTGCTATCACACAGGTTGAATCCAGATAATATATGACGTTTGAAAAATTCGTATCTGTTTAGGAAGATGAAAATAAAACTAGTTTAAAATCTGTATAATATGTATTTAATAAAATGTTTAAGGTAACAAAAATTTTATATAAAAATAAGATTAAGAAAGAAATTTTTTTTTTTTGAAAATGGAGGAAATGTTGTTTCATCTTTGACGTAGGGGAGCATATCCCTTATTTCTAAATTTTATAAGGGTATTCTATATATCACTCACATGCAAGGGATATATTCCATTGATGTGTTACACTATGGGATCTCAGCGAAAGAGGTGATCCTAACTTTGTTTACTTTATTTTTTGGGGGTTAAATTTTCTCTCGTCTGGTTCAACATCCTCAAGTTCTTGCTTGTAGTTGCTTGTTGCTTGCTTGATTATTTCATACTTGAGGTAAGCACATCGTTATATACAGAATATCTGATATAACAATACTTTGCTAAACGATCACCATTGAACAGTAAGCATCACTAGAGAGAGAGAGAGACACCATCACTAGTATACATATACATGTCTAGTAATATATAAAATAACGAATGCGCAACTCGACATCACAACATACGAGCTGTAAAGTCGGATTATCAACAACTGAAAAATTAAGTTAAAAATGTAAACGCTAAAAGCTTTTCTTGCCTCTCTTCTCGGTCGGTTCTCTTTAGTTTCTTTCATACACGAAATGAGAAAAATGAATAATAAATAAATAAATGAATAAATAGTTAAGACATATATGACTGATTAAATAAGATTTTTAGAGTCAATATTATACAAAAACACACACGGTTATTGTTGAATTTTATTAACAGTGATAATAATAATAACTACTGTGATAACGATACCAGAATTATGAGTGTTTCGGAAAATAATTCTCCTGCTCCAGGTACATTTAAGACACCTACTGCAACACCTACCCCACTCGTCATGAACGGGGACAGTAGACATGATAGTAATATTGCCATTCCTTCAAACACATTTGAATCAATTGTACCGATCCCGGTAACTGTATCTAGGAAGCAATCTGGTGGCATTCTGACGGGTCCACTAGCCAATCCAACCTCTTTGCAATATTCATTGTCTAATTTAAATATTTTTCAAAATTTACCTTCAGAGACTCAACATGGTGTGGATGATCTAACAAGAATGAAAATGGCTATGTTAAGTACTGTTCCAACTGAAGTGAAATGGGCTCTAAAGAAATATTTAGCATATAGTAACAAAGCTCCTTATATGATTAGTTTAAACAATTTACCTGAGTTGTTACCATCTTTTGCATCGTTTGTAGTGGCTATGAAACCATTGATAGAAAATTTCGATGAACCAATTATTATTGATGAACAAAAGATGGCTATTTTACAAAATGGGGTTAATGGATTATTGATCTTAAGAAATTTAGCCCAAGATATGGATTCTATACAAGTCTTAATTAAGGATGAATCAATTAAAGATTTTATTCTATTCATTCTAATAAAATTTAAAGAAAATATATCCAGTGATTCAAATTGGGTGGTATATCAATCAAATACATCATATTTTAATGAATTGATTCATTACGTGGTCGATTTAATGGAAGCAATCTCTACCTATTTAGCACCAGCAGGTAAAGATAATAAATATTTCCAAAATTTAGTAAATATTTTGAATAAAACTAAAGATAGATATATGATTATCTCGATATTAAGATCATTATCGCGTTTATTGGTTAGATCAAAGGAAGATGAAGAGAGTGCAGCTAACAATTTGGATGAAAATACTCTAAGTTATATTGTCTCGTTCTTATTGATAGATTGTGATTCAGAATTAATCATAGCTTCATTAGATTTCTTATATCAATACATTTTACCAGGTAGTTCAAGAATTAACATTTTATTGAATGAATCGCAACGTTTTGCAACATTAAGTACTATATTACCAAAATTATTAACATATAATGTAAAGACCCCAAATTATTCTTTGTTGTCCAATCAAGAGACTAAACTGATTAGAAGAATAAGACCACCTCCATCAAAGAATGCACCAAGTTTATCGGATGATCTATTCCAAAAATTGTTGAAATTAAATGAACCAATGAGGTCCACCGCATGGCTGAGATGTTGTTTTGAACCAATATCAGATGCTGAAGTGAAACAAATCACTCTATGGAGATCATATGAATCATTATTTAATACCAAAGTGAAAGAATCAGGGAGAAAACTTCTGCCTGCAGTAGAATTTATTAAAAATGTATCTAATGCATTTAATAATGCATCTGCTATGGTTGTAAATGACCCACAGACTGGTAAGAAGAGATTTGTAATTAAGGGAGTCCAGCCAAGACCAAATGCATTATCCATAGAAGATGGTAATCTCGCCTCTAGAAAATCAGTATCAAGCAAACAAAGATCCAAATTCCTTAATCAATCTGGCTCCATTAAAGAAGCAGAACAAGAACCACTACCGGAATTAAGTTTTCCAAAAAGATTAACTGATGTCTCTAAAGTTGCTGCAACATTCTTATGTCTCATATCTAACGATGATAAAAGCAGTGGTAGTGAACTATGTAAAAAGATTAAGCCTGTTGTGCTTCATAAATTAGCTGATGTGCCGCCTTTAAGTTCAGTATTGTCGGAATATCTAGACAATACACCAAGTATATAGGGTGGAACAAAGAAGTGAATCAAATGTATATATTTCTGTATGTGTATTTGACGAATGCCAACTTTATGTTTTATTGTCAATTTGGAGAATTAAAACAGTTTAGATGTGGACAGAAAAGTCTTCAATTTAATAAATAATTAATGTAATAGTATACTTCAAGCATTTTTTAATGATGAAAAAAAGGTAATAATGAGTTATTTCAATTTCCTAATAATGTATAGACACAGATATAGATATGTTTATATATTAAACTGTACAAAAATGGTGTACTAAAAAAGGAGACACAAAAGTATGAGTTGATTTATTCTATAATGTTATCTATGCAAACACAAAGACTTGGTCATCAGCGAATGAGGCGGAGCCATCTTGTTTCCAACCCAATTGTCTAGCGTGTTCAAGCACCAATCTTTCCATTGGTTCTGGACCACAGATAATTAATCTGTTTTCCTCTGAGTAAGGTGGTAAATATCTACTCATTTGATCCATTGTAACTAACCCAGATTCACCTTCCCAACCCTGTTTTGGATGACGAACAACATAATGGACTTCAAAATTTGGATATTTTTCAGCCATTTCATCTAATTCTTCCTTTAATAAAATATCCTTTTCTGTATCGTTGGCATAAATCAAATGAACTTTAGTGAAATCTTCAGGAACAGTAATAACTTCGTTTAATATTTGAAGAACTGGGGTAATGCCGGTACCACCTGCTACAATAGATAAAGTCTTGTAAGAGTTTGGAACATAGTTGAATTTTCCCATTGGACCCTTGAAATCTACTGTCATACCTGTTTGCAAAGCGGCAAAGTATTTAGATACAACACCATTTGGATACGATTTTACTAATAGATCCAAATAACCAGCTTCAATCTTAGAACTGATTGGATTGTAGTATCTAACAACATTTTCACCATTGATTGGAACTCTGACAGCAATGTGGTGACCAGCTGGAATAGGTATAGTTTCAATATGGGTCTTTAATCTAAATCTGTAAATTGCAGTATTCTTAGATATCAAAGTTTGATCATCCAACTCTAGTGGAGTCCAGCTGTCTGTAAATAGAGATTGTCTACGTTGAAAAGCTCTTAGTGCTCTAACACCTAATAAAGCAGCGAATAATAAAATACCAGCTAGATATCTCACATCACCAGTCATGTATGAGATAATGGAAATACCTACCACAAATAGTGCAGATGGAATAATAATACCGTGGATCGGTTGATCTAGGATGTTTGGTTGGTCATCGCCAATTGCAGCAATAGGATCGGCCATTTTTATATTTGTTGATTGGAATTTTTCCTCGTTTCGTAATTCAGATGAGACCAATAACAAGCAGATGTGTATCTCTACAACGCAGAAACAAATTAAAAAATTAGACACTCAGTTCTATATGTTCTTATATACGTTATGATGTGGCAAACTCTACCACATTCATTATGTCATCACTGCGATCATAATCATCGGTCCTCAGTTGTTATTTGTTCCTTCTCTTCTCTTCGCTTTGTTATGAAATAATAATTTTCCATTTCCATCGTCTCTCTCTCTCTTTCCACTTTTCTCTGTTTGTTTTTCAGAATTCTTCTTTCCTTTTCCGCCGTTTCAGTAACATTCTATTTCTTTCTTTTGTTTGTCATCACAGCGCAGAGAGATGGCAAAACTGAAATAACAAACAGCAGTTGCGGGAATTAGGAGATCTATTTACTAGTGGATTGATTCATCGCTATTAAGTGGAGTGTTCTTATTAATATTATGTATTTTTTTTTAGGATATTTAGATATATATATATATACATATGCATGTATGTATGTATATGTGGATATATATGGATGTGTGCGTCTGTGTGTATGTTTACTTATGGTTTTTTACAATTTATGCTTAATATTCGTTGTCAGAAACAGAATCGGATGCAACCTCAATGTAATCACTCTCCAAGGCAGCTAAATCCTCTCTAGCTTCAGTGAATTCACCTTCTTCCATACCTTCACCAACATACCAATGTACAAACGCACGCTTAGCATACATTAAATCAAATTTGGCATCTATTCTTTTCCAAGCTTCTGCGATAGCTGTAGTATTCGAAAGCATACATACAGCTCTATCCACAGGGGCTAATTGGGAGTCGATTACAGTAGTAGGTGGTTCGTAACAGATACCAATCTTGAAACCAGTTGGACTCCAGTCTACCATTTGTACAGTCTTCTTGTTCTTGACCTGTGTTACAGCAGCTTGAACATCCCTTGTGACTACATCACCTCTATATAGAAGACATGAAGCCATATATTTACCAGTAGCAGGATTACATTTGACCATTTGGTTACCTGGTTCGAAACAGGCATTGGTGATCTCTGCAACGGAGTTCTGTTCGTGATGTGCCTTGTTTTTAGATTGAATTGGAGCATATGATACTAATGGGAAATGGATTCTTGGATATGGAACTAAGTTTGTTTGGAATTCATTTAGATCAACATTCAATGAACCTTCGAATCTTAATGAGGCAGTCACGGATGAGACCACTTGTGCCACTAAATTATTCAAGTTCTTGAATGAAGGTCTAGAGATATCCAAATTTCTTCTACACATATCATATATCGATTCATTATCCACCATGAATGTACAATCAGCATGTTCTAAAGTTGTATGGGTAGTTAAGACAGTATTATATGGTTCAACTACCGATGTAGATAGTTGAGGACCAGGATATACAGCAAATTCCAATTTAGATTTCTTACCATAATTCTCTGACAATTCTCTCAGTAGTAAAGATCCAAGACCTGAACCTGTACCACCACCTAGAGAATGAGTAAACAAGAACCCTTGTAACCCATCACATTGATCAGCTAATCTTCTAATTCTATCTGATATATCATCCAACATGGTACTCCCTATAGTGTAATAACCACGAGCATAGTTGTTAGCTGCATCTTCTTTACCATTGATCAATTGCTCTGGATGGAACAAATCTTTATAAGCCCCAGTTCTGACTTCATCGATCACATTAGGCTCCAAATCAACATAAATTGCTCTTGGAACATATTTACCAGAACCAGTCTCGTAAAAAAAAGTTGAGAACCCCTCACCACCACCTTTTGGTTTGTCTAACCCTTCTTCAAGGTAACCATCTGGTCTAATCCCATGTTCTTGAGTGTATAATTCCCAACAGGCATTACCGATTTGACAACCTGCTTGACCAACTGCGAAAAATGAAATAAATATATATAATAGATGCTAATCTCGTCACAAATAGAGTAAGGTGATCCTTCTTATTTATAAAGACAGAAAAGAATGTTCATATATATTAATTGAATGTTAGTAAAACAGATTGATCCATGGAACAATAAAATGCCAAGAACAATAAATCAAAACGTATTGCATCTCGATTGAAACGCAAATTAGATGCCTTTCAACATGGTGAAACCAATAGAGGTTTGTGATGGATAGAAATTCCACTATCCAACTTCATCTCACAGATGCAGAAACGCGTGGATCAATTGACCTTGACTAAAACGGTAAAAAAAGCTTTCAATTATAACATACCATTAATACTAATAACTTCTCTCATTTTTGTTTAAAAATTATTCAATATGATCCCAACAATTCAGAGTATATCTCGATAGATCCCTGTTTAATTTGTTGGTTGAGTGACTAAAGCTCTTAGGTGGTAAAGTTTTCTAAATATACACTCTTAATAAGCTTATAAGTTCCCTCCTTTATCGTGTGCTTTGTTTATGGCAAATTTTTTTTCCAAACAAATTTTGTTTTTTCCCCGTTTCGAACTCGTCTTTGTTTATATTTCTCAGTTGTGTTTTTTAGAATGGCGCGTCAAATACTTTTTAAAAATGTTTGTTTTCGTTTTAAAACAATTCTGTAACAACAAGAAAGTGTGTCAGTAAATGGGAAGTTTATAATTCAGGGTGACACACTAGTGGAGAGCTTTGTATCTATCTAATTTTTTTGTTAAGTAAGAAAAGGATATTTTATTATGAATTAGAAAGAATAAATAACATTGTATTGTGTTGTTTATATATATATACTTATATATAATTTTATTACGAAAGCAGTCTCTCGAAAGTGCTGTGAAGCTTATGCATGGACATTAGAAATGGAAAAAAAATTGAGAGAAGGAGAAAAAAAGGAAAATAATAGATTATTATGTTTTGTAATTATATTTTAATTTGTTTTTTATTAAGTTTGGGTAATCTCTTTTCTTCTATAGTTTTAACATTAATTATAAGTCAAATATAGAAAATATTGTCTTCTTCTTCTTTGGTAACGGACTGTCAGACATTGTACCGTTCGAATCTGTATCTACAGTAGCAGGGTCATGACGCAATTTGGTAGGGTCCACTTCATCATGGTATTTCTCAGTGATCTCTTCTAGAGTCATACCAGTCGTTTCTGGAATGAATAAACTTGTAAAGATACCACATAACATGAACAAAGCAAAGATTTCCATAACATGTGGTAACCAACAGTTCTTCTTCTTACCATTCTTAGCACAATCGTGATTAATCAAAGTACCTAGTGCAGTTTGAGCAATGATGGCACCAACTTTACCACATGCAGCGGAAATACCGTGAGCAGTAGATCTGTATCTAGTTGGGAAACATTCACCAGGAACAATAAAAGTTGTAACATTTGGACCAAAATTAGAGAAAAATTCACATATAATGTAAAGACCTAATAGACCATTGGATGGAATCTTATGATATGCGAAACCAATGACACAGAACCAAATAGTTAGCATGATAAAACCAAGTAATTGAATTGGTTTTCTACCTAAGGTATCAATACATAAGACAGAAACCCAATAACCTGGTAAAGAACCAGCACAAACCAAGATCAAGTTACCAACGCATGAATCCCACAGTTTTAAGTAAATGTTGCTGGAACCTGCATAACCAATGGCTTGTAAGATAACAGCAGAATTTAGAGATAAACCGTAAAATGCAATATCGACCATGAACCATGAACCGGCAGTACCAAAAAGAATCTTACCATATTTCCATTGACCGAAGTGACGACAAAAATCTTTAAATGAAGCCTTTGGTTGAATGGTAGCCACATCGTAACCTTTCTCTAGATCATGGTCAGAAGAGGAAGAGGCGTCTTTCCCATCATAATGAATATCAATCGCATGAACCTTAGAAGAATTTGAGGTAAGAGGTTGTTGTAAATCTGTGTTGACATCTAATTGGTATCTTGGGGATTCTGGAATTGTTAATCTGTAGTATAAAGCTAACATACCTGGGACAGCACCGAACCCAATTAAGATTCTCCACATTTGATCACAAGCTTTTTTACATTTAAAATCACATTCAGCACCACTGTTAGCATATTCGATCTCACTCTTGTAAGCAGCAACAATAATTAGTGCAACAATACCACCCATAATTTGACCCCAAGCTTGATTAGCGAAAACAGCACCCATAATGGCACCTCTCCATTTAGTGGTAGAGAATTCAGATGTAATAATAGAAGATAATGGATAATCACCACCGATACCAATACCCATGATAATTCTGTAGAAAGTTAAAACGGCGACGAAATTGACACCTGGGGCAGTACCAATAGTACATTGCAAAATACAAGTAACTATAACAATAATTAATTCAGAACCATAAATTTTCTTACGACCTAAAATATCAGCAGCTAGACCAAAAGAAAATTGTCCAATGACAGTACCAACAGAGGTAGATACCTTTAATAATGTAGAAGTTGCTGACGGCATATTACCATCCCAGAAGACGTATGACATCATGGAAATACCTAAATTAATGGCAAAAATATCATAAGAATCAGTCATAAAACCAACACCGGCAATTAAAATAGTTCTAACTTGTACCCAACTAAAGTTACTTTCATCTATTTTTTCTAGAGCCAACCTTCTTCTCTCCAAAGGATCATCAATGTGGGCAAAATCGTTAATATAATTGTGGAACGCACCATTACCACCTTCAGTCAAAGTTGGTTCATGATGTAAATTTTCGTTGTGTAAAGGTTTAGTATGGATGGTTTGACTGAATTTTACTGCATCTTCGCCATCTTCTTTTATTATGTTCTGTTCAATTTCAGACATTATAAAAGTATCTTTGTTTGCTTGTATAGTATATACACAGTTAAGTCAAAAATACTGGTTGATATTTTTATTATATGGTAAGTTAAGTTATAAGTGAAATAGGTAGACATAAATAAAATTATATTTAAACTGAGAATATTGAAATGGCATCTTTTTCAAATTGTGTTGTTCAAGTATTTTCCATGTTATTATATATGGTTAAGTTTTCCATCCTGTAAAATATTTCAATCAAGATATGTTTAAAGGGTAGATCACAATTGGTGAAAAGTTCATCGTACACTACAAGTGAAAAACAAAAAATTAGTATGAGACAATAGGCAATTCTCATAGTGGGTTTTCTAAGAAGTAATCATATCTGAAGTTTTAACAGATACTTTAGAAATGAATTTTCCGGATAATGTCAGTGAATTTACTTTCAAATGTCTTGTCAATAATAAATGAATAGTACTTTGGTAGAGATAATAGGGAATATCGTTAATCAAAAAAGGGCATGTACTTCTGCACGTGGAGGTGATGATTTTACCAGTAAATACTAAATTTAATGAGCTGTTAGTTACATTATTCTGCTTATACTATGTAATCATTATAGAAATTTCTTTTACTGTTCCACTTTTCATTTTAGACTTTTCAAATTAAAAAAAAAATAGATGATGGCCCCTAAGAACAAAGACAAATCTTGATACAAAACCAGAAGGGTAGAAAAAGCACATCAAATTAACTTCAAATGTCAACCAATTTAACACAGTGCATAATCGACTCAGTAAACGAAGTAATGGCGAAGTAAAAAGATTTACCATCTTAAGTACCGTCCTATAACATATAATGAAAATTCAAGCTATTGTAACAGCAAAAAAGCTAGCAATAACAAACTCATCATGTTGTTTTAAAAGAAGTTAAAACCACTGAAAACGGTGTAACGATGTTGACTTAATGGTAGAATACAATAAGAGGATTGCATGTATATGCTGTCCCTACGCAGTAGTCTTACATAAGCGACCACGAAAAAAAATTGAATCCTCGGAGGTATTATTTTGTTCCCTCGTAGTTGAATGATGATGACTGTTTGCAAAAGGATTTTTGTATATTTTTTTTTGCATCATCTACTTTCTATATTGGTATTGTTTGTGATAATAAAGGTATTGATGAACTACTTTCTCAGTCTGTCTATCTATCTTCCTTTGATAATAGAAGATTTATTTTTATATAAGCCGAAAAAGCATATATTATTTGTCACTGCCGAGTACTCCACGAAGAAACCCCGTACCGGAGAGAGTAAACCATAATCAATCATCACAACATGATCGGGAAAAATAGAATAAAGAGGTCCTTAATTTTTCTATATTCCCACGTGTGTCAAGGTTAGACGAAATAGGTAATCTGGTAATGCCTGTTCAAGTAGGTTGCAAATGGCTCTTGAAATATAATACTTAGTTTTATCAATGCAGACGTTTGAATGTTACAGGCTTAATATTATTGAACTAAATTTGGGAGTTTTTTATAATTGTTGAGATAAATTGATACTGAGCAATGGAATAACAGATATTCTATGGTAAATCTCGATGTCTTCAATTCAGAATGGCGTTCAAAAGTGTAATACATCAAGACATAATTGAAGAACAGAGTGCCAGGATCAGGAAACTAATGTCTCAAAATTGTAACTAACAGTTGATGATCATATCCTATTAAAGTAGCAACATTGTTAAATTGGTAGAAACACAGGACTTGACCTTGGAACTAATGACATCTGTGAACGTGCTTTCGTATTATTAGCCTTTCTTTTGATTTCGCTGTTGATAGTAGTTCCTAGGGGAAGCACTCTCAAGCAATGTACCCTTATCGAGGAATTGTATATGGCTAATAAGATAAATCTTTTTTGATTTCTTTTGTTCCCACGTTCCGACTTTTAAACTTTTGAGGAAAAATAATGGTTCGAAATGTCTTGCCAAACTCTAAGTTACAACCATGTGGGTAATTTCGATTTTGGAAGTAACCTTTTCAGTAAATTTAACACTTATCATTAGTCTCAACAAACTTGTACCCATGTGGGTTGAAAAAAAAAACACAGATTGTGTCAATTATGTAATTTATGGGACCTTAATTAATTCTTCAAAGGGCCTGAAATTGTGCCTGTACATATTTGAGTCCCAACAGTTTGACACCTCTATAATACTCTTCGAAATAGTTGATGTGAGTGAAATTTTCTTGGCAAAATTCTCCTTATTGTATTGAGTCATCTTTGATTTAATCGTTTAGAGTCCACGTCGGTAATGAAATTAAAACATTAATGTTAAAAAATGTTTTAATTAAAATGCAAAAAATTGGTAGAAAAGAATATTAGAATATGATTATTATTATTATTATTATTATTATTATGGATTGTAGAAAATAAAAGATTAGATGTTAGAAAGGAAATAACCTTTTAAAAGTATTTTGGTTATCAAAATGTGATAAAACAAAATTTTGTAGAAATGAATATTTATGGTATATGCTGTTTGTTTAAATTGTAATATTATTATTTTTTTTTTACTCGTCTAAACTTAGGACGAAATAAATATGTTCTTCTCAGTTGTGCAATGAATACTCACTATCCTCATATTAAAATTAATGTAGATGAAATGGTGGTGTTAAAGAAATAAAAGAAATAACTGTTCAGTTAGAGAAAGAAAGGAAAGAATAGTTGAGAAAGATAGTGAGAGAGTATGAGAGAGAAGGATATCTCAATCTGATTACTGTCTGTCACTGGCTTCTTCCGATTCGGATTCTAGACGTTGTCTGTTTGCCTTGGATGGATCAACTTCATCATGGTATTTTTCAGCAATTTCTTCTAGAGTCATTCTCTTAGTTTCTGGAACTAGGAAACACATCAATAGACCAACAAGCATGAACAAAGCAAAAATTTCCATAACATGTGGTAACCAACAGTTCTTCTTCTTACCGTCCTTAGCACAGTTGTGGTCGATCAAGGTACCTAGAGCAGTTTGTGCAATAATGGCACCAATCTTACCAGAGGCGGCAGAGATACCATGGGCAGAAGATCTGTATCTAGTTGGGAAAATTTCACCTGGAATGATGAAAGTAGTAACGTTTGGACCAAAGTTACAGAAGAATTGACAGAAAACGTAACAAACCAATAGACCGTGGTCAGTTAATTTGTCGTAAGCAAAACCAATAATACAGAATAAGATGGTCAACATGATGAAACCCATGATTTGAATTGGTTTTCTACCAATTGTGTCAATGGTGAAAACAGAACACCAATAACCTGGTAAAGAACCAGCACAGATTAAGATCAAGTTACCAACACAGGAGTCGTAAAGCTTTTGATAGACATTATGAGAACCAGCGTAACCAATTGTTTGTAAAATAACAGCAGAGTTTAGAGATAGACCGTAGAATGCAACATCAAGCATGAACCAAGTACCAGCAGTACCCAAAAGAATCTTACCGTATTTCCATTGACCGAAATGATGGCAGAAATCCTTGAAGGAGGCCTTTGGTGGAGCAACGGAATCTTCACCGTACATTTGTTCAATCATTCTTTCTTCATCGTGGTAGATAGAAGCAGCTAAGTTTTCAGAATGAGCATCAGAGGAGTCAATGTGGTCTAGTTTAGTTTCGTTGTTAATGGTAACTCTTTGGACGTCAGCGTGTTCAGTGTTGATATCTAATTGATATCTTGGGGATTCTGGAATTGTTAATCTGTAGTATAAAGCTAACATACCTGGGACAGCACCGAAACCGACCAGGATTCTCCACATTTGGTCACAAGCCTTTTGACATCTGTGGTCACATTCAGCACCAGAGTTGGCATGTTTCAAGTCATTCTTGTAGGCAGCGACTGTAATCAAAGCGATGATTGCACCCATAATTTGACCCCAAGCTTGATTAGCGAAAACAGCACCCATAATGGCACCTCTCCATTTAGTGGTAGAGAATTCAGATGTAATAATAGAAGATAATGGATAATCACCACCGATACCAATACCCATGATAATTCTGTAGAAAGTTAAAACGGCGACGAAATTGATACCTGGGGCAGTACCAATGGAACATTGTAAGACACAAGTAACAATAACGACGATCAATTCAACACCATAAATTTTCTTACGACCTAAAATATCAGCGGCACAACCGAAACCGATTTGACCGATAACAGTACCTACAGAAGTAGATACCTTTAATAGAGTAGTAGTAGAAGCTGGCATATTACCTTGCCAGAAGACGTACGAAAGCATTGCAATACCAATGTTAATAGCGAAAATATCGTAGGAATCGGTCATGAAACCGACACCTGCGACTAAGATAGTTCTAATTTGTAACCAACCGAAACTAGTTTCATCAATTTTTTCTAGAGCTAATCTTCTTCTTTCTAAAGGATCTTCAATATGAGCAAAATCGTTAATATAATTGTGGAATGCAGTGTTACCACCTTCAGTTAAGTTTCCTTGGGCGGCACCATTTTGACCGACTTGTTCGATATCGATATTTTTTTCTTGAACACCAGACATTTTTTTATTATTATAATGTATGTTGTGTAGTATATTAGTTGAAAAAATGTTTGTTTCTTGATCTTCTTGATACAAGAAAATTGTAAAATTTATAAACAAATATAATTTTATAAATGAGAAGATATGAGAATAATTAAAATCTTTATTTCATTTCAAATTATCAATCATTTATATAACAAAAAAAGGAAGAAAGAGAGATGAAAGAAAAGAATTAATTAATTAATTAATTAATAAAATAAAAAAGTTGATAACCTTGTTGAAAATAATAATGTTAAAACATACTCGAATAAAAAAATAAGGGGAATCGCAGAATTAATTGTACAAACATAGAATAATTTAATGACATTAAGAATCATGACCTTATTACTTAATTGAAGTTTGTATCAAAATTAACATAATAAGAAAGAAAGAAATATTAAACAAAATGTACTAATAAAGTTTTTATTAGTCCATGTGGGTCAATAACATATTAAAAAAACATGCTCTTCCACTTGATTGTACTTATGATTTAGCTAAAGAGTTCTAGAGACCTTACGATAAAGTAAAATCGAAAACAATACCGATGATCATCTTCGCCACTATTACTACTACTACAACAACAACTAATCATAACTGATAATGAAATAGAATAGATACAATTGTAAAAAAATTAAGAGGGATTACGATTTGTTAGGTATTATTTGAGTAAGTACGGCAGAACATACTACTATTGAAATTCTAATAAGTTAATATGAATTAAATAATTAGTTTACTATTGCAGATTATACCATTGTTATTACAATGTTAATAATGAAAGAGGGATAAGTGACAAAGAGAATAATCGTATGGCTACAACTAGAATGGACCTACTGCTATTATTTATTACAATTGTTATTTCTTTGTTTGTTTCTAAAGATACGTGAACATCCCACTGAGGTTCCTTATGTGGCTAACAAAAAAACCTTCTATTCTAAAATTCTAACGATTGAAAGAGAGGGAAACGTATAACTACAATGATAGTTGCGTTTCCGTATTGAATTCTTCGAAGTTGGAAAAACGGCTGATGACTTTTTTATTTTGTTTTGTTTTCCGCCCACGTGGAGGAATAAATGTGATGGATGCAATGACGATAATTTATTTATTTTTCAGTTCGTACGGAAATTTACAGAAAGTAAGAATATGTTGTGTGCAATTATTACTATTTATTACTATTTTTCAATGGGGCATTAACCTTATTGCCGTATTTAGTGGGGCTTAGACTAAAAATTCTCTCTCTCTCTTTATCTATTGAATTGAATAAAGGGTTCGATTGGATTAACTGCAAAAATATGTAGAGAGTGGAAGAGAGAGAGAGAGAGAAACAAGAAATTAAAATGGTTCAATCATCTTGCTGCGGGAATATTCCCACCAATATGTATTTTTGGCTTCTCCTGTTTTTTCTTTGTTCTTTTCGCAGTAAAAGAAAGAAAATATATAAAACGGAGGGATGGACCCCTGCAGCAATTTTCTTAATTTATATTTTTCCGTATATGTATACACATACATATACGGATGCACACGTGGGATGGTCTGACTGCTAACAGTTTTATTATGTTTCTACAAAACAAAGAATACTTTTATTTTAAAGAGGGATGGGATGATGTATGCAGTAAATAGACAATTTATTCTATTGTTTATTATTAGGATTAAACATCAGATTTAGAGTAGAATTAGTTGCCGAAGTAAGTAAAAACAGCCTCGCCACGTGTATCATCATAATCAACTACATATTTGATTTATGATGATGTTACTCTCTTTATTTCTCTTTGTATGCCATCTCTCCGGTCAATGTACCCTTAAAATTCAATTTAATATTATTTTTCCCCTATTGTTATCCTCATCTAGGTGTACAACGTGGGATATACCTTATATATGCACCGTCTATCATATTTTCTTAAATATAATTTATCTTACTTATTAATGAATATATTTAGGGTTGGTTGGTTAACCCTAAATATTCGCTGTTTAGGACTATTAAAAGTAATATTAAATAAAATAAAAATTTGTTGTATTCGTGAAAAGGAACACAATTTATCATGCATATATGCTTTCTTCAAGTTTTATTTTTTGTTGTGTTTTTTTCTAATAAAGTTAGATTTATTTCATAGATGGTAGCGTCATACAATCAACAATAGAGAGAGAAACACAGAGAGGAGAGGAAGAATTTTAAAACCAAACCTTATCTCTCTTGTATTTGTCTGAGTTTTCTTGTTCTAAAGATGACATGATCACCAAATCAATTAAGATAAAGTTGGTTACCTTTGGTACTATTATTGTTTTTGTTTTGCTCTCAAATTATCTTGCCCTTGACAATGGAAAATAATGACCGTAATTAAAACTACATTACATCTTCAGTGGGAACTGTCAATTTTGTCGGACTAAGGTTACCGATAAAATGACAATAATATTATAATGGTTTGATTTTTGCTTTTAAGGTTAGAAGATGACTTAGAGTCAACTCTACATACGATATTATTATATATTGATAAGAACGTACAGCGTTGTTTGTTTGTTTGTTTGTCTTCTGTCATTGCGAGGTGTATTATCCGTTAAATCAAACCATACATCTTTATAATTTAGAGAATAAAGACATCACATGTGTACTTCAAGTTAAATTGTTGGCACATTAACAATATTGTTGTAATTTTGGTTGTCTGCCTTAATATATATTGTATTAAAAAAAATGAAGAAAAATGGGGAGACTGGGCGGCTAAGTTCTTTTTTCATCTTGTTTTGTTATATGTAGAGGAGGTATCAGGGTTTCGTTGAAAGTGATATTAGGGTTGGCTTCTAAGAAAAAGATTGAGAAAAAAAACATATGTATACATAATCAAAAATCACTACGATAATCGATGTCTGATTGGGTTTTTTTTATTAATCATATTTGGATAGTGTGAAAAAAGAAAAAGACCTTATTATTCAATGATTAATGTTATTAAGGGACTAGACATCGTATTTTTTTTAAACATTAAATTAATTTGATTTTGAAGTAGATAGTGCATACATTATCTAAGCTTAGAACGAAATAATTATCAATTTCATCATAAATATTAAGGAACAACATTTTCATACACTCGCTCACACACACTCACACACTCCTATATGTCGTCTACAAATAATAGGAAAAAGTTATTATTAATGGGCCGTTCAGGGTCAGGGAAATCATCGATGAGATCTATTATCTTTAGTAATTACTCAGCATTTGATACGCGGCGATTAGGAGCTACTATTGATGTAGAACATTCACACTTAAGATTTTTAGGTAATATGACATTAAATTTATGGGATTGTGGTGGTCAAGATGTATTTATGGAAAATTATTTTTCAAAACAAAAAGATCATATCTTTCAAATGGTTCAAGTATTAATTCATGTCTTTGACGTTGAATCGCAAGAAGTTATTAAAGATATTGAAATATTTATGAGATCATTGAAACAATTGAAGAAATATTCACCTGATGCTAAAATCTTTGTCTTATTACATAAGATGGATTTAGTTCAATTGGATAAAAGAGATGAATTATTTCAAATTATGATGAATAAATTAAGTGAAGCCTCTACAGAGTATGGTTTCCCAGATTTAGTTGGTTTCCCAACATCGATATGGGATGAATCTTTATATCGGGCATGGTCACAGATCGTTTGTTCTTTAATACCGAATATGAGTACATATGAGACGAATTTGATTAAATTTAAAGAGATGTTGAATGCATATGAAATTATTCTTTTTGAAAAAATGACATTCTTGGTGATTTGTTCAAGTAATGGGAATTTACAAATTGGTAATAATGAAAATGATTCGAATAATAATAATAAAAATGGTAAGAAGAAGAGTAATATAGTGGCGATTGATCCTAAACGTTTTGAAAAAATATCAAATATTATGAAGAATTTTAAACAAAGTTGTACAAAATTAAAGAGTGATTTTAAGACATTTGTATTGAATGATTCTATTTATGTTAGTGAAATTTCACCAAATATGGTATGTTTCATTGTATTGAATGATACTAGACAATCACAACAATTAGTTTTGGAAAATGTTAGTAAAGCATCACAATATTTTCAATAATAGAAAAAATTTAAAATATTCTAAATAGATTAAAATTAAATAAATAAATAAATAATGTATACAGGTGATACCCGTATGTGAATGTATTTGACTTTCCTTTGTTTTTTTATTATATTAATAGAATAATAGAATATGTTTAAGGTATGACTTTATGAAAGAGGGGAGGAAGAAAAGTTTATATTAGTATTTTACATTAATGATGGAATATATACAACTACCATAAGTAAGGGGGTAAGAAAGGAAGTTAATGGAAGGAATAATCAAGTAATTAAGGTTAAAATCCCAAGTCGAATCATGACATTACTTGGACCAAAAATAGTGTTGACTATCAATAAATAAAGAAATAAATAAAATCGTTCGACACTGTGTTTCGTATGTGTATATATGTGTTTTGATTTTTTTTTTTGATGTTGGTTTTTGATTTGTTTTTAATTATTATATCATTCAAAAGGAATATATGTTTGTGCGTTTTAATCACTATTAGTTGGAGGGGGTAAATACTAAGATTACATTTCTTTGAAGAAATCTCTCTTGAAGAAAGTCAGTTTGACCCAATCCATCATCACCTTAAATCTAGTTCTAGCAGATAATAACATTGCTAAATAAGTAGCTCTCCAAATATAGAAAGTGAAAGCACCACCACCGGTGTAAAGGTTTCTCTTACCGTAAGTAATGTTAGCAATGGCCTTTTCTGAACCTAGATAAGCTAATGCACCTAAATGAATATATTTGAATGGTTTGAAATTGTTTTCTTCGAACAATAAGTCAACTTTTTCCTTTCTGTTACTTAAAGTAGTATGGAAATCTTTAACTTGAGCCATCTTATCGAAGGTCTTTGCCAAATATTCAGCTTCTTGATGGGCTACTTGAGCAGTTGGAGGTAATCCAATGAAAGCGTTATCACCAATGGCAAAGATATTGTTGGAACCTTTAACTTGAAGGAAAGGATTAACGTTCAAAGCTCTTGTAGAGGCATTTTGTGCAGGGATCTTTTTGAATAAATTAGTAATGACAGGTCTACATTTATTACCAGTAGCCCAAATCAAAGTACCAAAAGGAATAGTTTCCTCTGAGACAGTACCATCATCATGTTTGGTCTTTGCAATCAAATGATCGGATTCAACTTTTGCTACAGCTGTCTTCAAATGTAATTTGATAGAAGTATCTTGTAAGACATTTTGAGCATATGAAGATAATTTCTTATCAAACATATTCAATACGATAGGTAAAGCTTCGACCAAATGGATTTGAACTTCATTGGCCAAAGAAGGAGAATATTTCTTTAATTCTTGAGTGACATAATCTTGTAATTCACCTGCAGTCTCTACACCAGTTGGACCACCCCCAACAACGACTATAGATAATAATCTTTTTCTTTCTGGATCACCAGGTGGTAGGAAGTTAGCTTTTTCCAAATTATGTGCGAATTTTTGTCTAATTTGGAAAGAATGTTCAATTTCTTTCATAAATAAACCATATTTATCAACACCTGGAATATTAAAAGTATTTGGTTCGGCACCAACAGCAGAGATTAAATAATCGTATTTAATTTCAATATTATCTTTTGGTTTCAAATGTGGTACAGTATCACCATTTTTAGATTCGACATGAGATTTTGTCAATATTTGAGTAATATCAGATACAGCAGAGACACTAACCGTATTTCTTTCAGGATGAATTTCTTGTGCAGCAGTTTCATAATAAGTAACATTACCCTTTTTCTTTAATGCGAAATTTACCACTGGTTCAATAATAGATTTTTCATCGACTGTACCAACTGGAGTAGATGGTAATAAAGGAGTGAAAAGGAAATAAGGTCTTGGTGATACAATAGATACATTATATTTTTTAGTATCAATATGTTTTAAGAAAGAGATAGCACCCCAACCAGAACCTAAAATTACAACAGAAGGTTTATTTTCATAATTTGTATCGATAACTTTCGTAGTCTTAAAAGACGTTGGGCCAGCAAGGGATTCATTTGCAACTTTACCAACTTGAGATTTAGCTGCAACTTTTGCGGTAGTTGAAGCCAGTCTTGTTAATTGTGTATTATGAGATAGCATTCTCTGTGGTGTTTGATTAGCTAACGTTGATAGCATTATGATGTATTTGATGATTGTTTGTTTTTTTCTTCTTTTTAATAAATAGAATATTAATAAAGTTCAAAAAAAATAAATAATAATAAATATATTATTCTTATTTTTTAATTTGCAAAACGTTGTTAGTTTTACTAAGAATAAAAAGACTAGGACTGAGAGTTAGAATTAATAAAAGAAATATTTACAAATTAAAGTCACCTTTTGTATATCAAAGTATATATATATATATATTAATGGGAGAATAGAGAGAGGGAGGGAGATGAATCAGAGAGTATTAGTGTAAAGCCCGATACAATGATTCTCACTATAACATTGATATCAGTTGAAACAAAAATCTAAGAGACAAAGAAATAAGAAGATATTGCAGGTTCCATACAAAAACTAAATAGCCAATAGTAGCCAGTCATTAAATAAAATTTCAACTCCGCAACTAACTAACTGTAAAAACTGTTACTAGAATAACGAGTCGTTGATAAATCTATTTTTCAATATTTTAAAATTAGAGGGAAATAAGATTATAAATGAATCGTTCGTTATTCATGTTATGTTAGTAACCTAGTTGCTGTTATTGCTGTTAGTAATAATAAGCAACGATTAGCGCAATATCCGACAACTCGGTCATCGCTGCGGCAATTCATTTTGGTTTTTTGGTTTTTTGGTTTTTTGGGTTATTTTGCGTCTGTTTCTCTGGCTGTTTCACCACCCCCCGCGTTTTTGTATTGTTCGAGCAGAATTTAAGGGGGGAGAGCAGTCAGAGAGACAAAATGATTGGTCCAATTGATTATGAGAAGACGTGTGGGTGTATGGGTGTATGCGGTAAAAATTAGGCATGTGACTTTCACGTGATCTGTGTATTTGTTGTTCGTAATGTATGATATTGTTTTTCGCGATTTGTTTTTTTTTTGTTGTTGTAATATTTAGTGTGTGTGGTAGGTATGTTTTTTGCGGTAAGCATTTTCTGTTTACATTTTAGGATTTCTTACCGCGTTGGCTGTCCTCTTCTATTAATTTGTTTAGTGTAGTAGTAATATTAACCGTTTAATTATTGATTTGGCACGAATTTACGCTTATATATATACATATAATATATAAGCATATTAAGTAGGAAAGGTAATTGTGTTTCTGATAAGTTCCATTATATAACAGTAAAACGAAACCTCATACCATTAGATTATCTTTCTTGAAAAGGGAACTAGTTTGCGTGTGTTTTTGGTTGTTTCTTATCATGACAGATAATCAAGGGATTACCCATCCTCAACATCAGAGAAGATTGCTATCCAATAAATCATCTATTTCTCATACGGCCAATAGTAGCAATAATGCAAGTAATAGATCGATCAATAATTCTAATGCTAATTCTAACAGATGGATGTTACAACAGCAACAGCAACAGTATGCAGGTGTGACGAGTTCTTCTTTGAATACACAAATCTATAATAATAGAGCGCATTCGTTACAACAATTGCAAGTGAGAGATCCATATAATATGGCACTGTATCAACAGCAGCAGCAGCAGCAGCAGCAGCAGCAACAATCTTCGCAACAGTTTATGGATCCATATATGTATATGTATTCAGCTCCTACTATGGTGATGCCGTTGGCTCAAAGACAAATTAATACTTTACAACATCCTGGTCAATTATCACCTTATGGGAGAGTAATGACAAATGTTACAGGTGGCGGTAATAGTGGTATTACACGTAGAAGGAATGTTAAATTATCAAATAATAATAATAATAATAATAATAATAATAATAATAATAATAATAATAATAATAATAATAATACCAATAATACCCATACCAAGAGAAAGAATAATTTACAAGGAAAATCTAATACAACGATACAACCTTCTAATACAATGAATAATACTAATTTGAACTCAAATCATCAAAATAATATTATTAAATATAGAAATGTTAAAGAAGTTACGGATTTTACTCAAGCTAATGATATTTTGTTAAAGAATATTAAAATAAACAATTATTATGATATTGCATTTGAATCTATTAATGATGATGAAGTTACTGAGTACGAGAATTTACTTCAAAATACTCAAAATGATACTAATAGCAATAAAAGTAAAACAATCATTAATAAGATACCCAAAAAGACTCCCCAACAACAACAGCAACCTCATGGAAATGGTAATAATAATAATAAAATTGTGTTTAAATTAAAGACACCGATGGAGACTTTAAAGAAGAAAAACATTGATAATCAAAAAAATAATACAACTTTGTTTATTAATAAGATTCAAACAGTTTATAAAGATGAGAATTCTACTAAACAACCATTATTGTTAGGTGGTAATCAAGCATTTAAAGTTTCTTCAATTAATGATTATTCTCCAAAATTATTAGAGGCGTTCTTAAGTAAACAAGGGGTCTCGACAAAAAATGTCATTACTTCTACTTCACCTGCATTATCTACATCCTCAGGGAATCTAGTATCCTCAGGATCTACCAGCGGAGTCTCAGCTAATAGACCTAGACAATTACAGTTGAAGGCTAACGTCTCTGCATTATATAATGATAGCTTTGACCTAAGTTTCGATGGTAAAGCAATGGATCGTAGTGATGTTTTCCGTATGGTTGACTCCTTCAGTGTAGCATTTTCTGATAATGACGATAGTAATATCATGATGCAGAATACTCAATCAGTAATTATTCAAGAAGGTAGAAATAGAGGTAAAAGAAAGAATAACAAACAGGTTGATGGGGATGATGTTGACGGTAAAGTTGAGGACGGTGCTGAAAATGATCAAGGTGAGGAACAGGATGATGATAATAACATTGAAAGTACTAAAAATGAATCACAAATCAATGGAAACGATGATTTGGCTGATGCAGGCAGCAGTGACATTATAGGGCCCATTGATAACAACGAATCAAGTTTCATTGTTAACCCATCTGATAATATCTTACCAGCAGAGATTACTAGCAGTGAGGCCGCTTATTGATCAGAAACTTTCATAAGAGAAAAAATAAATAATCTTCATTAAAAGTATTAACTTTATATTTTGCATATACAAAAGACACACTAATTTTAAATAAATATCAAATTATATAATAATAGTAATAATAATTCACTACTAAAATAAAATAAAAAACTAGAAAGCACTCGAAGACCATTCTGTGATATCTCTCTATGCACATATTATAACTTATAGGTATATTATTAGTGTAACTAACTTATATAAGCGTTATATGAAGATTGTTGACTTAGATCTATGCTATTTACAGAAATTTAAAGAATATGCTTGTTTTATTATCATTATTTTATCCATTTGGTTAGGGAGAAAATTTTGATTTATTTCATAAGACACGTTCACGTTTCTCAACTGTGAACCCTGGATTCGATTTTCTTAATTCCCTTTGCATCTCTTTGCTCAACGCTTGTTCAGTGACCTCTACCTTCACCAGTTCCTTAACTTTCAACAGAGAACCGGTAATCGCTGGTGTAACTTCTCTATATATGACAGAACCCCTCTTACCGAATCCTAATGTTTTTACAATCTCTCTCGTTACCTTGGGCATCCCGATAAGAGACCTTACTAGGGTAGCCTTGTAAAATACCATGATTCCTTGTTCTGTTTATTTTTATTTCACGTTTTACAGTCTAGAGTTAAGAGCTATTGTGTCCGATTTGATGCTTAATATGTTGTTTCACTCTGCTCACTTTGCTTCTCTTAAGTATTTTGCTTGTTTTATTTTCAGATTTTCTATATGGTTGTGTTTTTTTGCTTTTCCCGTCTTGGAACACATGAAATACCATGAAAATAATAAGATAGACATCCCGAAAAACTCATTTCATACAAACCCCGATGATCCCTTTTGACTAACCCCTAGTAAAATAACAAATTTTCAGTTCTCCCTATACAGAAGGGAGACATAGAGGTAGTAACTTTTGCTTAAGAACTAACATCTTCGTATACATATATATGTAACGATATTACGTCAAATTTATTGGGTTGATACCATAGATTATAATAAATTTCGTTTCAGTAAGTTTTAAAATTAGTAACTGTTACTAATGAGTTCAATACTATCAAGTTGCAATGTACGAAGATCATACAGAGCTTGAAAAAAACGAAGCACCAAAGCATATTAAACTACCTAAAGAAGAAATTACACCTGAGTTCATAGCGTGGGTTCGTGAACGAAGAGCCATTGAAAGACGTGAGAGACAACGTCAGCTGAGGTTTGATCCTAAGTATGATTTCATCAAGAGGGAATTATTAGAAGTACCACATCCTACCGATGAAGAATTATTATTAAATGACAAAAACTCAGTTAATATAAAGATCATGACTTATAATATTCTTGCACAGTCACTGATCCGCAGAGAGTTATTTCCAGAATCTCATGATGCTATTAGATGGTCAAATCGTTCTAGGACTTTCATTAATTTATTTAGATTTTATGATTCAGATGTAATTTGTATGCAAGAGGTTGATATTCAACAATGGGATAAATTTTGGGTTCCACAAATGCATGATTTAGGGTATGAAGGTCGTTTCTTCAGAGGTGCGCGCACGAAAGTCCATGGTGTAGCAATATTTTGGAAATTTGATATGTTTGATTGTGTTAATAAAGTGGAGATTGATTTAGATAATGAAATTGAATTACCAAGAGAAATTTATGGGGTTTCTAAGACACGAACGAAGACTAGGAATGCAGCTTTGATTCTTGCATTACAATTTAAGCATAAGGAAGGTAAAAGAAAGGGGATTCTTATTGGGACAACTCATCTCTTCTGGCATCCATTTGGGACATTTGAGAGAGTAAGGCAGTTGTACTTAATTTTAGAAAATTATAGAAAATTTATTGTTAGAATGAATAGCAATACTATAGAAACAACTTGGTTGCCATTTTTGGCAGGTGATTTTAATTCTCAACCTAGTGATCCACCGTATTTGGCACTTACTTCAAAACCAATTAATTTTAAAGGACGACAAAGAGCTATATTAGAGTGTAGTGCAACATATAGGTATTCTAAAAGAAGAAATGGAGCCTTACAACACGAAAGTGATGACGAGAGCGATGAGAATGTAGATGACAAGGAGGAGGATTGTATAATACAGTTAAATCCAACAGATTCAAGGCCTGAAATATTCGATGCAAATGATGAACAAAGGAGATCTGTGGATGAATTAGAAAGTATTCATAATTCATTAGACATAAAGGCAACTTCATTATACGGTTTAGGCTATCGTTTCGTTCATCCGGCGAACACAGTCTTTGAAAATATGCATAATGGTGAGCCTGAAATGTCGCAAAGTGCGATAAATTGGACTGGTCTATTAGATTATATATTTTATATTGAAAAATGGGACGGCTCCATATCTAGTAATACAAGTGACATTGGAATACATCACTTTGAAGAAAAGAATCTATTCCGTATCAACGCCTTATTACGTATGCCGCGTAAAGATGAAATGCCCAATCATGTTCAACCACATATGTCAGAGTTCCCAAGTGATCATTTATCAATGATATGTGATTTGCAAATAAAATTATAATTATTAATTAAATAATAAATACTTTTTCTCAATTGAATAGATTGTTCGAATATGAAATAAAACATTGAACTTAGAGAATAAACGAAAAGTAAAGTGTAACGTTACAGTATAAAAAAACAAGACGAAGAACGTATTGAGTCCAAATGAATGACTATCAGCCCTTAGGAGCTGGGTGACAAAAAAAAAGTAAAAATATCTCCAGGGGGCGAGTCGAACGCCCGATCTCAAGATTTCTTGTAAAATTACAGTCTTGCGCCTTAAACCAACTTGGCTACCTAGAGAACTTTTAATTGTTCAAAAATGTGGTCTAATATATATCTCTATTTCGTATGAAGCGATATTTGATAGATTTCTTGTTTTAAACATTACTATAAAGAAATGGTGACTATAAACAGCTTTAATTTCCTTGTAAAGATGATTAAAATTCATAACCTTGAGGTGTTGACGTAGATTGGCAAGAGAGTAGATCCTAATAGAATTAGAATTGGGAACGATTGTCATTTCTATAAAGATTGCTTGTATAATTTCTATTCGTTGATCTATTACATAAAGTAGTATACAAGCTAATCCTATAAATATATAGATAGATACCCAGATATATCTCGAGGAGATAGTATCTCTTTAATAAATGAAGTAATGTACAATGGGCATCTCATCGCAGGAAAAGTTTTCTTGAAGCGCATCGTACGTTATCGGAAAAATATCTTCTAATAGTTTTTCCGATATTATAATATACATGTCACGTGATAATTAGTGACCACGTGATCCTTTTAGAACACTTGCTATAGAACATACTTGTATGTTCTATCTGTTCATGAATTGTTACCATAATAAGTATCGCTACTTAATATTCCCACAACATGAGGTTTCTTGAAGGGGTTCACCGTAACTTATGTTAAACAGAGTTACTGTTGTTAAACTGCCGATCTTTTGTGCATAGTAACGTTGGACAATGTAGCTCCAATAAACTCAATGTAGGGGAAACGAATACTACATTATGCAATATATATCATGTGTTGTTATATATATGGTAGTGCAGTACACTCTAAATTCTACTTATATTAGCTACCTTTTCCTTTGATGGGAAAATTGAATATTAGACATCCTCTATTTAACTGAACAAATTTTATTATATTATAAAATCAACTTATAGTCGTCTGATTTTTTATATCTTATATAAAAATATATAAAGTAAATTATGGAAACAATTATAGTCATAAATGAAACATTTTCCATTTATATATATAGAGAATCTGAGATAGAGTGTTCGCCTCTATTAGTCTCTTCAAGCTTTACTTTATTTAATTCGGACATTTTTTAATACTATGATCGATCAGTCTCTTTATATTATATATAATTTATAGAACGAATAGAATCTAACTTCGAATGTAAGTTCAGAATTCTTTGTCTTTATGTATGTTTTATTCTAATCTCAATTGAGGTTCGAATTATATTTTGTTTCATAATGCGATTAACTTTGTTTCATGTTGCCACATATTTTGTTTCATATTTTAACACACTTCATAATAACTGTGCTTAAAGGTAGTTCTTTACCTATTGAAATTAAGTGTTGTGCATATTACTCTTAACTTCTGACAATATATGTTGGATTTCTTGTTGTCGTGATTATAAACTCACTCGACGGTGGCGTAAGCAATCTATTAGTAAGTTGTTGCGGGATTAATCTATTATCAGGTCATTGAGGGGTTAGCCTATTATCAGATCATTGAGGGATTAACCTTGGTCATTATCATTCATATAATATATTTCCGACATCCTTCAGGTAGGTTAAACTAATGTTAGCCTCTTTAGTGCTGCCGCTACATTTTAACAGAATCGATAGAATGAACTATTGGTAATACCTAATTTACATGTCATTAATCAGACTAGTGGTGTAAAAGGTATAAAGTAGTGATAAAAGAAAATATATTGGGAAAGACACTATTGCTTTTGACAGGAATGTCGCATTGGTGTATTGGTTTTTTATTTTGGAATGTCACTTTTATTTTTTTGTTTACTCAGGGACATACTTTTCTAAGTTTTGCTCTCTCCACCAAAACGATAAATTTATAAACGAAACATTTTTTATTTAACATGTTCTATGTTGGTTAATGGAATTGAACGAACTACAATATAATCAAAACCATCATCTAGAAGAAAGCATACGAAATGATACATAGAGTAGTGAATTAACATAATTAATTCAAGAACAATCAGTTTTCTATAACCATAGGGAATACAGAACTACCGGTCAAGTTATAATATTGTCAAAGACGGAGCGCAATGCTCAACAGATGGTTGTCAATAGAGAATTAAAATAAAAGAGAAGGAAAATCCTTCAATGAAATTCACTAAGCTAATTTTTCGGTTCCATCATTCACTTGGTTTGAGGTGTAATTTATATTAATACCCATATATTTCGTCTATTTTCTACTTATTTATTTAGAACTCTAAGTCAATTAATATTGAGGCCAAAGGGAAGACATATCATGATAAGTCTTATAAACATCTCTAAAATATATATAAAATAGCTATGACATTAATTTCAGCAACCCCTTGTTAAGAGAAACGAAATAATTCCAAATATTTTTAACCGTTCTTACAAATATTAATAATCACGAAGGCTACTGATCATTCTTGTCAATTTGGTATAATATATATTTCAAGAACAAGTCAACTTATATAAAATCTTGTATATTTCCCACCAAAAAAAAAAAAAGTGCTGAGGTTATACATGTAGATCACTTTTGACCTCCCCCCTCCCCCCTCCCCCACTGTGTTGCAGGTATTAAATATTCAGAAAGTTTCATTAACTTACTGTAAGGGATGTAATTTCAAAAAAGTAATAATAATATAGACAGATAGGTGGTGTTGTGACGTACCCTTCCCCTCGCCTATTACCTTCTTTAAGAAAAGACACAAGTATAGAATTTTCAACAACCGGTGATAAAACAAAAAGGACAATAGCAAGTAATCAAGATTAAAAAAGAACGTACAAAATATATAAATAGTTGCTTAATTAATCAATGACATACGTAATGAAACAGACACTTTCAAACACAGTTACAAAGTTTGGTGTTACAGAAAACCATAATATAATAGGTGAAAAAATGTAGTGATATCAACCTTCTCTCTTCTTGTTTGGCTGCCTCTTTTAGTTTTATTTTTATTCACAAAAATTCTTACCTCTTTAAAAATATCCACTTAAATTTTTTTGTATTTTCTCGCCTTCTCTCTTTGAATTCGCGTGGGCTAAACTCACTCGCTAACTCACTCACCAACCCAATATATTTACTTAATAAGGTGAGGGAATGAGAGAGAAACGAAAAAAAAAAATCCAAGCAAAGAGAGAGACAGCGAGAGGAAATAACGAAACTGATAAACAGACAAACTGAAAAAAAAAACCCAAAAAAACTAAAAAAAGGATTTCTACAGTACAATAACAATAAAACCAAAAAAACAAATAAATAAATAGGTATTAGACATTCATTCACTCATACAAAGTAGTGTTATTGTTACTATTATTTTATTATATTGTCTTCATTACATCAATTCGAGATTGTACATACCTCAATTATCATTATAATTTTTATTATCATTTTATTAATACCCTCGTTTTGCGTCCATAGTTTATGTTTATTTTCCTGATTCACTTCGATTCGTTTTTAAAATTATAACAATATAATATATCATTACACTTACCTTATTTTTTTTAATTCCTATTTTAGATTTAATTTTAACTTGGGGGGAGAGAACAAGAACAGCAAGAAGAGGCCAAAGAAAACAAAAAAAGAAGGTTAGAATTTCAAGTTATTTTTATTTGTATCATTCTTTCGATATTTTAGATTTTGTCATATTATTCATACCACGTCAAGGAAAACTATTTCATACAATAATTGTAATACTTTTAATCCCTTAAAGTACTTCAAGTTTTTTCTTTATTTCTTCTATTTATTATTGAATCAAAGAATAAAACGTGTATTATAAACGTATGGTTTAAAACATTTTATCATATTTGTTATAATCAATCAGAAATAAATAAATTGACAAGTAAACTAATTTATTATCAGATAACTCAATATATTAAAAATTTTCTCTTCTTTCGTCATTAGTTTTAGTGTCAAATTTAGTGATTATTATTATTACCATCATATTTCTAATACTACTTAATTAAACGAAATAAAAATTAACCAAATAATATCGGGTAGATACCAAATTATTTACTCTCTTTTTATTAACTTTTAATTTTTGAAAAGTTGAATTTAAAATCATTATCATCATGAGATCCTCTTACTCTAGAAAAAGTAATGGATACGGACAATTCAATCAACATCAAAATCAACATCAAAATCAAAACCATAAACCATCACTTCCTCAAGATCAAATGTATATGAATAACCAGAGACTTCCTCAACCGATGATGTATCCACAAATAGATCAATATGGGTTCCAATATGGAATCGTTCCTCCTCAATTTTCAAACTCACCGATAATGAATGCTCCACCAACACCTTTTGATTCAAGTTATGGTGCAACTTTATTACCATCGCATCTACTGATGGGTTCGCCGTACCTAACGTCCCCAAAAGTTAAGTTTTCTCAACAACAGCAGCAACATCAGCATCAATTACAACAACAACAGCAACATCAACATCAACAACAACAACAAAGTCAAAACGCTCAATCTCAATTACATTCTTTCAAGTTTGACAATCATAACATTATGGATGGGAATCCACATTTTAATAATAATGAACAACTTGGTAACAGGAAAATGTCTAATTTGTCAAATAAACCTATTAACTCAAGAAATATTCAAATGCAAATGAATGCTATCAATGATGACGATAGATTTAGTTATATGAAATCATTGTTTAAACAACCTTTCAATATTACATTTAAAGTTTTACCAAAGGGTGATGATGTATATAGAACTAGATCATTATTGTTTGAAAATATTGATAAATCAATCGATATCCACGAATTTATTTCCAATTTTGTGAAGGTAAATACTATTGAAAGTGTATATATTGTCGATTATTCAGCTGGCTCAATCTCTAATAATGCCGAAAGTCAGGATAATAGTAATAATGAAATCGATCAAGATAAACAATCTATTTTATTAAGTTTTTTTACACGACAACTTTGTCTAGATTTCTACAATAGTGTATTACAAAGGTTGAAAGAATTCAAAAAGAATTTAAAATCAGAATCTCTTAGATTAAGCTTTGTATCATTAAACTACATTCCTTTCAATACCAGTAATACAAACGATAAAGAAGAAGATGAACAGGATAGTAAAGCGGAAGACGATACCGCTATCTACAATGCATCATTTTTGTCTAGTCTACAAACAGATATAATCCCAACTGAAGCTACCAGATCTATTGTTGTTGAATTCGATAAAAAAATTACAAACGAGGAAATTTTAAATGAAAAATTAGATTTCTTGAAGGAAAATAATTTAAGATACATTATGGAATCCGTATATTTTATTAATGCTTCTAAACCACAAGATGAATTCAATGAAAATTACGTAATTTTAACTTTCCTGAACATTTCTATGGCAAATGAAATCCTAAATTACTTGGATGTTGAAAAACAAAAATTAGATATTGTTGATTGTTTCTTTGTCAGTATAACTTCTAGAAGAGAAAGAACATCAAGAACATCCGAATCATCTAAAACTTCAGACACTGTGAAACCTACACCAATGAACAACAATTTGCGTAATGCCAGCCTCGTAAGTCTTCAATCTTCAGACTCCAATCTATCATTACCTAGCAAATATGACATATCTTCCTTAAAAGAATGCAAACTAAAGATCGATAAAGATGATTACCCAGCTCCATTTACAAAAGAGTTTGAAGATCATCTTCCTAATATTGCTGTTTCTCAACCGAATCAAATCAATGGATCTATGGCTCCTCCAATGAGTCAAGAAATGTTTGTCAACGATGCAGGCACATTACCAGGAATGTCACCATCATTTGGCCCAGTAGAGACATTTGGGCTTGAACAACCACAAAACTTTGGGTCCTCAGTGATTTCAAGAAATGGGTCCTTCATGGAACCTGGTCCAATTATGAACCAACCATCTTTTTACTTGGATCAACCACAATATCATAGAAATTCTGCGGTTCGTCCAATAACTGACTCCTTAGAGGATCAAATGAATACTTCGGCAAAGATCGCATCAGCAATGGGTAGTGATGCAGGTAACAGAACTATCTACATTGGTAATATTAATCCTAGATCGAAACCCGAAGATATCTGTAACGTCGTTAGAGGTGGTATCTTACAAAGTATTAGATTTATTGAATCCAAGCGTATCTGTTTTGTTACATTTATCGAAGCATCTGCTGCTGTTCAATTCTATGCCAACGCTTTCATAGATCCTATTGTATTACACGGTAATACCCTAAAGTTGGGTTGGGGTAACTACTCTGGCCCACTTCCAAAATCAATTGCATTAGCCGTTACTGTCGGTGGTAGTAGAAATGTTTATGTCAGTCTTCCTGACATAGCATTCAAGGATAAATTCATAACCAACCCTGAATACAAACAGTACCATGACCAATATAAACTTCCAAGTGCTGAACAATTGAGAATAGATTTCTCTACTTACGGTACAATAGAACAAATTAATTATATGAAGGACAGTCATTGTTGTTGGATAAATTTCATGAATATATCTTCAGCGATTAAATTAGTAGAAGAAGCTAACAATAAGAAAAATAGATTAGAAGAGAAATTCAATGGCCGTTACAATGGACTGATTATCAATTACGGGAAGGATCGTTGTGGTAATGTTAATAGAAACTTAGTTGCAGGAAAGAAGTCAAGATTCTATAATAAGGTCAAGAGACCAAGTTATGACATCAGATTAAGTAAATTGGAAGAGAAGAGAAAATATAGAGAATCCAAGAAAAGGGAAGAGGATATGACCCAATCATTCCTACACGATGTCTCATCTCTTGATAACCAAAACATTTTGTCGGAGGATAAAGAAGATATAATGAACCTAGCCTCCTTAGGTATAACTCTAAATAATGAGGAAAGCAATGAAAACAGTACTGAAATTATGGAACAGATTGATGAGAAGGACACAAAATCAGAAACAGGCGACGTTCTACAAGACTTCCTATCCACCAAATTAACTGGCGAGAGAGAAGAGAAAGAAATAATAAGTAATGAAATTACGAACACTACTGAAGAATCTGTCTCCTCATCTGAAGTCGAATTCATTATCAATAAACCTGATACGTTAGCAAATAGAAGCAATATGTCATTTAATGATAGCATGATGAGTCAAGAAGATCTAACCAACCATGCGATAAAGGCTACCATTATGAATAGTAACAAGCCAGGTATATCTAAGCAAGCCTTGAACCTAGAACCACCTTTTGCTCCTGACACTATCTCAAGAGACTACGCTATGCAATATGGTGGTCTTGGTGGTCCACCAGCCATGCCAATGACAGAAGAATGGAACCAAAATAACAACACTTATACCAATGACGTGAACAAGAATGGTGGTAATCAAAGGAGAAACAAGAACAATCACCAGAAAAACAACAAGTCAAAGAGTAAGAATGGAAGAACTATTCCTGGCTCTGACGTCATGGCACAATACCTTGCACAATTGCAACATTCAACTTTTATGTATGCTGCAAACGTTCTTGGTGCCTCTGCGGATGACTCTGAACTGTATGAAGAATGATTAGCAAGATAGCAACGTACATAATATTTTCAGTGGACAATTAATTAGCATCTTAACATATATTATAATATAAGTAGCATTACTCATATAAATATTCTACAAAATTAATAAATATAAAATTAATATTTTTTTTTAATAATATTAATAATACTCTTTGTAGTAAGAGACACCCTCAAAATTTTACGTAGATTATAATAAATAGAAGACGTTGCTACTAGTAACGAGAAAATCCGTATATCATCACTTCATTCTCCTTCCTCAAATCTACAGTTGCTTCTTCTTCTTCAACGGGTGTCCAAGTCGTCCATGCTGACTTCTTTAGAAATGGTCGAATTAGTTTATTATTCGTTGGCTATAAAAATCAGCACCTTTTACTTAGATAAAACTTGACTGCTCCTTCTCCATCACTGACACCCTTTGTTTCTCGAGGAGACGCGTTTTGTTCTTCATCTATTTTTTTTCCACGTAATATATTGTTACTATTCTACGACAGTTTGTCTCTATTTACATTACAAAAAGAAACGACAACGATAAACTATGAAGAGAAAACGAAATTTTTCAATTCTGAAGCGATGACTGACCCACTTAATTAATTAGTAAGCACCTATAATTTGAATAAGAAAGTCTGGAGGTCAAACAGACAAGGGTGCCTACAACTAGAAAGTAAACTTCGAGGTAGCTGATAAATCCTCGAAAAACTTGTTATTTGAGTTATGATACATAAAACAACATATATATATATATATGTGCCAGACATATATCCTCATACTTTTGATATGTTAAACTGAAAATGCTACCAATTGTATAGATATTACTATGATTCGTTATATCATATAACAAACATAACAACAATAAACATTCATATACGATCCCTAAATTCAAACGCCTCTAAAAATTGTTCAAATTTAGAAAGGATCATTTTGAATATTTTATATAATGAGAAACCATATAATGTCATTTGATGAAAATTCTTCATCAAGCATCGCAAATAGCAACGTAACAGAAACAAAAAGTTTTACAGACAATGAAAAGAAGAATTTTGAGATTCCTCAAATAGTAGAAGAGGCAAATTCTACAGTCGACGCTCAACAGGATGATGACAATGAAATAATCCAATATCCAGAGGGTCAAAAATGGCAAAAAACTGATTATTTTAGTAGTACAACAAAGGAATATCTATTCGTATTCTCCTGCATGATGAGCCAACTACTGAACCAAGCTGCCACTCCTCAAACACTTTCCATAATGAATGTTCTGTCGGATTCATTTAAATCCGAAGGCGGTAATCAAACTTGGTTAATGGCATCCTTTCCATTAGTCTCAGGTTCTTTCATTTTGATCAGTGGTAGAATCGGTGATATTTATGGTTTGAAGAAAGGCCTGATAGGTGGTTACATAATGTTTATCATATGGTCCATCATATCTGGTTTAACCTATTACTCCCATAATGATACATTTTTTATTGTTTGTAGAGCTTTCCAAGGTCTTGGAGTGGCCTTTATTTTACCCAACGTATTAGGTATCGTGGGTAACGTTTATATACCTGGAACCTTCCGTAAGAATATGGTAATCAGCATGATTGGTGCTTGTGCCCCAATCGGTGCAGCTCTAGGGTCAACCTTTGCTGGTTTAATCGGTACAGAGGATCCAAATCAATGGCCGTGGGCTTTTTATGCGTTTGGTATTACATCTGCTATCAATTTATCAATCTCTATATATGGTATCCCAAACGATATTCCTACTAATATCCATGGTTTTTCAATGGATTGGTTGGGTTCATTATTGGCCGTCATTGGTTTAATTTTATTAAACTTTGTCTGGAATCAAGGGCCAATTGTTGGTTGGGAAAAGGCTTACATCATTGTATTATTGATCATTTCAGTCTTTGTTCTAATTATTTTTATTATCTATGAGTTGAAGGTTGCCACAGTTCCTCTTTTACCACGTGAAATAATGAAGAATAGATATATGCTGATGGTTTTGTTGGCCCTATTTTTGGGATGGGGTTCATTTGGTATTTTTTCATTCTATTATTTCTCTTTCCTCTTAAACTTAAGAAATTACACTGCATTATGGGCCGGTGGTACCTATTTCATGTTTGCAATCTTTGGTATTGTTGCTGCTCTCATAGTTGGTTTCACTATTAAGAAAGCCACTGCTTCCATCATTTTGTTTATATCTATGGTTGCCTTTACTGTAGGTACTGCCATGTTGAGTGTTACACCTGTTAAACAGACTTATTTCCGTATGAACCTCGGCACAATGATCATTCTAAGTTTTGGAATGGATATGTCGTTCCCAGCTGCCTCGATCATTCTAAGTGATTTCTTACCAATGCAATATCAAGGTATGGCAGGTTCTCTTGCCAATACCATGGTAAATTATTCGATGTCTCTCTGTCTGGGGATGGGTACCACTGTTGAACGTCAAGTAAACAAATCTGGTAAAGATACATTAAAAGGCTACAGAGGTGCAGAATATCTAGGTATTGGACTAGCTGGACTAGGTGCAATCATCGCATTCTCATTCATGATTGAAAAATATTGGTCTGAGAGAAAGGAAAACCTTGAAAAATCAAAGAAAGTCGATTTAAGTTAAAAGGAACAATAACAACTTAATTTGCTCATAATACATAACTATATAAATATTCATAGCGGAGCCAGATTATCATATCACTAACTCATACATACACATATCACTTTAAATTCAAATGATAGAGTAGAAGAAATACTATTATATCAAAATATGCTTTCTTAATGGTTCTATATATGTACACATTTTATAATGCTTATTTTTTACATACTGTTAAATGTAAGTTATATATGGTTAATTTATCTTTTTTCTATATTGCTAAAGTGTATGAATGTATTAGGGCTTTTTATTATTATATTGTTGTACATTCTCTCTCACAATCAATGATTTTATCCCCTTCTAGCCTCTCTCTCTTTATTGGCAATTTCTTTAAGATCATCATCACTAGGTTCATAAATATGCCACACGGTATAATGAGGTAAACCACCTACTCTATACCCCATTTTCTTGGCCATCTTCCCAAATGCTTCAGTTTCTGCATGGTTTTCAAAAGTAAAAGCTGGGAATTGTACACCACTTCTAAATATTTTAGCCTTTGCTAAAATTGAAACACCACCAACACCATCCAAATCCATGACTTCATTCTGATTACCTTCTTCATTTCTTAGGTACGCCAAATGGACTCTCCAAGTTGGATACTCAGCATAACCTTCCACAATGACATCATCTTCATCCAATGTGGCAGCCAATTTTAAAGCTTCTTGAGATTCGACCCATGAATTCAAATCGTAAGGTTGGGCACTATCTAAGAATTCAGGCAAGGGTCTCCAAACATTTGGAACCATAATATCATAATCGGTAGCCATAAGATCTTCAATGACTGAACCAGGACATAGCTCTACATCTGCATCTCTCCAGTAGACCCAAGAATGATAAGGCTTCAAAGCATTAGCAGTTAACCAATTTCTTGCCCTACCCATCAATTTACGTCTGATACCCTGAACCTTAACAGCATGTCTATCACTGAAACCTTGACCAATAACTTGACCGAAATCCTTTTGAAAGATTTGAACAGAACGGAATGGTTTATCATAGTCCTTATGGAATGGTGGTTTGAAGGCATGTTCAATCTGTGCAATATATTGTGGACTCATATATTTGATATGCATATCATCTGCTGAGACACCACTACCTTTAGTGTGTTCTTTAACATAATCCATTTCAGCAAACACCTGAGATAGTGTCCCATTTTGTAACTGTTTAGAATATTGCAATAATGCTTCCAATGTATGATCTCCAACAGAACAATCACTGACAAGGAAGGCCAAATCAATTAATTCGTGGGGATAAGTCAAATTCATTAAATGTTTGAACATCAAAGGCATAACTTGTTCAGCGTCTCTTAACGGGACACAAACTAGGATATGATCCCTGTGCTCATTACCTTTAGGGGAACCTCTGAAATCAGCCAAATCGTATTGCTCTACGGTAGCATCCAAAAGCATAGCCAATTCTTTTTCATAACGTTCATTATCCTTTGGTGTCAGCACATCACTACCATATTCAGTTATTAAGTAATGTTCCACACCTTGATCAAATTTTTTAATTATTTTCGGCTCGATATCTTCAAAATCAAAATCATAATACTCTTCTTCTTCTAAGGATTTTGTTACGTAAGATGGTACTTTGATGTTAATTTTATCTAAATCGAAGCTACCTTTAGTACTGTTACTTTGCGAGAAACTGGATATTATCTTAATGCAAACGCAACAAACAACTATTATGGAAACTACTGTCACCAATAAATTTTTTGTACTTTTACTTTTCTTCTTTGGAGTATATTTCTTATCCTTTATCTTGCCATCATTATATTCATTATTGGTAGTAGGAAGTTGGTCTCGTTTATCCTTTTTACTGATAGCTCTATTAACTCTATCGAGTAGACCCATTAATAATAAAAGTGTATTGAGATATTATATTATGCAAATTTGATGAAACAGGCAAAACTGAATTTGTATGCTTTTGTAAAAAAAAAATCTTGGACTATGTTGTAGCTCTTTTTTCCTCTCCGGATTGAACTCAAATATACAGTATTAATTAATCTGTAGCAAATATTGAAGAACGAATGGAGTATAGCCAATTATGGTCAGATATAAGGTCGGAATATTGTTAGCCTTATTTAACACATACACAACAACGAATTGATGTATTTTTTTGAAATTATTACTTTATATTTTCAGATTACAAAAAAAAAACAAGAACATTTAGAACTACAAAAGGATAATAAAAAAGAAAAAAACTAATATAATCAACCACATCTTTCAATTATTTCAAATGTCTTAATCTATCGAATCTTATAGGAAGTTATGAAACTTTCCTAGACCAAACATACCCTTGCATGCAGGAGAAGAGAGCAAAGCCTCCCTCCCTCCAAAGCTCACCTTTTGGTGTCAACTATTTGTTTGTTTGTTCGTCGTCTGACTGACTTCTTTGAAATTTTTCTGGAAATTTTGAAAATTTTGAGAAAATTGCGCAAAGGGAACAATGCACAAAGTGATTGAATGATCAAACAGTTACAGTGACGGGAACGCAGATATAGCCCTATCTTCTAATGTTCCGTCAATTACTTACTACAAGTTGAAAGTTACAGGTATTTTGTATCACTTTTATTGTCGTTGACTATATATCTATCTATATAGACTTATATACCATCTTGGTCATTCGATCCAGAACTATCTTCTAAGACCGGCTGCTCATTTTCATGCGACTCCATTACACCAATACTCGTCGTTTTGGCGTTCGCCGTATCAGTAATTGTATTTGTAATTGTCTCTGCCATTGCACCAGGAGAAGTCGCATCTGTCGTAGTAGTAATTGTCGTACCTATAGTATCTATGGTGGACATAGTGATACTGGCACTTGTTGTGGTGATAGTAGTAGCCTCTGGTAACTCAGTATTACTGACATCATCATTTGTAACGATCTTTTCTTCGACCCTAGATGGTTCCATTATCTTGACATGATGTTCTTCGTTATCCACATTCTGTATTGGTTGAGGTACAATGTTGAAGGATGGCGTTGTTGTCTCCTTAGGAAGTGATGTACCGTCTATTGTGTTGGTATCATTATCTTCCTCATCCTTCTCGTCCCTATCATCAGTGGTAATTTTTATATCAATAGGATGGGCCTCATCATCACTACTATCTAAAGTATCGAATAACCCCATATCGTCACCGTTACTACTCCCAATTCCAACACCATTACTGTTTCTATTTGTTGTAAAGTTGGTCTCAAAAAGGATGGTCTCCAAATGGGCGGAAGTTGCTGTGTCACTCTTACGTTCCTTTTCACGTTTCTCTTGGAGTTGTTTCAATTCTTCAAGTTTCAACTCTCTACGTTCTTTTGCCTCCTGGATCACTCTTGCTTTCTCTTTACGAGTCTCTGGTATTCTAGAAAGCATCTTACGGAAAGAATTCTGAAGTGTATTCCTCACTTCTTTATCAACCTGAAACCTATTCTTGTGGAATTTATCATTTTGAATGATTAATTTTGTTAGATTTAAAAATGGATCGTTATTACGATACTTCTGTTTCAATTCGTATTCATTAACCTTTGCCCTTGCCAATTCAATTCTTTTGTGAGCATATTCTTCAACATTGAACGTCTTTGGGATATGCGTTAGTGTACTCAACGGTTGCCTCTTAGTTACACGATTAGAACCTATCCTATAATTTTCCCCTAAACGTTTATTGGAATATGGATACATCAATTCTTCCCCCACGTTTGGTGTCATTTCTCCATCATTGACTATATTTGTATCTTTTGGATTTGTCTCAAGGGAGTGTCCATTGACATGTCTTGTACCTATCAAGCCTAGCAACGATTTCTCCGATTGCCTACCTTCCTCAGCAGCTTTTATTCTTATCAAAACCTCATTCGTAGTAGGATTATTATACTGTGGAGTAAACATATAAGTATGGTCTGGTGGAAATTTCGGTAACCAATGAGGAATATATTTTTGTAAATCATTTGAAGATCTAAGGGGAAGTGCTGCCTCCTGTTCTTGTTCTATCAATTGAAATGGTGTATTATTAAGTAATTTATCCTTTTTAATTTGTTCTTTAATCTTATTCAGTTCTTCTGTCTCACTATTAATTGTATCCGATTGAGGAACGTATTGAGTTTTAATATAGTGCGTTTGTTGTAGTGTAACATCTATATCATCTGGAGTTAAATTGAACCCTCGCAGTAAGAGGGATACATCCATCTTGGAGGCTCGTTGACGCCTCTGTATCGCAGCTATACGATGCAGTTCACTAGCCATTGAATCTATTTGTTCCATAGCAAGAACAGACAACAATTCGAAGGCTGACCGCGATATCTCGATATCATTGTTTATTGGTTTCAATTGTAAAGCCAATGCCTTAAACCACAGTGATTCTAATTCTGGTTCCATTGCTTCATGTCTTATTTCTTCAGGGTTGGATGAATCGCTTATCATAGTGGCTCCAAGGTTTCCCTTCAGTTGTGCTTCCGGTGCATAATCCCGTGTCATTATTTATTGTTATTTAACTTTAGTTGTATTGCCAACTTAATCAATATATGATAACCTCTCTGGGTGTTTTTCTTGCTATAAAAACCAAACTAAAAACCAAATCTATGATTGAACTGGTTACTAACTGGTGATTCTGGTACTCTACTCTTCCCTTTTAATCGTTTGAATGGTCCTTAATTACATGTTTATCGTTTTGTAAATGTTCCAATCTCCCAAAACATCACTCTCTTTCTCTCAGATTGGCGCTCCGTCTAATTAAAAACCAAAAATTCTGCCACACGTTGAAAAATTTTCTAGAACAGTAAATATAAAATGACATCACTAACAAAGCATAACTACGTCTTTATATCAAACAATAATTGATTCAAAGAAGGTGGAATAGATACACAAATAAACAACCATATACTTCCCTGCTCTCTCTCCATAGTGATTGTTTCTCTAATTACAGATTAACACATAACATCTCGCACATTCAATATTCTTTAGTTGATCATGGCCAAGACATTAGCACAAGGTCGGAAACCAGGCAGTGGTCGGAAGCCCGGTAGAGGTAAAACCCTTCGTGAGGGGAGGAAACCAGGAAGTGGACGTAAAAAACGTGACACAATTAGTCCTTCGGAGGGAAATACTTATAATAACAGTAGTAACAACAATATTAATAATAACAATAGTAATGGCTCGCAACACATTCAAGCAAATGGTGCCGCTAGAACGGCTCCTATCAATATACCTATCCCGATGTCTGGATCTATACCAATGGGTATACCAATGAACATGTCATCTGGTATGACTAATAGTACATCTGGTAACAATAACAATGGAGTTATTATCAATGGAGCTGAAAATATTTCGTTCACGTCTAGAGATATGGAAGCAGTCGATGCATTACGTGAATTGACATACAGCCCGCAGTTTTCTCCTCCAATGAATTCTCTCCCTACAACATTACCACCGATTGTTCCCAGTAGGTCATTCCCTGCAATTAATAGGATACTTACAGTTTCACCTAGGCCTACAATAAATCAAACAGGGACATTACAATCACCTAATCAACAGGGAGTACCTCCGCCATTATCACAACAATCCAAATCAGTAACAGGAATGATATCGCCTCCAGTTCTGCCGCAACAGCCATTATCTATGACAACCTTTAACGGCCTGCTGTCGTCGCCGTTACCTCCATCCAGTATACCAGTAAGATCAGGTCCGATACGACCTGGTCCAATTTCCAATGGAAATCTAAGTAAAAATAACTCTAACTACAAGAATTTTGTTGACTCCATGCCCCCAAGTCTAAATTTTATAACGAATTCTCAAGGAACAAATAGCATTATGAATTTAACTTCAAATGGAACCGGAATAAATCAAACAAATGCAGATATGAATCTTGCAGGAAATTTAGGACCAATGGGAAACATGAACATGAATATGAATATGAATATGACTATGAACAATAACAACAATGGTAGTAATAACAATAGTATCATGTACCCTTCTTCTCACCAACTCAATCCGATAGAGCAGTCACTACAGAGACCACCTGGAAATATGTCTCCCAAACAGCATTCCCAACAATCTCACTTTCAATGATAAATAAAGAACAATAATGACATTAGGGCATATAGCCGTATATATATATACATAGATTCTTTGGTCTGACTATTAATTTACGTAGATCTATGTAACGAAAATATAAAACAATCTCATGAAAACCCAAACGAAGATGTCACATATATCTACACATGTACATAGTTTATAAGCAATCTTTTTATGCTATTATTCATCTAGTTTCTTCATTAGAGATCTCTATTACCTTTGGTATCTTCGAGGGTTCCTTTTATTTTATTATGGGAACTTTTTCAATTTGAAATTTAACGACCCATAAAAAAAAATTGAAATCATTAAGTATTTGAGAGGTCAATTACAAAGAACAAGAACAAAACGAAGAAGAAACAACAGAGGAATAACACAGAGAACAATATATAGTTTCATTTACCTGAAAATACCTCACGAAATATGGATGCACTAGAAGCGAGACTACAATTTATTCAAGTACTGAAAAGTTTGCCAAAGACTTTAAACTTAAGTAAAAACGTTACTACGACTAGCAGTCACGGTACTCCAAATGTCATACAATCAACAGGAAATAGTACAACAAGCAACACTTCCAGTAGTAATGATAATCCGCAGGATCCTACAGTATTCTATATGAAGTATTATCTTCAACATTTTGAGGACTTTCAACAATGTATGTTGGATACGATGAGTAAAATGGATCCGCTCGATAGACTTTACATTCTGATATATTACTCTAAGATCATTCATGAGCTATATATGTACATAATACAGGGGCAGAAAAAAGAATCTGTTTCAGATACTGGTACGAAGTCAACGACTGAGATTACGTTATATGACACTGTTATTCCAGGATTACATACTGTCTGCGAACTTGCGTGTCCAAATGGTGACATGAAGGCATTCACTAATTTGCCTTATTGTATAAATTTTTATGAAGATCTAAAATCCCTGTTCCAAAATACCAACCATGTTGCTATCGAGAAAGAATTATCATTGGTAGAGCAACATATTATTGAACTGAAACAAAATAGAGAAGAATTATTTTCAAGTTTTAAACAAAATGGAATACTCACATATGAACAATCAAGCAATAAAAATCCGTCGACAACGAATAACACTAACCCTTCCGAGGTACAGATTGTTCTTAATAGAATGGAGATGGATCGAGACAGACACAAGAAGTTGAAAGAACAGAATTGGCAGATCAACAGAATTCAGAGCGTCGCATCAACCGGCACAATAACTAATGAAATGCTTGCTCCAACAGAGTTCGAGCATCTCTGGTCAACCACACCTGCATTCGACACCAGAGACGGTTATTTTGCCAAACAAGTACAAGCCATTGCCACTGAGAGTTACGCCCTAGAGTGAAATAATTTTACGCATAAAATATCTATATATACATATTTATTTACTTAGCATATTCTAAAAATGTCCATCATAACAACAACAAAAGATAAAAAGGTGCCATGCAAGAAGTCACGCAGAATATTTTGCTACGAGACTACTCTCCAGCTGCCCCACAAAGTTACCACAAACAATCAGTTGAACAAATTCATTCTAATAGAGTTAGATATGAACAGCCTCATCGCAAGTTGAAAATTTTTGAAAATTTCAACTTTTTTATTTGTTTTTGCACCGTGTGCCGCTCTTCGAAGAGATCTACTCGTCGCTTAGAAATACTAATAACAACAACATCAACAGATGGAAAGACTGAAACAAAGAAGAATGTGAACTAAAGGATTTTGTTCAATCTGTACAAGATGCTTCAATATACATCCATCTATCTATATATAAATATATAAATATCTTTGTATATGTTCATGTGCCAAAAGAGTAGAGTTTAACCAAGGGGCAGAAAGACGTAGATAGACCTCAATTAGTTTAATTGATTCTTTGAAGCAGGCATACCCTTGAATGAAACATGGATGGATCAATGCGTGGTATTGCCTCGAGAAACCCATTACGAAGACCAGTTTTACATTCAAACCCTACCGAATCTAATGTTCTGAATCGTTCTAGAAGAAACCAGCTCCTTAAGGACCAAAATAGTATTACTGCATCCCAGGATGACGATGCGTTAAGACCCTCCAAAAGTTTGTCCAGTCCGAATTTACATAAACTTGGTCGCTCTGAGTTATCTCATGGTACAGGAAGTACGATAAAGGATAGACCATTACCCCAGTATGAGGCAGGTTTTTATTTTCCTAGTCACAGCTCAAATTCCCTTAACGAGGAACTAGAAGATGATGAAGTAGGACACAATGATGACGATAATATCAATGGGGGTAATGGTAATGATGCCTATAATGAAAAGGTCAAAAGTCCTCGAAACAACAAATATAACAGTTTGCAAAGTGCAATACTAGGTAGAAGAAGGAACCCTAATTTAATACATTATGAAAATGACGAATCGCTATTAGTTGATGTACTTCCATCATTCGACATGTATAACGTATTACATAGACATATTCCGCAAGGGAATGTGGATCCAGACAGACATGATTTTCCTCCAACTTATCAGGAAGAGTCAACACAATCTTTGGAACCTCCACCAGAGATACATAGTCATGATAATCTTATTCAAAACAATCATCATCATCTACCTAACCAACCTATCGATTCAAATGTACATCAAGAATCCTTTGATATCCATGATTTACGTCCTTTGAATACGTTACGTTATAGTATTTCGAATAATATTCCATTCGAGGACGATTTAAATGATGCTGACAATATTGTCATCGATAAGGTTTACTCGTTACCAAAATTATCGACGCCCATTGAGATTGAAATCCATATTACTAAGAACGCTCCAAAACCGGATATTAAAGTACCGGATGAATCTATACTAAAGGAATATACTTCTGGTGATATCATTCATGGGTATTGTACCATCCATAACAGATCTGCTAACAGATTAAAATTTGAAATGTTTTATGTTACATTAGAAGGTTACATTTCGATTATTGATAGACAAAAAGGTAAAAGGACAGTTAAAAGATTTCTCAGAATGGTGGATTTAAGTGCATCGTGGTCATATACAAATATCGATTTAAGTTCAGGGATAGACATTAAAGTTGGAGAAAGAGATAAAGAAGATGGTGCTATTATAGGCTTGAATAACAGTAGAATTCTAGAACCAAATATGAAATATAAAAAAATATTTATGTTCAAACTCCCCACACAGTTATTAGATGTATCATGTAAGCATGAACAATATTCACATTGCTTATTACCTCCAAGTTTTGGTATTGACAAATTCAAGGACCGTGGAAAATATGCAGGCATTAGAATAAATAACGTCCTTGGATGTGGACATTTAGGCAGCAAAGGTTCACCTATATTGACAAGAGATCTTTCAGATGATGATATATCCATAAATTATACTATTGATGCAAGAATTGTAGGTAAGGATCCTAAATCTCACAAATTGAACATAATGAAAGAACGCGAATATAACCTAAGAGTAATGCCATTTGAGTTCGGTTCATCCTTGAAGACAGAAAGTAAAGCCTCCAAGAAACAATTGAAGGATTTAGAAAGATTAATTCAGGATAGATTGAGAGCATTAGAAAAGATCAAGGAAAGAGTTACCAAAAATGAACAGATTTTGAATTCTGATATACATATGGATGTATTGAGTGGGACATTTGATAACAACGATGAATTAGATTCCCAAGGTATATTAGCAAGGAAATTAGATCAGCTCCATATTAACAATAGACTGGATGACGCTAGAAATATTCATGAACTATCTGATTTTAAGAGTCTTGCGCCATCGAAGAATTCTGTTGAGACTGAACTAAGTTATAAATACAAATCAAAGAGTAAATCGAGGAACAAAAGCAAAGGTAAACTCTCGACTAAATCCTCTGGGTTCTTTTCTGGATTTATGACTTCTGCATCATCATCGTTATCATTAACTGGAATAAGCTCTCCTTCAGCAGATTCTAAAAATTCCTTAACACCAACTAAATCAGGTGGACACATCTTAACGAATACCTCAGCAGATCAAATTGATGCAATTAAGTCACCTGAACAACCTCAATCACCACAATTAAGACCTTCAACAACTGCCTTATCTGCACCATCCTCAAAACACGAGAAATCTGGTTTGCTCGTGATATCTGCAAATATTCCTGTACGTAGTATACCATATTGGTCTCCATCTATAATTCGAAAGGCTAACAAGATGGAGAATAAGAATCGACATGATCAAGAAAATTGGTCTCGTTTAACCCAATTAGTGTCTGAGAATGAACGTGATATACTAAGATCTCTCCCAATCAGGATTACATGTATCGAATCTAATAACAGTATCCCTCATGATCCACCACCGATTCAATCTATTACTACTCAGTTGGTTGTTATTACTGGAAAATCTGATTTTTCTATTCCAATCAAATTAAGTGTCGATATGCTTTCTGATACGAACCGGTTAACAAATATGAAGAAAATGTTTGGCTCCTATCGTGAACAAGTGAGCCGTTACCAGACTTGGTTTCAAGAACAAAGAGACAAGATAAATGAATTGTACAATATGGGAACATCGATTGGGAACTTCAAGACTTTACATTTCAAAGATTTTGTGTCTGATCAAATTAAATCAGACATTGAAAGTCTCAGTAATATTGAAGTAAGATGTGATATATTAAACGAAATATTCAAGAAACAGCCTTCATCTACAACTCAAGTGTCTCATAGTCCCTTACGCAACGTAGAAAGGACATCCTCACCAATACGACATGAAATGCCTGATTCACCTAAGCCACAAGGGTCCACACCTAATGCGACAGATCCATCTAATGCGACTGGCAAAGGTTGGTCTCAAGTTAGTATGCAAGAATATGAAAGATATGTGACGGCAGATGTAGAGATGACTCGAGATATTGGAGAGACATTAATTCCAAGTTTCGAAAGTTGTCTATGTTGTCGATTCTATGCGATCCGTCTGAATATTAAATTTGATAGTCATATTGGGTGTGCACGTCTTGATATTCCAATCAATGTTAAGAAGATGAATATATGATAGACCTTTAAATTAGCAACATAATAATATAATTAGGGCTAAATAAAAAAAAAAAATTGGATTCGTATTAATAAGAAAATAAATGATTATACAAGATTATATACAGGATACATAAAAGAAGGCAAATATTCGAAGCTGTGTTAAGTAGCAAAAAAAGGGAACTATAACAAATACATATATATATTTTGGAATGATATTTCTATCATCAAGCTTTGATACCCCAATGGATAGCGCAAATCCCAGAGGATAAACTTTCATAACCAGCAGCTTGGAATCCAGCGTCTTGTATCATTGATTTAAAAGTTTCTTGATCAGGGAACCTTTCAATGGATTCGACCAGATATTGATAAGAATCGTAGTCATTGGCAATGATTGAACCAAATACAGGCAAAGCCTTTGCCCATTGTTGATAAGCCATATCCATCAAAGGGTTTTCAATCTTTGAAAACTCTAAGCAATAGAAAATCCCGCCAGGTTTCAATACTCTATGTGCAGTCTCTAACCCACGTTGAATATTAGTGAAGTTTCTGATCCCAAAACTAACGGTATAAACATCCTTTGAGTTCGATTCAATTGCTTCTAACTGTTCCCCATCTTGAACCATAAATCTAACCCTTGGATCTTCGAAATAACGACCTTGATCCAAAGCACGTCTTTCACCTTCTTTCAACATGTCTGGATTGATATCCACGACGTCCATAGTGGATTGAGTGTCTCCAAATTTTGTCTTTGCATAATCCAATATCCCAAATGCAATATCACCAGAACCCCCAGCAACATCCAAGAAATTCAATGGTTCATTCGCACCGGGTCTCATCCCTGGATCCAATTTATTAATAAAATGGTCCTTCCATAGTCTATGAATTCCTAGGGACATAATGTCATTCATTAAATCGTATTTAGAAGCTACCGAGGAGAATACGTGACCCACTAATTTTGCCTTTTGGTCCACAGGAACAGTTTTTGACCCGAAATGGGTTGTAGACACCATCCGAAGTGTTTGTTTTGAGAAAGCAGACTTAATCATAAGAAATATATGTACGTACGCTTAGATATATTAATTTCTCTCTATATATAAGTAAATAAAGGAAAGAGAAACAAATAGGTATAATACGAAACTACTTACTTATGTATATATGTGAAGATGTAGCGATATTTGTTCAATTGTTCTCGTTATTGAAAGAAAGAGGGAAAAAAGTATCAGGGGTGCCCGAACTTTTCATATCTACTGACAAAGAAGCAAAAATAAATAAATAATACTATGGCAAATATTTCTGGTTGGTTAAAAATCAAACCGTCAACATATCAAGAAATATAGATTAGATATAAAAGTATTTTTTGAATTGTTATGGGTGTGCTCTCACACATCCCCTTCCAAGAAATAACGTAACTATACAGATGTTATTTTTCACAAGGATATACGTTTCTGAGAGATAGTAATCATCGCAACCAATGATGAAGAAAGACAGCGTCCCACCGTAAAATACATATCAATATATACTGTAGTCTAGACATATGACTACTCAAAACTCACCACCACCACATATATATATATATAGTTACATATCTGATGAATAAACCAGCTCATCTCATCTCATCATCCACTTGAATTCTTGTCGTCTCATTGTTCGGGGCAATAAAACTAGGGTTACATCTCAGGGTTTGCACGGGGGAGCGCGGAATGCCCAACAACGCAGAAACAGACGCGGAGACACGCAGACAGAGAGAGATATTTCCAACATTTCACAGCCCGCCTGAGAGAAAGAACGAAAATAAAAAGCGATAATTAAACAGAGCGACAGAGAGAGAGAAGGCGTAACGATTTTCGCGATATTTTACAGGCTCTCTCTCCATACAGTGATTGATTTAATATCATTACATAGATAATAATTCATAGATATATTATTACTTAAAGAGAAAGAAGAAGACGCTATTACTCATATTATTATATACATTTGACATATCATCTACGGCAAGGAGTTTATCTGTATTTATTTTAGTGTAATCAATTAAAGAATAGAAAGATAGATTAGAGGGATATATATATATACCCGCATTTTAATTCGAATCTCGTGTTTTTTCGTTGCTGTTTGCACTATTTATCATTTAGAGATTAAAAGAAGGATAATATAATTTGGTAAAACACGAGAATACCCCTTTTCCCTCTTCCATTCTATTCGTACACATTTTTTGCATTATAAAGAAATTAATAAATACCATTATAACAAATGTCGAATAATAATAATAATAATAATAATAATAATAATGGTATATTACAAAATGTTAGATTACGTAAACGAACGCCTCAAATGATTTCTAATATGGAAGAAGCTAGAGAAAAGAGAAAATCAGAAGTATTGATTGCTGCTCAATCATTAGATAATGAGATTAAAAGCGTTAAACAATTGAAGCGTTTATCGATTGGTTCTTTGGATTTATTGATTGATCCGGAATTAGAATTTAGAGTTAATGGGAATGGATCATCATCACATGACTTAAATTCAATTAAAAGAAAATCTTGGATTTCAAATAATAGCAATACTACTATTACTACTACTAGAAGTAGTTCACCAGACCAATCCTTAGAGAGTAATGATACAACTACAGATTCCGACAGCATTGTTAATAGTAGTATAGACATTACAAGAGCAGAATATCTTCATGATGAATCGACTCAAGCAGCATTAGCAGAACAATCATCATTATCTTCAAACATACCGTCTAGATTCACATCTTCCTCTACTATCTCTACAACTAATAGTAATACAAATAATTCCAATAATACCACAACAAGACATCTGACTGGGATTAATTCATTACGGAGAGGATCTCATAATGTAGGAACAAGGCGTGCTTTATCTGCAAACACTACAGGTACTTCATTATCATCATCCTCCTCTTCTTCTATTGCATTAAGTGATAACGATAACCTTAATAATAACTGTAATAATGAAGATGAAGAAGATGACGATTTTACTAATCACTTGTTATGGGTGCCTGCTAATCAACATCCGAATGTGAAACCTGAAAATTATATTGAGTTGGTACAGGATGCATTACATAATATTCAAATTCAAGATAATAATAATGATACTACTCCTAATACTACCACCACCACCACCAGTACCACTACTACCACTACCAATAATAATAATGAGGTGCAAAAAGAAGTGCCGTTAAATCAAGATAAAGAAAATTTACAACGAAGGAATAGCAATGATTATTATAGCAATTATACCAACAAGAAAAAGAAAAAATATAACCGTACATTGGTTAGAAGACCTTCAAGTCTTAGAAAATCATATACAGAATTATCAGATAATTCAGACAATAAGTCTCAAGATAATCACGATCATGATCACGATAATAACATTAATGATAAGACATTTAATATGAAGGGGAATAACCATTATAATCAAAGAACGGCATCACTGAAGGATATCACTGAAGAATTGACTAAAATATCAAATAATGCAGGCCTGACAAATTCAGACGCTATTACATTGGCTAGAACATTAAGTATGGCAGGTTCATTCACAGGTATAGATGACGAAGCTTTATTGGATGATGGTAGCAACGTAAATCCCGATAATAACAACAACATCTTACAAATTCAGAATATAAATAACCTCAATCATACCAATGATAACGATAATGACGACAATAGTTCTGTAGACGAGTTTGCATCTAAGATGTTTATGAAAAACGGACTTACAATACCTCAACGATCTTCCCTTAGAAGAAGTAAATTCAACACTTATAGAATACGGTCAGCCGATTCTGCTACCACTTCAGATAATACATCAGATACAAAGAGACATTCTAGTGATATAACACAACAAAAATCTCTTATCGATGATAATACCACAGCTTTGCATATACCCCACTCACCAATCAAGCTTAATAATGACTCTCCCCCTACAATAGCATCAGCCGAATCACCAGGTTCTATCAGCGACTTATATGACCACTACACTGAGTTGAATAAAGGTTCAAAAACAGATATTGATGACGACGATGGCGATATAGATATTGATGACGATGAAATAGACACTTCGGGACCAGCATCACAAGATAGCAGTCTTCTCTCGAGCGATAGTGTTTTGTATCGTCCCTCTCAGTCTACAGGTACAAGAGGCAGTACAAATGTTTCATTATTACAGGAAAAAACAGATACTTTGATGAATAACGATATAACAACTTCTGTAATCATGAAAAACAATAATTCAACCAGATCCCATAATGACAACAATGATAATTGGTCGTGGTCTGGAAAATCTGAAAATCATCATTACAATAATCATACTAGTGAGAGTCATGATTTGATAGATAATACCCATTCTGAAGCTAACCTAAATCTGAAAAATAGAAGTAATCATTCTAAAAATCGTCATAAGCCTATACTTAACATCTCTAATACTAACGGAAATGATGGGTTCACCCCAGGATCTATTAAAACTACACATCAAATAGAGAAAGCTGACGAGAGACCCACATTAAATAAAACAGGTACGAATAATATGTTATTAACCGAAGTTACTGATCGTAAATCGTCCAAAATATTAGCGTCGCAGCCACATAATGGGTCTGAAGCGACACTAACCACTCATTCCGAACTATCTTCACATACTACCTTAACCGATAATAATAATAATAATAATAATAATAATAATAATAATAATACAACTGTTGCTCCCAAAAAACCTTCATTGGAGGAGAAACTAGTGAAATTATTCAAAAGGAAAACTCATCGTCGTAGATCATCTAACTCCAACAATCAACCAGTTACAAAGACAAATGAATCGGGAGTCCAAGAGGAATTAAGGAAGAAGATTTCAAAATTCCGCAAACATCAAAGAAAACAACCATCTTTGGTAAAACCCACAGTTGAAATAACCTCAGCAGCTGATGACAAACCACTACCAATCACTCAAAAAGTCCAGTTACATGAGGTGCCAACTCTTCACAGAGATGGATCAGAATCCTCAGAGCAATCGCACTCTTCTGAGAACGCGGAATTACCAACTCTGCAACCTGCAGTTAGTGTCACCAGTACAAAGAACAAAGAACCTGGATCACTAGCGACACAAACTGATATACCAGGGAATGAAGCTGGAAGCTCACCTTTTACTGAGACTGTACATGAATTAGATGGCGATGACTCTCTAGATATCAGTGCCAATTCTGAATCAATTGTAAATATATCCCTGAAAAGTGAGCCATCTGCATTAAATACTGACACAAGCCAACATTTAGATCAAATCGATACATCTGCTGATATTAGTCAAGCCACAGTAATAACAGCACCTCAACCCCCCATGGCATCTAGTGTTCCACCACGTATATTGACATTTGCCGATGTGAAAAGACCGGAAAAACCAAATGCACCAATTAAGTTTACTGATAGTGCATTTGGATTCCCATTACCAGAACTTACAAACTCTACTGTTATCATGTTCGATCATCGCCTAGGAATTAATGTCGAACGTGCTATTTATCGTTTAAGTCATTTGAAACTGAGTGATTCAAAAAGAGAATTACGCCAACAAGTACTCCTGAGCAATTTCATGTATTCATACCTGAATTTAGTGAATCACACACTATATATGGAACAATCTGCTGTCAATACTACGGGCGACTTTGATAATTACAATAGTGACGAAAACGACATCGAAGTAGATGATGAAAATAATCAATTTTCTGATAATAATATGAATCACTATAAGGACATAGGCGTAGGGGGGAATATGACTGATTCTACAGGTTCTGCTCAAAATGAAGGACTAATATACGATGGACAATCAAATAATGGTTCTAACGTGGAGTACACCACCGAACATAACAACTCTAATGGTACAATCCTTATACCCGAAATATAAGTAGATAGAATACATAAGACATTTAAGTATGAACCATTACATAATATACCAAACGTTTTCGATAAAGTCTGTTACTAAATTTTATGAATATATCTATGTTCATGATATTAAGTTACTTTATTGATAGTTCGTATACAACTGAGTTATCTAAGAAGATCTCGCAGCGTCAATTTTGATAGTGATGCTCATCGCGTTGCTTTCAAAATTTTCAAGCTTCTCACAATAGAAGTTTGTTTAAGTTGTTTTAGATGAGTAAAATAAAGTTAACGTCCTTTTTAATCAAATACATGTATGATAACTGACTATTATATTGTTAAACCAATTTATTTTGTTTTTAAACCTTCCAGTTGTATCACGAAGAAACCTAAACTTTAACATATTTAAGTATCAAAAATGAGCGAGAACTTCTACCGGATGATGATCCTTTTAGAGGAAGAATTAGAAGTCCCAATTGAAAACCTCAGTGAATCTAAATCTGAGAAGACTGAAGAAAATAAAGAGGATGCAAAGAAATCACACGAATTTATTGACGAACTCATACTACCCTTCAAAGTTGATGAATTAGACACTCTTAATACTTGGTTTGACAAATTTGATGAGGAAATATGTATACCAAATGAAGGACATATAAAGTATGAAATTACAAGTGATGGTCTGATCGTACTAATTTTAGATAAGGATATGGAGAGTGTTATAGCCAAAGTTAGAACATTCGTCGAAGTTAACAAATGAAGTGCTTGTAACATAATATTTAATGTATGTTCTTCTAGGCCTAATTATACTTACCTTATGACGAAGACCTCAATATAAGATTCAAAATCTTTTTTTTTAAACTAAGACCAAACAACGGTTCATTGCAAATGAAACCAAATGCATTTTAAAACAATTATACTGTTGGTGTCCTGTAGAGTCAACAGAAAAGAGCTTTACTTGATACATCTACAAATTTAAGAGGTAGGACGTTAATGTATTTCTAAAAATATTTTTTAATTTCATATATAGATATAATATATCAATTCATTAATAAAGATAAACGGAGAAAAGTTACTCATCTAGATATGACTCCCACAAATATAGAAGGGTAAAATAATCAAGCTAGTTTGCATGCCGTTTTATGCCATAAGGATTCTTCTTACTCATTTCATATAACAAGTTATTATGTTATGGCACCATTTTTTTTACCACTACGTAGGTCGTCGCTCGCTCCAGCAAGAAATTGTAGATAAATAATAGGAACATTCAATTATTTGAATCAAAGGATTACAATCAGATAAGTTTATTTCCTCATCGAAGAAATTTATTAACATAGCTTATCAGATTGGTATTTATTAAATAAATTACCAACTTTGGTTAATAACAAGGAAACTGAGCCTTAAATTAGCCTCTTAAATATTTATATTATTTGAAATGAGATGAGTGCCCCTAAATGGCTTTCCTTTCTTTCACATACAATATTGATAGGACTTATATTAAAATCAATAAATAAATCCTTTATATTTGGAATATTTTTGTCAGGGATAGGATTGTTATATCTAATAATTTCGGAAAGAAAGACAACCGTTCAAAGACCTAAACCAAAATTGTTAAATATACAACCTGGTAAACCTCATAAGATTGATATTTCATCCCTCAATGAACCACTTTTCCCTCAATCTAAAAGAATTTCAGAAGAACTCGATCAAATAGTGAAATTAGTAACAAACGATTTTATTCTATCTTGGTTTCAAAGGATAGATAATAATTTAGAGTCTGAATTCCCAGATAACATCAGATTAATCCTGCGAAACATAATCCTTAAACTGCAAAACAATTTTATGCATAATGATATGACGTCAATAGTTGCATTTAAATTAATCCCATTGATTACAAAACATATAAATGCCTATTGTTCAGCGAGAGCCACCGTTTTGTCCTCCAATCGAAATCGTTCCAGCAACAGTGATAACTTTAATTTACGAACAGCAATTGAATTCAACAACATATACAGGTTACATAAAGCTATTTCATTAAAGCCTGATCATTTAGATACGGATATTGAATCTTATATGGAAAATAAAGCTGAGAAACTTACTAAGGTACTATTAAATAAAAAAGAATTGCGTTCCAATATAGTGATCATTTTATGCAGAGAAATTCTGTCCAAAAATATATTGTTGCCTTTAATTGTCAAATTCTATGACCCTGATAAATTGAATTGCCTAATTATATCGATCTCCAAGAAAATTATCAATGAAAGAAACCAAATCCAAGAGGTTAAATCCATTCTAACGAGAGAATTGCAGGATAAAAATACCAACAATCAAAATTTTACCAATATGAAGGATCTCTTAGGGTTTAACTTTACCCTAAGAGATGACATAACAACAGAAGAATTTGAGAGTTATCTTCGAGGTTTAAGTGGCATTGTATCTATCTCAGATTTAAAAACAGGCAAATTCTTATTGACGACTACCCTTCTAAAAGTAGATGAAAATAAGAGTCTCAACAACAAAAAGAAAAATGCATACAAAAACAAAATATCTCTATCCTTAGGGCTGATTGAGAACAGATTGAGAACATTGAGTCAGAATTCTATTGAGATGAACCGTATGAAAAACAAATCCCAACAGGAGATTACCCCAAGTAATGACGTTTTGAACAAAGATAATGTTGTTCTGGGATTTGAAAATATTATTCAAAAGATAACGTTTGAATCTATTATAAATGATGAATTGTGCCTGTCATATTTTGAGGAATTCCTTAAAATAGCTTACAATACACGTGGACTTGTATTACTCAATTATTGGAAATCAGTGGAATCGTATAAAAACCCATTAGAGGATGCTGGACGAGAGGATATCCTGCTCGAAGTATCTCAACTTGATATCAATAATATTAAACTGATTGCTAAAGAATATCTTGAAGGCGAACAATTAGACTCTCTCAAATCTCTTGATGAGGGTCTAGTCTCAAATATTAACCTGTTTACAATGAATGACCTAGACGTATTGGGTAAAAATGGATATTTGCTAGCGAGGAAGAGTATGTTACTACTTCAATCTGCTGCCGAAAATATATTGGAAAATGAGTATCTGAAGAATTTCAAGAAATCATCTATCTTTTTGAAAATGATTTCATCACCTGAATTTATTAATACCGATACATACTCTAAATATTTTGTACCCAAAATAGAGAACAACGCAAAACATTCTATTGTGCCTGTTAATAAGAAAATAGCGGCCAGTGCTGTCGATGTTTTATCTGATTCTGGTTTAAATGATGCCATTGAAGACATTATCCGAAGTGAAGATATTACAACTATACAACACGAAACTTCGAACAAAAATAACAATAGTATACTAAATTCTTCATTGAATAGAAGAGACGGATTAGATTCTGATATGAATATGCAGGATATGATGTTTAAGGACGATTTATTCTCTTTCAATACAAGTCCTGCAAAAGGATCACAAACCCTCCCAAAATCTAACGAGATGAATGATGGTCAGTCGAACATCGATGACGCAGAACATGAAAATAATTCTAATAGTAGAAATAAAATAATTTACTCTGAACCGTCTGATTTAAAATCAAAAATTGGAGATTTAACATTGGAAACAAATCAATTACAACAAGAACTTGATTTACTAAATCATTTAATTCTGAAGGCTAAATTGACTAATAATAAGAGTCAATTGAATATTCTGATTTCTTCACAAAAGGCGCTCACTAAAGAGAAAAAGATCAAAGAATTGCTCAAACAACAATACATGGTTGAAGAAAATACTACAAGCTTGTATCAAAAAACAAGAGTTGCTATCAGGTCATATATATTGGATTATGAGATGTCAAATCTGAAGGAGGTTGCCTACTATATCATTAATGTGGTTCATTCCAACGGGGAAACCGCAACATCGTGGGAAATCCCAAGAAGATATACCGAGTTTACTAAGTTGAACTCATATTTAAAGAAGAAATACAAACCAGCAATGAAAAATATAATAAAAAAAGAAATATTTCCTACAAAAATGGCAATGTCCTTGAAATATCAAATGTCCCAAACTTTATTATTTGAAAAAAGACGTAAACAGTTTCAATTATATTTAACAGAATTATTACAACTCCAAGAAATCTGCCGAGATAATCTTTTTCGTAAATTCTTAACAACTACCAAACCTTTCTCTGTAAGTAATGACACAGACACACCAAGTACACATCCCCGAAAAATAATGAACTCGAATAGTCTCGAGATCGCAACTAAATCTAATAATAACAATGGCAGTGAAGATACGGGGGAAAATATTGGCCATGGATCAGAATGTTCATCTTCCTCAAATTCTCTATCTCCGACACCCAAGGTTGAATCGGTATCAATAATAAATAACAATGATTTGAACGACCTACAGGAGGATAAATTAACAATGAGCACTCTATCTGAGCAAAATTCATCCCATAATTATATTCTGCAAGATACATCAACTTTAAATAAAATGTCGTTTATCAAACCTATTTGCGATCTATTTATTGCTATATTTTCATCTTATCCTTCAGAAAATATTAATTCGGGTACTGGTAGAGATTATTGGCTGAGGGGTGGCGCTATTATAATGCTTTTGCAACAGTTATTTGGTAGCACCATTGAAAAATACATTAGAGATACTATCGCAAAAGTTTCTTCAGAGCCTAAATTATATGATATATTATTCCAATCTAGAATTAGACTATGGGGTGTGGGTGGATATTTTGAGATAAGACAAAAGACCAAGTTGAATCCACCTCCAGTTCGAAGTGAAGTAGAAAAGAAAAGAGCATACAATGATTCCCAACTGTTGTTTCAAGCGTTGTTAGTAGAACTTTCCGGTAAAGTCGTCGGGTTACATCATGCAAGAGAAGCTGCTGCTAAGATACATGACATAGTACAAAATCCCTATATGAATGCATCAATTCTTCTTGAAATTTTCGATTTATTGCTGGACGATATCGTATTTGAAGAGAATCCTCTAAAAATATAGAAAGAATTAAATATATAGACAAACATACCTTTTATTAAAAATTTATCATTAAATTTAGATATTCGTAATTTTCTACTATAGTTATTATGTATATATATCATTGTCAGAAGTCGAAAAGTCTTTTGTCATATCATTTAGCTGGTAAGTCGTATTAACTTAATATTTATTGCTTGTCGTTTCATTTTCCTTAGCGACGAACAACAAAAAACTCAAAAAAAAAAATGAAAAATAAAGACAACTCAACTCAGCTAAGTTGAATTAGAAAATGTAGCACGACTAAGAGAAAGAAATTCAACCTTCAAATTATCTATCTATTAAAGATTAGGGAAAAGGTAATATATTAATATATAACATATCGTAGACCCACGACACGAAAATGCCTAAACTAGAAGAGATTGAGGATTATGAAGATATCGACAACCTGGATATGGATCTAGCGGAAGTAGATCCTTCATTAAGCACGCCGATTGCACCAAAGATTACACCTTCAGTAGTTAGAAGCCAGGACATCGAAGAAAAGGCTCTTCAAGATCAGTGGAAGTCAATGACCGGCAATAATCAGAATAATACTTCTAATAACAAAAACCAAATCAATTTTATAAATCCAAAGACTGGTCAAGTTGAACGTTCTGCCGGTATGAGTAAACAAGATTTACAAGAAATTAAAAAATTCCAAATTCTATACCCATGTTATTTTGATAAGAATAGATCCCATAAAGAAGGTAGACGAGTTCCAAAAGAATTAGGCGTCGAAAATCCTCTAGCAAAGACAATGGCAGACGCGGTTCGTTCCTTAGGTTTAATATGTATCTTTGAAGGTGAAAAATGTCATCCTCAAGATTATGGTAATCCAGGTAGAATCCGTATTTTAATTAAGGAAGATGGGGAATTAGCCCCCAATGCTAAAAATTATAAAGGTGGTAAGAGACAGGTGATGAGAGAGATTGCACAATATTTACAACAACATCCTACCACCATCGCAGGCTTAAGGGAAATTCCATATGGTCCTGAATTTGATGGTGTTGAATTCAAAGAGATTCCAAAGGTAAGAGGCTTCCAAATGAATAGCATTGTACCACTACATAGTCCATTCTTAATGGGTCATCCAATGACAAAGAGCATATATGACGCGCCACCACCCAGTGCAGCCATAACTAATCCTGAAAAACCTATGAAAATGCCAAAAAATAAGTATAAGGTTATTAGAAGGTAATTTTCCATTATTTTACACGTGAACGTATACTATGTACTTATTTTAGTCAAATGAATGTAATATATAAAAAGTTATAAACGAACCAGTGTTTTTTTTAATACTAAAATCAGTCATGCTACAATATGTATTTTCATAAAATATCTACTTGAAAATGTATTTGAAGAATAATTGAAGTATTCTAAATGACGTTCGTATCTTCATAACATCCAATGGGGGCATAGCTATAAATAAATCCCGGTAGAGGAAAGTATTAATGTTAGAAAACCATAATAATAAGGGTACACAATTTAATAAATGATATATCTTATTGTTATTCTTCCTTTTTCATTATCTTGAAGTTACCATTAGAAATATTCTAATTAAATGCATGTATAACTGATTATATATTTATTTGCTTCTTTTAAATTTCTATTTATGTATGCGGTTGGAATACTAATCTTTTTTTCTTTTTAAATAGTATCATATGAATTTAGGAGGAAAGAGATAAGGGAATAAAGAAAAGTTCTAATTCAAAAATAGCTGAATGTATGCTTGTAAAATATATACATATATATAGAACAATTCTTTAAGCACCATAGACTCTTAAATATTCTTCAATCTTATTCTTTTCATCAGCACCCATCCTACTCTCTAGATAACTAATGACATGAGATAGAGAAACAATATTCAGAACTGGAATATTGTATTTCTTACTAACGGTGGCTGTAGCACTCAATTTATCTTTATCTTCCAAATTAACGACTTCTTGTCTATCTAAAGCAATGATAGTACCAACAACTTGACCACCAGCAGTACCAATGATTTCAAAAGCTTCATTAATGGCAGTACCAGCTGTCATAACATCGTCGATGATCAAGATTCTCTTATCCTCTAGACTAGCACCAACAATGTTACCACCTTCACCATGATCCTTAGCCTCCTTTCTGTTGAAAGCATATTGAACATCTTGGAATTTAGATCCACCAATCTCTGCTAATTTGACACAAACAATGGAAGCTAATGGGATACCTTTGTAAGCAGGACCAAAGATAACATCAAATTTTAGATCGGATTGAATAATGGCAATGGCATATGCGGTAGCTAGGTTAGATAACAGTTTACCCGTGTTGAATAAACCCAAATTAAAGAAATATGGAGATTGTCTACCTGACTTTAGTGTAAAACTACCAAATCTCAAGGCCTCACATTCAATGGCTAATTCTAAAAAGTTTTTTTGGTAATCTTCTAATACGGCTGGCATGGTTTATTATTTTATGTTGTATAAGCAAAAGAAAAAGGAACGATTATATGGATGTAATAAATCACAATCTATATATATATTTTTATTTTTATTTTCTTGAAATTAAAATTATTAGAGAAATAGGATAACAAATAGTAACAACTTCAATAACAGGAACTTAAGGAAAGTGAAACAGAAAATATATATCTAATGATCGAGGCTGAGATGAAATGGAATCGTTAATTTAAAATTAAAAGAAAAGATTGAGGTTCAAATGTTAATTAAGTAATGAAAACAAAAAAGTTTTAGATTATCCCTTATTCTAAGTAAAAAATTCCAAATAAACGATTTAATGAAAAGATAAATATATTTTATATAATTCTCAAATGAAAAAATAAAATGTTCTTAAAGAAGATAGAGGATATGTCAAAGAACGATCACAAACTTTGATTCTGATGAGAGAGAGAGAGAGAGATAGGTTAACGAACGTAATTAGAAAATCGATTAATCCTCGATAGTACGTCTGACCTCATTCATTCGTTCACCTCCGATTAGTTACTCCCAGAAACCATTAAGAATTTCATCCTGCTTTTGAAAAAAAGAATTCACCTTTGCTCTTCCAACTGGTGAACAGAGAGAGAAATAGCAAAAGGATTTCGGTATTGACCGATTGAGAGAGAACTTCTGTCTGTCTGTCTGTCCGTGACCTCCCCCCCCCCCCGGGANCCCGGGAACAGCGACAACAACAGCAGCAGGAAAATTGTCTCTCTCAAAACAGAAAAAACGAAATATTTTTTTTTTTTTCGAAAAGAAAATTCGTGCTTTGCAATTACTGAAGCAAAAATGAGATCATTTTTGTTTATTTGTTCACGTCATCTCACCTGGAATCAGGAGAGAGAGAGACCAATAATATTTTCTATCCAGTCCTAAGAAATATGTACAGCACGATATTCATGCTTTCCCCCTCCCAATGCAATGCAATAGTGAAATAGTTAGCTAGAGTCAATTAACTCTTAATATTTAACAATGCGTTGAATTAGATCAAATCGAATTCGTACACTCTTTTAATCAGGTATATTAATGGTACAAATATATATTTATATATAGATGATATAATTTTATTTATGTAGAATTCACAACACTTCAAATAGGGACCTTTGTAGTTCTTTGATACTCGAATTGAGATGAGAGACAAACCCTGATCTCTTGGTTTCGTCATCTAACGTATGTTGTTCTTCTTGTGTTGATGCAACGATTCTTGAATTTAAATACTTTGGATGAGTTAATAATTTGTTTAAAGTCATATTTAATGCTTTTTTCTCCTCCATCGAATCCAAACCAATCATTAGATGAGCAATTTGACCATTTGGATCGTCATTAACATTATTAAATTTCTTGTCTTCGATATTTGGAATATTAGAATTTAATAAGTAACCTTGATAATTTAGTTTCTCTAACATTCTTTGTAACAGGATTAATTGTGTAGTCTCTCTAATTAATGCGGTAGACACAACTAAATTACTGTCAGACCAGGAAAAGATAGTAGATTGAATTTGTTTATGAAAATAAGATGCAAATAAACATGTCTCTGGTAAGATATTACTACCAAACTCACTGACTAACAAAAGCATGATACTTAGTAATCCATTACTCCATATATTATGTAATCTAGGTTGAGTTTCTGGTTTTATATTACCTTCTTGTAAGATCACTGATAAGGAACTCTCTAATAGGACGGCAAACAGACCATTTGTAATGAATTTACTAGATATTTCCTTCACCGAACATAATTCAGAGACTAACGTTAGAATTAAATTGCCTAATAAAGGTTCGCCATTTAATCTAATGGATGGGAAACTGGAATATAAATTCAAAATCACTTTAATAGTACCAACATCATTTAATGATGACGCTAATATCTCGTTGAAAGAGCCTGGTGGGTTTAATTGTTTAATTTTGTTAAATAAGGATAACAATAAAAATATGTCTTGAATCTTTTCATCCATATCGCAAATAATAGTTGACTCCAAATTTGTCGTGGCATTAGTCATATCAGCCAATATATTAGATAATATTAAGTAGACACCCTTTGAGAAACTCCATTCAAAGAATTCTAGAATGGAATCAGAAGCAACGTCCACAAACTGCTCATTATTTTGAACTAGTTCAAAAATAATTAGCACTGAACGTAATATTGGTCTGTATAATTCTCTATTGATAGATGATGCTACATTCTTCAAATAATTGATGGAATTAGATTTGAAGATAATAATTAATTCAGATAAAATTTTTATTAATTTCTTCTCAGGGATCATTTTTTTGTTCTTGCGGAAGGAATATAATATATAGAAGCATAATTCTATTCTTTCTTGAAATACGTCTGCCAATAAGCCACTGGCCATCTTTCCATCAATATTAGTTTGTAAAAAGTAACAAATAATGTCAATATAAGTGTCCTTCAACTGAACAGTAGAACCTTTGATATAGGAAGTCAACAAAGCTCCCCATGCCTTGGCTGCAGCTATCTGATGATTGACGTATTGTAATCTTAAAGAAACATTCTTAATATCCTGAATCAGAGATATCTTTTCTGTTAGTTCAACTGCATCTGTCTTCCCAATAAATAGTGTAGAAATTAAATCTAAATTAAACATATCACAATTGTGATGACTTTGTGGTTTGATCAGAGGTTCTAATCTAAATCTGCTCAACGACAGGTTTGTAAATTTCTTATCAAAACGTTGATTAATATTTTCGAGGAAATCAATATATTCGTTTTGAATTTCAAAATATGGTTTAATAATAGAAAACAAATCATCTGAGCCTAAAAGTTGATGGATAGATGAAGAAGATGTATTATCTGAACTGTATACGTACAACGCAAATATTTCGGCTATACGAGAGGCAAGCCTAAATTTATTTGAGACCTCCAAAATCTTATCATTAGTCATATCATCAACGGTAGCATCAGAAGGTTTGAACTGTTTGAAAATTTTCATCAAAGTGTCTATGAATGCACCATCGTTCTTAATATTCTTCTTATGAACCCATGAATTGAATGCAAAGGCAATAGCATCCAACAAAGCACAAGAAACATAATCTGGAAGTAGATTCAATTTTAAGGCGTTATTTTGTAAAACCGTTAGGATCGACTTATTTGGGCGATTATTCTTGTCAGTTTGCTCTTTTCTATCTATGTTACTACTTGTTGCAATATCACCAGTTAAAAATAATATCGAGAGACCATGTTGTTTACTTTCAAGTAATGCACCCAAAAATTCATAAATGTCATTTGATAATTTAAAGTCATCCAATGGATTTTCTAGATCTGCCTCAATAACATGAACAAATATCTTGGCATGGGTTTCCCCTAAATATGATAATACGAGTGGATTTTCATCTATCCAAGAAATGGAGACAATGGTATTTAATAAATTAATAATAGGTCTCTTTAGAGATCTCGAAAGACAATAAATATCAATTAATTGTGAGGAGTTCGTGAATATCAATTGTTCTAATGAGCTCATTCTCATGTGTACTGAATTTCTCAACGATACTAATAAAATTGAAAGATCAAATGAAGTCATAACTAATTCATTGTATATTGGTCCAAAAACAAGATTTCCTAAAGCATATACTTGCTTATCCGTATAAGAAGTTAATATTTTAATTAAACTGCTAGCACAATTAGATTCAGATGATTGTACACCCAAGAATCCATTAAGTAACAATTTACCAGATTTTGCTAACACATGTGTAACCTTCTTCTCTGGGGGAGTCTGAGAATCAATGCTGTAAATATTGAATAAAACATTCATAAATAATTTTGTTAATTGGGATCCCAACTCAAATCTTTCATAAATATTTTCAAATTTCCAAAAATGATAACTTTCGTAGATGTTCAAAAAATATGTAATCAACTTGTTTAATATATCCTCTTTTGTTTTCGACGACATATTCGTACCTAATAATAATGATTCCTCTACCAATAGATTAGCTAGTTTACTTAGAGAAATGGTGAATTTATAGGCTCCATTTGATAATTCGAGTATACCCAAAATAGTACTGGCAAGTCCAGTCTTTCCGTACCTATCCAACAGATCTGAACGTGCTAGATATTTCCAGACATACTGAGGATAATTTGGAACTAATGTATTTGCAAAATCACAGCATACGCAAGCCATATTGTAATCTCTATTCCTAATAGCTGCTTCAAATACTTTAAAAACAAGTAAAATAATACTTTCGTCGTCTATATTACGAGACGTATCGGTTAAGATAACTGATGACTGGTTGATAGGAACTCCCGGAGATACAACGCTTGAAAGCAATTCTATAATTGAGACAATCATGTCATAATACTTATCATTCATTTGATCACTTTTTTGAGTGTATACTTCGCACAATTTCTGAAAAGCATATCCGATTGTTGACCAACCATTGTAATCGTAAAGGAATACTAGGATGCTATCTTCTGCTGTCGATCCAGTTTGTAATATCTTTGCTCTTGTATCTTTTGGAATAGGCATTAGTATATTTTTATCTGTTTCTAACGGAGGTTGTATCATGATATCCTTACTTAATCTAATCATTTCAGTGGTGTTTGGGACATTATTTGGAGTATTTAATTTATTATTTTCCTCATCCATTGATTCTTCATCTACGATATCGTATTCAATCTTACTTAGATTTAGGTTGCTGGCATATGTGTTTAATCTATGCAGATGGAAATTGGCAAATTCAATATTTGATGAACAAATATTTATTAATGGGATTAACGCATCATCAACCAATGGTAACTTAGCTAGAATGACAGATAATTTTCTATCAAATATTTCGCTAGTTAAGAATTTTTCAACGAACTCTCGTGGAGTATTTAATAATATTCTTTTAATGACGTTTGACACCTCAACAGTAATAGGAATAAAATTCAATTGGAAAGTTAGAAATGATGACATAATTGTTGGATATAGATAATCTGTCGCCAGAGAGTCAGTCAACTTTATCATATCTGCTAGGACATTGCATGATTCTGCTCGTTGTGCATATAATGTCGATAAATCTTCAATAGATATATCTATTTGGCTCAATTTTAAGAATTGGTCTAAGAAAATGGCATTTTTGGTGGTATCTTCTTCAATCAAATATGTTTTAGTATAAAGAACAAATGACCACATGTAGGATAAAATAGAATCTGTTGCTAAATCATCAACCATAAGTTGTACTTGGGTAAAACATACAGGATCATTGAAATATGGCGTATCGATATTAATAGAAGATATTGTGGTATCCAAACCTAATATAAGTAGAGAGTTAATGGTGACCAACGATTCAACTTTTGTTATTATATTCATTGGTATGTTAATAATGATGGATGACAAGTTATTTTTTAAAAATGCGACCATGTCGATTGAAACTGTGAACCAACTTTTCACTATTTCCACTGGAACCATGGTGTTAAGTACTAGATTCGATAATAGCTTTAAAATATTCGTTAGATATATTAAATCATAGGAATTTTTCATTTTTAATAGATCAGCAAATTCAGCATTTGATAATTTAAATTCAGAAGAATTAGTAGAAATATCATCATTTACATTAAATGTGGTCAATACAAATTCAATAGATCTAATAAGATTTTTTGCAATTGTAATTTTTGTTTCACTGTCTGTTAGTTTATCAAAATATTTGTTTTCAAGGATAGGCAAATCGTTATCATTGAAAAGTAAAGAAACCACATTAATGGTAGAATTTCTTTCCTTCAATACACATTCTGTCAATGTTTCCAAAGACGCACTATTATTATAATCCCAAGAATCTGTCATTTGAGATAATACTCTAATGGATTCTGAATAATTTAAATTAAACAGTTTTGAAATATGGAATGCTGTTTCATTATTTTCTCTACATGTCTTGTAAGTAATACCCCTCAGGTTCAATTGTTCTTTAGTGCCTTTATTTGTCAATTCTGATTCGATTGTATTGAATTTTTGAGAATCCAAAAGTAATTCAAAATTTTTATCTATAAATTGATCAATCGTAGTGAAACCATATGTCGAGGTACCTTCCGTACCTTCTTTCACGTATGCTCTTATAAAATTTTCGACGTTAACAAACGACGTTAGGACATCATCCTTTTTATGATTTGTTATTGTAGTCATTGATAAATGAATGTTTTTATCCGAGATTAAGTAGGATGTAGTTTGATTTCAGAAAAGAGAACAACACTAATATGATTCTTTCACTACAATAACGAAAGATGAAGTTCAGACTTTCTTTAGTGTTTCTCAATCAATAAAAGGAGAGATACTTCAATTGGAAATGCTACACTTGATAGTTAGGATAATCCTTCTATTATGTGATGAAATCTACTAATTAACTATTGTTGAATTTTTTATATCAGTGTTAACCTAAGCTTTAATTTTTATTTTTATTTTTTACTTGTTATTTCTGTATTTTTCAAGTAAAGGCATCATCGTTAAGAAACTCGAGCGAAAATCAAAAAAAAAATAGAATAAAATAACAAGAGGGTAAATAAAGAAAAAATTCCAACTAAATGGACTTACTTCACTACTATATCTACATACACGTAAATTACTTTCCTAGAAGTGTATCATCATGTACATAGGCATTATAAAAAGAGACTATAAACATAGGAGATGGAAAAGAACAGAACAGATCAAACAATAAAACTCAAATTATTTATTTAATTAGTTCAGAAATGATTTACACAGATAACATAGAAAGTCGTTATCCATACGATTTAAAAGAAAATCGGAGAAAATCTGTTCTTCAATGGTTTTTATTAGCACAAATACGGCTCCAATGAGTATCTGATTGAATTCATTGGGAATTTGACTAGTGTGCTGGATGTTAGTGTAGTAACCAAATAGGGATTAATTACTCTGGTAACCTAATTATCTGGGTCTATTCTCATCATCTGATAGAGAAAAATAAAAACTTTACAGATTTTAGGAAAATTATAGCAATGATATCAACATGTATCAGCAATTTACTTGGTATACAGTAATTCTTGATACACCTAACAAATAGAAAAGAAGTAATAAATAAAAATAAAAATGTGATGAAAGAATTATATATAATTATTCAATATTTATTCTCTTGCTTCTCATTTCTTATTTATATACTTTTTTTTTTTGACACGACGACAACGCGAAATTAGGAACCAATCGATCGATGAGGGCAAGAAATATGTTCAAATTTCAAGTTTTCTGTAGATATTTAAATGTTGTGTCATATATATATGACTTATTTTGGCTGTATATTAGGGAACACTATACTACAGTTGCAGGTTTTGTGGCAGAAACAAAAGTTCATTAGCATAAATATGGAGAGGGGAAGTAGACATCTTTTTTAATTACTGAATAACTTATCTCGATGTTTCTAAAAAAGTAGCTTGAAGTAGAGTAAATATCATATAAGAACGTTATTTAAGGATTACTGACATAAAGGAAACCATCCAATTATTAAGTAATCTCCTCCCGTTCTATACGTATACAATGAGAGATGGTTGAAATTTCCTCAGTTAATTTCAGTTCTTTCTCCTTTTTGTCATAACATAGAACTTCGTATTGCGCGACTCGCTAACTACGAAACACGAAAATGAAAATGTTGAAAGAAAAATACCAATTACGATGAGATCATATCGGTTAATACAATTCTTATTACCTGTGTAGATTAATTAAGTCATATGTTATAATAATATTAGTATTAATATTATTGTACAGAATCATATTTTGTCAACTAGATTAATATAAAAGGACAAAGTTGGGTACAATTAACTGTTTAGGTAAAAAAAAATGGAATCATCAAATTTACAAATATACTGGCACGAATCTCAACCTGTCTATAGTTTATGTTTCCAAGAATCAACTAATAAATTTAAATTATTTACTGCTGGTGGTGATAACAAGATTAGAGCATGGCATTTGAATACCAAAGAAAGTGACACCAATTCGAATTGCGTTAAAATAGACACTATCGACTTTCTGTCGTCATTACAACAACATGAACAGGCAGTTAATGTAGTAAGATTTAATAATTGTAAACCTATCAATATTCTAGCATCAGCTGGCGATGATGGTCAAGTTCTCTTATGGAAACAAAACGATACAATTGTAAAAGAATTCGGCATGGATGAGGCGGAAGCAAGTGAATTAAAAGAATCATGGTATGTCTACAGGAGATTAAGATATTCATCAAATTCCGAAATATATGATCTTTGTTGGTCTCCGGATGATAAATACATTGTTGTTGGATGTATGGATAATTGTATTCGTATATTTGATGTTACTACTGAGAAATGTATTATAAATTTGAAAGAACATAATCATTATGTTCAAGGTGTATCGTGGGATCCAATGAATCAATATATCTTTTCACAATCAGCCGATAGATCAGTCCACATCTATAAAATCATATTTGATCAGGAAAATAATACTATCGAAAGTTTAAAATTGAAAAATAGGATTGTTAAAGGTGATTTACCATTAAGAGGTATTAATGATAAAAATATTAATTTTGATTCCGTTAAGAATTCTTATTTATTTTATAATGAAACTTTACCTTCTTTTTTTAGAAGATTAACTACATCTCCATGTGGCAGTTTATTATGTGTTCCGGCCGGGATATATAAGACTGAAGATAAGACTATTAGTGATACAAATGAGAGTACAATCAACTCTGAGAATTGTAATGCAGTATACATATATACACGAGGTTCATTCTGTCAGGACAAAATGAATAATAGACCAGTGATGTCTATACCACTATTAAAAAAACCTGCTATTGTAATTTCTTTTAATCCAAATTTTTATAAAAGGACATCCACAAATTCAAAATTTATTGACCTTCCATATAAACTAATATTTGCCATTGCAACATCAAACGAATTATTGATATTTGATACAGAAAATAACGTACCAATTTCTGTCATTGGTAATATGCATTATACTCCATTGACAGATTTGAAATGGAGTGATGATGGTACGTTATTGATGGTATCTTCTACGGATGGGTTCTGTTCTTATGTCTCTGTAGATTCATCTTTATTTGGGGAAAAAATTGATAATGATTCCAAATTGAAATTAATAGAACAAGTGAATAAATCATCACCTCTGCTTTCACCACCTCAGGCAGATATACCTACTACAACAGATCACATTAAAGGAACTGAATCGAATAGTAATATTCCGGAACAGCCTTTAAAGAAAGCATTCAACATAGTGAACATTTTACCTGTCAAAAGAAAGCTTCCATACAAAGACGAAAGTGTAGATATGACCCAAGATAATAAGAAGATCAGTACTGAAAATAGGACACCTATTAATCCCATATCATTAAATACATTACCAGAGAAGGTGAAAAAAAGAATACAACCAACTTTGTTAAAACCCTTAAAGAATGAAAAGAATGAATCTTAATGATACTACATTAAATATATATCTCTATCTATCTGTATATATTATCAATGTGTATTGGTTAATGACAGATACATGACTATGAACAATTTGACTTTAATTTATGGTTTTGTTTTTTATAACTATAGAATATGCGAAGTATGTAAATGATTCCCTATATTTCAATTTATTCCTCTAATTCAATATCTTCTTCATCTGAAATTGAATAATCTTCATTTTGTTCAGTTTTCTGTTCGTTAACAATTTCAGATTTTTCAGTATGTTTTTCTGGTGGGAAAGGTAATTTTTGACCAGCTAAATATGCCTCAATTGTACCCTCAATTGTACCAGTCTTTTCTAGACTGTATCTAATTTGGTCTACATGTAATGATGGTGCCATGGTTTGTACTATCTCTATCATATCAGGTGTAACGTTTCTTTTGGCTGTCCTTACTGCATTTAATATTGGATCATCTTCACCGGTACCGTCCATAGATTGATCCATAGTTTCATCATCTAAGTCATCAGAGGTCTCAGTTGAAGATCCCTTACCAGCATCCAATTTCGAAGGGTTTTCATGAATTTTTCTATTTATTGAATTTTGCCTCTTGACATAAACAAATCCAAGCAAGGCAAGTAACAAAAAACAGAGAGTTGATGAATCCATTGCTATATCTGATTAGAAAATAAATCCTATTCAAATTTTAAAAATCAAAAAAAAAAAACAGAATCAGAGAGAATATAAATAAGATAAACTATTTGTTTTCTCTACTGTCTTGATATGGAGTTCAAAAGTAAATATTTGGTGGGGTGTGTTTCATTATTTATCATTGAAAGCAACTAATTATCTTTTAAGATCGAAACTTTTATCAATGACGCGCAAATGTAACCAAACGCGCATAACTCATTAAAAGTGGTTATGCATATTCATAATAAGGTGCAATAAACTGAGATATTAATCAGATATTTCTCTTGTTCTATAAGATGGTAGCAATTAAGATATCAGAAGGTGAGAATACTTTCTATTTTATAGATATATTCTAAAAAATTGGCTCTTTTTATTGATGTCCGTTGTTCATGTAGAATCTTCGGATAAACTCTCCTTTTATTATCTAACCCCTTACAAAATAAAGTAAAGTAAGGAATAATAAATAGTAATGTGAATGGAATAATTATGTCTTCTACAAACAAGCTATTTGTACTAAATGTGGCTTTATTGTCTTGAATCAAAGCTAAAGTTTTTCGACTTATGATATTCAGTATTGTGAAGTTTGGTCTAAACCTGGTCTTCCTCATCGCAGATGTCGCATTTGATCATACATAAATATTTATAGATATATACGGTTTTATTTATAAGTTTTCTTTTTTCAATACCACCAAAACCTAGATAAATTTCTCTTTGGCTCAGTTACTATTAACAACATACTTCAAGGGAACAGATTGCATTATTTTAATAACAATAAAAATAAAAATAAATTGAAATTATTATTGTTTTTAATACATGATTCTTAAAGGAACGAATTTTTCAATATTCGGAAAAAAAGGAAAAGGAAAAGGAAAAATTTAGTGGAAATAGGGTTTTCCTGGGTTAATAGATTTGATTATTTAAGGAGTTGAAACGGTAATCCACTATTTTTGTCTTCTAAAAAAGTGGAAAATTTTATTCAATTTCTTATTGAAATAAACTAGCCAATTACTTTCAAGTGACATTTTCTCCAGGTATTCCATTGTGAAATTAATTTGTTGTGGTTTCTCGAAATTCAACTGATAATTGATAACATCTGAGAATTTATTATAGTGTTTGGATACAATGACGTTAATCGTTGCATCGTTGTTTTTACCATATGCTCCTCAATTTGAAGTGAACGCCACCAAAGATGAAGCTGCAGATTTGGCTGAGAGCAATTTGGTCAAGGTCCTACCAGAATCTGAAGCTAAATTGAGAAAGAAGCGTACTAGTTCAGTACATTCAAATACTTCTTTTAGTCCTATACAATCGGTTCCACCATCTTTGGTAGATTCAGATAATAAGGAAAGAAGAACGTCATTACCACATAGTTTTGGGTCATCTACTGCTGTTCCAACTGCAGCCTCGTCCGCAGTAGATACATCTGTAATGACTTCTGATCAATTTTTAGAAAATTTGACAGCAAATGCTACAGCTGCACCTCCAACTTCAAGTGGTACTAACCCAGGGATTGGAAGTGATGCCACAGTGAATCCTTTGGGAGTTCCAAATCGTGATTCTGATGAAGAATTTTTTGCTGCTCAAACTGGCAATGTAGATGGAAATAACGATGAATCTACGAATGATGAATTATTATCGTTCCCTACTGATAATTTAGATGATCCACTTTTAAAGTTGGCTAATAAACCAGTAGTATATTCCTCGGTAGGTACGGGTCATAGTGCAGGATCCAACTCTTCCGGTACAATTATTACTCCTAAATCTAGATCCGTTCCCGATTATGATAGTGCAGTAGTTGATGTATCAAAAATTAAAGAAAAACATCAAGAAATGTATAGTGCTTTACCTTCAATGAAAAGAACCTCTTTTTCTAATAGTCAAGCTGCGAAAAAACAAGAAATGGGTGACTTGTTACATCATTTCCCAAACGGATTACCAAAAGCAATCGAAGAATCTTATAGATCTGATGAAGATGAAGATTCTGATTTGGAAATGGATGCAAATGAGATGTATGTGGTGCCTAAGTTTGGTGGTTATTCATCATTATCCAAGGCCAAAATTAACTTAAGACATTCTCATGAGATTTTTTCCCAAATTCCTTGGAAGATTGTTCCATCCCAGAAGGGGAACGGAGCCATGAAAAACGCCGTTAGTGTTGCATCTACTGAAAAGACCATCCATGATCCAGTGATGTGGGTCGGCACAGTAGGTATTCCAACTGATGAAATTCCAATTGATATCTCCAAAAAGATTACAGATGAGTTAAAAACAAAATATAATTCTACTGCTGTTATTACTGATGATATCACATTTAAAGGTGCATACAAAAATTTCTGTAAGCAAATTTTATGGCCTACTTTACATTATATTATTCCAGATAATCCAAATTCTAAAGCATTTGAAGATCATTCTTGGAATTATTACCAACATCTAAACCAACAATTTGCTGATAAAATAGTAGAGACCTATAAAGAAGGTGATACAATTTGGGTCCAAGATTATCACTTAATGTTAGTACCTGCTATGATTAGAAAGAAATTGCCAAAGGCTAAGATTGGATTTTTCTTACATGTATCATTTCCAAGTAGTGAAGTATTTAGAGTCTTTGCACATAGAGAAGAGATTCTTGAAGGTATCATTGGTGCTAACTCAGTGGGGTTCCAGAATAAGGAGTATGCCAGACATTTTTTACAAACTGCAAATAGATTGATAATGGCTGATGTATCTCCTGAAGAGCTTAAATATAATGGGAATATTGTCTCGATCACACATACACCGGTGGGTATTGATTTTTTCACAATGAATAAAGAATTAATGAATGAAAATGTTAAAAAATGGAGACAAATGATTAGAAGGAGATGGAGTGGTAAGAAATTAATTGTTTGTAGAGACCAGTTTGATGCTATTAGAGGTATCGATAGAAAAATGCTTGCCTATGAACGTTTTTTGAATGAAAACCCTGAATATATCGACAAGATTGTGTTGATTCAAATATGTTTGAGCAAATATGAAAGTGTCGAGTTAGAGAGACAGGTGATGGTTATTGTAGATAGAATTAACTCCTTATCTTCTAATATCAGTTCATCCCAACCAGTTGTCATTTTACATCAAGAGATTGATTTCCCTCAATATCTAGCATTAAGTGCAGAAGCAGATTTATTTTTGATTTCATCGCTAAGAGAAGGTATGAATTTAACTTGTCATGAATTCGTTGTTTGTTCAGAGGATAAGAACGCGCCATTATTACTGTCCGAATTTACGGGCAGTGCATCTGTGCTTAAGGAAGGTTCTATATTGGTGAATCCCTGGGATACAGATCTGATGGCAACTTCTATCAAACGAGCACTGGATATGTCATATGATGAAAAGAGACGTAATTGGAAGAAGTTAATGAAATGTGTTATTAATAACGACTCCGATAATTGGATTGTAAAATCGCTGAGTAACATTAATTCTGCATGGGACTTCAATGAGGAAAGATCAACTGTGTTCAATCTTTCCGAATCTGCTTTATCTGATGATTACAAGAAAACAAGAAATCATCTATTTATATTTAAGATATCGGATCCACCTAACTCCAGAACGTTGGCAATGTTGACAGAACTAGGTTCCAAGAATACTGTATTCGTATTGAGTCACTTATCGAAGGCAACGGTTGAAAGTCTCTACAGTCGTGTCCTGAATATTGGCTTGGTAGTTGAAAATGGTGCCTATGTCAGAATCGATGGGTCATGGCACAATATTGTTGAACATATTGATTGGATTAAAGAAGTAGTCAAGATTTTAGATGATAAGATTGAAAGATTACCAGGTTCTTATTATAAGATTGCGGATTCTATGGTCAGATTCCACACAGAAAATGTTGAAGACAAAGATCGTATTGCCGGTGTTGTTGGTGAAGCAATCACCCACATCAATACATTATATGATAAGAAGGGTATTCATGCACATGTCTACAAGAATATCGTTTTTGTACAAGAAAGAGGTCTATCAGTTAAAGCTTTACATTTTATCTTTAAATACTACAATAACTCATCTAATGTTACAAAGAGCCCAATGAAGACTGTGGGAGGTACCGGTGAAAAACCTGGTGATATTGAATTTGCATGTATTACAGGTTCATCCTCTCCGATTATTGAGCCACTTTTCAAACAAATCAATGACAAGGTTAATTCAGGAACTCTAAGAGTTGGTTACAGTATTGTGTATGGCGAACCAACTTCTACATACGCAAAAGAGCATGTAAATGGTTTGAATGAATTATTCACTCTAATTAACGCAATCTCTAAATAATGACTTTCTTATTCAATTTATAATAATTAAACTTTTGTAATATATTTCATTACATTATTACTCTGTTTATAATCTGTACCAGTTTTCTATGAAATAGGTACAGGTCTTTTCTTTTTGTTGAAAATCTGACTTCTGGATCACTTTCTATTCTAAAGAGATTATTGCTCTAAAATATTTGAGAGAATCTGAGATAGAGTGTTTGCCTATATTAGTCTCTTCAAGCTTTACTTTATTTAATTCCGACATTTTATAATACGATAATCGATCGGTCTCTTTTATTATATATATTTTTACGTATTGTAGAATTTTTAATATTCTTTATATATTATATTAAGAGCTTCCTTTTATATCATATTCTTTAAAGGATTTTATTTCCTCAATCATGTTAAATATAGCGGCAGCACTAAAAAGGCTAACATTAGCTTAACCTAACTGAAGGTGAAGGTACCTAATATAAGTAGAATTTAGAGTGTGCTGCACTGCCGTATATATAATAACACATGATATATACTGCATAATGTAGTATTCGTTCCCCCTATATTGAGTTTATTGGAGCTACATTGTCCAACGTTACTACGCACAAAAGATGAGGTTACCCGGATATAACTATTTACATCATAGGCCTTAAATTTTATGCTTTTTCAGAAATTAATTGACTTCGTGGCCAAGCTGGTTAAGGCGTGCGACTGTTAATCGCAAGATCGTGAGTTCAATCCTCACCGAGGTCGTAATTTTTTAATTCTGGAATCAGTTTGTTTGAAGTTGGATTCTGTTTTCTTTATTTTTTGATTTTGAATTCAACAATGACTTTGAAATAAATTCAAGCTAACGTCCAACAACCAACCTCAATCCTTATTTTATTAAAGTTTCTAACAGTTTATTACAAGAGTCAATTATTTAAGAACTGTAAAGATACGATGAGTTGTCGTGGTATCACTAGTAAAATATTAACGCAAAAGAAGAAGATCCATAAATTGATTGTTTTTAATCTTCTAGAGTCTTGTCAATGTGGTATATGTCATGAATTTTTAAGTGAGCCAATGATGATCTCCTGTGGTCATAACTACTGTTATAAATGTCTAAAGAATTGGTTTATGAGCAATGCTACTAGAGAACTTAATTGCCCAAGTTGCCGAGAGCCGGTTGTTAATGAACCCTGTTTGAATCTAATAATTGAACAAACATTGAAGTCATTATTTGATATTCTAAAAGCAAGAAAAAAGAAGATTTTTAAAGAGGAGAAAGAAAGAAAAGAATTTGAAGAATTATTAAGAGAAAGATTTGACGATTCATATTACTATAAAAACGATAAAGAACAAAGCACACTATATGACAATGTATTTAAAAATAGTGCATTAGCTATTGCAGATGTTGATGATGATGGTATACCGAGATGTAGTAACTGTCATTGGGAATTAGAACCAGAAGATATGGAGGATGAAAATGTATGTCCACATTGTCATTCAAGGATAAGGAATAATGCAAGCGCTGTAGGAACGAATAGATCAATTAGTTTGAATGATAGGCCCATAATGAATGCTCCAAGAGACGACTATAGTGAAAACGAATACGAAGAAATAGTCAATGATATACGGAATTTCAATCCATCTGATGTAGAAAGTAGTGGAGAAGCAGATTCTTCCGATTCTATAGGTTATGACCACGATCGTGACGAAACGCATAATAATGATAGTGAAGAAGAGCATGATTCTGAACTAGATTCGTTTATTGCAGATGACGATGAAGAAGATAGGAATATTAGCCAATTGAGTGATGGTGAAAGAAACCGGAATATATCCGTTTTGCCATCTGATGAAGATCGTGATAGTGATTATTACGAAAATAATGATTCTGATGGGTTTGTTAGTGGTGATAGTCTTGCAGATTCAAATAGCTCTGGTGTTCAAGATAGAGCTAAGAGGGATACTGTTGAGCTAAGTGAAGAAGACGATGAGGAAGAATTAGGGAACAATGCAAAAAGACAAAGAAAAGTTCATATGGTTCTGAGTGATGACGAATAGTAATATTTTGTAAAGATATATATTTATATATATATTTCAACTATCGATTTTAAATTTCGTATTATGCATTTTTATTAGATGTTGAAACTTAAACTATTTAAGTCGTATTATCATCCGATGGCTAATAATGTGCCATTATCATTTTGGGCCGTTCAAAGGTCAATATGTCAATTCCGATCTTTGATCTCGGTCTCAAAAATAATTGATACTGTGCTAATACGGGAGTGAGTGAAGTGTTCATCAATAGTATAAGACAGTTCAACAGGATAGGTAAAGTTAAAAATCTACAAAAATCCCTGTTGTCTGTGAGGTCTGTTGCAATTAGATAACTAAAAATTAAGACTTACATATGCTCAAATTCGATAGTGCATACAGAATCCCTTAAAACACTTGAACGAAAGGGGATAAATTATGCTTAAAAGACTTCTACTAAGGCCGAGAGTCGTGACCTCCACGATATTAAGACCTAGAATACAGCCAGTAATAATCAGTCGAAATTTTAATCTTGATTCGATTGGTCTTTGGAAGAAGAAAACTGATGCCAAACATTTCTTTTCTAGACCTGAGGAGGATTTAAACGCCAATATAAATAAGGAAATAATGGAATCCTATAGACGGATGCAAAATAAGAAAAGACTACAGACAGGTATGATTATCATCAGTAGTTTAATTATAACGATTATTGGATATCAAGTATGTTTTAAAGTGATGTACCTAAAACGAGATGCGTTTATTGCCTTGTGGCCTAGTCCATATAAGATTCATCCATTAACTGAAACAGAAAAGCAGTATTTGGATATTCCATATATGAAAATGATAGTTAAGAAACGAACTATAGAGAAAGTGGTAAGAAATGAATTCATTAGAGAAGAATATGGGGTGCCACTAAAAGTAGATATGCATGATGATAACAAGCAAGACCAATTCAAAGTATGGAGTGAGGACGAAGATTTAGTCATCTACGGAATTAAATTTAGACCTAATAGAGCCAATAGAAGTAAACGTTCGAATGATAACTGGCATGGATTCCTTGGGTTATTTCAATGGAGATTCAGTGTAAGAAGTGTCAATTTGATACAAATCCTGGAGGATTTTTCTAGTGCTATTGGTATTAGACTTGATAAGATTACAATACCTGAAAGACGGTATGGTTCTTTTAAAAATGAGTATCCCATTCATGATAATGACTATGATGATTTTGAAAATGGGACCTCTCATGATAGACGAAGACATATTTGTTTTATTGGTAAATTTGCTTTGAATGATAATTCTACGATTATTTATAAAGGTAAATATCATGTTGAAACAAGATTTGATGAAATATATTTGATGAGAGAAGAAGATGGTAAATTTGTGAAATATTTAATTTATAAAGAAAACTTTTGAACTTCTTAGAAATGGTACGTATAAATAGTGTAGAAATTAAATAAAATTATTGAATAATTCTAAGAAAAGAAGAAAGAAAGAAAAATAAATTAAAAGACGAACGATAATATATTAATAATACAGAAATACGTATATAAAAAATATACAAATTACAAAAAAAAAACATTACTATGATATTATTATAATCAATAATTAAAAAAAGGGACAATCAAATTTTCAATTAATGGAAGAGGGAAATCCTTTTAAACAATTTAAAGTCTAAATTTTAATTTCTCGAATTTAAAAGAATAGCTCGGTATCTCTTTAGTAAAATTATGGATATCATTACTATGTTTTAATATATATAAGTTTTTTATTTGATTTTTTATAATATAATTGTAATTTTTTTTTCTTGTTTTCTTGTTAAAATGATGTTCTTATGATGATTATAATAATAAAATATGGTTGGTTAATATAATTTTAAAAAAAATTCCAGACGAAAGTAATCAAAGATTCTTTATTTTATAATTTCTTTTCAACGGAATGTGTAAGTTTTAGTATGTCTAATTCTTAAACGATAATATTAAGTACAGTTATCCTAGTAACCTACGTAATTGTAAAAGAAAAAAGAATATAAATATAGGAAATCTTGATAACATTCCGTTAACCACACCATAGAGGGGTATTTGTTATAGAAGAGTAAAGGGTATCGACCAAAATAAAAATAATTAATGGATAAATAAAATAAAATAAAAAATTAGTATCCGTAGAAATATCTATATGCATTGTGTGAGTAGGGAATAAATAAAAAATAGTAAATAATCAACTTATAATAAGTAAGCGATTGCACCAGCAGCTAAAGCACCAAATGCAGCCCGATTACCTATATTAACTTGATCATATTGACCTACAGCAGCATTCTTAGATGTTCCATTAGTTGCATTCTGAGCTTCGACAAATGCAACTAAACTTGCCATGGAAATTAAAATATTCTTAACTTGCATTGTAAATAGATATAACTAGGGTTATTTAATATTATTTCTCTCTGGACGATCTAATAAGGAATATTTGACCTTTAAAATTCTTTAAAAACAAAAATATGGATAAGTTGTTGTTATTGATATAATTATAATAAATAGCTGAATTTATTTATTACTGTTGTTATATCTATGTTATAGAGTTGGGGAGGATTTTTTATCAAAAGAAAATAATAATAATTATAATAGTTAAAGGAGTTAATAGAAAGAAAAGAAAAAAAATTAATATAAATAAAAAACATTCAAGTTATTTATATATATATAATTCTTTTTAATAATGACATACAAAATATTAATTTTTTATTGTGTCATCGTCGTTTTTTATTTTGTTTTGGTTTATTTTTATGTCCTTTCCTTGGAAAATAGAAACGACCAAAAAATAACATTGTGAAGGTTGTTAGCCACTTAATAAGTTAAACATACATTTTTATAAAGCTCCCTTAAAAAAACTGCTGGCCAAAATTAATTGGCCATTCAATTGTTATCGATAGTGTGATAGTAATAGTGATATCACATTATCGCTATGTATAAACAGTATTCTAAATCAGTAGTGATAGAAAATATGTATATATAATGAATACACATTTTGGTAGAGAAGATTTACATTAATTAAGGGAGGAAATATGTATGTGGGGATAACTTTATATTATAACAGTGTGAATTAATAAATGAAGTGAGTTTTCAAGATAATGTACGAAGTAAATAAGTTTCAGGTCCTCTTAACATTCTCAAATATATTTAATCAAATGATGTTATTAAAAAGAGGGGGTATATAATAAGTTTCAAAAAATTTATTGTCCATATCCGATTATCTGGTATTTTATTTTGTTCTAACTCTATCCTCTTCCTTGTTTACCTTTTAATGACAGGTTCAACCTAATTATTACACAAGTTGGTAGGATATATTTATTTTATGCATTGAAAAACAAGAATGACTATCTCAATTTCTATATAATATGAGCGCGATGAGATTGCTTCGCATGCGCCACAACAGCAGTCGTAGAATTCATTCCTTATAGAGAGAGAAGGGATACGCACATTTCTAATTGTTACGATAGTGACAATCTAAATGAAACCAGAAGGGGGAATTCAACAACAATAAATAACATTAAAGGTTCTTGACTTTTCATATCTATTAATCCATCCCCCCCCCTTTTTTTTGATTCCTCAAATAAAAAAAGTTTTTCAACGTACTTATTATTTTTTGTTAATAAGGGATGGTAACCTGTATAAACCAGTTTTCTCTTAATATTACTTCCATTTTTAGTTGTAGTGTACGTAATACATGGAATAAGTTCTGATTCATACTTTGAATACTTTACCTTAATTTTTCCTTTTCTATAATAAGCCGTGTTTTTCAGCCTCACTATTCATTGTTCGATCAATTTTACTACCATAAATACCTTTTTGGCCGACTGGTCTCTTTGCATATTTAACAGTTACACGAGTATTGCCAACATGACTATCATTTAATTTATTTATAGCTTTGTCCGCATCTCTATAATAATTAAAATAAACATAACAATTTCTAGTAACTGGATTAATATGATTCTTGTTATTATTATTATTATTATTATTATTATTATTATTATTCTCCTGATATTCCGATGAATTTGAAAAAATTTCAATAGGTTGGTAGATCTTACCAAATTTTGTAAGTATTCTTGTTAATGTCTTGTTATCTATGATATCATCTAATCCTTCAATTATTATTTTAGCCAACGGTATATTATTAATATTTTCTGTTGTTTGTAATTTTTTATCTTTATTTGAATTTTTTGAATTATTATTATCTCCTGTACGTCTAATTCGTAACCATCGATCATATAATTTCATAATATTACCATTATTTGTCTTTGATACTAAATTTAGTACATATTCTAGATCTTTCTCTTTAGAAAATTCAATAAATGCATACCCTTGATAAGTTTGTAATACTTTATCCTTTGGATATCGTATCTTATTCACAGGACCTAATTGAATAAATAATTCATATAATTCTTCCTTAGTTACACGTGGATCAACGTTACCAACATATACTGACTTGGAGACATCAGTAGAATTGTTCATCTTGTTAGATTTGTTTCAACTTTGAGGTGGAGAATTGTGTGTCTATGGTTGTTTTTTCTTTCTTTTTTTAAAAAAAGAAGAATATATATTATAAAATAAGGTATACTGTGTTAGAGATTGTGCAAATCTGTCTATATATCTACTACAGGTTACCTAATTAATAATTAACGTATTACAAATTATAATAAAGAAAAAGGCAGAGGAAACTGGATGTTTAATTGGGATCTTGTGTGGCTTCTTCGTAACAATAATAATAATATGTTATGTTTCAATTATCTTGATATAACGTTCGTTTACGTACCAGAGTTTTTCACGGGTTGGACTTTTTAATCGATTGGTATTATCGTGAAAATCAATTACACTGAATAAATCGGTAAATTGATCTATTGTATATATCTCTTCTTTTTGTTCTTCACCCCACGTAATAACAACCGTTTAGGTGTAAAATGAATCTTTTTTTTTTCATTGAAAAATTGAGTTATTCTTATTTTTTTTGTTGGGTAAATTTATTCTTTCCATTCTTGATTTCATGTTTGTCTGTAGTAGTTATTTTTTATGCGAACGCTTTTCTCAACGATTAAAAGTATTACCAGATAATTAACCTACGGAAAGGTAATGCATAAATAATTATTAAATTATGGGGCTATATGTCACATTGGAAATCTGTAAAATCGAAGGCTTTTAACATGTTTACATCCGTTGTCATTAAAGTCATTGACAATCAGTTAAATGATGATGATGATGACGAGAACAATAGATATATACATACATATTGTTTTAACATTTTCAGTCGTATATATTTCAACTATTATTAGAGAGTTATCTTCGTAGAAATCTTACAACCTCTTTCTAGTGCATTTTTATTTCGTTTCAGTATTTTGGGTTTGTAATTTACTATTAGCTTATTTGCATTTTATGTCTATGTTTTTGTTGAATTTGTAGAATTGAAACATTTGGGTAATCATTAATCTGTATTGTTTTATTTCTGTCTAAGATTATCTTATATTTTCAAAGTATGTGTGTGTGTGTGTGAACTGAATTGAATCAATTATTAGATAACTAGCTATATATATATATGTGTGTGTGTGTGTGTGTGTGTGTGTGTGTGGATATATGAGTAAATATTTAATGGTTTGTTTTTGTTTTTGATATCTTTTAAAAAAAAAAATTTCAATTTTATTAAGAGATTTAGGATTGGTTTAAATTTAATGGTGATGACTATGAATAATGATACAAATAAGAAAGGAATCCGTGAAACGTGAGTAAGGATGGGAGATGAGAAAATAATATAGCCCCAATATCCTTTATTGAATTGTAAGTGGATAACATCTAATGATAGCAACGAGAGCAATTTTCACACGATGAACAAAATAGCAAACAAAAAAACTGTTGTTGTTTTTTCATTTATTATTTTGAAGATGATGCATAAATAGCATCGACTTCCTTTTGAACCGAATCCAAGATCTTCTTTCTCTTCAATTTTTGAGCAGATGTAACAAAACCGTTTTGTGGAGTCCATTCTTCTGCAACGAATACAATACCTTGCAACATTTCAATGCCTACCAACCCTTGGGCAGAACCACTCTTTAACAGATCGGTATATACAGCTTTGACCAATTTTCTATCGCTCAAATGATCATCGACGTCACTGTCATCAGACTTACTGTTCATAATACCCAATTTTTTAGCCAAAGTAGCTAATGGTTTAATGTTTGGATAAATGATAGCCACAGGTTTAACCTTGGTTTGATCGGCATAGACACAGATGTTGGATACGTATTGGTTGGATCTATAGATAGATTCCAGTTTTTCTAATGCAATGTATTCACCATTCAAGGTCTTTACCAAATTCTTCTTTCTATCGATCAATCTCAAGAATCCTCTGTCTGTCCATTCACCAATATCACCAGTCTTAAACCAATGATCAGGTGTTAATGCAGCAGCTGTCTCTTCGGGGTTCTTATAGTATTCTTCAAGGACACAATCACCTTTGATCCATACTTCACCTTGGTTGTTCTTTGCCAAATACCCTAACTCTTCTACATCCACCAATTTCACAGTGACACCACCAGTTAAATCACCAGCAACACCAAGAGTGAAATGAGCAGGATCCAAGATACATGTATTAGCCACAGTTTCAGTTAAACCGTACCCCAGCAACATTGGACACAATAGATTTGTGATGAATTCTTGAGCATCATAACTGATTGGAGAACCACCATTCAATAAGTATTTTAATTGACCACCAGTAGCGGCTTTAACTTTCTTGAATACAAGATTACCTAGAGCGTCACCACCTGGAATATGATAATTTTTCATTGTTAATTTGGTTTTATAAGCCGCCCAGAAGATCTTTTGAGTAATGAATGGTAAAGTACTAACTTGTTGAAGGATTCCCTTTCTCACTGTTTCCCATACTGCAGCGACACCGACCATCACAGTAGGTTTGAATTCAATTAAATCACCTTGACAATTTCTCATCGAAGCATTAGTCAAAGTCTTGACAGTAGCATAACCGATACATGAACCCCATACAAAGGATAACAGTTCGAAGGCTAATTCGAAAATATGGGCCAATGGTAAAAAACAAACAATTCTATCTGTTCTACCGACGGCTTTTCTGACTGTCAAATGAGCACCACCTACACCTGCCACAACGTTATATTGTTTCAAGACAACACCCTTTGGATCACCTGTGGAACCAGAAGTATACATGATACAAGAAAGATCTTTTGAAGTAGGTGGATGAACATCGATAATATCTTTATTTTCTTTACCCATCTTGTAAATATCATCATAAGAAAAGAATTGAATATCTGGTCTACTTTTCTTAATTTCTTCGATAGCATCATTTGCTTCTTTAAATATCTTACCATTTTGTCTTTTATCCTTTGGATCAATAACGTTAGTATGAATAACAAATTTAATATTATCACATTTCTCTAAAGGTGTTATTAGAGTCTTTAATAAAGCATTATCTGTAAAGATAGCAGTTGAGTTAGTTTGTTTAATCGAATGAATTAAACCAGATTCACCTAGAGTATCATAAGCGGTCACAATAGGAATAGATTGAGATTGTGTACCTAAATACATTTGCATCCATTTTTGAGAAGTAGAAGCATAAATATGCAATCTATCATCTGTATTTGGTCTTAGTCCCATTTTAACTAACCCTTTACCTAAAATATGCATAATATCACGTAATTCATTGAACGTAATATATTTATAAGGACTCATTTCATAATATAACCAAGTCTTTTCAGTAGGAATTTCTTTCCCATCAATAAATTTCTTAATAATTTTTTTTTCTTCATGAATATCAACGACGTCTCTCCATCCCATTGCATTGGATTCACCACCTAATTCAAAGCATTCCAATGCCATTTCATATACTGTAGTACATGACATTCCTAGAGGTCTCTTTAAAGAACCTTTAGTTACTTGAGCATTTCTTCTTGGAGCAGTCTCATGCTCGTTAGCAGCAGGACCCACTGGTACATTGACTAAATTAGACATGTTGTTATATATTTATTGTTTGTCTTTACCGTACTAATAGTAATAATAATAATAATAGCAGTAATGTCAATATATATATATAGATATATGTATAGTTTATTTCTCTCTATCTTATCTTGTTATAAAATAAAATAAAAAAGTTGTAATTGATTCTCTATCAAATACTGTTATATATATATGTGTGTGTGTGTGTGTATACAATGGTTACTACTACAAAAATAAATGAATAAAAAATGCAATATAAATTTCTGAAATATCAGAAATTTATTGGAGATGCTAATGTTAAAATCGCTCTTCTCTCTCTTTGATTGAATGCAACAGCAAAGCAACAGCAAATGGGCCACTAATTACGAAAAGTGTCAAAAGAAAGAGAGAGATTCGCCCACCGCTACATTTACTACCATAAAAGCTGTAAACAAACAAGCAAACAAACAAACAAACAACGTTCATCAATTTAATCAAGAAATAAATCACCCTCAATAATTCAATATTTAATGTTAGTGAGGGTGATTTAGCATGTGAAAGTTTTTCTTGTTCTTGGAGTTCGCTGTCTCTTGCCGTTATTGCCTCACCGCCCCTCTGCCTCTCACTGCCTCTCTCTTTTATAAAGTGAAAAAATTGTTTATAACACCGCCGGAATTTATACACTATAATAGTATTTACATATACACAGCATATATATATATGTATATTACGCGGACACGTAATGAAGAGAATATTATATAGTGTATGCGCAACAAGGATATAGTGGAGAATAAATTTATTTAAATATTTTAAATAATTTTGGCTCTGGTTCGTGCACCCTTTCAACGCGAAATGTTTCTATTGCGAGCAGGGTATTTCCTCTTATGGGCCTGATCCAATTCAGGGATACACGTCCCTGTTATGTAGTTATATATAGTGAATGGAATTAAGGTTAATGCTAGTTGATTGGGTGGAGTGGTCGTTGCCGCCCATCATAGTAGACTATAAGTTATCCTATCATAAGATATCGTATTTCTTTGAAATTCTCGAGTCTATATACATATATATGTGTATATTTTATAAAATTGTCTCTATAGAAGTAATGTGAATAATAATGCAGAGATGGCGAGGGTGGTTGAAGATAATTGATGAAGTGTTGTCATAGCATCATTATGATTAATAATGGTGGTATCGATCTTAGATTGTAATTGTCTCTTTGCAATTGCAGATTGTGTAGTCGCTATAACTCTATCTTGATTAGAAGCAACGCTGCTGCTGCTGCTACTGCTGCTTGTTTTTTTTTGATTCTTTCCCTTCTTTTTCTTGCTAGTCTTGCTAGTCTTGCTGCTGCTACTGCTACTGCTGCTACTGCTGCTATCAGTACTTTGAGATGATGATGTGGTTGTCACAGTAGGTGTTATCGTGACAGTCCGACTTGCTACCACTGTCACAGTGGATTTAGCACTTGTAGTAGATTTGGTACTTATTGAAGAAGTTTTAGAAGTATCATTGTTATGTTTGGTTGTAGTGTCAATAGTTAATGTAAATATATTACCTCCTGTAGAATATGTTTCGGAGATGGACCACGTATTATCATATCCTGGTGCTTTTGTAGCACTTGGTATGCTTCCATTGTTTTTAATTACTTCGATCTTAGATTCTTCCTTCGTTATATTAAATTTAGCTGGTGCTAAAGAAATCTCATAATTATCTAAATCATATACTATGTATGCATTTGATAAAAATAAGTCTCCTAATACTGCACTCAATGTAGAATTATCAGGTGTCGGATTTATCCCTAACAGACACGTGTCAGAACTAATTTGCAATAAGAAATTGTTTATATCCGTATGAAATAGTACTCCATTGAAATTAAATACTAATTCTGTATCGTTGAATGGTGTCGGATTAGATATGCTACATGGAACAGTATACCCATATTTCTCCTGGTATGTAGCATTGATCGAGTTAGCAATTCCTTCAACTAATGGTCTTGGTAAGTAGATTAATGATGTACCAGAATCTAATAATGCAGGAATTTTGGTTTCTGTCATTGTGGTTTCATTCTGACCAATAGTTAAACCAACACCATTCATAGTAATATCAAATTGAATAGGTGTATTATAACCATATTGTTCCATGGTGTTGATGATTGGAACTGTAAATAATTGACCATCATAACGGGAATGATCAACTGCACCAAATAATATATTCCCCATAGATGAATGGCTGGATGAATCCCCCAAATATAACGAATATACATTACTCGAGATGTTTCCTTGTTCTTTTAATTGCATAGGAAAATTGTTATACATATATGATGATTTTTGTGAATTGCCTTTACCACCACTGTAGGTGACTTCTAATTGAGGATATCCAATACCTAATACACCAACAGAGGAATTCGATAAGTTGGAAACACCGAACGACAGATTTGGTATTGTGACATTTGTACCTTCTAATGTAACGTCATCATGGCCCCATATGCCACTAGATCTAGTTGTATCGCCATAGAGGATTGAAAATGAAGTACTATTGGATTTGAACGATTTGGAACTGGATGAATCAAAAGTACCATATTGTGTACAATTAATTTTATCACTGTCATCTATATTATGAGACTTGTACCATTTACTATTCTGATTAGATGAATCAGTAGTATTGATACAATATGGGTTATTGTTACCCATGATCCATAAATCGGAAGATCCAGTGTCGACCAACACTGTAACATTCTGAGAATTTGAACCAATTCCTAACGTTAACGAATAAAAACTATACTGATTAACCAGAGTTAAATTTTCATAATCATTACTACCATCACGCCTATAGAGTCGATGAATGTTTGTGCGATGTTTAGAAGAACTTTCATATGAATCGCCATATGTCTTATCAAATGTCATATGAACGTATCCAGCATTTGTATTATCATCTTCCACTATTGGTTCTAATGGAGAATTATTTGTGGCTAATACTAGTGGTATCATCGAGATACACATTAAGATATCTTTTACTTTCATTATTAGGCGATATTTAGGTCTATATAGTGTGTGTCACCTATGTCTCTGTGTATTGGTTAGCAAGCGCCTCTAGGAAGAGTACTAGTATGAAGAATATATGACATACACATATATATAATTACTATTCTATATATATATATATAGCTATAGTTATTTAAATGGTGTGATGAAGCTGGGTCTTTTAAACGATGCCATATTTCTTTCTTTTTTTATTGGCTTATTGGTTTATTGTTAAATATGTAGTAAATCCATTTTTAGCTCACTTAAACCAGAACAGGTAAAAATTGGGGCTCCTCCCTGTCCTCTCGACTACGCCAAGTTTTGTTAGTAGGTTTCGTTTTGTTTTTTATAAAACAACTCAGATCATAAATTTATTCTTTACTTAGATCAATTCTTAGCTAATTTTACACACGAATTAAAAGTCCCTATTTTATTTCAGGTTCAATTCATCGGAAAAACTTATTGATAATTACAAAATGTCTAAAATGCAACACTTTTGTACGCCTATGTATAGTGTTCTGATATATTTCCATTTAAAGTACGTCTTGTTGTACTTGTATACTGTACATAATTAAGTAAATATATACGAAGAAAACATATTTTTTATGAAAGAGCGAGAATTAGAATGAGAAAAATAAAAATAAAAATACCGCGACGTGCTTAAAAATTCAACTAGCATGGGGTATTTTTCCATTGTTACTGTTTTTGGTGATGTCTCTCTACCTTGTGTTAAATTAAAATAAAGACATAAAGGGTAATAATAAAGAAGTAATTTTCGTGAACTAAAAAATGAACTGATGTATTAAGAGAATTGGTATATTGTTTAACTTTATAACATGAATCAAAATATTTTACGGTTTTGGGTACTTTACCCCGGAGAAAATCTTATAATACTATAAGAATCAGGAAAGGCATAATATTAAAATATGAAGATGGTTTTGTCATTTGCTTGAACATGAAATGATTATCTAAATTTAACAAAACAGATAATAATCTGAGTTCATGATCTTGTATAATATATTTTATATTAGTGTATATACGAACCGTACTAGCTGTAGAGGTTATTCACAATTCACGTGAATAAATATATTATATTTTCTTGAATTAGTATTATGTTTTAATGCTTGGCCTATTGTTTTCATACAAAGGAGAATTTTTAGAAACAATAGTTTATATATCTATAAAAATATATTACGATATTATGTCTAAATATCGTTATTACATCATTTGGACAGCCATTCTGTTTGTTGGTTTTATATAATTTGATTGCTCATCATATATACAATAAAAAATATCATATAATGAAAATATTATTTTTGACTAAGAGTATTATAGTTAAAGCAGCACGAAACCTTTCTTAAGATTGTTCATTATCATTTTTCAATTCTTCTCTAGGTTAGAGATAAAAATGATTTTATGTAATTTAAATAATTTGTCACTATTAATTACGGAATTAAATCGATTTCTTCTAGGGGTAGATATATGTCTTAGTTATGTGCATAGGCCAACAAAAATCTCAAAGAGAGTCACTCTTCAGTCATTCCAGTTATGATTCATCAAACGATCTCTCTTGATCATTTATAATTTCATGTTTTGTTTTGTTTTTTATTTAGTTTTCTATATATTTTATATGTGTCTATACAAATGTCTATCGAATTATATTTGTCCAAAATAGGAGAATATAATAATATAATTTAGCAAAAAAAATTTACAGTGAAGTTACAACTCAAATTTTAATTCTTTTTAATAGTTCATAGATGATGTATCCAATGAACTGTTAAAAACAAAAAATCGGTAATAGCGAAAAAAAAATAGTAATAATATAAATATGTCGTAGTTGTCAATAATAGTCGTTTCTAAAGTGCTGTGTTCTAAGTGTTTGTAATGTCCCTCATATATATTTTATGAGACTTGTTTGTCCCTTAATGTTCTTTGGTTTCTTTCAGAGAACATTACTCAAATATAAATATTTAGTTTGTTATTCTTAATGTTCTAAGACAGTTGCCCATCTGATATTCTTCTCGGTAGAATTCCTTGTCTTATAAGAAGTAGTACTAGAGTCAAATTCAAATCCTCTTATTAATGCAGCGTCGTTGATATTATCTTCTTTTTTGGATTTATAAAATTCATCTGAATCCTCAAATTTAAATAATTCATCGTCACCGGAATCATCATAATTGTCATTTCCGTACCATTCCAATTTCATTTTCTTATATTTTTGTTTAATTTCAGAATTCACAGGAATAGTAATGCGTTCCCAAATGTTTGTTATAAGTGGAAGTTTACTATCTTCTTTATTCACAGTAGCGTTTATTTCAGTAGCAAAAATTGTTGCGTCCTGAAGGGAGCCTTTTGAAGAACTAACTAAAAGGTTAAGAGAACCCTCTTGTATTTTTAAAATGGATCTCTTTGGTTTATCATAATGGTGGCATGGGATATGTTTAAGTTTTTTTGAAATCCTTATTTTCTGTTTCTTAATTGGTCTTGCCTCTGAAAGTATCTTATTTTTATAATCAGTCAAAGTAGAATGTAACATTTTATTTAATTCAAAGGCTTCCTTATTAGCCAACGGTTTTGTATTCCATATTAGATTGTCCACGTTGAAAGGATCAATATATTCATTCTTTGATAATGCTGGAGAATATGATGGTAAAGGTGGGACGTCACAGAAGGGACTAACCGATCCAAAATCAGATACCGGTGATATGCTTTCATTATCAGCGTTTAGTTTCCTACCTAGTACATCTTCGTACACGACAGGTGACATATTGTCTTCGCTTTCAATTAGATTATTAGATTCAATTGTCAATCTTTGAGGAATAACATTGGTTGAATTGGATCTTATTGAGGGACGAGAAAATCTATAAGGTTTAGATGGTGTAAAATTCCGTAACGTAAATTCCTCGGTATTAGGTAAAACAGGCTTCTTTGATGGAGTAGAAGGTAACTCAATCATCGAGGATGTCTTTGAGGTTGGAGTAGAGAGGGTTACAACTTCTGTCATCTTCTTTTCTTTTTCTTTTTGATTAATTGTTTTATTGTTGATTAATGGTTGAAACAAGTTTGAAATCGTATGGATATTTTCTGTTTCTTTATTTCTTTAATTTATAATTCAATTGAGATCTTCAGAATCGATGTCCTTATTTTCTTCTATAATATCAAATATGTTGAACCAAAACCCTCTATTGTTATATTAAATAAATATAATAAAAAGTGAAACTTCTTAAATAATAAAAAGAAAATAAACGACAAAATAGGCGGTTTACGAAGGAACGAAACAAGATTTATTGATTAGGTATCTGGATACATATATGCACTTGTATATATATGTGGATAATTGCATGTATGTATATGTAGTACTTAAGGTACTTGAACATTTAATTGGTCATAAAAGTTATGCGATACACTACAAATTGTCTTGTTCATGTTTGGAAACATAATTGATGAACTGTTCATCAATTATACGGTGTCATAGATTAATCTAAAAAACTTTAATAACAAATTGATATGTACTTCACTATATCATATGTAGAGCATGTCATTATATTTTATTAATGACACTCTATTGATTCCTCCGTTTTATTCTTTGGAATTATTGTCTAGTTTGTTTGTCATTTTCATTTTTAACGTCCATGCGGCCCGTTTTTCCAAAGAACTAACGGAAATGGAAATTTTGTAAACAAACAAAACGGACTTCGTACATCGAGAATGTTTTTGGTTTAAGAGGGCTGCAGGTTTCATCCATCACGAACTGTCACCTTCTTTTTTGTTTATTTTGTTTCCAATTTTACTAAAGAAGAGTGGTAATTGACTAATTTCAAAAAAATTTAAGTCCTAGAGGGGCTTCAACAGTAATTTTATAAAGATGATTTCTCTGAAATTGGTAATTATTGCATTTAACGAACAAAACAAAAATATAGTGTGTTAGCTATCTTTGAGGTTTCCAGCTTCAGTTTGTCTACGGTATAAGATGTACAATTCCGGTAAACAATATATGTTTACTGGACTTGAATGCTTATCAGTTTATCTTTTGGGAGAATTTTTATTCTTATTCAGTGAGATGTCTTAGATTTAATCAACTCTATAAAGAATGCTGATACTTTAAAAACAAAACAAAATTAAGGAATTGAGTCTTTGTACTATTGTAATTAATTCCTAATTTGATATTTGAATTTGAATAGAAAATGTGTGTGCTACAGAATTGTTGAACTACAAGTCTATTATCATGAGAGAAAAAAAAAAATAATATCTGCAATTAAAATAATTGCACTTCCCCCACTATTCTCATCATATGTTATTAAAGTTTTGACCACTGCGTACCTTAATCTGGTGCTTCTATTGCTTTGTATTTTTGTTATACTCTTTTCGGGCCGGTTGTTGCATTTTTTTATATTCCCTGTATTTATATTTTACCCTTTCTGGAATAAACTTTCCCAAAAAAAGTGGAAACACTTGATTTTTGAAGCAATTTAAGGAAAAAGAAAAACATATAGGCACAGTTTCATATATGTTAATGGAAACCTGTAGTTCTTTTGATTCCAACCTTTGTCTATTGTTGGCTTTCTCAACAATGGAAGTACAGCTTGATAGGCTGCCGTTTCGGGTGATACTGTTTAAAGCCTCTTTCCAAGTATAATTTTTAATATTGAGGTTAACTAAAGTAGAGAACTGACCATTACATGTCCTCTTCGAGCTAAGTTTATAGTTGTTTATTTACTTTTCAAAGAGTTTCACCGTTCTTATTCCTCCTCAGATAAAGTTTTTATACTAATTACTTTTCCGAATATGTCGTATATGCTTCTATTACTTCTTTCAATTTAGATTTAGATTCTTGTTTACATGAAACACATTTATAAATTTTCTAACAACTTTATGGCAACAGGAATTTGCTATGGTAACGAATATCTAATATGTGAATATGTTTACTTTATTCTCTAATTAGTAAATGATATGTGCATGGATTCTATTATCCATGACGTATCTTTTTTTTTTTGCAATAAAGTATTTAGAAAGTGCTGTTGATTTGTATTTCAATCAAATGTTATTTATTATCTTTTCGTTTTAAGTGTTGTACTGAAAACTAAACATCAGAATATCACTAAATGGATAGTCTCTCTTCTTTTTTTAAAAAAAAACTGGTCGAACCATACGATGTTTATTAAATTACATCATTATATGTAAGTCAAAATAACTAACTAACTAACTAACTAACAATTAAACAAATCAAGTAAGTTAATATGGCAATATTTAAACCACTACGATATGATAGAGCCGTCCTGATACATTCATAATGTTTAAAACATATATAAGAAATTTAAATACCCATAAGAACTTATTTATTTTATATACCAGATCTTGAGGCAAGACAAAATATATTCAACAAATATTTGGTGGAACCGTTATATAAACTGTTTAAAAGAGAGAGAAAATCAGTTTATTATAAATTTCCAACTGTTCAAGATTTTGATTTTTGAAATGATGGTATATCACTTCACCTGCCATGTATATTTAATTTAATACATACAAAAATCTTGAAAAGAAGAATACAATACAAGCTCACAAATTCGTAATGTGTTATATGATTTCACCGACATTGAAAGCTTGTTTTTTTATCCACTCTCTGTTCACTTTCTATATTACTTAGTTTTAAAAAATCTTGGAAGATTCTTTTTTTTTCTCATCGGGAATTAGACGCCAAATTAGGGGTGTCGAAAATAGGTTTGTGTCACATAATATTTTTTCTTTGAAAATACAAAATAAAATATATAAATAATTTAAGAAATCAATATTCTTGTTTTTTATAAGAAAATATATTCCTTTCAAGAACTACTTTTATACTTCTTCTGTTTTTATAATTATTTTTTGTTATTTTGTAAATTTCTTACTCAATAGTCATTGATTGGCTATCATAACAAACTAATAAATTATTATAAAAAAACAATAAATACAAATGAGTCAAGACCAAACTTTAAGTGCTGGTAACTTTGTTCAACACTCACAAGTTAATTTAAACGAAACGGCTGTGGATGCTCCAGAAATTGAGCCAGAAATTGCTGAAGCCTCAACACCTATTGCTGCCGGTACTATCCACACTAAAAAAGTTCGTCTTGCCAAACATCCAATGAATGCAACCCAAGCAAAATATCATGAATTTAAAACAATTGAACATTTCAAAGAATACAAATTATATTCTGAAGCTAAGGCAAAAGCTACTAATATGGCAGTAGTACGGGTTGTAGACGCAAACATAAGGCCCATGGTTACCTCTATCCGTAGTTCGCCCGTTCTATTATCTACAAGGTTTATTACTGATTATTTGGATAAAGCTACTCTAGCTACTGTGATTTTTACTGAAAGGTTTATGCCTTGCATGAAAAAGACTGGTTCACAAGAAATTATGAAGACCATTACATATCCAATTGTTTTACCTTTACGTTTAACAAAGGATATTAAGGATGCTACTGTCGAAGTTACAACATATTTTATCTATAGGCCATATCACAATCAGTTAGTGAGGTTTAGACATTTTTACAATAGGAGATTCATTGATACTAAGAATAAGCCATTAATTAGGGGGAATCTTGATCCAATCATCAGTCCTTTAAACAATAATATTGAAAAGATAGTTAAAGCACGCTTCCCAGATATGATGGTCCATCATAAAGAGTCATTCTGTTGTGAGACATCAAGAAGTGCTTCATTGGTTTATGTCGTTACAAAAGGTACAAAAGCCTCTACCTTAAAACACATGACAAATAAAATGATGATGCCTTGTATGGCTGCTCACAAGGTTAATGAAATTTTTAATAAACATTTAGATAAGCAAGATGATTTAAGGTTAAGAAGTGTTTTGAGAGCTTCAGATGGTGCATTTAAAGAAATAGAAAAGGAAGCAATAAACTATTTAAGGAATAATCTCTTACCGAGGCGATTTAAAAAGGAACAAACCGAAGTTCTAGTTGAAATTCAATCAATTAATGAGGAATCCGAATTCCATATCCTTCCAATTGACGAACCAGCTGAAGCACAAGTACAAGCACAAGAATCCCACATCGCTGAAGACGTTGAAAATCCGGATCCGCTAAGAGAGGTGGACCATTCTTCTGCTAATAATGAGTCTACTGAAAATGCTACTTCTTTTCCTGTAAACCAACCAGTGGCAGTTTGAAAATAATTAAAAGGTGAACCCCGTTATTAAGGTATCAAAATTGAACTGCCCAAATTGATATTACGATCAATATAAAACTAATCTGCGTGCAAGATAATGTTACAAGTAGAAATTGGTTATGATTATTCTAATTCTGATGGTTACTAAGAATCCATTGCTAGATAGTAAAAATTATAATTCATCTTATCTTCTGGATTCAAATATCAAAATTAGCAAATATTCTATCACACTTTCTGAATGTGATTCTTCACTTTTTTTTGCTTCTCATTCAAGTTATTAATATAAAAAATTCTGTATACGTTTCACTATATAACATAAATAAAATTTAATAAATTTAACTATTATAAAGTATTTCACTTTTAAACAATTAATTTTGGTAATCGTGCATCCGTACATTTTGGGACATACACCCTTACATCTCTAAATTATCATAAAATAATATTTCTGATTTTTTTTTTGAATTTTTTTTTGAATTTTTTGGAACGGGCAAAACAATAACTAAGCAAAAACAAAAAACATATTGGAAGGCTTCCTCATTTACCTTTAGGCTCTCACAGCAACCATAACCACCACGGCCTAGATAATCAGTCCTCCCAAACACAATTGTGTTACACCAGATTCCCTGTCTAGGATAAACTGGTAAGCTGGAAAATTCAAATTTCGGAATCAATGGAGTTGGAGAAGGTTCTCTCTAACGGAAAATTGTTACCATCAACTATTGTATTACCATTTTACCATTACTTACTGTGGACTTCAGTTAATGGCAGAGCTGTGAACTTTTGGTAAATACTTTACATTACTCCTTGTAAGATGGGTTACCACGAATTGGCACTAGATACACAGCTATCTCCTAAGTAGAAGTAGTAAGTAGTTAGAAGTTAAGTGACCTTTAAAGACATCTTGTTTATTATATATTATTGAAGTTGCAAGACAAGTACAGTAAGAAAAAAGTGAGTAAATACATACACATAGGATGATTAAAACTGTTTAAATTCAATAACATCTAGGTAGAAGTTGATATACTCTCAGTACTATGGAATAAGGAATATTTGATAATTGATATTGATATAAGTTGTAGGTTATGTTGAACCTATTTACGTATTGTAATATGGATAACCTACCGTGCATTTATCTATGTTGGTCGAATTATAAAGGAAGTGTTGATATATTTAGATTTATTCTAGAAAGATGTTACTATGATGAAAATATATATGTTGAACTACTGATCAGTTACAATGGAGATAATATAATTTTTTGAAAGCAATGAAATGGACTATCAAACTAATAGATAATGAAGAATTGAGAATTGAGACAGTTAGAATCTAATACTCCTAAACATTCTCGTGAATGATTTCATAATAAATAATAATTACTAACAAAATTTGTAATTCTATTTGAAATAATATTATTACTTTCGTATTTACAGTGGCTCATTTCAAGGAATACCAAGTTATTGGTCGTCGTCTACCAACCGAATCCGTTCCAGAACCAAAGTTGTTCAGAATGAGAATCTTTGCTTCTAACGAAGTTATTGCTAAGTCCCGTTACTGGTACTTCTTGCAAAAGCTACATAAGGTTAAGAAGGCTTCTGGTGAAATTGTTTCCATCAACCAAATCCACGAAGCTCACCCAGCCACTGTCAAGAACTTCGGTCTATGGGTCAGATACGACTCCAGATCTGGTACCCACAACATGTACAAGGAAGTCAGAGATGTCTCTAGAGTCAACGCTGTTGAAACTTTGTACCAAGACATGGCTGCCAGACACAGAACCAGATTCAGATCTATTCACATCCTAAAGGTTGCTGAAATTGAAAAGACTGCTGATGTCAAGAGACCATACGTCAAGCAATTCTTGACCAAGGATCTAAAGTTCCCATTGCCACACAGAGTCCAAAAGTCTACCAAGACTTTCTCTTACAAGAGACCAACCACTTTCTACTAAGCTGGTTATCCTATTTAACTTTTATCTAGTGAATTTGTATAATTTTGGTATGTAGATTTTTCATTAAAAACAACAAATATTGTTATCATAAAAAAAGAATTTGACAATCCTGTAGAGCTGCACAAAAGTGAGGTAGAGGGTTCAATTATATGTGCTTATGTATTTAGTTTAATAATGACCAAATCTAGGCGAATATGTTATTAAATGAAACTGGACGTATATTAAGTACTTCAATTCAATTTGTTGTATTAAAAGTTGGTACAAAAGTTTCTTAAGAGATCGCGTACAAACTAAGGATCATCTTCGGGCATTACGATTCTTGAATCCGCCCACTATTATAAGTTTCTATTTGTTTGTTTTGTTTTGTTTAGTTTATTTTTCCGTCTTCACTATGTATTATCCCCAGCATGTACGTAAGCAATATAAAGACCATTAAGTACGTGGGGCAAGATAGTAGAACAACTTATATAAACAGTGAAAAATAGTTATACATTATTTATAGAAAGGTTGAAGTTCCAAACAGATTACTCTAACATTTACAGTTCTTTTAATTTTAGTTTAATTTTAAAAGGTCGATCACTAATTGATAATCTTAACAATAATGTCAACAAGTCAATCGATCAAAGTAAATGATGAAATTAATAATATAACATCCAGGAAGAAAGGGAGCAATAAAACCAAGTCAAAGGATGGAGTTACTGAAAGTACAAGTGATGATATTCATCTACCAGTAACAGAAATTCATTTGAAATCCCATGAATGGTTTGGCGATTTCATCACGAAACATGAAATACCACGTAAGGTGTTCCATTCTTCGATAGGGTTTATTACATTATATTTATACACTCAGGGGATAGATTATAGATCTGTTGCAACACCTCTAATAATAGCTTTCGTGAATATATTTATATTAGACCTGATCAGATTACGTTGGTCGTTTTTTAACAAACTTTACTGCCGTTGTGTTGGTGCATTAATGAGAAAGAAAGAAATACATACATACAATGGTGTATTATGGTATCTGTTAGGTTTAATATTTTCTTTTTCTTTCTTTTCCAAAGATGTCTGTTTGATTTCTCTATTTTTGTTAAGTTGGTCAGATACTGCTGCTTCTACATTTGGTAGAAAATATGGACATCTAACACCAAAGATTGCAAGAAATAAATCCTTGGCAGGTTCTTTGGCTGCATTTACTGTTGGTTTATTGACCTGTTTGGTATTTTATGGATATTTTGTTCCTCATTACAACTATTTAAATAAAGAGGGTGAAATTATGTGGTCCCCAGAGAGCAGTAGATTAGGGCTAATGAATTTGTCATGGTTAGGAGGTTTAGTTGCTGCATTAAGTGAAGGCATTGATATATTCAATTGGGATGACAATTTTACCATTCCTGTTTTATCTTCGATATTTTTACATAGTGTAATCTACTTATTTAGAAAATAGGAAGATTGAGTTTGATTACTTTCTAAAACATATTAACTCTTTAAAAAGAACTTTTGATCAATGATCTGAGAATATTAAAAGTTTTCAATGCTTATTGTTTCTTTAGTTTGGTATATTCCATACTAAGATAAAAGTACAAAGAATATTCGTTGGTATCATTTTAATCACCAACCACTTCTTTTAGAGAATAATTTAATATTCTTCATGATTTTTTAAACGGTTTCCCGATAAGAACTCAGACAAGTATTATTAAGATTGAAAGATCTCTCATCGGGAGAGTTCTGTCTACCTACCTACATATTTTTTATTTCCCAATATACATTTTCCTCACATTATTTATAGATAGATAAAAGAAGCAAAAAATGCTTTGATTTAATTATTAATATTCATTTCTGCTACATCTCCAAATGTCTCTCAATCGTTAATTATCGTTAATTATCGTTAAACTACATATATTTAAAAATTACATAGCTAAAACGTGACATTAATTAAATTTTCACTAAAATGAAGAGCACCATTGACGGCGAGTGAAAAAAAAAATTTAGTTGTTTTTTTTTTTGAAGATTTTGCACGATGCTCTGCGAAACAGCGAAAATTTTCTTAGCTCATCGAGGATCCATCCATTTTTTTCAATTTTTTTTTCATAGGTATATAGAAATTAAGAAATATTTGAGAAGGTTATTAAAAGATACTATTGGTTAAGAGTTAGATTCTTCTATCAAGCAGAATTTCAGATCCTCCAAAGACCACCAATATGTCATACGTTTTAACCGAAACCTCTGCAGGTTACGCTCTATTGAAGGCCTCTGATAAGAAGATCTACAAGTCAACCTCTCTATTGGATGATTTAAACTCCTCTGACAAGGTCCTAAAGGAGTTCAAAATTGCTGCATTCTCTAAGTTTAACTCTGCCGCAAATGCTTTGGAAGAAGCTAATTCTATTATTGAAGGTAAAGTTTCTCCACAATTGGAGAAACTTTTGGAAGAAATCAAGAAGGATAAGAAGAGCACTTTAGTGGTTAGTGAAACTAAACTGGCTAACTCCATTAACAAGCTTGGTTTGAACTTTAATGTTGTTTCCGATGCTGTCACTCTAGATATCTATAGAGCTGTCAAGGAATATCTACCAGAATTACTACCAGGTTTAAACGATTCTGATTTGAGCAAAATGTCTTTAGGTCTAGCTCACTCCATTGGTCGTCATAAATTGAAGTTTTCTGCTGATAAGGTCGATGTTATGATTATCCAAGCTATTGCTCTTTTGGATGACTTAGACAAAGAATTGAATACATACGCTATGAGATGTAAGGAATGGTACGGGTGGCATTTCCCTGAACTAGCTAAGATCGTTACTGACTCAGTCGCTTACGCTAGAATTATTTTGACCATGGGTGTTAGATCCAAGGCTGCTGACACAGACTTGAGTGAAATCTTACCAGAAGAAGTCGAAGAGCGTGTTAAGACCGCTGCTGAAGTTTCCATGGGTACCGAAATTACAGAGGATGATTTAGACAACATTAAGAACTTAGCTGACCAAATTGTCGACTTTGCTGCATACAGAGAACAATTATCCAACTATTTGGCTGCTAGAATGAAGGCTATTGCTCCAAATTTGACCCAATTAGTTGGTGAACTAGTTGGTGCTAGATTAATTGCCCACTCTGGTTCTCTAATATCTTTGGCTAAGGCTCCAGCCTCCACCATCCAAATTCTTGGTGCCGAGAAGGCTTTATTCAGAGCATTGAAGACTAAGCATGATACACCAAAATACGGTCTTTTGTACCATGCCTCCTTAGTCGGTCAAGCTACCGGTAAGAACAAGGGTAAGATTGCTAGAGTTCTAGCTGCTAAGGCCGCTGTCTCTATACGTTATGATGCTTTGGCTGAAGACAGAGATGACTCTGGTGACGTGGGTCTAGAAGCTAGAGCCAAGGTTGAAAACAGATTATCACAAGTTGAAGGTAGAGATCTAAGAACTACTCCAAAGGTTGTCCGTGAAGCCAAGAAGGTTGAGATGACTGAAGCTAGAGCTTACAATGCTGATGCTGATGCTGTCACTGAACCAGCTGCTGAAACTGCTGACTCTGATGATGAAGATGAAGATGAAGATGAAAAGAAAGAAAAGAAGAAGGAAAAGAAGGACAAAAAGAGAAAGAGAGATGAAGATGAAGACTCTAAGAAGTCCAAGAAATCCAAGAAGGAAAAGAAGGAAAAGAAGGAAAAGAAGGAAAAGAAAGAGAAGAAGGAAAAGAAGTCTAAGAAAGAGAAGAAATGATTTAGTATTTGCATAACTAATCTAGTATTCCGGCTCCCTCCATTCATTCATCATTTAATCCTAAAATAATATAAAAAATCTGTAAATTAGTATATGAAGAATAAACACATACACAAGTAATGTTTATAAAACTCAAAAAAGATAATCATTTGTGTAAAAATAGCATAAATACTGAAGGTTGTATCGCCTTTATGTATCATTAGTTGTAATTTTTGTTTGTCTGTTTACATTTGATTAACAAATTTTTATCTCATCGGACATTCATCAATATTTAAGATTCTTAAACAGTAATATTTTTTGACCGTATTCAACCTGATAGAGACAAACATTATCAAGTACTCCATAGTATTCATCTCGAGAGGTATTCATAGTTTATCCAACAGCAGAAATTGATTCATGCTTTATTAATATAATGGCTGAGGAAATTTCATTATCACTAGAAGAGACCAATAAGATACGAATTCAGTTAGGTTTAAAACCTATTGTGCTTGCTGATTCTGGTACTACTAGTGGAAACAATCATAAGTTACCTGAAGTTCGAGGAGACCAGAAGGATATAAAGACACAATTTATAGATGAAAATAGGATCAGTAATATTAGAAAACGTTTAAACAAAGCATCACAGCAGATAATTCTTAACTTAAATGACGAGTCACAAACAAATGAAGGATGGTTGAACAAAGTTGGAAGTCAAGACAAAAACCATACTGTGAATATATCATTTGACGATGAAGTAGAAGATGACGATGATGGAAATATGCCTGTATTGAAATTGTCGCATAAGCTTAGCGAATTTCAAAATGGGAAGGATATCATCTTAACGTTGAAAGATAAGAGTATAAATGATGACAAATCTGACGATGATGTTTTAGAAAATGAGGCCTTATCTACATTCAAAGATCAGAGTAAAAATTTGAAATTAAAAGATATGAATAAAGAAAGAAGGCGAAAGAAATACACTTTGAATGTATCAAGTAAAGACTTGGAGGATCAAGACTCAGATAAAGAAGAGCAAGGATCAGTTTTAAGGATAAACGCAAATTCTACCATTCCAACAGATATTGAGGAACAGGGTCATGTGATTGACAACAATGAAAAGGTCAACAAAATAAAAGTTGAATTTTCCGATAATGACAGTGAAGATGACTTTAATGGTGGTGACTTTAAGGTTGCAAAAATTAAAAAGAGAAAAATTAAAGATTTCAAATCAATTAAAAAACGTAAAAAGATCAATTTACCTTCATTGATTAAAGAAGTTAAACTTATTGATGAGGATGAGGATGAGGATGATTTGTTAAGCTTGAAAATAAACCGTACAACTGATAATTTTAAGAAAGAACGACCCGACTTGGTTAATGAAGCTGAACACGATATTAAAAAGGAGGCAATGGAAAATCGGAGAAGAGAAATGGAGATTAGAAAGCTTCGTAATAATGATAAGGTAGCAGCAACTGGCGGGGGTTTGATGATTGATGAATCGGCCAGTTTCTTAACTAAGTTGAATTCTAAATTGATTGAGTCCGATGACGAGAAAGAAAATGCGATTGTAGATGATATATTTACTGAAGAAGATAAAACACATACGTCTACACCATACAATCGTTTAGAATCTACTCTACCATCTATTCCAAATGACAAGACCCAAAGTGATACTAGTGCTAATAAAGAGGTTACTTTTTCTAGCGGTTTGGCCTCAACTTTGCATTTTCTTCAGGACCGAAATGTTTTACCTACGAAACAAGAAATAACTGATAATCCTTCTAATGATGAATTATTAAAGTTGAAGAAAAAAATTGGACATCGAAAGTTAGAGGAAGAAAGAGAAAAGAAATATGGCTCAGATACTCGAATTCAGAAGGATCAACGTACAGTATCCAATATACAGAGTGAAATATTGAAGGAATATAACCCAGAGATTAATCTTGTGTATAGGGATGACAATGGAAATGAATTAACGACAAAAGAAGCATATAAAAAATTATCTCAACGATTCCATGGGACCAAAAGTAACAAACGGAAACAGGCAAAGTTCGATGAGCGTGTTCAACAAAGAAATACACAGAAACGATCAGCAATGCAATCCAACTTTTTTGAGTCGATAACTAACAATAAAGAAGGAGAATGAACTTATTGAATATTATATTACTATTTTTTTAATCATATATAATCATTTATATCTCAATTACAAGAATAACTTTGGTAAGTAATGTATTTTTTTTTATATTATCACTTTTTTCTTTTTGTTTACTTTTTTTGATATTTAGTACCATTTCTAATACTTTAGTGAAATCAATAATTCAAAGAATAATCAAAAAATTTAAGTTGACGCGAATTCTTCATTTTCTTTTTTCTAAGCGATCTTTATGCTTATTGAATAACAGAATTTTTTTTCACTCCATTAGGACAAAAGATGAAATCTATAACAGATACACATACGTAAGAAACGTTACAGTCCATAATAAACTTAATGCAACATCTTAGAACTAGTAGAAATACCCATATTAATAACCTAAATAGTTATTTATAAGTACGCTGTGCCGTTGGTTTACATAGGTTGATAATTAGAACCAAAAAAGGAACGAATCATCAAATATAGACCTATTTCTATTCATTATATTGACCTATTTCTATTCATTATATTGTTCGAGATACCTAAATTCACAACACCATTTTCTTATAGTTGATCTCATCTCATTTGATATTTATAATTTAAAATCGAATATCTATTCTTCCCTTTGGAAACATACCGATAAATATTGTTGATGAGTAGCATAGAGACAAACGGTATCACATCGGTGACGAAGAAACGTCGTGGTTCGACCCATAAGAACTTATTTGATTCAGATCTCTACAGTATTCCTAATGAACCAAACAGTTTGTACCAGCAACGGAAAGCTGAAAAGTTACGAAATACACATTACCAAAGCCATGGCTCTGTGTCAAGTCAATTAGCTGACTTGTGGACATCTCTAACGTCATGTATCTCCAAGGAATACACTAACCAATACGATAAAGATTTTTGGCCTGAAATTAATATGAAAGTTGTCGTGTTATGTTTCCTATGGTATGTGACATCATCAATATCTAGTAATCTAGCCAAGACTATCTTGAAAAAATTTACACATCCTGTTGCCCTTACTGAATTACAATTTTTAGTGAGCGCCGTCCTTTGTCTGTCTTTTGCATGTGTCGTGAATATATTCCAAAGGCCTGAATTGAACTATGGTAGGTTTGCCAAGACACTTAGGAGTTTCCCTAACGGAATTCTTCCAACTTATATGAATGGCAATTTCAAAGAATGCATTAAGGAAAGATTTTTAAAACCAGATAAACTAGTTTTAATGACTACTTTCCCACTTGGTATCTTCCAATTTGCTGGTCATATAACATCACATAAAGCTACCTCGTTAGTTTCCATCTCTTTGGTTCATTCCATCAAATCATTGTCCCCAATCATTACGGTTGCCTATTATACTACATTTGAAAAGAGGAAATACAACCCTTTAACCTATTATACTTTAGGTCTTTTAATTTGTGGTGTCATGGTTACTTGTTGGTCAAGCCATAACCACCAAAGTAAGATGGATAATAAAAATAATGGTGGTATCCTATTCTTAGGAATAATTTATTCCTTCATCTCTACAATAATATTCGTGACTCAGAATATCTTCGCAAAGGGTGTACTGAGTGTAAAATTGCAAAAAGAAGGTGTTCTATCTTCACGTTCAAGGGAAACTAAAAAGGAAAGTCGAGAGAATTACACTTCTACCGCACAGATAGATAAGATAACTATCTTGTTCTATTGCTCTTGCATGGGATTCTTACTTACCTTGGGCCCCTTCCTTACAAATGAGCTATTGCATGGTTCTAGTCTTCGAGCAGATATGAATATGACTGTTTTCTTATTGACTTTATTCCATGGAATAACTCATTTCATTCAAGCAATGTTGGCATTCCAATTAATTGGTCTTTTATCTACCGTGAATTATAGTGTTGCTAACATTATGAAACGTATTGTAATCATCTCAGTAGCATTAATTTGGGAGTCTCATCTCAGTTTCATGCAATTCTTTGCTTTACTTTTAACCATTATGGGATTATATGGATACGATAGATGGGGTCTATCTCACAAGGAATCTCGACAATTATAGAGATATAACAAGAACAACTTGACAAATTCCTCTTTAGTCAACAACCAAACATAAATAAATACATACCGTTATCTACTAATAATCACAAGAGTTAATTCCGGTGAATTTTGAGAAACACCTGCCAATTTGTATATATATGTCAGTTCATTGGTGTAGCAGGAACTATAAACTTCGGGAAGCGAGTCCCGATGCCGCAACGGCGCCATAACAAAAACAGAAGCATTCTGCAGAGACAACACAAAAAGACACATTATATACAACATTTAGTCCTTTCTATATAGAATTTTTTTTTATTATCTTGAAGTTAAAGGTGAGCTGTATTCTCTAGAATCATATCATCTTCTTGTATATATCGTTAGATATATAGATTTCATAAAAGAAACTGATGTAAGAACAATAAATAATTTAAAAACAAACAAACAACCTCTATGTGCAAACGTACAAGTTTTTGTTCTTTTGGATAAAACAATATTAAAAAATAACAACAAGGATAATCAAGGCAATATTATCTTCCCCTTATTCTAGATAAGCTAACTTTATAGTAGGACCAATTAAAGTATTTTCTGTAGGATGGAAGATCAGCCCAGGTACTTGTTTCAAGCTTGCTCTTGTTGAAAGATCATCAAAGGAGAGAGTTTTGATAAGCCCGTTAACGGCTCTGCCTCTCCTACTAAAATGAAAGCCCTTAAACACCAAAACGCATGCAAGTTAATCAGAAAAAAATATAAAATCTAATTAATTTTTCCCGCAAGGGTGTGCATCGCAATGATGTTTGCATACCTGTAATTAGGAAGATGACACACAAACAAAACACCTTCGACCACTTTCTTGGCTAACTTTCTTTTTTTTTATTTGTACAAAATAACAAGACCTTTTACTTCTTCTGTAAATATATTATTGGAATATATCATTAATTAAGGGTGACCGGAGCTGGTTCTTATTTCTATAACAACAAGCTCTGAATCGTTTCATTAACAGTATATACATAATCTATTAATAAATAAAATCTTTAACTGCTCCCCTTAAACCATAGTAATGATCACTTGTTCTTTTATTTTTTATTTTTTATTTTGTTATGTTCAAGTAAGATATTCCAACTAGTATTATGTCTCTTGTTGAAGCTACAGAGATGGGAACAACTCTTGAGATATTTTGTCTTCCTAAAGTAAAATCTAGACTCACACGGTGGAAATATAACTTCATTCGATGAGCATAAATAACCAAACACAATGAATTCGATGCAAAAATTTCATATATTAAATTCGGGGATGGGTTACCGGATTACTCGTCCACTAATAAAATATGCAAACTTTTTTTTCTTTTGTTCCTCTAATTATCTTATAAGAAAAGGCAATAAAAAAGAATTTTTTGTAAGAACAACAAAACGGCGTAATTTAAATAATCCGCCTTTCTTTTTTCTTTCCAGGTTCGGCTCTGCTGACGTTTCTTGGAGGATCTCGCGCTGTTGACTCATTTATTACTTTTCTTTTTGTTAATTTCTCGAGCGCAAAGCTAAAATACTTTCTTTTTTCTTCTTTCTTGGTGATCATAAATATTAATAATAATAATAAAAATAAATCAGTCACTTTTAATATGTGTCTTTTTTCTTTGTTATGGAAGAACGAAATACAATAGAGTAATGATGGTGTGGTGGACATATTTATGCACAGTGAATTTTACGGAGAAAAGAATATATACAACTTCTAATCATACCCCTAGGTATATTCAACTGTATATACAACTTACGAGTGTGGGATTGTCTCTTTTATAAATATTCATATTCTTGTCGTTCTTTTAATATATAAGATGCACTAATTAATAAAATTTTTAATAAGTATCTTTGGATAATTTATAATTCTATCTTAAACATTATTTATAATTTTAAAAATTGAATTTATACACATCAACAACAAAAAATTAATAATATTGATTACGACATTAGGATTTATAACATATAATCTGATACTTAATCAAACAAGAAGATAACATTTTTTAACTCTAACTAACAACCTGGATTACTAGCATTTTAAGAAAAAAACAACAGAAATCCATAAAAAAATAATTAATAAACAACTTTCATTATTTCTAAAACATATCTATAAAATTTTCTCCTTTAAAGATAATGAAAAATGCAAACTTATCAAATACGGCATCCTCAGACAACAAAAATATTTCAAATTTTAATTCTAACGACCTGTCACAAGTAGAAACAGCTGTTGCACGTCCACAACCTGCACGTTTCATGTCGTCTAGTTCCCTTGATGAAGATGCCATTATCACACCAGTCGAATCTGCTTCTTCATTTGATTACAAATCAATTGAATCTACTCCATCTGTATCATCGCTAACTTTTGATAAGAAGGACAAAACATTGGCGGTATATACTTCTACTAATGCTCTTGTCGGTGAAAAGACCCACGAACATTCTGATTCAGATGAATCAACTTTAAACGATGAAAAAGCATACACCGAAGATGATGATGACTTCCCAGAAGGTGGCCGTACTGCGTGGATGGTCGTGTTCAGTTCATTTTGTGGGTTTGTACCATGCTTCGGTCTAATGAATATCGGTGGTGTTATCGAAAATTACATTCAAGACCATCAACTAAAAGAGGAATCATCATCCACAATCGGTTGGATATTCTCTTTAATGTTCTTCATTTGCTTTTCATCATGTATCTTCAGCGGTACTTATTTTGATAGAAATGGGTTCAAAGCCCCAATCGTTGTAGGATCTTTACTTCACGTTGCCGGTATATTCTCATTGGCTAACTGTACCAAATATTGGCATTTTATCATCGCCTTCTCTATTTTATGTGGCCTGGCTAATGGTATCCTAATGTCTCCTCTAATGGGTGCACCTGCCCATTTCTTCAAGAGAAAGCGTGGTACTGCTACTGCCTTGGCAACCGTCGGTGGTTCTGTTGGTGGTGGTCTATTCCCATTAATGCTACGTAAGTTCTTCTCTATGGAGAAAATGGGTGTCAGTGACTATGGTTATATGTGGGGGATCAGAACCCTTGGTTTCATCGACTTAATTTTACTTTGTGTTTCTGTTACCTTAGGTAGAGAAAGACTACCTCATGTGGTAGACGCTCCAAGAAACAATGAATCTCGTTACAAACATATCTTAAGAGTGTATTTGTTACAAAGTCTAGATGTTAAGGCATTCCTTGACATGAAATATTTCTTTTGTGTTTTGGGAACTGTCCTAGGTGAACTTTCTTTGACTTCCGCTATTACTTATTACAGTTCATACGCAACGAGTCAAGGTATCAGTCAATCTGACTCGTACATGTTGATCATGACAATCAATTTGGTGGGGATCCCAGGGAGATGGGTACCAGGATTTTTAAGTGACGTTGTCGGAAGATTTAATATTGCCATTGTTACATTGACATCCTTATCCTTGATAATGTTCATTGGTTGGTTACCATTTGGTACTAACTTAAGGAACATGTATGCAATAAGTGTACTATATGGGTTCTTCTCAGGTTCCATCTTTTCTTTACTACCAGTCTGTTGTGGTCAAATTTCTAAAACTGAAGAATTTGGTAGACGTTACTCTACAATGTATTTCGTCGTTTCATTTGTGACATTGGCAGGTATTCCAATTACTGGTGCTATTATTGGCAACAAGTCCGTAACCAATTACCAACATTACGTTATATTTTCTGCAGCTACTTGTCTAGCTAGTGCAATTTGCTATGTTATCTCAAGAGCTTACTGTGTCGGATTTAAACTGGTGAAATTCTAAGTTATTAGACATGACCTTATTCATATCATAATCTGGGAAACTAAAAATATAAGAAGTTTCCTGATACTTCAATTTTATAGAAGTTTTTTTTATTCTAATTATACTTGTTCTGTTTAAACAATTAATATGATAATTATTAGTATTAATTTTTTTTTAACTGAACCGTCTTTAATTTTGTGTATATACCAATCTATAGTAATAATATCTTTTTTATACAATATCATGTAATGTCTAATATTGAATATTAGCTTTATTTGCTACAAGTTGGGTCAACATTTTTGTAAATATCATAGTCTATCCACTCATTAACACGACATCCTTGCAAAAGTTGCATCGCATATTCATTTTCGAAATAATTAATTAATTTACCTGAATTCTCAAAATCATAGTTTTCTTGGCCTTGCAATAACCTCAACATTCCTATCCTAAGATATATCAATGGAATGCGAAGTCCATTTATGAGTTTTAAACCGTCCTTAGTGAGAAGATGTGGTGAACACATAATGACAACAAACTTATCACGTTCGGAATTATTAACAAGTGACCCAAATGTCCCTACCAATTCCCTCAATTCTTTGGGGGTAACTTTACTCGAGGTGAAAGCTTTGCATTGGACTAAGGCCCTTAGCGATGTGACCTCATTTCCTGATTCAATTTTATTTGCAATCGGTGATAGACGGGCACCATTTACAGTACATCTTTTCGGAATTTTATCTCGATATGGTCCTAAAACCTGTTCCATTTTTTTATAAATGGGAACAACTGACCAATCTCCAGTAATATCAACGCCACCATCATGGGCCCCTCCAATTCTCTCGAGATTTGTCATGCCAAGTTTTTGACTCATTTCTCTCATTGCTATATTTTCATACAACGTACCCTGAAAGACAGTACTACCGGCCGTGTGCTTATTGAGAGAAATATACCGTTCAATAGCTGCATTAGTGATTTTTCTTACCTGTGAATATGTTATTCTCATGTCATTTGGCTTGGTCGTATTTGTATCATGAGTGATGCTAAATATACAAGTTTAGGTTGTCACATTTATCTGTGATATATTCATTTAGCTTCATTTTTTTTTTTAAAAAGAACCGAAGCTAACATTTACAAACCCAATATGATGGTCCCACCCGTAGTAGTATATTAAGAATCAGCCATCTAGTTGTTTGACACCAACTAATAGATCAAAATACGTGGTGCAAGGCAAACAAAACAAGCCAAATAAATACATACTTTACTTCAAATATGAGTACAGATAATCTAAATGTTTCTGATCCTAAATTGACCCAAAATGAGAAGTTTGACGAGACTGATGTAAAGAGCAAGGTGGTTCCTATCTTTGAATTGACAAACACCATAGAGAACTCTCTTGATGAACTTCAAGATAAAATGGATAAGAACGAAAAGGATTTTATGGCTGCTATGAACACTATTGAGCAAAAAATCAAAGATATTGAACAGTAATCTTTAGTATGGTATGAAAAGAATCAAGTTCTATCGCATTGTTGAATGATAAACAGAGGGTCAGGTGAAGATTACAGCTGTACGAATACATATTGCTTAATAACTTACCAATATAAACCAATAAACGACTAGAGCATACCTTTTTGGTTCTTCCTTACAGTGATTACGTATACGATTGTTAGCTGCTGTAGGGAATTCGAAAACAGGATCAAGGCTACACTACCTAACATATTGCTAATTCCTGAAATACATCCATATTATTCATATATTTGCTTATCTAATGTTATAATATTACAATGTTTAATTCTGATTATTTAGAGTGTTTTATTTACTATTTTATTCAACTTTTTGTTTTTTATCCTGGTGCTCAACTGTGTCAGGATGCAATCCATCAGAAACGGTTTCAGTGTTGCTAGTTGATTCTATATCTGATGCCTGAACAATTGGTGGAGTTTTTACTGATGTGATAGTGTTAGTCTGTACAGTATCAGATGTTTCAACTATCACAATAGGTGAAACGACAGTGTTACTACTCACCTCTTGCTTATTATTTATACCATCATCCGCTCTAACAAATTCAGGATGCACACTAGTACTTGGTGTAGGCGCAACACTAGGTGTGCTAGAGTCCTCTCTATTACTTCTTCCTCTCCTTTTCCTCATACCATCTTGCCCTTCATATTCTCTTACAAGTAGTCCCAATAATGTATGAGCTCTTTTTGATAATTCGTGAACCGTTCTTGTTCTCATAAACCAATCGAAGATAAACAAATCACTCATTACTACAGCCTGCTTAACCTTATCATATAATTTAGAATCTAGTAAACCAATTTTGCTAACAGCGATAAGTATGAATTTATCTTCAGTAGAGTTGTATACTTTTCTAGCGTTATTTGGCGCATAGGAAATAACCATTTCCTGTTGTGGATATTTATATTGTCGTATTTTCATATTCAATATACCTTCCTGATACCTTAATCTTTCAAATTTTCTTTCTCCATTTTCAATAGTAGTCAAGTACTTTTCATATCCATTAATATCAGTATATCTCTTCCAAAATATTACTGCATACTCTTCAACCTCCTCAGGTGTCTTCGAATCAATAGATTTTTTAATATTTTCCATGCTGGTTCTACCATACTTGGCGCATGCACTTATAAACGATAAGAAATCTCTTTTGGTCCAATTGTTGTACGCTTGCGAAATTAATTCTTGTTTCTCTGTTTCGTCTTCTTCAGTATACTCTTCTGCATTATCGATTTTATCTTGCTCTTCCTTTATCTTAACAGCCATCGTCTCATCAACGTCCTCATTATCATCATTATCGTTAGAAGAATCATCATCAGATCCATCATCATCGTCCGAATCATCAGACTTTCTAGATCTCTTCTTCTTCTTTTTCGAGCTACTATCATTTTCAACTTCCTCTTCATTTCTTTTGATATCATAAGATGTAACTTTATAATTAACCTTTTTCTTGAAATATAGCTGTTCCTTTTCCTGTAATTCGTCTACACGTTTTGGATAGAACTGATAATCTTGACCATGAACAATTTTTGGGGCACGGGGCATTCTAGGTTGTGGCGTTCCTTTGGAGGACTTAGAAGATCCACCAATAATCTCCTTATAATAATCATCAACTGAATAAGTCTGCTGTTCTCTTCTTCGTTCTCTTCTTGAGGGATTGATCCAAGTGGTAACCTTATCCTTATCTTTTTTTTGGAAATTCTTACCGTTCCATTCATAGGCAGATTGGTTTTCAATACCATTGTATTTCTGTAAATCGTCTAAACCAAGTGATTGGAACTTTGCATTTAATTGTTGCGTCCTTTCTTCACCCTTTTTCAGGATTTCATCTATATCATCATCAACTGTTATCTTCTTTGTACCATTATCGAACATATCCTTTGCACCGTATTGAATCATATCTAGCAAATCATCCTTAGAATTACCAATATTAGCAGTTTTCTTACCAGTCCCCTGTTGGATGACCAACTGATCCAGTCTCAATTTCTGAGCAGCACGTTCAATAACTTTCTCTTCAATTGCATTTTCTGTAACGAACCTATAAACATAAACTTGCTTCTTTTGACCAATTCTATGAGCTCTATCCATGGCTTGCAAATCTGCTTGAGGATTCCAGTCAGAGTCAAACAAAACAACTGTATCAGCACTAACCAAGTTAATACCAAGGCCACCAGCACGAGTGGTTAGCAAAAATACAAATTTATCAGAATCTGGTTTATTATATTCATCAATTGCCTCAATACGCTCTTCATGAGACGTAGAACCATCAATTCTACAATATTCGTACTCTCTAAAGAAACAGTAATCTTCCAAAATGTCCAAAAGTCTAGACATTTGACTAAATATCAACACACGGGACCCTTTTTCTTTTAGACGTTTTAAAAGTTTATCCAACACAATCATTTTACCAGCATTATAAACCAAATGTTCATCTGTTGTATACGGCGGACCTGGTTCTGCACCTTCAAATAGGTAAGGATGATTGCAACATTTCCTCAGTTGCATAACAATGTTCAATAGACGTGTCTTACCTTCTCTTTTTCCTACGGCACCATTGACAGCGTCAATATCCTTTTCAAGCAATGATTTGTACCATTTAATCTGCATATCTGTCATCCCCACGTAAACATTAGTTTCAATTTTTGGCAAAAGAGATTTCTCGACATCTGCTTTTATTCTTCTTAATAGGAATGGGTTTAACACATCATGCAATTGTTGAACGACAACCTCTTGGTCCTGATCAGAATTATTTTGTTCGAACCATTCATCGAAAACTTCCGAATCACCAAAAACATCTGGTAACAAGAAATTTAATAAGGCCCATAGTTCATGAAGATTATTTTGTAATGGGGTACCTGTAATCAGTAATCTACTCTTAGAATAGAACAGTCTAATAATTTGAGATAAAGAACTTTGTTCATTTTTAATACGATGTGCTTCATCAATAATCAGATATTGCCATGCCACTTTTTTTAAAACATTTTTTTCTCTAATAATCATCTCATAGGAAGTAACTAGAACATCAAATTTGGCTTGTAATACTTTGTTCTGTAAAATATCATGTCTCTTTTCTTTATCTCCATGTAAGATTAGCACATTAACTTCAGGAGTCCATTTATTGAATTCTCTTCTCCAATTATCTAACGTTGATTTTGGTACGATAACTAAGAATGGTCCATCTATTTTTTTAACGTATCTCAAATATCCAAGAAAAGAAATTGTCTGTAATGTTTTCCCAAGACCCATTTCATCTGCCAAAATACCTGACAATTTATGTTCATGCAATGAAATTAACCAGTTAAGACCCTGTATTTGATAGTCTCTTAGTGTACCTGATTTGACAAATGAAGGTGATTCGGTTACAAAGTCTTCTTCATCGAAATCATTCTCATCTTCATCTTCTTCTTCACGCATCAATTCTGCATCTTCCTCCTTTTCAGATTTCCTGTGATGTCTAGATCCACGATCTTTTTTCTTACTTGAGTTTCCATATGTTTCAGGGTTTGTGTTATTGTTATCTATTGATTTTAGTAGTTTTTTCATAGTTTTATCATGTTTAGCTCTCATACCTATAAAGTAACGAAATAGATCAGTCAATGATAATAAATATTGAAATCTTTTATAAGTGTCACCAGAATCCTTTTGTTTGGCAATTTTTGGGTCTACAGATAGGATAAACCGAGATTTTCTTTCTTTCCAATATTCTTCATCGTGTTCATCATCCTCCACTTCTGGGGAGGTTTCTGTCTCGATTTCTGTCTCTTCTTCTTCTTCTTCTTCTTCTTCTTCTTCAACCTTATTATTATTATCATGATCTGTATTCTCCGCTGCTTCTTCAGATTTATTTGATTCATCTTCATTTTTTTCCTGAGTTGGTGTTATTTTGATTTCGTTGCTGTCACCAGTATCATCTTCACTACTATCACTTAGAATAGATAGATCCTCTTTATAATCCCCATCATCATTTTTCTCATTTTGAGTAGTTACTGGTTCTTTTCGACTTTCGTCATTGTCAATTGAATCCTTTTGAGTTTCAGTGGTTGACGGTTGTTGTGATAATGATTTATTTGAAGGGCGTTCGTCGTCTGACATCATTGAAATGATCAAATAATCGATTTAATGTTTACCGTATATGAGATATACAAACCTTAAGAATATCACGATGCAAATTGTTTGCGATATCTTTATCTCTCTAATGTCCATATAAAGAAATTTTCAAAGAAAAATAGACTTTTTTAATTTGTTTATTTATTTTATTTTTTAATATTATTCTTGATTTATTCACTATTTGTTTTCGATTTTTATTTTTTATTTTTTATTTTTTTTTGACTTTTCGTGATTTTTCCAATTTGAAATTTCAGACCTTTTTTTTTACCTTTAACTGAATAACAAAACAGTCCATAACTTAGATAAGGAGAGTAAAACAAGATATACTGTTACTGAACAATAAAAAATATTTAAATATTTGAAATATACCAGAGTAGAAGAACAACGAAATAAAATAAATACATAACGAAAACAAAAAAAATTGAAATTTGGAATATTTGAAACGAATTATTTGATTAAATATATGATTTTTTAATTACTCAGACTAAACAATATGATATAATATAAGTAGAGCATAATTAATTATTTACGTATTATAGAGGTAAAGGTTTGATTTGATGAGATATGAGATGAATTATGATATTTTTAAAAGGTTTATTCCTTTTCTTACAATAGAACTCTTTCTTTGGCAAGAACATCGATGTTCAAGCCCAATTGCTTCAAGTTAGTAGATTTATGTGGTTGTTCTACTTTCAATTCATTCTTATGAGTCTTGAATACTTCAATGTTATGAAAGAACTTGTCAAACATAATATCGGTATCTAATGGACCACCTTTAGCTTCAGGATGGAATTGCGTAGAGAAGATAGGTTTAGTCAAATGGATCATACCTTCATTAGACTTATCATTCAAGTTAATGAAGTAAGGTTTCCATTGATCCTTTGGCAAAGTATCGACATCTACTGCGTAACCATGATTTTGAGAGGTGATATGACATTGACCAGTAATTAAATCCATTACAGGGATATTATGAGCTCTATTACCATATTTCAATTTAGTAGTTTTAGCACCACTAGCTAAAGCCAACAATTGATGACCTAGACAAATACCAAAGATTGGAATCTTATCGAAATTTGGATTGTTCAATAATTCTTTCAAATTATTAATAGTCTTGACATTCATTGCTGGGTCACCAGGACCATTGGATAAAAAGATACCATCGAATTGATCAGCGACTTCTTGAATCTTGAAATCACATGGGAATACAGTGACGTTAGCGCCTCTAACAACTAAACATCTAATAATGTTTTCTTTGACACCGCAATCAATCAGTGCGATGTTTGCTACAGGGTTTTTCAAAGTAGATGCAACATGGAAAGGTTTCTTTGTAGTGACTTGTTCGACCAAATGAGTAGCCATTGGATCGAAATATTCACAAGGAGTGTCATCACCAATAGTGATTCTTCCTAAAGAGGAACCTTCTTCTCTTAAATATTGAACGACAGCACGAGTATCAACACCAGTGATGGCAGCGACACCTTCTCTTTGACACCATTGAGCCAAAGATTCAATAGCGTTCCAATGAGAGTATTTATAGGCGTATTCAGCGACAACAATACCAACGACATGAGCGTGAGGACTTTCGAAGTATTTCAATAGGTTGAATTCGTCACGAGCAGAACCGTCAGGGACACCGTAATTACCGATCAAAGGTTGTGTGAAGACTAATATCTGGCCACGATAGGAAGGATCCGTCATGGATTCTGGATAACCGACTAAGGAAGTAGTGAAGACTGCTTCACCAGCAATGGATTTTTCTGCACCGAAGGAGATACCTTCGAAAGTTGGACCATTCTGAATGTTGAAAATAGCTTTGGACATTGCTTTATGTATTTGTTAATTTTTTTTGATTAATGGAGATAGTTTGTTTTTTGTAAAAATGATTTTCTTTTATTTTGAATATATGGGTGAGATTTGTTAAAATTTCAAAGCAAAAAAAAAAGAGAGTGTTTCAGTACGAGCTGGTCTTCCAGATGTGATCAGATATGTAGTCTTGACAGGTGTATTCAGATTGTGATAACTTAAACATACAACAGAATATGAAATTAAATTGAAAAATAAAATAAAAAAGGTTAATAATAATCTTTTTTCTTTCTTTTCCAATAAGAAGTAAGTTTTAAATTAAAAGTTTTAAAATGGGAGGATGAGTAAAATATAAATATATATATATATTCTTTATATGGAATTCAAAAAAGAAAAGAAAAGAAGTAGAAACAATAGGAATAAACTAACTGAAAAATTTAGAAAAACAAAAACCAACCTTCTAGTTGACTCTTCTCTATATATATAATTTATTACTTGGTAGTATCGAGCAAAAAACAAACAACGAGCATCATGATGATGCAGTCTGTTTGAAATTTCAAACTACCAATAATGAATTTATGACGATATCATTACACTAAGATACCACGGTATATACGGCCTTTTATTTCTCACTAATTCGGATATTACCGTGACATACAGAGAGTTTCTGTTAGTTAATTGGAATTGGAACTGAAATTGGAACTGGTCATAATTAATTGTAACGATTGAAAAAGAAAAATTTTTTCAGTTCGAATTGCGACCGCACTAAGAGCTTGCTGCAGAAGCCCACAAATTTTTCCATGAAATGAACAATTTTTAATTTACTTTTCATGTCTTGAGGATATTTATTGTTACATACGCCTACTGCTACTACGGCTAACTAATAAAAGAATAATTGCTCTCATTAATATACATATTCTTAATTTGGGTGCGGGTATTTCTGACGTAACACAGATATGCATAAATTTTATCTTTTTGATAGCTGGGTTTTCTATGCGTGACTCACTCTGTCTGCTCGTATATTGTGATGTGAGATAGTGGGCAAGGAGTGAGAAAGAGAACAGTTGTGTGTGATGCACGGGCGATGCCCTTCTCATTTTTTCAATCTGTGGCCGTCTCGGCATTGCTTTTTGTTACGTGAAAGGGGAAACGTAGCGAAAAAACAAAGGCAGGGCACTAACAAATCTCCCTGTAGGAAGAAGGTATAATTGCCGGAGTGATAGCTTAGCGTAAAAGGGGTGAGCTTTCTACTCCGATTCTCTCTCTCTCCCTTCCCCTTCATTCCATTACTGGTTGGCTTTTCTCGAGAGACGTCACCGGTGATGTTAACATAACATAAGCAATGATTTATTATGGTAAGTTGGTTGCTATGTGAAATATAGAGACGCCGGACTTTAAAGTCCTTTGCGATGCTAATAATAAGCTGAAGCAGATATGCTAGAGTTAATTCTTGATGGAGAGGTGCAGGTGCAGCTTGAGATATAATGTTAAGAAAGCAAAACATACTTGCTATTCTTTTCTTATATTTGTTTTCTTGACACGCTATATCTCTTATTACCTAATATTACTTTCATTAATGTTTAGTTCTTATCAGGATATTTGAAATCTGTCGTTCCAACATAATTGAGCTGAAGCAGGCATACTAATGTTAGACTTGAGCTGAATTGGACATACTGAGGTTAGACTTATATTCGTTCATATTATATAGTGGCAGGTAGAGAGGTTGATGGCATAGCTTAAGTTTTAATGTTAGGTAAGCAAAATACAATTGTTATATTTCTCTTATATTTGTCAGTGATTTATTTATATTGTATATAATTTACAGAACGAATAGAATCTAACTCAGAATGTAAGTTCAGAATTCTCTGTCTTTATATATTATTTATTTTTCTCGACAATCGGTTTCTCCTATTACCTAATCATTACGTAATATTTGTTTCATACTATAACGCGCTTCATAACACATTCGAGATATATTGATCCCACATAATTTCTGTCAAGACTGATAGTCGTTCATTATTTAAGGTGTTAGGTATAGAGGTGAAGGCGTAGCTTGAGTTTTAATATTAAGAAAGCAAAATATATTTGTTATATTCTTCTTATATTTGTAAGTGGGTTTTTATATTTGTCAGAAATTAAGATAAAGGGTTCGCCTCTAGTAGTCTCTGCAAGCTTTAATTTATTTAATTCGGACATTTTATAATATGATAATTGATCGGTCTCTTTATAATATATAATATATATAAGTTACATATTAAAGAACATTTAATATTTTATTTATATTATATTAAGAGCTTCTTTTTTATATCATTTTCTTTAAAGGTTTTTCTTTCCTCAATCACACCTTTCATTTTTGTTTTGTCTGATCCTTATCATTGTTTGATCCTTATCAATGGTTGATTTTTATCAAAGTTTTTCTTTACCTATTTTAATTAAGAGTTGTGCATATTACTCTTAATTTCTGACAAATATAAAAAATCACTTACAAATATAAGAGAAATATAACAAATATATTTTGCTTACCTAACGTTAAAACTTAAGCTACGCCTTCACCTCTATACCTAACACCTTAAATAATGAACGAATAAAAGTCTAACCATACTATGTCTGCTTCAGCTCATTAACAATATAGTGCCGCAAGGTTAATCTCCTCATACAAATCATGAATTTTGAAAAAAGCTACATTGAAATAGGATTATAAAAATATACAAGAAACATAGCTCGCATGGCGTAATGGCAACGCGTCTGACTTCTAATCAGAAGATTCTGGGTTCGACCCCCAGTGTGAGTGCTATCTTTCTTCTCAATTTCCGTGATAGTTTAATGGTCAGAATGGGCGCTTGTCGCGTGCCAGATCGGGGTTCAATTCCCCGTCGCGGAGTTTATTTTTTTGTTGCCATGACATATTATTTGTACGGAAATTGTATTTATTTCATGACACAAAAGTTCTTTATATTTTTTAACATATACTTCATATAAGATGTGGCCAGTTATTGGCAATTTAAAATAAATAAAAGATATGAATTGAATAAAGAATAATATATTACAATATGATACTAAGCGTAGTGTTACGAGAGATAGTTTTTTTTGTTTATATTACTTAAACTGTCTTGTATATTCGGATGGGAAACTCAATTATTATTAGTTTCTATTTTAACAATCGCTTACTCTTTTTCCTACTTTCTAAACTGTATCAATATAGAAAGATATATCATGAAGATCAATTTCTTATTTTGAATACTAAATATATTGGGTATCGTCACTAATTGTGGTGACACAAATATCAAACAATGTTAATACAATACTTTTCTTCGTTCGTGACTACTTTTCACAATCTAATATAGCTTTTGTTAGCCTCCAGTGCTCACAATCGATGTTTCTTCTATCTTAAAAAGGAAAATACAACACAATAGATTATTGATTATTCCTACGTGACATTTAAAATATGTTGCAGTTGTAAATATAATTATTTATTTTTCAGGTAAATTCCAACTTACTGCCTTATTTCTATGAGTGGCTACAAGTTTATACATATTCCATATTGAATGATAACAATTTTTTTTATTGTCCTATACATTAAACTAGAGAAATAAAGAGAATCCGACACCTTAATTGTATATAAGTAACTATAGTCTGTACCCTGGAACACAACTGAATATGATTGTAAAACATGCTGTTGAGATAAAGACCAGCATACAACACCACAGTCCTCTTTTAAAAAGAAGAGCTTTTATAAATGGATGTTCTACTCTTAGTAATCTACTTCTCCCACCTAATAATGCAAAAATGAAGGGAATATTTTTAAAATTATGCTTTCTTCCTTGTTCTAAATCAAGATCTTCCTTGGTAACGTCATCGCCTTTCTTGACATTAAAATTATCGAAATCATTGTCTTTAAACATCAACCGTTGAGTGAGCCCGAACCATGAATAAATGATATCGACCTCATACATACCACATATGATCATGTAACATCCAATAGTAAAGGGTACCACTGTAGTGACCCTGATTGCTCTACTATATTTTAGAAAGATTAGGACATAGCCTATCCAAAACCCAATGCCCAACCAAATCATACCAAATATGGTCCTACTTAAGGATGTGTAGTTAGAAAATGGAGATCTGGATCCTTGATAACTCAAGGAATTAATGTTATTATTTTTATTTGTCCGTTGTATTGTTCTTTTCTGTTCTGTAACTTGTGTTTCATCATTATTTTGATGAAACCTCCAATCGGACACTTCATCGTGTATATTGTGTAAAGCTACTCTGCTTAAAAATTTGGGAAAACAGTCTACTTCTAAGAATTGGTATGTTAGCATCTTTAATTGATCGAAAATTTCAGGTGTAAATTTTTTATTTTCCATTACTTCTCTAAGAATGTGAAGTCTTATATCATCGGGTATATTACTTAGATAACGCTGACTCTCAGTAGGGGATAATAAATATGTGTTACAGATATGTTCAACATTTGATTGCAACTCATTTACTGTAATATGTGGAAGTGGTAATCCATCTGGATGTTTCTTAAGCACTTCATCCATTAAAATAGCAAGGTTAGGGTTATCAATATTGAGTGCTTCATTATCTCCATCAGAATGTCTTTTCCAACCTTCTATAAGATCCGCAATTTTTGGCGAATAAGCATTGCTTGTGTTATTATTATTATTATTAATATCACCCTGAATGAAATTATTCATATCTTGTTGATTTTCCAAATCGATTCTACCATCTTCTAATAACGCATTTAACAAGACCGATGTCGTCACCGATCTATTATCATCATCTTCACTATTACTATTGTTGGAGTTATCATCTATAATATGTTCACCATTTCCGGGCTGTTCTATCTTTTCATTTTGTGTACCATTAGTTCGTCGTTCAATCATGGCTGATTCTCTTACGAGTTTAACGTAATCTTTGCAAAGCCGTATATGTGCCATCAAATCAACCCAGAAATCTAGGTAGTTTATCGCGAATGGGAATTGTGAAAGATATGTATAGAAGGACCATAAATCTACTGGTGCAACAGTTTTTTGTATGAGTACTTCATATAAAGTGGGGAGTCGCTCATTCTGAACTCTTTCAAAATCCGCATCCATTTTGTGTTATAATACTTATTTTTTTAAAACCTTCTAATCTGTAATGTCTTTTTTCCTTCAGTTTCTTTAGAATGGTTATATTTAATGTTGTTTCTTGGAGAACTCAGAAATTGATGGTCTGGGTATGCTCTATCAGAATCCCGGTTCCATATATATATATATATATATCACTTCTTCTTTATGCAAGCCTAACGGTGGTACCAATTCAGAAGCAATATGATATATATTGGATATCACATGTGGTCTCACCATTGAATTGGAAGTGACTTGGTCTGTTACCAGTTGGCAAACAGGCCCTCCGACGATTCTTTTATTTACATTTCGAACATTTCGAGCTTTATTTTTGGTGAACCTAAACGCCAATTTTCATTAGTACGGGAGTTTCTCTCTAAGCAAGCCGCTTTATTTATTTACAATGAGTGAAATGCGAGGCAAAAATTAAAATGAAATTAAAATTGCTGGTCTCTCCCTCTAAGAGATTAAAAATAAAATATACTTTGGGTGATGATTGTTCTAGTTTACTTTACGATGGTGTATGTAATGGACACACGGAGAAGTTACACCACGGGTAGGAGTAAGCGATGAACAGTTTGATACGATCTCTTGAACGTATACTGCATGCTAATATTCATGTATGTTGGCATATATTAATAAATTATAATGTAGTTTTATACAGGATTATAAAAGTGGTGGTGTTTTTTTTGACACCAGGTAACAATACAACAATGAAAGGAATATATATTCCTTAGACATCGTCTGTGTTTATAGAATTTTAGTGTCAAAGATCTAAGAAACGTGTGATTTTTACAAAGAGTATTTTTTTGATTCTTCGTTAAGATATGTTTTTTTATGAACCTGGCTAACTTTTTGACAATTAAATACTGGAATGCATACGATAGGAAATTTTGTTATTTATCAAAGTAATCATTTGTATATTTTTCTAAGAATATCAACATATTGTCCCTAACTAGTTCGAATACAGAGTTTGGGTATCGAGCTGCAATCTCATTAGAAACCTTGACTAACCCTATATCTTGTACCACCAAGCTTATAGCCATTAACAGTTGCGTAGAAAATTCGATATACCAACGATGATTCCAACAACATATTTTCACACACAAGTCAATAATAGTCATATCTAACTCATTGACACGCGCCATGATTTGGTTCGAGGTCATCGTAGAATTAGGTACGTTAACTATCTGTCTAGTACGTTGACGTTCTTTAATGCAATATTCTAGTAATTTTCTAGCAGATTGTGCAGAAAATCTTTGGGATAGTGCCATTTGGAACGCTTTGGCGGCCTCTGGATAATGTCCTAATCTACGTGCACATAATCCAAATAATTCCCATTCAAATGTGAGTTTTCTGTATTCAGAATTTTGAGCTTCATGTTGCATATGCTCTGCTTGCCATACAGTGTATACTTTGAAGTCTTCATACAACAACATGATTAAATTATCTAACCATCTTTCACAAAGACGCTTTGAACGTATTATCGAAGAAGCATTGGATACGACAGTATGACTACTACTCATATTATTAGAGACATTATTTTGTATATTACTAGTAGTTCCATTACTAGAGCCATTGTGTGAAGCATTTGGATTGTCAACATTCTCTGCTTCATGAGAGGTAGAACCCTCATTTGTTTCAACAGGAACGTTATTCAAGGATGCTGCTGTATTTGCATTTGTTGAAGAATAAGCTGCTTCTTCGGTGGCAATTCTCTGATAATCATTCTCCATAATAAATATTTGTGCTCTAAATTTTAATAAATCATCCCAACCAGTAATTGCTACAATTTCAGTTAATAATTTATAACAAAGTATGTAAGTAGACTTTAGATTTGCAGAGGCAAGATTAACCAAAGCAGGATCAGCAGTCTTATGTTCTCTTTGTAGATCTTGAGGATTTAATGATGTGACACCATCTAATACTGCATCTACTGGAAGCGGCAAGTGTAATGATGTTTTAGTTGGAAAGGGGACAACTCTTTTTAAGGAATACTTCTCCTTTGATATCGCCATTGGACAAGCATTTAATGTATACAAGGCATTTTCAACATCATTTAATCTAATATAAGCTCGTGTTAACAAAAACCATGGTTTAAATTCACTTGGAGTACAACTGACAGCACTTTGAGCCACATGTTGTGCCAAAACATAATCATGCTTCACATTTATCAAAAACTCCGCTTGGACACAAAGTAACTCCGATTTATAATCCAATTGTAATGGTACAGAAGGATGACTATCCTCGTTATTATTATTATCATTATTATTATAATCCATATTTTCATATTCTTCAATTTTCTCTAACTGATCACAAATCAATTCGATCGCATCAATTTCCATATCATTGCCGAATAGAATACGAGTCAATAGAATAACCGCTTCGGGGTAAGTCTCCATCAATTTTTCTAACATTTCACGACACTGATCAACTGAATGAGTTAAATTTACAATTTCAATCAATGTTTCCGCCAGATAGTTGTTTGTTCTTGATGTATTAATAACATCACAAGGAGAACCTAAAAATTCACCCTTTTCATATACCATAGGGAATAATTCAATAAAAGCTTCTGCTACTGCTTCAAGTTCTCCCGAGGTTAATGGGTCGACAATCAATGTCTCCACCAAGTTTTGAACTTCACCATCTTCATAATTATCCTTCATCAACATCATAGATCTAACGACACCACTAACAAAAGTTTCAGCCCAAATGATTTTACTCTCTTCTGAACTTGGTTCAATATGTATTTGATCATCATTAGCATCCAGGATAAACATCTGTACCGTCCCTGGCATATGGACAATAATATTCATATCACATTTTCTAAAGGTATTCCAGGTTGACATAGATACTCTTGCAACTTGGAACGGTTTTGCTTTACCAAACCATACTTGAGGTTGTTCAGTAATCAAATCGGCAATTTTCTTTAAAAAAATTGTGATTGATGTAGGGTCAGAAGTATCTGTCCCTAACGAATAAAAATAAGTACCAATTTCACCTTTCAATTTATCATGAGAATGTAATTCTGCCAGTATAGTTGCAGGATCTACATTGGCAATCGAAGCGGAATCTCCAAGCTTTTCAGACAAATTGGCATGAGTAGAGCTATTGCTTGAGGCAATATATTTGACTAATGTGATAAGATCAGGAGGACCTAAATCTAAGAATTGAGAAAGCTTAGTTTTACGTTCATTTATGGCGTATCCTGACTGTTCTTCCTTAACTTCAGGAATAGATCTTTGCGTCAACATTCCTATTTGATAATCTGAAAATAAGTGAATATAATGATTCCTTTCTTTTTGGAAACACTCAACCAATTTCCGAGAAATAGCGGTTTTATTAGGATCTTACAATCTTTAAGATTAATTTTATATTAATGTTTAACAATTTGTGAAAAAATAGAAATCTCAATTAAAAATATATATATAAACAAATATGTTGATAGTATATCAATGAAAAATATCTTTAATTGAAGCTTGAACTGTTTATCCAAATTACAAGGCGTTGTTTAATTTTCTGCCATCTTCGCCCTCTTTACATCTCTCCTTTTTTTTTCCCACTTATTATTGAAAATCATGAAGTACGATCCCCAGGCATACATAATAATAGTAATAATAATAATATATTAACGAAAGATTTATGATATTATTCTAGTTTGTTTTATTTCAACACCACTTTACAATCATTTGTCTTAATAAGCTGTTCTTTATTGAGCCATTGCAACTCTAACCATTTTTCAAGTTTTTTGGGTTTCAAGTCCATGAGATATGGAAGTTCGTGCTTGCGAATGTCTACCATGATAATAATTGGATCGGCCACGGTGGAAATGTTGTTGTACATCAACTCTACTAATGAAGGTGCGACTTGCTCTAATTGAATTCCGTCGTGTACTTGTAAATTACCATTATCATGGTCATGCCCACAATCTGTATATTTCATTCTGTAATAAATTATAGTAAAATCGTACATGTACTGATTTAACATGACAGTATCTTTAGGCAGCTCACTGTATTGGCAACCACCATTAACCACCCAGTTGTCACTAGAAACACCAGTGTTGAGTTTGGTAGTTACCTTTTTATTTAATGAATCTGTTGCTTTAAATAATTTGCCTCTATGGAATATCGACTTTTTGGTATAACTTTTAGACTCCTTTTTTGGGTAAAATTCCTTAAAAGCCCCAATAGTATTTACAAATGTATTAAATCTTGGATAAAGCACATTATAAAAATTTGAAACAAAGGGAGAGTATTTTTCATTAATTTTACGTTGCATCATTCCAAGTTCAGTGGTAAGAATATTTACTTCTGGAAATATTATTAGAACATTATTACCATTTCTTTTTAGAAAGTTTAAAACATCTTTACTGGCTATCTTAAAATTCTCATCTTTCATTATAATATCCTTCAATACTTCTACTTTTATCAATTTAAATATGTTACCCCATCCAATAAACCGAACTTGTAATAAATCGTTACATACTGATATATCGTTTTCAAACCATAATTGTTTCAAAATCGTTATCATTGAGAAAGTTTCCTTTTTTGATCTTAGTTGGTCATATATGATATGATAAATTAAAATATAATCAGTAACCGCCCTATGATTTGAAATTATTAATGTAGTAACTAAAATATTGTTTTCAATAGTCCTAAATTCTTCAGAATTTTCTGAAAATAATATAGGTACTGTTTCATTATTTCCAAATAATTGATTTGTTACCGTTACATTGAAAAACAGTTCCCAGACAATCAATAAATTTTGAAGCCTTGGTATTATAAATTCCATGAGAAATTGAACTGAGTCATCAAGTAGTTTGATCTTATATATACCACATATTGGTATCGATTTCCAAAAGTTTATGTACATTCTTCTGTATTTCAAAAAAAGTTTAGAATTAATTTTTTTAACCAATAATATGTGTAAGAAATATGTCACATAATAAAAATATACGAATAAAACGACCTTACATATTGACCTTGCAAAATTAAACCATATGTAAGGAGACCATTTACTTACTTGGACATTATGGCCTATTATATGTGTTTGAAAAAAAGAAAGAATGCCCATATCAAACACTTACAGATGTATCTATATAGTCCTTATAAGATGCTTTCCTTTCAATTATTCAAACTTTTATCTAATTATCTGTTTGTGTTATTGAACCTTTAATCCTTTACCATAATTTACTTCGAAGAAGTGTGTCATCTGTGAATCCAAAATTCGGCATTCCTCTCTCTTTTTTTCTTTCTTCGTTCTTTTCGCTCTCTTCTTGTCTACCGGTAAGGCTAGATGATTCAATTGGACTGAAATGCTCAAGAAGAACAATGAATATAACCCATAAAAGAGAACTAACCTTGAGGTTAACTTATAGAACAGAAGCAGAAATCTACAACTATTTGTGATAATACAAGTAACTGCTATCAGAATAATATAACAATGTTGTCGAGAATGCATTTGGGTTTGCATGTTAGCAGGTCATTTCTACAAACAAGCATTAACAGAGGCAAAGCAGTCAACCTCATATCAAACTACACTAGATTTCAGAGTACTCAAACAATCAAGAAAGATGATAAGCTCATAAATAAGAATGACTCCATTAAAGGTCTTGGAGCCACTGTAACAGCGGAAACAAAGATAGTATCTAAGAAAGAGATTCCGAAAAAGATAATCAGGCCTGGTTATTTTGAAACACCCAAAGATCCAGGTCTTAATGGGAAATTTCAAGAGGACTACCAAAGAATTATGAAGTATACTTTAATACCGCTGACTTTAACACCATTTTTCACATCATACGCTGGAATACCATTCCATCCAATGTTAGATGCTACATTGGGGAGTGTATTTCTATTGTATGCCCATTACGGATTTTCCTCATTGATATATCAATATTTACCCAAGGAAAAATACCCTAGATGGAGTACTATATCTCTTTGGACACTATATTCTTCATCATGTCTTGCATTTTACGGTCTTTATGAACTTGAAACTGAAAATAACGGTATTGTGGATCTAATTAATAAACTTTGGAACTTCGATGATAGAAACGTGTTTGTTTTCAGCACTTCATAATATTTCAATTGGGACAAAGTTCATTTAATCATAGCATCGATTTTTCTGTTGGGTCGTTATTTAGATACATTTTGTACATAATGAAATAATGTTTAATAAATGCGTGAATCCTTCATCTCTATTATTATATATCCTTATATATATATAATCAAAGGTATTAAACATATCATTTTTTACAGGAAAATTATGCATTTTAGAAATATAGATATAATATTTAGTCATTCTTTGGCGGCACCTTGCCTAGCTAATTCATCAGCAATTTCATTACCTTCATGTCCAGCATGACCTTTGACCCATTCCACTTGAAATTTATTACCTTCATCGAAGTGATCATTATTAATCTCATAATATTTCTTAACCTTTACATAATTTTGAATTAAAGGCTTAATTAGATCATTGTTAGGTAAAGAGTTAATCTTCTTATCGGAATATGTGTAATATCTATCATTCAAAAGTTTAACCACATACTCAGAATCAGTTTTAATCTTATAGATATTCTTATCTTCAGTTGAAGTTAAATTTCCCCAAATAGTTTCAAGGGCACTAGATACAGCCTGAATTTCACCTCTATTATTTGTCTGCTGACCTCCCTTTAACCTTTCTGAAATATTGTTTTGAGGCTCACCTTCAAAATAAACACCATAACCAGCTCTAGCATTATCTGTCCCATTAGATAAGGATGATCCATCGCAATATACATTTGCTAATTTGGAATATTTCTGAGTTTTGGTAGATATGCTATATTTCTGAGTAAAACTCTCTTGGGTTTCGTTAATGTGGCCATAATCAGTCACATCATTAGATACACCACTGATATAGCTATTAGCACCTCCCTCAGAATCAAACTTCATGTATGACAAACCCTTTTTTCTATAAGCATATGATCTACAGTCTTTCCAATTCTTGAAAATTTTGCTTTGAATTTCAGGGTTGTTGCTCTTTACAGCATAATAGTTTTTGGAACTGGGAGTGGTGAAAGAATAAGAAGAAACACTTTTCTTATGGACACCACCATAGCTGCCACCACCATTGTATGATAGTGACACATAAGAACTAGGCGACGGTTTTGATTGTCTACTGGAGCCAGCACTAGTTTGAGTACCAGAATTACTAGGCCGAGAGTAAGAGCTTAGGTATGAACTACCATAACCATTGTTATTGGAAGACCTACTATTAGTACTGCTTAATGTTGTACCACTGATAACATTGTTGGTAGATGAACTGCTTGAGTAACCAGAATTGGATTTCGAGAAGGCCTGAGCTTCACCATAAGATGTGAATTTCTTATAAACTGCGCCGGCGTAACCATCAATCTGCGACTTACAGTCGTTCCATGAGCTGTAGACACCTTCGTTACGTCCATTCTGGACAGCGTAATAGTATTTCTTGGCCATGCTTGTTCTTATTTCACCTAACGTCAATGTGATATTCCTGATAAGGTTTTCACGCATAAACTTGATAACGAGATAAAATGTGTTAATTTTAAATACTTTTTATATACTGCTACATGCCAACGAATACCCAGAATATACACAATACGAATACATGGTTTGGAATGAACTTGATGCACGAGGACTGAAATAAATATTTTGTATGTTTGACTAAATAGGCCTCATTGATAGATAGTTATGGGAAGCATGCTCATCAATATCGTTACATTTGTTTATATTTTTCGCGTGGTATCGCCACGCGATGATAAGTTAGTCCTAAAATAGTATTCTATCATGTCTATAAAAGATCGTTTAATATATTAAAAAATTGAAGCATATAGATATTTATTCTTGCAAAATATTATGTGACACAAACACCTTTATAATATACACATATACACTTCATAACTATGGCGAGGTATTCATTTTTTATATTTAACTCTATGACCTTTTGAAACTTTGTCTGCAATTGATGTAATAGCTATCATTTTCCTTTTCAATTTTCTCTCGTGTAAATGCTGATATACAAAGTCTGTCTCATTCTTAGAGATTAAAATCCTAAGTATAATATCTAAAAGTTCTGAATCACGTTCTAATGTATTAATACAATCATCTGACGCTTCTCTGTCCAATTGTTCTTTAGTCTTCCGGAAACTGGTTTTCATAATTGTTTTACGTCTTTCAACAGAGGTGAGTTTTCTACTAATTACAATGTTAGGGTTGTTATCACGGTACTTTTTCTCAATAAATTTATAATATGACGGTGTTAATCTTTGAATTTCTTTTTTCAATTCTGCAGAACTTTTATCATAAAATGCTGGAATTAGCAGTAACTTTTGGTAATCTTTATTTTTCAAATCTTGTAATGGAGGCCCTTCACCATTGTTGTAAAAGAAATCAATACACAGGGCATCCAACCAATTGAAAACTATTTCTACTTCTTTAATGGTCAATGGTCTACCATAACCAGGAAGTGCAGTACTATCATGCTTCCATAGAGAATTTTTTGTCAAGGCTAATTTGTTCTTCGCAATAGATAATTGCGGCAGAAGAAGATTGTCCGCGGTCTTTAAGATACTAAACCATGCTTTCAACATAACCATAATCAATAATTCATCTGTTAGCTGTGTTGCCAGTATTGTTAAATTTGAATTCAGGTAGTCAAATAAGGGAACTATTGCATCATAAATACTATCATCAGTGGGACGTAGACTTTGTGTATTATCGCAGATACTTTGTAAAGTCTGTCTTGATATCGAATAGGAGACATATGACGAAAATTTATCGACAAGTAACTCAACTGCCCTATCTCTACTTCTTGATAAGAGCCTATATGACCTTCCAAAAGAGAATAATGCGTCATATTTCTCTGTCTCTAACGAGATTTGGATGTACAATTGCCCTTGAGTGTCTAAGTCCAATGTACGGCTGTTTGGGAAGCCATCATCTGTAAAATGTTTTGGATCCAATGTCAAATTTGCTCTACCACATATATCATCCCCAGTGAAAGCTTTTAATTTACTTGAAGAGTGATGCCAGACATTGAAAGTAAGATTTGACGAACTGTTGAAAGGTAATTGAATTTCAAATTCCTCATCCCAGATGGGATTAGTAGTTTTTGGAATAACTCTTGTCATACCAGATTCTCTCTGCTTTGTGCTACATCGTAAGGAGACAGAGACATTTGACATCCCATCTTTACCATAGCCTCTTATATCTTTAGCTTCTACCACTCGAATAGAATATACTTGATGTAAAGGTACATCTAAATCGGTAATATTCTTATCATTTAAGTCATTTGATGAGTTACCATTCTCAATTTCTTGCGAAATACATTCAGGCTCAAGTTTCTCATCTAGTTCATTTACCATTTTTATCATTGTTTCGAGGTCATTTAGCATTACACAGGTCCCTTCCCTGTATTCAAATGTAGGTGGTATAACCCTTTTTTCGGGCTGTGACATCAATGCTTTCTTCATTTCATGGAATGTCCATCTTTTTTTATCTTTTACATCTGACCCCATGACACGTTCTTCTAAGTTATGATCCTCAATGGTGTTTTTCAAGGCATCAAAACTTGATTGACGTAAATCTTTTTGGATCAATTTTAAAGTACTTTGTGAATAAATCTTAATATCATCAGAAAGTGCCTTCAAAATCAATGTAAAAGCTGTTGCCAATTGATAGAAATTTCCCCAGCCTAAGTTTATTATAAGCTCTATAGATTCGTTCACCATTTTAAATATATCAAGCACTGAATGACTAAAAGGTGTTTCGTTGTTGATTCTCTCCCAGCGTTCATTTTTTAAAGAGGTAATTATGACACCTTTAATATTTTTTATAATCTCTCTAATAATCTTACGCATGTATTTATAGAACATGTTTTCTAAATCAAACGGAAATTGACGTTTTGTTTGTACCTGGATATAAATATCTCTTAGTTCTTTTAGTAAACTATATAATTCTAGCGCATTGACAGGAGCAATTGATTCATTATTATTTATTTTATAATATCTCTCGGCTCTCTTTATCATTGATGGGAAATCAGTGGCATATGCCGTTATTAGCATTTCCGCCGATATAAATGCAATATTAATTTTATCGAGCAGCGGTTTCGTATATCGTTTTTGTATATCTTTGATACTTTGGAGAAGACTTTCCCCTACCTCCTGTATATGGTGGAGTTCAAGGAACTTATCCTTAGGGAGAGTATCTAATAATGATATATAATATATCTCTGCGCATTTGAAAATAGTTTTCTTTAGTCGTCTAATAGCATTTTTATTGGTATAATCTGTATACTTTTTAAACATCACAATTGCTGGGTCTGTCTCAATATAGGTATAGTAAAATGACAAAATAGGGGAAAATTTAGGTTTCGTTTTTGTAAATAATCCTGAAAGAAGATTATCTAATGAATTCATACATTGCTCCTCAATAAATAACATATTAATTATCCACTGTTTCTGATCTCCGTCGTTCCATATCGATGTGTTTTTATAAACATCTTTAGTTAATATTTTGAGATCAATCATACTGAAAAGATTCTCAGCAAGAGGTACATTAATTTGCTCGTTTCCCAATACTGTCAAAGTCATTGATGTATAAATTAAGGATGCCAAAGTTGAATAATAATCAACCATCCAATATTTTGAATATTTTGAAAGAAAGAATAATGCGTCTTGAGTTAACTTTAAAGATGTGGATTGGTTATTACAATCTTTTGCAAACACCTTCACCATTAGAGCTGTAAACATATCCCTCGGATTTTTTGGGAGTATTTCGAAAGTTTCTGAACTCTGACCTGCTTGCACTGAACGGGTCTCATATTTTTTGAACAAAATATTCATCTCATTCAATATATATGATTTCCATAATTCGTAATCATCATTACTTGAAAAATCGATGTTGACCAGGGGTCCCTTATCATTTTTAACAGAATTACTCAATTGTCTCAACTCTCTACAATATTGATCATTATTTACATATTTAGATATCTTAATAATATCTTGTTGAAGTGTCAAAGGGTCAACATCAAATATTTCAGCAAAATATGATGAATGGGTAACTTGCTCTAATCTGAATGTTGGAATATTTTTCAGTGTTCCAGATATATTCGCTTGATCTTCTAATGATCCTATATTTGATTCCTGATATATACAGGCTCTTTTAGCCTGTATCGATGGACCTGGACTTTTCAAGGACCTTTCATAATCCTCTAATCTTTTTATAAAACTGGATGAAGCTTGTGAGGCGTTTGCAAGTTCAATCAATAAAAAAATAAATTTAGAAATTTGATTATAGAGTTCATACTGGAAATTTCCTGTCTGAAATTTTGTAAGTTGGTTACTGGCTGTCTTAGAAAAATATACTATCATATCCTCAGGCCTTATTATCTCATCAGTAGTTTTTCGAAGGGTTGGGTTCAAATAATAATCATTGTAGTACTTCATTAAACTTCTTCTATAGTCTTGGTTTGTTATACCGACTTGGTTGATAGTAACCTTATTCAAATATAATTCAAGTTTACCTTTTAACAATGCCAAAGCGGTATCGTCATTCTTTTCTTCTTTTATTATGTTATTTCCTCCAGAGCCTAATCTTGTTATTCTCCCATTGTTTAGATCACCATACCGTTCACGTGAGGACTGTCTCTGATCAATATTAATAGATTTGGAGCTCTGAAACCTTGGCTCATTAATATATTCCAAAATTAATAGCTTTAATGAATAGGAATATAGATCATGAGGGCTAACCGCTGGAGAATATGAATCCTTAACAGATGGAATATCAGGATTATTATTATGAGATAACGATGTGGATGTCGTAGATGTTATCCTTTTCATCCTTTATAATTTCTCATATGATTTGCTCGTCTATCTTACTACTAGAAGTAGTTTTCTGATGAATGTGTGTCAAACTTCTAACTTAATATGTAGATTTTTGTATGTAAACAAAAGAGCGGCTTGAAGGCTCTTGGCGTTAATCTATATTTGGAACATTCTAAACGATTGAGATATAATCTTATAAGTCGAAAATTGAATAACATATTTAGTTCATAGACAAAGTAGCTATTACTTATATTTACATTACGTAATACTTCAAATAATGCTCTAGTTTGCATCATTTTTGATTTCACCACATAAACAGTAATTTTCAATACGTTGACAGATAGGAATTGTGCTCTGTATAACATCGTTCCAACTTTAAAAGTACAGGACAGACCAGTTTACCTGATGGATATAATGTCAATATCATAAAGAAAAAAATTGTAATTCCATCAAGAGTTAAGATCATTTGATTTTGGTTCTTCAGAACTAAAATATTCACGGCCACTACTCTCACTATCGGAGGAATAACTTTCTCTCTTGTTTTCATCATCCAAATCTACATCATCGTCTGACGAGTCCAAAGTAGAATTTACAGTATCCAAAGATTCAGCATGAGACGTTATATCATTTTGTTCTGAATCACTGAATTTTATTATATGTGGCAACAGTAATTTGTTCATGGAAAATATGGTGACTTTCTCTCCAAATATAACTTTCATAGGATCGTCACATATGACCTCCCGCTTGTCTTCAGGATTCTGCAAGTTGTTCTCTCGTATATACACCCATATTAATTTCACGACCTCTGTTCTTGTAGAATTGCTTATTCCTAATAAATTCTGTAACGGCCTACTAAGTTTAACAATCGCTTTACTCATATGATTTTCGGGAATATTTCTTCGTTTTTTAGGCCCAGAAGATTTTTGAATCTTCCCTTTTACATTACTAGTATCTTCCTTTTTCAATTTCTTATCCCATCTTTTAAATCTACTAAGTAGAAGTCGTCTCTCTTTATCGACATCCTCACGAGGCACTTGTTGTATGGCCTGACCTTTAAACTCATCCATTTGATTTCTAATAAATTCATTCAAATTTTCTTTTCGATAATTCTCGAGATTAACTAGAAACGCATCGGTAAGCATCATTTTGATCCTATTTATGTTATCTTCCATAGCTATCACTTGAGGCAAAATAGCCCCCATGTACGGTACTAAATTATCGAAATGACATAACTTTTCACCCTTTCTTCTGGTCATGATATATCTTGTAAATTTGTTGTGTTCTACACATTTTGAAATGAATTACAATAAGCTTATAACACTTTCTTAAAAGACAAGCTAAACTCTGTTTACTGGACTAATTGTTTGTTTGTTTACATTTCGGCATTAAAATTTAAATAAGAATCGGCCTTCTTCCAAAATTATTTCATCAAAAATAACAGGAACTGAGATTTAGAACTACCGTAGTCTGTAGGTTCATTAATGGGAACAATTTGATGTGATAGACTTAAAAATTTATATGTTATCCTAAATAATCATTTAAATATATAAAAAATACAGATGACCTACATATTAAAATGAAACCAACATTAAAGATCGCTTAGTATCTTCTGTTTGGTCTAGCGTTTTGTCTGGTGTTTTGAGATCTGTCTTGGATGTAAGTACCTGGAACAATATGTTCTGGCAAGTGCAAGTAGTCTCTTAAGTATTCTACACCTTCTTCAGTCAAGGTGTAGTAATAGTATTGCCATGAGAATTGAGTCTTGACATAACCCTTGGAGGTCAAGGATTGTAGAGCCTTGATGACGTATAGGTTTCTGGTGTCAATTTCTTCATGCTTTGGTTGGTTGAAGTCCTTCTTGGCGACACAAACACCTTCTGTTTAAATAAGTAAATGTTAAATTTTTATAATAATTCAACTCTATTTTGTTAGTAAATTATTCAATTATGATCAAAAACACTAAAAATAAAGATTATGACGGATATTGGATGCAGAGATCTATTAATATGAAATTATGGACATTTCTGTTACTTGAGTATTATTTCATATGCTATTGTTATCCTGAAGTTTTTTCCACTTCTATTTATTCTTTCTCTTCTGCTATAATATAATGAAATTCCTAAGTCTTTAGAAACGTGCATCACTTTCTTTTATTCAGGTTTCTGATATATGTATTTTCTTCATCAGATTCTGAATATATCAATGTTTAAAATATTATTTGGTAACCATTAAGATATATTTCCTGTACGTGCAATTTCTTATAACATACAGCATTCTTTTCTATATCAGCTCTCTTAATTAATTTCTAAAGTAATCCAAAATATATCCACAACAAATTAACGTTTAAAAAACGCATTAATCCCCATTCATCCTAAAATCTTTCTTCAAATTAAAACATACCTTGGAATAAGTATCTGAAGATCTTGTTTCTTTCGTCCTTTGGCATCAACATCTTGACTATATTATATGTATTATCACTACTGGTCTGTTTTACAATTTAAAACAATAACTATAAAAAAAGTCTACTATGTTTATATATAGCTTTTTACTTAAGCTGGTCAAACCTTAACATTTGTATGTTGTTGGCCACAATAGCTAACTGTGACAATCCTTCAGTAACGTTAGTATTTACAACATTATGGGAGCCATACGCTAAGCTGGTGGTGAACCATATTGGCCCATTGCAGAAACTGTCTAAGGATGATACACAGACAGTGAAAAATTCAGAATCGGAGCCATCCACTATAGAGAATTATGTTGAGCCATCGCTGATAGTATGAGAGGGTGCCCGATTGACATTGAAAGACGTTTGAGGTTAACAGATTCTTGCCATAGAATCTGTATTTCCAGAGGGAGGATTCAGTGGGAAGTATTGGCTTTGGTAAGAAAAGTTAGGCAGACAAGTCTTCTCTTTCCCCTGTGGAGAATTTGGTTTCCACAACATAGAAGACAACGCAAAATTGGTTTACTTGGAGACTCTAGATTAATTGATAATTTACAAAACTTGTTATTTAGTCAAGCGGCATGTCGCGTTCTTCAAAAATGATTTTTATTCAAAAAAACAAAAATTTCGAAAATATTTGAAAAGAGAATATTACCATTCATTAATGCACGGGTGTTAGAGCAGTCAAATATAATGGATATTTTATGAAATTGCGAAAGTTCAATTTTCTCGAATTTGCATTTCATTGTGAACAAGAAACATACAAAATTAAGGTATAGTCATGGAGTCGATGATGGTGCTGTGAAAACAAACAATGTGATACATTTGTCAAGGAAGCAGGTCAGCTGTTGGATCTCGGAATATAATCTTAGGGGAAACATTTTTATCTCTAAAAGCAACTCATGATTAATCGATCTTCTGAATGACCTGTAAGTAAAGCAAGGATCTTTTCGCTAAATTATTGTTAGTGATATGATCCTTCGACATATACGAAAAATAAGATAGTCCAGCTTTTCATAATTTGCTTAAAAGCTACCTCTCTCTTTTTACTTTATCCCGTACGATATTCAGTAGAAAAAGGGTTGTGTTCAAATCGATTTCTTGCAAATAATGATTTTCCATGCGCTTGCGCCAGTCGCCTTTTAAAAAGATAATACAGATTATATGGAAATTGGTATCATTTAAAGGGTTATCGAAAAGGATCATCTATAAAAGAAACTACTACCAATAGTAAGCGTTAACTCTATCGAGTATGTCTGTTCGATTGTTAAACGATGTTGAAATACAGGGCTTGGAGGATTTATCTGATGAAAGTATCATAGAATTATCGGAATTGTCAGATGATTCAAGCACAGAAAACAGGATTATTCATAGCATTAAGAAATATATACAACAAATCCGATACTTTGTTTATGAAAAAAACTTCTGCCATCTCACGATTATACATTATACACTTCTTGTTATATGGTTTTCTTTTCTAATTAATAACATTGCAAAGTATCAAAAGAGGTACCAAGAAAGTAGATTGAGAGCGTCCCGATATTTAAATACCATCCTTTTTGGTTGCTCTGATATTTTGGCACAGTCAATAACCTGCTATTATTCCCAACGTATTGACCCAATTCATGGAGTATTTGGTTCCACAACAAATAATCTATTACAAAGATTTCAATCAACAATCCTACCAGAAGAACCTAATCTAGATACAGGCTATGAGAGTGATTCATATTCGGTATTCAATGACTATGGAATTACTCCAGTACCCTCAAGGGAATCTCACATGAGAAGTTATGAAAATACTGAAGAACCCAATATTACAAAATTTAACTTTACAAGATTTATCACTTTCTCTCTGTGGGGACAATGCATATCGTTTTTCCAAGTCCCATGGTATAGAATTTTAAATTTCTTCTTCACGGAAGATCCATCCGTTGTACAAGTATTTGAAAGAGTGTTAGCTGATCAGTTACTATATTCTCCAATTTTTTTATTCTTTTTTTTTACTTATTCAAATTTCGTTATGGAAAGAGGGAATAAAGAAACCTTTAAAGTTAAGATTCAAAAATTATATATTTCAACTTTAGGTTGTAATTTATTAGTTTGGCCATTAGCGCAATTAATAAATTTCTCAATGATACCGAAACCATTCCAAATACCTTTTAGTTCCTCTGTGGGTGTCCTATGGAATTGCTTCCTTTCAATGAGAAATGCATCTGATTCAAAGTCATTATAGAACGATCATATAATATAAAAGAATAAGTGATATTCTTGAATAACAATTATTTAATGTAAATATTAATAAATTATTACGATATTTAATTTGATAAAAATAGTTTCTTGGAATATTTATACAGTTATGGAATGGTTAATAGCTGGATGCTTAAACAATATAACTGTTTAACTCCTCTTTTATAATATTTTTATACCTTTTACTGCTCTTCCTCTTCTTAAAGTAAGGCTTCACTAGCGGTGGAATAATTAATTGGGCATAATAATTAATAAATGCCCAGATGAGGACAAATATCTTCATACTATTTGAGACACCAGTAAGTTGGAATAATTCACCTGCCCAAGAAGGAATAGGGATATACATCACAACAATACTAGCAAAAATAGACGCCAAAATATCCACTATATACCCCACATTCTTTAACATTGGTTCTCTATAAGGAGGTCCCACCGATAGTACAACTGATACCAAAATATACTGGAAATTTGATATATAAAATAAAATGGTATTATCGGATGATTGAACAGCATCATCTCCACCTACAACAGGTTTAATATACCATTCTTTGCCTTGAACCATTTTCCAAGGAACAATCTGAAATATAAGTATAATAATAAAACTAATAAAGAGCGGAATTAAAATTTTAAGCGATACTAAATTGGCAGATGGTCTCTTTTTGGTAAGTTTGTGATATGGTTTTGACCATGACATAAAGATGGCAATCGGAATAATCAAAAACAGATCGATGTACAAAAACTGGAAATCACCCAGGTTCGAACCTCTACTATATAGGATCGAAATGGTGACAAATTGAATTGCAGAATATAAACTCATGTACTGGAAACAAGAAAAGGATGTAACCAAAGATGCACGTCCCTCTTTCATTACATCAATAACACAACTGATATCAAATATCTTAGAAGTAAAGGGCGCAGCAACCGATGCCTCTGCTTCAGATAATGATATCCCAACATCAGCAGCCTTAAGAGCACCACAATCGTTTGCACCATCACCACAAAACCCAACAGTATAATCAAGCTTTTGTAACTGTTCAACCAATTCGTGTTTTTCGTCTGGGGACATTCTTGCATACACAGATGACTTGAGTAGAACATTATCTAGATAGGTTTGCGAGAAATTTGTTTCATTAGAGAATATTACACGGAATATATCACCTGTAACAGCCATTGTGTATTCTGAGGTGTTACAATCTTTTGGGGTTAATGTTACTGGATCTAATATATTATCTGGATCGTTTAACTCTCTCCAAATAATTGGATGCTGTTCACCTGGGTCACATAGATACGGAAGATAAACAAGATTTTCTTGGATTAATCCACACTGTTTTCCTACCGAAACAGCAGTCAACACATTATCACCGGTACACATAACTGTTCTAATCTTTGCATCACTTAATACAGAAAGAGTTTTGGGTGTTGCTTGTTTTAGTCTATTTTCAAAAATGATAAATCCTAGAAATTCTAAGTTCGTCTCAACTTCCTCTCTTGAAACCTTTTTAGCATACAACCAAGTATGCTTTGGTAAAATTTTACCGGCACATGCAATAACTCTATAACCGGCAAGTGTGTAATCATACAATTGTTGTTCATAATCATGTGGAATTGTATTTCTGTTACAAATACCAGCAATAACTTCAGGCGCACCTTTTGTAAATGCATAGTATACATTATCACTGCTAGGTTTTACAATTACACTGAGACGTCTCAATTCAGAAAGAAATTCAAAACTTCTAATAATACCTAGGATATTTTTGGGATCATTCTCAATAAATTTACTATTTTTGTCTTCATTATTTGGGTGCACGACAGCAGGTATTATATCTTGATTTTCAGGAAACACGGAATCTTCATGTCTTTCTTCATACACAGAATGGAATGTTTGATTTTGAAAATCTTCGTCATAAGACCACCCAGTAAATTGAAACATTTTAAAATCTAATGGATCACCAATCAATTCCCCATCTACTACCCGAAGAGAATGACACGTCAAAATTGACATTAGGAAGTTTCTATTTCTAATATCTGTAGGTGAATTGCAATCATTTAAAGAAAATTTAGGGAAAACTGTGTGTATATCATTTTTAAGTTCACCGAATGCATAAGAGTTACGACTGTTTGGTTCACAAATTTGAACCCCCAAAACATCCAGATCGTCTTCAGTCAATGTACCAGTTTTATCAAAACACATAATATCTACTTTCCCACCAATATTAACCCTTGTTGGAGAAATGCAAAAGATACCCTTCTTTTTTAGTCTGCTTAAGGCAAAACTTGTACCGATTGTCAACGTTGCAGGTAAGGCTGGAGGAACGACAATAGTAATTATATCCAAAGCACGTAATATCATAGTTCTCTTATCTAAACCAAGTTTCATAAATTGTAACCAACTAAAGAAGAAACCTAACAGCGCAATTATCGTCATGACACCAATATATTTAAAGGAATCCTTGTAAAATTTAAAACCGACGGGTTTTGGGAAAACCATGGATCTAATTAATGAACCTTTGGTTGTTGAAAACCCAGTACGTACAACCATAGCTAAGGCAGATGTTTGTCCCTTCGAAATCTTACATCTAATAATGATTGTACCACAAAATAAGAACGATTTTGAGACAAAACTTGAAATCTGGGTATCTTGGAAATCCTGGATTAATTGGCCAATGATCATTTCATTCGCCGCAAGTTTCGTAACTGGGACAGATTCACCAGTTAACATTGATTCATTAACAATACAATCACCTGACAAAAGTATAGAGTCTGCTGGAAATACAGTTAACTGTGGATCAGATACTTCATACACATCACCTGGTACCAAATCCTTCGAGCTAACAGTGATCCAAAAACCTTCCCTAAAGACACGAACCTCACAGTCAAAATGTGACATTTCTGCCAAGTTCTTGGCGGTTTTCGTAGTTTGGAAAAGTGTATCTACAATGGACATAATGGAAATTATAAATATACAAGCCGCATAATAGTAATACTCATCCAAACTCCACAGAATAATTGAAAAAATCTGAAAAATATAGAACGGATGCAAAACTTCATCCCATAATAACTCTGATATACCTTTAGTTTTTAAATCAATTTGATTTTTATCAAACACAAGTACTCTGTCTTCTTGGATAGCAGCCGGCAACCCAGCATACACTGTATTTAGATCTATCCAATCTGGATCCGCCCAATTGTTATTTGTTCTAAAGATGTCTCCAAATGGTGAGTATATAAACTTGATATACCTATAATGGAAGTATATCAAAACAGGAATATTCGGATTCTTTTCACTAGCATGATGATGATATATCTCTCTATCCAAATTATCAGCGGCGTGACTTTCATTGTGAAGTATGGTACTGAGAGGCCTGTTGTACCAACATCTTTGAACTGGTTCAATTTGTATCTCTCCAAACTCGTTTTCGATAACAACCCATTCGGCTTTACCTAGAGGACATCTTTCACCGCAAAGTTTAACTTTCTTTGAAGGTAACCATAACATTAATAAGTAAAACAAACCAAACGTTAATATACATATTAAACGATATATGAAAATTCCCAAATGAGAGTTCTTGTAACCAGCAATACCAATAACCAAATCTTCCTCACTAATATAAAATCTTTGGAGTCTTTCTTCAGCTTTAAGATTTGGATAAAATTTCTCATGATATATGGGCTTTAAAAATTCGTCTTGATGTCCAGTTTTCTTATGATGTTGTCCAGACTCTTCCTCAGAGGAAATAATTTCAGAGTCTTCATCAGACACTCCTTCATTTTCTGGAGATGGTAAAGGTGCAGAAGCTGATCTCGTATCTAAAAAATCATCTAGATTTCCTTCTAATTCTGTTGGAATTCTATCTCTTATAGTATATCTAGATGAACTTGAAGAAGAATGTGTTGATACCTGTGACATCGGATCTGTCGAAACTTGCTGTTGTTTATGAGCAGGCCCAGTTCTTGTTAAAGGGTGTCCTTTATAACTAGGCGTCCCATACTGACTATTATTTGATAATGATGATCTTGGTGATGCACTATAGAGCGAAGACCTTCTGGATGCATTCTCTGACCCAAATAAACGTTGTTGTTCATTAGCAGGCATAGGATCCCATTCTGTATTATAATCGGTATGCTCTAAAGTAGAGGCCCCCTCGGCATTATTAATCTGTTCTGTTGTGAAGAAATTGAAATGTGGACTACGTTGCGAACTGGTTGAACCCCCTCGGGGGCGATCAATCAGTGGGACATTATCTGATAATCTACTCCCATGTAGTTCTATGTTATGTGACGTTACAGATGTGCCCAAGAAGTTGCTCGATTGTAGGGAGTGAGGATGATGAAATGATACAATAGAACTTGGGATTGCTTCAAAAGGTACACCTGAAAATGGCTCTGTACTGTTTTCAGGTAGTAGTCCTGATGTTAAAGTAGCAGATGATGACGATGTCATAGCCGATGAAAAAGATCTCCGTTCCCTTCTACTGGATTGTCTGTAGTTTTCATCTCCCATTACATTTTGTTCAGTACTGTGAGATGACATTGTGGTTCAATGAAGGCTATTTGAAATATATTTCGTTGTAATGTAATAAGACACAAAATGAATTGATATCTTGGCGTTCTTTTGTAGGCTCTCTCTATTTGTTTCTAAATTGTACTTTCCCTGAAATTGTGCCTGAAATCCGGACCTTTTAATTTCGTTAAAAGATACGATTATTAAGGTGCCCGTTCACGTGTTAACAGAGTTGCACTACTCAAAAACAACACTATAATAATATATGTGTAGAGTATACAATTCTAAAAACAGAGTACTCCAAAATAATGAATTTCTTACAAGATTAAATCCTATTTAATATAAATATATATGAAACATTCTATATTTGATGCCGTCCCTGTTTCGAAGCTTTTCAAGTTATATTGACATCTCTTCAAAAATAAAAACAACATTGGTTGCATTATAAGTAATTTGAAATACAAACAATAAAATTCTTCTCCTCTCATACAAACAATGCGAATCGATGCCACATATGTGGTCTGATAAGTTTTGCGATGTACTGAAACAGACTCTTCTTACCTCATGGCCGAAGACAATAGAACTTTATTATTTGCTTTCTTAATAAATAAATAAATAAATAAAATGATTATAGAGAAGGCGAAAAAACGGAAATTATTTTAAAGCGATGAGATGAGATGAGCGATGAGGTCGTGACAAATGACTGAAAAATTTATTTTTTAAGTGATGAACGAAAATTTTTTTTGGTATTGATATTACGGAAGACCCACTAGAGACTGGCGATGAGTTTATATAATATAATATAATTAAGTAGATTATTACATTGATTAATTGATCTTGTTTAACGTATTCATTTAAGATAGCTTAGTTAAGAGACAAACATTTTTTTATTCTCATAGACTGCAATAGAAGGTTAATTATCAATAAGATATTAATATGGCTCCTTCTACTAAGAGAAAGAGAGATGAGGAGTTTCCTCTCGCAAGAGAAGATGCAACACAACAACCAGTCGCTTCTTCATTGGTCAGAACTACCGAGGAAGTATCATTCCCAAGAGGTGGTGCTTCTGCATTAACTCCATTGGAACTGAAACAAGTAGCAAATGAAGCTGCCAATGATGTTTTATTTGGTAATGATAAGGCTGTCCCAGAGACTTCAAGACCAAAAAAGAAAAAGAAAACTACTAAAAAGGACAAGACTGAAGATACTGAAAAATCACAATCAGATGTCACTAAGGAAGAATCTTCTGACATAATACAACATATTGGTTTCAAAAACTTGAAGGTAGGTTCTTACCTATTGGGTCAAGTCTCCAACATATCTAAAAATGATATCTGCGTTACTTTTCCAGATGGTATATCTGGTTATGTTAACATGGCTCACATTTCGGAACAATTTACAACTATGCTAGAAGACATGGACGAAGAGATGGAAGAAAAAGAGAACAAGGACGAATATGACTCTTCTGATGATGAAGCACAAGATAAAATTAACGAACTACCAGATCTACACAACTACTTCAAAATCGGTCAATGGTTGAGATCCTACATAACAGTCAATACTGCTCTAGAGACTAGAACTAAAAGAAATAACAAGAAAAGAATTGAATTGTCCGTTGAGCCTAGTATTGTTAACGCATTCACCGAAGAAGACTTGGTTAAAAACTGTACTGTTCAATGTGCTGTCAAGAGTATCGAAGACCATGGTGCCATCTTGGACATTGGTGTCGATGGATTTACCGGTTTTATCTCTAAATCAGATGTTCCAAGTCTAAAAGATTTGCTACCAGGTACTGTCTTTTTAGGTAACATTATTAAAAGAACCGACAGAACTGTTACTGTTAACACTATTTTATCGAATAAGAAAAATAAAATCACCCAAATTTCTGCTGTTGATGCCGTATTACCGGGTCAAACTGTCGACCTGTTATGCGAAGAAGTCTCAGAAAATGGTATCATAGGTAAAGCATTTGGTTTAGTTCCAGGTTTTATTGGATTATCCCATCTGAGAGTTTTCAAACAAGATAGTATAAAACACAAATATGCAGTCGGTTCCAACATTCAATGTAGAATCATTGCAGCTTTAATAACAGACGATTCCGAGAGAACTTTAATGCTTTCAGTCTTACCTTCAATCCAATCACTGGAAACATCTTTATCAAGCACTGAAGCTCTAACCGCTTTCCCAGTTGGTTACACATTTGAATCCAGCAAAGTTTTGGGGGTTGATTCGCAATATCTTTATCTTCAATTAAATGATGATCATATTGGTAGAGTTCATAAGTCAAATATCGGTACATTAGAATCCAAAGATAATCTAAAGGCCAGAGTCCTTGGATTTGATTTAGTGGATAATGTTTACGAAATGACTACCAACCCAGATACTGTCAACTTGAAATATTTGAGACCTTCAGATATTCCAGTTGGTGAATTACTAACAGGCTGTGAAATTATTAATGTTTCCAGCTCTGGTATTGAATTAAAAATTTTAAACGGACAATTTACTGCTAAGGTTCCATCTCTACATATTTCCGATATTAGACTTGTATACCCTGAAAGAAAATTTAAAATTGCATCGAAGGTTAAAGGTAGAGTTCTTGCTGTTGATCACAGAGGTACAATATTCGTCACCTTGAAAAAATCGTTGGTTAATATTGAAGACAAAGAAATTCCTCTTGTAGTATCATACCAAACCGCTGAAGATATTAAATCAAAGAATGAAAAAACTATTGCTTCTGTTCAAAAGTTCACGCCTTCTGGTGCCATTCTAACCTTCTTTGGTGGTATTACAGGATTCCTACCAAATGCTGAAATTTCAGAAGTTTTCGTTAAGAAGCCAGAGCAACATCTAAGATTAGGCCAAACAGTCAGTGTCAAGCTTTTGAATGTCGATGGTGAAAACCACAGAATCCTTGCATCATGTAAAATTTCCAATCAAAAAGCCCAGGAGCAAAAGGAGAAAATCCAAGATATAATCCCAGGTAGAACCACAATGAAGGTTACTGTTATGGAAAAAACAAAGGAATCACTCATTGTTGAAGTCCCAGAACTTGGTTTAAGAGGCGTTATATATGTTGGTCAACTTTCCGATGATAGAATTGAAACGAACAGAGCCGCAATTAAAAAGGTTATCGTTGGTTCTGAATTGGAAGGTTTAGTCATTGACAAAGATACCAGAACACACATTTTCAATCTTTCATTAAAAAAGTCATTAATAAGAGACGCCAAGAAGAAAATGCTTCCATTGACTTACGAAGATATTAAGAGGACAGACAAATCAACTCCTTTACACGGTTACATAAAGTCCATATCAGATAGAGGAATTTTTGTAGCATTCAACGGGAAATTCGTTGGTTTAGTTCTTCCAAGTTATGCTGCAGAAAGTAGAGATATCGATATTTCAAAGATATATTACGTCAATCAATCTGTGACAGCACATATTCTAAGAATGGATGATGTTAATAAGAGATTCCTTCTAACTTTGAGAAAGTCCAATGAAGAGAAAAAGGCACCTAAAGACGACAAGAATTTCGAAGCTATCGATCCAATGGTTAAATCTTTGGATGATTTTGTATTCGGTAAAATTGTTAAATGTAAGATTGTTGGTATCAAGAAGACTCAATTAAACGTTGCTTTAGCAGATAATATTCAAGGTAAAATCGATGTATCGGAGGTGTTCGATGACATAAACATGATCAAGAACAAAAAGGAACCATTAAATGTATTCAAGAAGGATGAGATAATTGAAGCTAGAATAATTGGTAGCCATGATGCTAAAAGTCATAAATTTTTATCAACTCCAATCCAAATTGCTAAGGGTTCAGTGCTAGAATTAACTATAAAACCATCAGCATTGAAGGCCAAATCTTACACACCAACAGAATTAACTAATGTTAAGATTAATGATGAGCTAGTAGGTTATGTCAACAATTACAGGAATGACATCCTATGGTTAACTATATCACCATCTTTGAGTGCAAGAATTTCTGCATTTGATTTGATTGAAAGTGAAAAATCTCTACCAGAGAATATCGAGCAATCATTCCCAATCGGTTCTGTCATCCCAATTAAGGTTGAAGGAATTGATTCCGAACACAATTGTGTGTCCGCTGTAACCGGGCCTCATAAGGAAAAAACTATTTCCGATCTAGTTGTCGGTTCTAAAGTTCCAGCACGTATTAGTAAGGTAGGTGATAATTATGTACTATTGGACTTGGGTAATAAGCTGACTGGTATCTCTTTTGCAACCGATGCACTTAACGATTACTCTGTTTCTCTAAAAGATACTTTCAATAATAAAATTAACAAGATGGTCGTAGCTACTATTGTGTCTGTGGATATCGAGAACAAGAAGATCAATCTTTCTCTTCGTTCCGACAATGCAAAGACAAAATCAATTACTTCTCATAATGATATCAAGGAAGGTGATATCGTACAAGGTATCGTAAAGAGAGTAATGGATAAAGGTATTTTCGTTTATCTAAGTAGTAAGATCGATGCTTTTGTTCCAATTAGTAAATTATCCGATTCTTACTTAAAAGAATGGAAGAAGTTTTACAGACCAATGCAACCAGTAGTTGGTAAAGTTGTTCAATGTGACGAAGATTCTCGTATTTTGCTAACATTAAGAGAATCTGAAATTAATGGTGAAGTACAAGTATTAAAAAATTACAATACTATTCAAGCAGGTGATATTTTCAATGGTTCCGTTAAGAATGTTACCGACTTTGGTGTATTTATTAAACTTGACAACACTGTTAACTGTAGTGGTTTGGCTCATATTTCTGAAATTTCCGACGAAAGACCAGAAGATATCGCTGCTCTATTTGGTCCAGGTGACAGAGTCAAGGCTGTCGTCATCAAGACAAATCCAGAGAAGAAGCAATTGTCGTTAAGTCTAAAAGCCTCTCATTTCTCCAAGGGCAACCAAGTTGAAAAGAAAACTGAAAAGGTTGAGGAAGAAGCTGATGAAGAAATTCAATTTACAAATGATATTGACTCTGATGATGATATGGATGTTGATGAAGAGGAGACTAAACCAAAACGTGATATTACTACTATGTCTACTGATGGTTTAAGTTTGAGTACTGATTTTGACTGGACTGCCTCTATCTTAGATCAAGCTAACGAAGTTGAGTCTGAATCTGAGTCTGATGAAGATTTTACCGAATCTAAAAAGCACAAGCACAGAAGAAGAAAAGAAAAGATTGTTGAAGATAAAACTATTGATATCAATACAAGAGCTCCAGAATCTGTTTCTGATTTCGAACGTTTAATTATCGGTAATCCAAACTCGTCTGTCATTTGGATGAACTACATGGCTTTCCAATTGCAATTAAGTGAAATAGACAAGGCTCGTGAAATTGCTGAACGTTCCCTAAAGACTATTAACTTTAGAGAAGAAGCTGAAAAGCTAAATATATGGATTGCGATGCTCAATCTGGAAAATACCTTTGGTTCTTCTGAGACTTTAGATGACGTATTTAAGAGAGCTTGTCAATACATGGATTCTTTCACTATTCACAATAAGTTGATAAGTATATACCAAATGAGTCAAAAATTAGATGCTGCTGCCGAATTATTCAAAACAACTGCCAAAAAATTCGGTGCTGAAAAGGTTTCTATTTGGGTCTCATGGGGAGATTTCTTAATTAGTAACAAGAGAAACGATGAGGCTGCATCTGCTTTAAGCAGCGCTTTGAAGGCTTTACCAAAACGTGATCATATTGAAGTTGTTAAGAAATTTGCTCAACTTGAATTTTTGAAGGGTGAATCTGAAAAGGGTCGTTCGTTATTTGAAGGTTTAATTTCTGATGCTTCTAAGAGAATTGACATATGGAACGTTTACATTGACCAAGAAATGAAAATCAAAGAAAAGACCAAGGTTGAGGACTTATTCGAAAGAGTTATCTTAAAAAAATTAAGCAAAAAGCAAGCTAAATTCTTTTTCAATAAATGGTTGAGGTTCGAAGAAGCTAACGATGATATTAAGACTTCTGATTATGTCAAGGCTAAGGCTACAGAATACGTCGAAAAAAACAATAAAGATGAATAAACTAAATCAATTATCCATCATCCTATTATCTGAAGCATCGTAACGTCATCATGTATATTAAAATTTTGTAAAGTATCTATGAATATAAAAAATGTCATAAGAATCGAATCCATTATGTTGCATAATATATAGTTGCAAGAGGTCTGGAATTCTATAGTTGGCAGACATTTATACAAGCTAAATTTATCATTTCTCCGAAATCTTGTCTAAAACAAGCTTAAATTGGTTATATGTAATACTACTTTTATTACCTTCATATCTAACAACATCTACAAAATATTGATCGTAATGATCCATAATCTCATCTATATTTGACCAACAACCAGCTTTTTCGATTAAGTTCCTAAACGTTTCTGTCTTATCCCAGCATTGCTCAATCATAACATCTGGTAAAAATGTGGCTGACTTTATTTTTGAACTATGAGGATCTCTAAACCTCAATTCAATACCATGTTTTCCTAATGTCCAGTTAAATATATCATTTTCTTTAATACTTTTTTTACTATCATATATAACCTTAAAATTTTGCAATATATTACAATAACATTTTAATAATGGCACTTCCGTTTCTAAAATAGGACTAAACCTTGTGTCTTCTAAAGCAGAGACAAGAGAAAATCTCTGAATGCCGTCATCAATTGGTAATTTAGAAAAAGTTCCAATACATCCCCTTAACTGATACTCATCCTTGCTGTGTTTCTTCTTCTTCCATGTTACAAACAAAGAGGTCTTTTCCTCAAGATCTACTTCAACTGTTGGATATAATGTTTTACAAATCTTTGATAGAGTCAGCTTGCGACCTTGACTTTGTATGAAATAGGAGTATAGACAATAAAAGGCATAGAACGCTTGAGGTGACCCTGGTATATTCGATACTGTCATTTTATCTTACCTACTTTCCCTTATATATGATTACCCAATTAAAAATACTAAAGTGACTCTTCTTATATATATATATAGTAATATGATTGAAGTAGTTATAGATAACCTGAATTCTTATTTACCTAAACTGACATAACAGTAATAATTAGTCCCCCTAAAATATCTTTTAACCTTTTTTTTATTAATAGTGCCTTACTAAGAGAAATTTTATAGTATGGCGTTTTTTAATCTATCACGACGCGGCAAAACCTTCTTTTCCAATTTATATATAATATATTAAATAATACTTCTGAAGATAACAACAATACATATTTATAACTACAATCAAAGGTAATAATATGGTAAATACGCAAATATTATTTCTTAAAACTTAAGCTTCAGTATATTTGAATTGGTAGAAATTTTGAAAGGGAATTCCGTGCTTATTTCGTTATTTTTTTCGAATGGAACTATGAAATTGAACATACTCACAAAACTGTCCATATGGGTATTAATATACCAAGTATTTGTATCGTGCCAGAATTTTTATGATTCTGATCCACACATTATTGAAGCAAATGAAAGGAATTTCGATAAGATAGTTCATTCTACTAATCAAACATCGTTAGTTGAGTTTTATGCACCATGGTGTGGTTATTGTAAACAATTAAAACCTGTGATGAATCGTGTTGGTAAGAAGCTGGATGGTATTGCACAAGTGGTGACTGTTAATTGTGATCTTGAACAAAATAAAGGTCTATGTTCGAAGCATGGTGTAGAAGGGTTCCCAACACTGATGGTATTTAGACCTCCCAAAGTATACAGAAAGGGACAAAAACATGCAAATGAAAAATACCAAGGTGAAAGGACAATGAAACCAATAGTTGAATTTGTTAAATCAAGAGTGAAAAATTCTGTGAAGAAATTACGTAGTATTAATACTATCCAAAATATGTTAATTAAACATCACGATACAATTTTGAATAATTTCACAGTAGTATTATTTTCCAAGGTAGATATTATTCCACCTATCTTTAAAAGTATAGGGATTGACTGGTTAAACCAAGTCGAATTTTTCATGATGCATAATAAGAAAATAGAACAAATAAATGAGGAGGATAAGACTTGGAGTAAATTTGCCTCATTATATCCAACAATGTCTAAATCTTTGAATGAACTCTTGCAAAAACAAATCCATAATATGGATTTTAACCGATTACTATTATTGGATAAAGTCAATGATGAATTACATATCTACGATGGGAATCAAATTACTAAGATGGACGTTACCAAATTTATTAATGGGATAACCCATTTGACTCCACAAGAGGGCCCAATGAGTAAACGTCAAATGTATGTCGATAGTATGAAATCAGGAAAGAAAAACAAGAAAATTCGTAAACAGGGTAGAAAGGGAAATGTGAAGGACGAATTGTAAATCCAAATATGATGAAATCTAATCATCTTTATAATTTTTACTTAGTATTATTACCAATAAAATTTATTGATCTAGTCATATATATACGGTGTTCCGTCTATTATTTTAGTAGAAACGATTCCAAAAACCAAAAAAAGTTTTTTTTGGTGATATTTCCGAAAACTTTGAATTGGCGATGAGCTGAAAAAATTTATTTTCATACAATATTTAGAAACAAACTTACTTTTGTAGTAAGTAATACTATATATACACTTTATAACAGATTGGAATATTCCTATTTGTAAGATATAGCTTTGTAAATCAACTATAGAGTCACAACTAAGTAAGAACAGAGATGTCTTATTTTTTCCAGAATATTAAGGCAACTAATGATTTTGACGAAGAGGACCAATACGAAGAAGATCCAGATGAATTAAGAAGAATCCTACAGAGACAACAGAGGAATAGTAAAATATCTGCTGCTCAAAAACATGAATCTGATAATGGAAATGATAGTGATGATGACGATTTAAAGACCTTGTCATTTGGTGCTATAAAAAATGCAGACAATATCCTAGAAAAAGAAACTAAGACTGAACGACGTTCACAGGATAAGGGAAAGCCCAAAACATTCAGAGAAGAAAAATTCGAAGATTCTGATAGTAATAGTGATCAACCTGAAAGTGATGGACCAGAATCAGAATCAGATTCCGAAGGTGGGTTTTTTGAAGAAGACAGTGACAATGATGAAACGGAAGATAATAATAATAATAATGTGAGAAACAGAAAGAGTGGCTCCAATAAGAACCAAAGACATAAGCATGCACCAACCGAACAATCCTCTAAGAAACGTGTATCGCGAATTAGAAAAATAGATGGGCTTAACGATAACAGACATGGTTCCAGTATATACCAGGATATTAGATTCGAGAAATCCACTGGGGCAGTTACCGATGAATCTGTGATTAGGCGACGTTACGCATTCCTTGATGAATACAGAGAGAAAGAGATTTCAGATCTTGATGCTCTATTGCATGATCGCAAATTCGTTGATAAATTGAACGACAGAGATCGTGAAGGCATGGAAGGTGATTTAAGAAGTATGAAGTCTCGTTTACAAAGTATCAAGAATAAAGATCTTGAAAAGAATATTATTAAAGAATATGAAGATAATATGAATAAAGATAATCAAACGCGATTCCATTTAAAGAAGGCTGATAAAAGGAAGGTTGTTCAAAAATGGAAGTTTGATCATATGAAGGCTAAACAACGTGAGAAGGTCATGGAAAGAAAGAGAAAGAAGAGATTAGGTAAAGAATTTAAGCAATTTGAATTTCATCAAAATAGGTAAATGAAAGCTATTATTTGCCGAAAAACAGAAAAAGAATATAAATAAGTATATATATATATAGTATATATATATATAGTATAGTATAATATATGAAGAGAGACAACAAATAACTTGCTAGATATGTGTATCTTAATATTATTTAATATCGCGACCACCATTAGCCAACCATTCAGTCATAGATCCAGGGTACACAGCTGTAGTTGAATATCCATTCTTACTTGCAATATCTTTTGCAGCAGCAGCTCTAATACCTTTTGCACAAAAGAATACCAATTCCTTATCTTCAGCTGGTTTCTCAAATCCCATCTCAGCCTTAAATTGAGATCTACTTAATGATAATGCTTCAGGTTTAGTCTTATAAGGAATGTTAATAGTATGTGGTAATTTATAATCCAGTAACTCAGAAGGTTCTCTCACGTCAACTAACACAACTTTGGAGGATGGGTTCTGGACTAGAACTTTAAATTGGTCGAAAGTATAGATTTTGTTAGAATTGCTACCATATGTACGGTACATTAAACCCTTTCCGAAAACAGATTTAATCATTATTTTTTGTGGAAGTGCTTTTAGGGTTTTATTTTAATGTAGAAGTTTAATTTTTAGTAATAGTTCTATCTATATTAAAATATGTATGTATGACCTTTTTTTTTTAAGCCTGTAATAGTCAGAAATAAGAAAAATTAATCAAAAGAAAAAAAGAAAAAGGGGACAGAAATCCTGAATACCAATGATACTTCTCAATTGGTTGATATAAATCACATATTATATATTCAGCAGCTATCACCAAAGTAAAAATTATTAGCAAAGACACTTTTCTCTCGTTTAAAAACATTTCAATTTGTAAGATATACAGGTAATAGACAATATATATATATATGAGAATATATAAGTAGAAATAATTAAAATCCACAGATAAGAACGGTAAATTAATTAGTTAATCATTCCAAAGTTTATAGTTAGAAACTCAGCTTATCACCACCATTGCTAACCCAATCATTCATAGAGCCAGAATAAATAGCTGTATTTGGGAAACCGTTGTTAAACGCAACAGATCTAGCTTTAGCAGCACGCATACCAGAAGCACAGAAAAATACCAATTCTTTATCTTGAGTAGGCTTAGCAATACCGAAAGAGGATTGGAAATCTGATGCATCTAGAGCGAAACCATTTGGATGAGACTTATAAGGAACATTAATAGAGCCTGGAATATGAACAACAGCGTATTCGGATGGTTCTCTGACGTCTACTAGAATGACAGAAGGTTTACGGTTAGTGGCTAAATCTTTCATTTGAGAAAAATTATAACTTGGACCAGTAGGTTCATCGACAGGCATTGGTAGAGATCCACCTGTTCCTGTGTAAGGGTTGTTATTTCCATTCCAAGCGTTGTGTAAGGCAGTCCAGATACCCATAGTGTAAAATATCAGAATGAAATAAAAAGTATGTGCGAGGTTATTAAATACAAATAGAACTTGATGCAATATGTATTGTACCGATAATGATCCTTTATGAATAAGAACTCTTAAAGAGTAAATTTCTTAACTCCAAAGATATATAGAAATATACCCCTTGTACCCTTATATTTATATACAAATCTAATCTAAGAAAAAGTCAAACTATTTTTCCTCTTACTAATTCAGCTGAAAGCTAATAATGTATGTGAAGTTTTCGCTTACTAACAAAATATCCTAATGTCCTTCTTGTTCGCGCATTGCCGATAGTTCTAGCAGTAGAAATAACAGCAAATCAGAGAGAAGGGGCAGTTCAAGAGTATCCACTTAGTCAGCTATCGAACTCAGATGATGTGATGAGTAAGCATTTGCGAAGTGACATACACACAGAGAGATACTATTAAGTTAGTTAGTTGTATATAATTCATCAAATGCAGGGAGACAGAGAGGGAGAGAAGATTCAGAGGAACATGTAAATTTGTCGTTTATTGAGTCGTGTTTTATGTATAATCTGTATAACTTATACTGTTACTTAAATTTGTATTGCGAAATGTATCTATAAAATGATATGTCATGAAGGAAAGGAGTATAGCATGTACAATTCGTTTTTTTAGATGTATGAATATAGCCGTTATCCTTTCACCTGTGTTTATTTAACGTAGTCTTAAATCACTGACAACAAACTCACCATCACCAAGATGTTGAGTGTTACCCACACTTTTAACAACAAATTGTTTGGTTTCTTTCATATAGTCAACAATGGTCACGGATGTATTAAATACAATAATCTTTTGAGCGTTTTGTCCGTTATAATCTAACCATTTTAATATGGTTCTAATTGCACCACCATGACTCATCAAAGATATATTTTTTAAATTCTTTTCGTTACTTTCAACGACTGCATGATGAATACCATCCGTTAGTCTCTTTGTAAATTCTTCAAATCCTTCACCAAAATCTCTAAAGGAACCTTTGCCATGTTTGTCTGCGTATTTCTCAGCATCACTAATGTGCATGCCTTCAATGACCCCCATATGTCTTTCTCTTAATGCAGTGGTTAACTCTACAGGGACATCCGTTTGATCTGAATATTTTAGGACAGTTTGTAAAGTTTCCTGACATCTAATCAAATCACTAGAAAATACTTTGTCAAAATGGATGTTTTGTTCTTTCAAATAAACGCCTAATTTCTCAGCTTGTTCAAAACCTGTATTATTAATTGGAATATCCTTATGTCCCTGAAGAATTTTAAGAACATTATGCTCTGTTTGACCATGTCTGATAATGAATATTCTTAGAGTATTATCATCTTCATTATTAGTATAATACGGATTTTCTTTGCTTACTGTCATGATTGATATACTTTGGTGATAATGCTGCCCTGTATTTAGTTTACTAGTTCGATATTGGCATGATGTTGCAACTATCTTTATACCTTTCATATACATACGTATATACAACAATTATATTAAATGACATTCTCTTTGTCTAAGTCCTACGTTAATTGTGTATATTGTCCGATCGTTATAAGAAAGAAAAGCAAAGAAAAAAAAGAAAGCACGAAAACTTTTCGGTGATGATGCCATAATAGGAACCACTGATCGCTTGCAATGGGTTTCGCACTTCTCCTATTCTTTACTAAAATCATTGAATATGTAAACATATCCTTTTTTCCAGAAATAAGTATTATTGATAGATCTAATAATTGACTTATTATTTGTTCTCTCTTTTGCTCACAAATCGAATCAATTTTATACTAAAAAGTTACCGGTCCTCAATATATAAATAGATAATGCAGAACGAACCTATGTTTCAAGTCCAAGTGGATGAAACTGAGGACACAGAATGGAATGATATTCTAAGAGCTAAAGGTGTTATACCGGAGAGACCCCCATCTCCAACAGCTCAATTAGAAGAAGCCTTGGAAGAAGCCTTGAAAAAACAACATGAAAATAGACTAGAAGATAAAGATATTAGTGATTTGGAAGAATTGGAAGATGATGAAGATGAAGAGTTTCTAGAATTGTATAAAAGGAAACGGTTGGCTGAATTGACTAGTTTGCAAAATAAATCGAAATTTGGTGATGTGTATCATATTAACAAGCCAGAATACAATAAAGAAGTAACATTAGCAAGTCAAGGTGGTGAAAAATTCAATACAGATGAAGTAAAAAGTACTACTTTCATAGATAGTAATCAATCTAAGATCATGTCAGAAGCTGCAGATGGAAGTACATCAAATGACACCAAAGTAGTAAATAAGGATGCCATATATGTTTTCGTCCATTTATCGTTACAAAGTAAATTACAGAGTAGAATACTAGCTCATATTTTTGAATCAGAAGCACCCAAATTCCGTGAAATTAAATTTGTCGAAATACCTGCAAATAGAGCCATTGAAAATTATCCAGAGACTAATTGTCCAACTTTACTTGTTTACCATAATGGAGATGTCTTAAAGAACCTAGTCACTTTACTTGAACTAGGAGGTAATCAAACCACAAACAAGGATTTTGAAAAATTAATGGTACAGCTAGGTGCTGTTGATGAAAAGGACAATAGATTGGAGATGAACCAAGATGATGATGAGTCTAGAGAGGCCAGATTGGCACAGTTTGGTAACATAAACAGTATAAGGACCGGTATTAAATCTAAATTTAATGTGGGTGTCGGCAATGATTCTGACGATAACTATGATGATGATGATGATGATAATGATGATTTCTTTTCATAGAATATATATAACGATTCATATGTTGGTGTAGATAATAAAAAAATTCTTGCCCTCGAATATTCGAGATAATTTAGATACTTGATTGGTTCAACGGACAACCTACCTTCCCTCGTCTATTCAAATCTACAATATGCTATTTTTATATTTATTTTACTTCTTTAATTACATAGAATAATAAGTAAGCTTCATCCTTTAATGCTTGTTCCTGGGATATTTCAGAAACCATGGAATCATTGAATCTAAACCATTTATCTTCATTTACTTTTAAAGTGGATATATAATGACCTTCATTTACAGTGCCTTTATGAGAAACTACCCCTATCAACTCGTAGGTAATATCTTTGGCCATAGCAGAATCATCTAGTTTACCATCATCACAATATTTAGTTACATTTAAGTATAACGGATACTCCACAAAATTTGTCAATTTTACGTTATTACCATTAGGTAAATGTTCGAATCTCTTTAACTGCAACGTTAACATGGATCCAAGTTTATCAATAGTTAATTGCTTTGCTGGATCATCGGTTGTATTACATTGTGGACAATGGTAATGATAATCATTCAATATTTCTCTCTTGTGGAAACTATCCAAACAATTGTATAATGTAGCTTTATCCTTAATATCCAATGACAGATCCATGAACGGATCTACAATAGTCTTTGAATCATCATTACAATTAGAACATACGATGGAACTTTTCAAAGCGCCCTGAAACATTGAATGTATCAGACATTTACAACTAGACCCCTCTCCAGTAGAACTAGTACGGTGTTCTACCCTTTTGTAATCATTGTGAATTTGATTTAATAGAAATTGTAGAAATTCATGAGCATCCTGTTGTGAATAACCAGCGAAATTCTGATTTATCTTCCATGCACAATTTAAGAATGATATAAACCCTTCGTGTGGATCCACTGGGGTGCTGTTATCTGATTGCTTATTCCCAATATTCCCATATGATTCAGCTATAATGACGTCTAAGGCACATGATATACATCCAGTAGGATCTTTAATTTGACATTTGTTATAATGTTGTTGGCTCATGGAAAAATTTACAATATAAGGATTATGGATCAAACATTGTATGACACTACTAATGAAACATGTTGACCCCATATTAACAAATCCGTAAAGACCATCTCTCCGTTCTGCTTGTGGAATCTCCGTAGTTTTATTGATTTCATCCCAGGATTTGTTTAGGAAAGAAGAATTAATCATTTCGACATCAGAAACATAATCTTGGCATTTAATACAATATAATAGCTGATTACTAGAATTAATACCAAATATATGGTTCTTTAGAATAGAATGATCTTTAAAATGAGAGTTGTTCCAACAACCAACATATTCACATTGCAAGCATATAAAGCTGGATCCCGCATTAATTTCGTTACATGTTGTACAACGCATAGTATACATCAACTTATCATTTTGAGACGAATGTGATAGGATATATTTTGTGATATTAAATGTTTTCATTACATTGTCTTTAAATTTTGGATCCCCAATAATTTGTTCAATATGATTGCAATGAGTCATTTTTTTAATAGTAACACTTCGATTCAATTTATTTTTATTTATTTATTTATTCTTCAGTTGGAAAATATAGTTTTTTGAATGAGATCACTATGAGCCTTTTGTATTAATATTATATGATTTCAAAAAATAATTATATCTGGAAAAGGAAGAGCTAAGAAAAAATAATTATCGTGATGAATGTAAATATTGATGCAATTATAAAGATTCCACAGATCTGTAAATATATCGACAGCTGAAGTTCTTCTTTGATATTAGTTCAGCTAGCTCACCTTTTTCCTTTTGTAGATTAAATTAAATTTTAGCCTTCATTATAGGTAAAAGAAAAAAAAAAGATTATGCTATGTAATACTAACACTACCTAGAAAACAATACATAGAAATATATTATACAGTAATATCCCGACAATATAAACCTGGGCAGATTTTACCACATTAAAAGATATTTGTTAAACCGCGAAGAGTGAAAAATAAAGATAAAAAGAAAGAATAAGTTATTCAAAGAGAAAAGACATAGATAATAAACACCAAACACTTGAGGACAAGAAAATAATACGACATTATATTTCCTAAAGCAACCAGATGAAGTGAGAACAATTAAATGAATATTTAAAAAAGTTATAAATCTCCTTGCCAAACTATCGTTTTTTTATTACCTTTAGATTTCCTAAAATAATAATAAAGATAGCCTTATATTGATAGTATTCTAGTAATTTCATTCTATTTAAACAGATATGAAAATATAAAAATGAGTTGTGATTAGTATGTTAATGAATATTATTAAGACATGCTAATTATTTACTTCGTTAGAAGACTCTAATTATAAAGAACAAACACATATTTTTAAATCACACAGAGACACCTGTCTAGCAATGAGTAATACTTGAATATATATGCTTACATAATCCTATATCATAATTACCTAGTTGATTATATCACTTAAGGATGACAAATATAAGTATTAATAGCCACTAGTTCATGCTTATTCTCCCACTTCTTTCTACCAAATTATAAGATTGATATACTTGATATACTTGATCCAATTATAGAGCCGTAGAGCATTCAAATTATATAATGGAAAAAAAAACATTTGATGACCCGCCATCGCTATGACAACCCAAATGGAAATGTGAGTGGAAAAAGAAATTCAATGGTGATAATGATAATGATTACAAACGGGTCATGTATCTGAGCTATATAAACACACATTTGCCAAAGGTTTTGCTGTATATCAGAGTTCAATTACAATTAAAAACAAATACAGAAAACACATAAAAAATGACTAGCAAAGGTAAGATCTTAATGTTGCATGGGTTCGTTCAATCTGATCGTATTTTCTCTGGTAAAACAGGCGGTTTACGTAAAAATTTGAAGAAGTTAGGTTACGAGCTATATTATGCTAATGGACCTGAAATAGTAGATAAATCCACATTGCCAGGTGGTGACGATAATAAGACTACTGAAATGCTTATTGCTGACGCGAAGTCTGATGATTTATACGGTTGGTGGTTAAGAAAGACTTCCGGACCTCAAGCATTGATGAATTATGAGATTCAACAATCTACATTTGATTATTTGCATGATTATATTGTTGAGAATGGGCCATTTGATGGTGTTATTGGGTTCAGTCAGGGTGCTGGTCTCGGTGGGTATATTGTGCAAGATATTAGAAATATTTTAAATTTAACTGAAGAACAACAGCCTGATTTGAAGTTCTTCATTTCATTTAGTGGGTTTAAACTGATTCCTGATATATATCAAGAACCATACACATTAAATCATGCACCATCTTCTTTACATGTCATTGGTGAAATGGATGCTGTAGTGAGTGAAGAGAGAACAATGCAACTATTCAATGAATGGGCTGATGATAAGAGAGTTCTATTAAAACATGCAGGTAGTCATTTTATTCCAAATTCTAAACCATTTGCTATGCAAGTTTGTAATTGGATAAAAATTACTACTGAAGAGGAGACAAAGAAAAATAAGGAAACTGCTGAAATTACTAAGAACAGTAAGAAATCTGCTGATCCTGGTAGTTTAGAAGATGATTTGATGAACATGATGGATTCAATTGGAAAATTATAGAACTTTCTCAAATATATAAATACAAGATTTTTATAATTAATAATAAAAGGTATAAAATTTATTAAGATTATTCAAGGAAACTATATCAAATTTAAATTTAGCTATGCTATATTTCATGGAGATTTGCGGAGAAAATGTAGACAATCATGTTAATCTTCCAGTTGCTTCCCCCATATGGGGTGAATCCAAAATACAAAAAAATGGCAATATGATTTATTATTCTTCACATTAACTTGTTTAGGTTTTCTTACATTTTTTTTCACTTTTGGCGACGCCAGTAATCAGTCGTTGCAAGAAACAAAACAAAGAAGTAGACGAAAAGAGGAAGCAGAAAACTGAAAAATAAAAGACAGACAGACATTAACGCGCACATTCGAAACGTTTCCAAGTAGAGCCAAGTAATAGTGAAGAATTCTTGGAATTAGATAAATTTTGAAACCAAAATTAATGAAAGAAAGGCTATATTTGTTATATAACTTTGAGGGAGTTAGTTATGACTTTATAGATAGAACTTGTGGTTTATATTATTTTACTTTGTATTCTCTATTAGATAAATTTAGATATTTTAATTATTGTAAATATTTTTTTTAGAAAGGGAAGGTTTACCATTATTAAAAAATTAAATTGCGATCCAAGAATAAAAGAGGTAATATTACATTTATTATTTTAATATTATTTATTATAATACCCTTTTTCCTATTCTAATTTAAAGAAAAGAGTGCTATATTATTCATTTAATAGTTTAAATTAAATATTAAATTTGAAAAATATTTTTACATCTTTAGTTAAGTCACTAGATTTACATTATATATTATTATTATTATTTTATTGATTTATTAGATTTTCCAGTTTAATATTATTATCAACATTTTCAAAACAGAAGAAAACAGTTCATATATATTCACGAAATCTTTATATTTCTAAACCCTATATTATCAACTTCGAGCAGCATTTAAAGGTCCAAAAATAAATAATAAATTAGAAATGGCAACTGGTAAAATCAATGATAATCTGAAAACGATTAGAAAATTGTACAAAAAGACAGAAGAATTGAATGAAGAAATTAAAAATGTTATAAAAGATATCAAGCCTATGGAATTCGAATCATATGCAGATTATTTTTTAATACATACTTTTAAGAGTGGGATTTCTGAAAGTGGGAGAGTTAATCTTGATGGGTTAAGAAAGAGAGAACAATCAATATATTATAAGAGAATTAGGAAACCAAGCGAACAAAAGATAGATGAAAATATATCCTTACCACCAAAGAGAACACCCTCAGAGGATTCATCTACTTCAATTACACCAGCACAGACAGTATCATCTTCTGATAAAGAAGATGTGCCAGAATCAAAAATCGATGGAAATGGTGCAGGTAATAAGACAGTAAATAATGTTTCAGCTGAGATATCTCTAACTAGTATAATTTCTTCAGATGATATCCCAAATGATGGTGACCATAATATTAGGAGATCTTCCAGAATATCACAAAAGGATCGTGAAGATAAACTAAAGAGAGAACATGAAAAGATAGAAGAGGATGCTCAACATTCTGTTTCAAGAAAGAGACATAGGGGACCTGGTAGGCCACCTAAAACTAGTCATATTGATAGCAATGATGATGATACTGATGGTAATTTCGACTCTACCACATATTCTAGTAACGTCGACGAAACACCTGATTCAGAACTTATCGTTATTAAAGATTTATTTGAAAATTTGGTTCCAAAAATTAGAAACCCTCAACGAAGATCGGATTGGGTTCTCCCACCTAAAATGAAATATGTGCAGGAAAAGCAATTACACACAAGACCGGAATATAAATCTATCAAAATTCATGAATTGGTTAGTACTGACAGAATGAGTACAATATTGTCGCGTTTTGAAGGTGGCCTAGCTGGTGTACGTAAGTAAACACAGGATATTTTCCAATCATAAATTCCCAAAAAATATATTCAATGCCATAATAATCATTAATAAAATCAATATATGTATATGATTAAATAAATAAAAGTATTAAAATAAATAAATAAATAAATAAATAGATACATGCGTATATGAATAAATAAAAATAAATAAAATGAGAGATCATAAATAATAAAACCTCTCCATTGTAACATATCCCTTTTAAATAGTGATAAATGGCTATTAACAAAATTTTATAGCTGTTATGAAAATAATTTAACTGTCAAGAGATTGACTAGTGTTTAACTGTAGTTACCATTGATTTTTGGAAACCATCTATAGCATCTAATAAAGAATCTGGTGTAGGTTGAGGACTAACAACTTCTGGATTAATACCGTTGTCTAACAAATAATCGTTTGTTGTTGGACCGATACATGATATTCTTAAATCTAATTTATCCTTAATACTTGGATTTTGCTTCAAAAATTTAATAATATCTTTAGCACCTTGAGGACTAAAGATAACCACCCAACAACACGATTTACCGTCACACTCTTCCTTATCGGCTATATCTACTAATGTATTTTGAAATCTGTCTAGATTATCGTTTAGAACATTAGTCTCATAGGTAACTACTTCCTTCACAGAAAGACCTCTCTGTTTTAACTTGTTCTTAATAATATCTCTGCGGATAGCACCAACGAAGGACAAGATTTCTCCATCGTAGTTATCTCCAATATCTTTGATAATAAAGTCAGAGAGTTTATCCCCGTTCCCCATATCATCACCTTTCACATTACGAAACCCTACTCTTCTCAAAAAATCACCCGTCGCAGGGCCTACAGTATATACTGATAGATCTAATAACTTTTCTCTTTGTTCCTTAGTCAACGTTGGAATGATACTTTCATTTAAACATTCTACAGTTCTCTGCGAGGTAACTATTAAGTATCTTAAATTACTTATATAATTATTGTCTTTTAAAAGGTGTAGGGCCTCCACTGGATGATGTGTATGTGCAATTAAAGGCAAGAATTGAACATCTGAATATTTATTATCCTTCGATTCAACCTCGTATTTATCTAATGGGGTGGTTTTATTCTTTAAAAATATGATGTTATTAGACATATGTTTTGTTAATTGTAATTTCTTATTGTTTGATTGAAAGACAAAGTCTTATATGTGCAAAGCACAATTTGTGCAGAAAATGAACGTGATATTGGTAATTATTTAGTTTCTTAGGAAACAATTAGTTATTGAAAATGTCGGTATTTGACATTTATGTATCTATTGCTTGCGATGTATATATATACATCGCAAACAAATTGTATGAGTAAGCAGCATGCATTATTCCATATAACCCTTCACCCTCGGGAGTCCATATCTGAGAGAATCAATTGGGCTAATTGTGCGGACAATACTGAGGGAAATTTATCAAAAAATTTCAACAAAATCTTTTTTCTCCTTCAATTTTCCATTTATCATCACCACGGACGGTGTGGAGAGCACGAGCACGTGAGCTTTCATAAAATATTCTCAAATAATGATTTAATGTGTATAATGATGACTGTTATTCTTACAATTATGAAGGATATTTTATATTCCTTATTTAGTTATACGTATACATGGTTGAATGTTTGGTTTTATTTATTGTTATATGAGTTTTATTTTATTTTTATTATTATTGTGAATATGCTTATTCCCACTCGACAGTGGCGGGTGGCTTGGAGGTGATATCGTATGTGACTCTAGCTACACCATCGACTTCGTTAACAATTCTGGAGGCAACATTCTTTAAGAAACTGTGTTCGAATGGGTACCAGTCAGCAGTCATGAAATCGGTGGTTTCGATAGCTCTCAAAGCAATGACTTGTTCGTAAGTTCTTTGATCACCCATAACACCGACAGATTTAACAGGTAGTAAACAAGCAAAAGCTTGAGAAATGTTATTATATATACCAGCTTTTCTGATTTCTTCAATAAAGATACAGTCAGCATTTCTAGCAATTTCAACTTGAGCCTTAGTAACTTCACCTAGAACACGAATAGCTAGACCTGGACCTGGGAAAGGATGTCTCCAGACCAATTCATGAGAGATACCTAGTAATTCACCTAGATGTCTAACTTCATCTTTAAACAATTCTCTTAACGGTTCAATCAATTTCAACTTCATGTTGTCAAGTAGACCACCGACATTGTGATGAGTCTTAATAGTTTGAGATGGACCCTTGAAAGAGATGGATTCGATGACATCTGGGTATAGGGTACCTTGTAACAAGAATTGAATCTCTTGGCCATCCTTTGGCTTGATTCTTTCAGCTTCTCTTTCAAAGACATGAATGAAAGTGTTACCAATAATTTTTCTCTTCTTTTCTGGATCAGTGACACCCTTTAATTTACCTAAAAATTCCTCGGAAGCATCGATGACAGTCAAGTCAATACCTAAACCTTCAGTTAGAATTTTCTTAACATTAGTAGCTTCATTCAATCTTAGGACACCGTTGTCAACCAAGATAGCGTGGAATCTGTCACCAATAGCTTCAGTCATCAGCTTGGAGGCAACAGTAGAGTCAACACCACCTGAGACAGCACCAATAACTTCAGCAGTTGGACCGACAAGTTCTCTGATTCTTTGAATTTCAGTTTCAATGAAGTTTTCCATGGTCCAATTTTGTTTGGTGTGACAAATGTCGACAGCAAAGTTCTTCAACAATTGCTTACCATGAGTAGAATGAGTGACTTCTGGATGGAATTGAATACCGTAGATTGGCTTCGATTCATGAGCAATACCACAGTATGGGGAGTTACCAGAGGTAGCAATAGTGACGAACCCATCTGGTAAACCGTTCAATTTGTCACCATGAGACATCCAGACAGTAGAGTGGTCTACACCTTTAAATAGAGGGTTTGATTTGTCCTCCACGTTTAAAGTAGCAGGACCATATTCTCTCTTTTCACCACGGCCGACTTTCTTACCATTTAACCAGGCAAGCTCTTGCATACCGTAACAAATACCTAAGATTGGAACGTTTAAGTCGAACACAGCTGGGTCAACATGTGGAGCATCTTCAGCGTAGACAGAGTATGGACCACCAGATAAGATGACACCCTTTGGTTTCCAGGATAGTTCAGCGATCTTTTGAGTACATGGGAGCATTTCAGCATAGATGTTAAACTCTCTTAACCTTCTAGTGATTAGATGGGAGTATTGAGAACCAAAGTCCAAAACTAGGATAGTATCAAAAATACCGGAGACTTGTTCAACAGCAGACATAATGGGTGTTAATGTTGTATTGGTTGGATAAATAGTTGTAGTAGTATTTGTTAGTTACTAAGTACACTGATGTTCGACAAATATAACTAAAGAAGTTCAATAAAACGTGATTATAAAATATGTAATGGTCCCCTTATATATATTATAGATTAGATAGATTTGTTTGTTCACTTGCCAAAAAAAATTTTCTGAACTCATCGCTCATCACTTCCTTTCTTTTTTTTTTCAATCCGCCAACAAAAAATTTTACGGGAGACCATCCCCGGGAATGCCCACAAGCTTTTCCAGGTTAACCATCAAACAAACCCAAAATGGTGATGATGACAATGAGCTGAAGGTATTTACAGAGAGCACCCCCTAGTGGCTAAAAAGAAAAGAGAAGTATATTCTCAAGGGTAATAATAACGTAATTAAATATTGAAACAACGATTGACAAACGAAGTCAAAAAATATAGCAACGAGCATATTGTTGTACCAAAGGTACAATTTGTACTCTTGTTAGAGGACGTGAAGAGTAATGATATGTACTCTGTTTGCGTACAACAAACAATATTCAAGATATTTATATAAATAGGACAAGACTTGTAAACTATATAAAAACATAATTCAATAAATATGTTAGGATATACTCCCAGAGCGAACCAGATATCACATATCGCCTGTAGTCGTCTCCATAATGACGTCCGGATAGATGTCTGAAGGGACTGGCGGCGGGTAAAATCAGGATTATATTGCCAGGAGAGGTTCTTTTATATTCTCATATAACAGAAGTAGGTTTGTTCTACTTCCGGCCATTTGTGCTTTGTGGACATACAGAGGTATAAATGTCTTTGCTTGGTAATCCGGAAGGGTCAGTTTTGACCTTTTTTAGCAAAAAAGGGTAAGAAGGAACACAAAATAATATGAAGAACATATAAACTTATCTCATGAAGAAATATATTGAAATTTGTTCTCTTTATATATCCTGATAATATTTTGTATGTGGGAAAGAAGTTCGTCGCGTTGCATTTCCTCGCCAACTGAAGCCAAAGGAAAAAGAAAAATTTGCACTGTGAAGAAGCAAAGCCCTAACAAAATATACTGCATCGATAAGTATATCATTGTGTACGTTGTGTAGACTGATCCATTCCTCGCCAGAAAAGGAAAATGTCTGCGACTTTTCAAGAAAATTTTTTTTCAGTTTTCGACTCGAATTTCTTATATAAGAGAGTTTAACAACAAAGGATTTCAAAATAAACATGCGTTGAAGTTGTTTTGTTAATGTAAATATTAAAAGATAGTATGGGATCATCGATCGTTTCATGTGTCATTTATTGGCGTCACTCATCATTATTCCCTCAATATTTTGAGTTCTTTTAGATGCCCGATAAATACTGTGTCGTCGATTCCATTTCAATCTTTAACGATGCATGATAGAACAATTTTCACAAAAAAACGATGTATCTCCAGCTGTTGATACAGAGTGGGAAGACTTTTCTCTTCTTGCTCGCCCTTTTTAAAAAATCTGATACAGTTGGTCATTTTTCGTTTTACATTTATTTTTACTTTCTTATTACTTTTTTCTTAAAATTATAAAGTCTATAAATATATATATATGTATGCCCTCATAATTCATCTTTTATCCTAGAATTTTTAAGTGTTTGGGGTATTAAAACAATATACTCCACTAGTAAATCACCAAATTGGCCCTTCTTGCTTAATAATGGCATACCGAATCCTTTAATTCTTTCAGTTTCACCATTATGTATAATTTCATTTGCTTTACGTTTTAATACAACGGTCTTTTTCTCATCTAAGAACGCTATCTTTCTTTCCCAATTACCCTTCAAAGCTTCTTCTATAGAGATCACTTCGGTTCTATATAAGTCATCACCACGTCTCCTATAACCCATATTATCCACAGATTTTTCATTGAATTCAAATATTAAATCACCTGCTTCAAAATCAGGGCTTTTCTCTGCTTCACCCTTTTTCACAGTAACGTACTTCCTTGGTGCCCCTGCTGGGACACTAACATGGAATGGCTTGTTCTTTTTCATCACTTTATGTCCATGGCATGTCTTACATGCATTCTTCACAACTTCACCGGTACCACCACAATGTGGACACACTTGTTGAATTTGTTGTGACATAAACCCCATTTGGATCACCTGAATAGTAACACCACGACCTTGACAAGTTTTACATTTAGTAACCTTCCCGTCTTGTGATCCACTACCATGACAGAAATCACAGAAATCGTTCATTGAAAAAGTAAAATCAATCTCGCTACCAGAATAATAATGTTTTAATGATATTTGTTCACGAGCAACCATGTTTTGTCCACGTTGTTTCCCACCTCTTGCACCACCAAATGGATTCCCACCTTCTTGGCCATGGAACATCTTTTCAAATATATCGAATGGGTCATGGAAAGGTTGGCCACCGGGTCCGCCACCAGCACCACCAGCACCATTCTTTACACCTTCAGCACCGAATTGATCAAAGATCTTACGTCTTTCTGGATCGCTCAATACTTCATAGGCTTCACCGATTTCAATGAATTGGTTATGGGCTTTTTCATCATTAGGGTTTTTATCTGGATGATATTTTTTAGAGAGTTGTCTATAGGCTGACTTGATATCTTTTTCAGAAGCACCTCTCGAGACACCTAGAATTTTGTAATAATCTTGTGCTAACACCAAAAATGGTAAACAAGTTAATAATGGTATTAGTATAAAAAGAGCAGACCGCATGGTAACTTATCTCCTTCTATTTTTCTTCTTTGCGTATGATGTAGCTTTTCCTCTAACTAAATAATTCAAAAATAGGAATATTTATGATCTCACAACACAACGATATATTTGTAATTATATAATCTCAGAATCTACCTAGTAAATTAATTGATCATTATCTTTACATGTATATATACATGTTGATGTGGTCAGACGTGCCACCGCGTAACATTTACGTGTACGTAAGAGTGAAAAACAGATATTGCATAGTGAAGAGACAGGCTGTCAGAAAAAAATAAAAAAATGTAAATACTATACGACAAACAAAGAGGCAGGTATGTAAATCATATGATATAAAGATGAGTTAACAAGTTTCAGTAATATATATTAAATATGCTCGATATACACCTACATAGTAAATAAATTATTCAATGATGCATTAAATCTCTGGGAACCGAGGTTGTTTTAAATTATGACATCGGTAAATTTTTAGATCATTCATTCTCGTAATTGTTAGTCCCTTGCGCTCTCAATAATATAAATCTATATCTTACAATGTAATCGAAAGCATAATTACTATTCATATAATAGTTGAAACGTTTATCTATTGTTGGCGGTTCCATTTATACAAAAAAAAAATATTGACTAAAAATGACTACACATAATAGTTATACTATTTACTCATCGTCCTCATCATCACTTACCAAAGCAGCAAAGGTGTTGAAACCATGGACTTGTTTGTCGGTAATGATATCACTATTGTCAGCAGGTCTACTTGAAGAGATGTGTCTATTGTTTGGTTTAACCTTAACAGTTTCCTTAGAGATGGTAGGTGTAAAAGGAGTGGTGGCACTATCAGAGTTATTTTCACTGTCACCTTCTTCATTAGTCTTAGGTTCAAAAGTGGACCACCCATTTTCATCAGTAGTGACCTTTGGTTTGTGTTGCTTCACCTTTGGCTTACCATGGTGTAAATGGGAAGATCTTCTACGGTTGAAATGGCCATGATGGGTGGCATTGTACTCTTCTTCCTTCAAAGCTTGAACTTGCTTGACCTTTTCGATGATTGCGTTGAATTCGACAGCATCAAAATTGACACTTAAAGTCTCACTTGGTTTCAATTGAATTAGTTCTTCGATAGTATAAGATGGCATCTTGTCCTGATTGGTTCTTTCTTATTAGCGTAAGGATCTCCAATTAACTTTTAATTTTGATTAAGAATAGAAAAAATACAATAGAAAATATTAAAACTACAAAGGTAAATATACACATGAGATGATTTTAATAAAGTTAGCAAGTTCATTCATGAATCTAATGATGCATATAAAGACATAGAAGCGGGTTTGCCGCTTAGAATCACTCATCAAACTTACTCTCTAAGGTTGATGAAACTCTAGTAACCTTCAGTGTCCGCCATTCAATCAATGGTTTCACCGACGCTCTTTCAATATTTCATTAAAACAGACAGAACTTGTTAGCATTATCACCAAACGCAGACAAAACGCATACAATTATTCAAAACCGAAAAATTTTTGCGAAACTTTTTTTTTTCAATTCGAAAAAGTTTTTTGCGTCGTGATAAAGGTAGAAAATCAAGGCTACCCGGCTTGTTGGAATTTCAGATCACATGACTAAAGGGGTATTTTAACTGTTCTATAATCAAATGAATGAAGTTGAAGTATACATTTCATGAATTCAGTACTAGGCATATATTATATTCAAATTGCTAACATTAAATCCATCAGAAATGAATAAATAATGGAGTTACTAGGAATACCTTTCAAGAGGACATTTCAATTTAATCTAGGTGAAAAACTTAGTGAACTCATTGATTCAACATTTTACCAAACATCCGATACATTTCGAATTGATTTGAACGAGATATCACAATTAAGAGATGATGTTGCCTCGAACACTAATATTTCGTTGTCGCAATTGGAATTGTTATACAAATACTATTCTGTATTGATTCAACTGCAGAAGAAATTCCCAGATGACCAAATTTCATTTGCATGGTGTCAAACTCTCTCTACGAAATCAAATACTAAAGAACTCAAGTCTTTAGAATGGGAGATATCTAATGTTATATATACTCTAGGTTCTATGTACAGTTTGTTAGCTCGTGGAATCGATATATCCCTGGACAACTTGAATACTAAATACAAATATTATCAAACCGCAGCAACTCTATTTCATGATGTATCACAACAAAATCAACATACTGCTGCTGTGGATAAGGACACTGCAGATGCATTATGGCATTTAATGCTAGCGCAAGGCATGGAATGTTTTTGGTTGAAGGCAATGAAAAAAGAAAATATTAAAGACTCGATGCTTGCTAAATTATCATCTCAAGTAAGGGTATTCTACGATAAGACATTATTTTCTGCAAATAGAAGTCCCCTCATTAATTCTCATTGGATTGACCATATCAAGGGGAAAATTAAATATTTTGAAGCTGTCACATATTATCGAATGTCATTAGTTTTACAAGAAGCTCAAAAATGGGGTGAGATGGTTAGAATTTTGTCTCATTGTGTCGACTTGTTATCTACTTGCAACTTAGATACAGCAAAACAATTTATTGAAATAGTTAGAGTGTTATTAAAGGATACTGCGAAGGATAATGATTTTATATATTTACAAGTTGTACCTGAAACGGTACCTCAAATGGTAAAGCCGATAAATATGATTGAATTATTAGATTTTTACAAAGTTATGAATGACGGAATACAGCAATGGTCTGGCATTCGATATTTCAAGACTTTATTACCATTAGAATTGATCGATACTTGTAATGCTTATAGTGAAAGACAAACGCAATACGTTATGGAGCGTATAATTCAGCCAATTCAAACTTTGAACAAACAATTAGAAGATAAAAGGACGAATGTTGAAAATTCCAGAAATTTAACTGTGGTACTTATAGAAATGAAAGATATTACTAGTCTTGAAGCTTCCTTAAACAATTTAATTTCTGTGTATGAATCCATTAACAGCAAACTTTCACTAATGAAACAAACCTTAGAGGACGAGGCTGAAAGTGATGCGACATTACGTGCCACTCATGGTTCATTGCGTTGGACTTTACCAGTGTCAAATGAAGTCAATTGTGAGCTATATTCCAAATTAAGCCAGATAAAAGAATATCTTGAACAGGGGCATAAAACAGATAATGAAACTAGAGAAGTACTTGATATGATTGATCGTGATCTATTAACGACCAACGAAAATGATTATTTGAAGACATCAATGAGCAAGAAGAATGAAGATCCATTAATGAAAGAAATAGGTGATGTAGAAAAAAGTAGAGATATATTTTTAATGAAAACTCGAGAAAAGATGACAACAAATACAGTATTATTGAAGATGATCAAAGCATACCGATCTAATGGTGAAGTTGTTGATCAAAGCAAATTGGAGACTCAGTTTCAAGAACATTTAACTATATTTCAGAAAGATCTTTCAAGGGTCTATGAGGAAAAACAAATCAATGAAAAGCTATTTGAACAATTAGAAATTTACTCGACGAGGTCTAAGTCAGAGGGGTCGATGAAACGTCTTACTGCAAAAGATTTGTACAACGAAGAGTTTAATTATTCGATGGGATTATTAAGACAAGTACGAGAGAGTATCAACAATGGAACTCAATTTTATAATGACCTAGTTACTTCTACGAATATGTTGCTAGCAGAGACAGAACAATTTAGCGATGAACGTAAAGTTGCTAAACGAACATTGGATACGCAATTGTTGACTATTTAATTACATACATATGTATTTATCTTTTTATTGCGTATTATTTTGTTGAGTCAATTTCCATTTCTCATATGCCGCTTTCTTACTACCTCTTGTTAAATTCCCTTTATGTCTACGACTCTTCAAATGAGTTGCCCATTGTTTTGAACCAATTGCGACCAATCCATTGCCATCATGATCTTTACAAATTTCACACGTAAAATGTTGGCAATCCTCATTAGATATACCTCTTTTCTTCCCTACGGTTTGTTCATCAGAGATCAAATGCATTAATTCCTTTGGCGCACGAATTTTATTTATGTCATCATTTTTTTTAATATTTAAAAAAATTGAAGTTATATCCGAAGCCCGATCTCCTACTACTTGATGCCATTGTGTTAAATCCGTCGCATCCAATACAAATATGTCACCTCCAATATCCGGAATTAACATTTTTTGAATCCATTTAATTTGTCTACGTGCATATTGACGTGTATGTAATTTCATCATATCAACGCCTTCATTCCATAATTTTTCGTTACGTTTTCCATCTTTCAACCATGGTAAGAATTCTTTAAAACCAATGACTTGCCAAACACCACCATGATCGTTATGTTCCGGTTGAGATAGATAGAAATTGTATAATTGATCGATTTCAGCTAAAGCTCCTGCTTTAACCATATCATCCACACGTGAATCCAATCTAATATCTAATGCGACAGGGTCACTATATAACCATAGGAATAAAGTATCATATCTCAATTGTTTAGTTTGAGCTGCGAACAACTCACTGGGTCGGTTCCCTGTTGTGAAATATATTTCAAGCATACGACGTACACGACGTTCATCATTTGGATGATATCTTGATGCAATCTTCGGATCAATTTCTTGTAAAGTATTAAATATTTTATTTTTATCTTTACTATCCAATATGATTTGTTCAGATTCAGCGACTTCTCTAATCGAATTGGTTTCTAAATGATTAACGTCATCATCATCATTCTTGGTAGTAGCAGTATTAATATATTTATCAAATAAAAATTGCAAATAGTAATGAGTACCACCAACAATAATTGGTAATTTACCTCTAGAGATGATATCATCGATGGCACGGCGCGCATCAATTTCAAATTGATGTAAATAATATTCTTTATCCCAAGGTAGAAAATCCATTACATGATGAGGTATCCCATTTCTTTCTACCATCGGATGTTTATTCGATACTATGGGAATATCACGATATACTTGCATTGTATCACTATTAATAATTTCACCATTATAACGTGTAGCTAGTTCTACAGCTAATTGAGATTTCCCTACACCTGTAGTCCCTGCTATAACGATAACTTTCTGTTTCATTGCTGTTAATGTATTATTGTATAATGTACGACCTAACATTCAATATACATCTATATATTCATCCACCTTATTTGAATATGTATTACCTTTTTTTATTTTTGTTTTTATGTATGTCGATGAGATGAGCTTATGACATAATAATGCGTAGTAGTAAGTTTCACTTTAATTATATTTTTTTTTTCGCCTATTTTCTTTCAATCAATAAAAAATATATATTTTGTTCTTCGATGTGTCGCCCCCCCCCCCATTGCTATGATTCAATGTTTGACAAATAGTGACATCGTGCATCATGATATCATTAGTCACGGCCCATCGCGTAAAATCCGAAAAGACAAAAAATTTCTAAAAAAAACAGCGCGGAGAGTGAAAGGGGCGGCATAGTCACCATGTGAATATGCCGGAAGTAAAGCTAGTTATAACCGAAGTGGAATGAAATATTTCGCTTACAAGTACCGGACCCTGCGTGGTATCCCCGATGTTGAATAATAATAATCATAGTAAATTGTGTCTCTTTTTTCTCAATTGATTTACGCAGAATAATGAGTAGGAAGGAATGTTCTTCTTTCTCATTGGTTTAATATTATTCAAATAATATTAATAATAATAATAATAATAGTCATTAGAGCTATCATAAAGTAGAAGGTAGGACTCCTGTTGTTGTGTTTCTGACCTGTCTGTCTGGTGATTATAATTATAATTCAACTTATGGTGTGTTTTTGTGTGTGTATGTAATAAATATTATAGTGAAGAATCATTTATTGTACAGGGTTTTTATTTATTTATTTATTTATTTATGTTCTGCAGTAGTCAATATGGGGGGCAGAAGCACAGGGAAAGAAGAGGGCTCGTTATTTTAGGTTTACCTACATTAATTAATCAACATTTTATTTTGTTGACAATGAATTTATTAATAATAAATTTACGACAGATGGAATGGGTTGAATGATTGTGTAAGCAAATATATATATAAGAGAATGTGTAATCGATTAGTTAAAATATTCATTTGATTTGACAGGTTTTTTCTTTCTGCTCTTCCATTTGGATTATGATATTGTTAGTTTGTTCTGAATTAAAAATAAAACGAAAATCAATAATCATAATTAATATTAGTTATGTCTACTGTAAATGAAAATAAAATAGATGACAATCCTCATAATGAGACGTCTGGTGCTTTAGATAATATTTCTAGTGAGGTTGATATTAACTCTAGTGATAACACCATGACTAAGATAGATACTAATATTATAAATGATGGTCATAATAGTATCTCTGAAACATCAACCGCTGATTCTTTATCAAATCAAAGTTCGGACTCTAATTCAATTTCTACTCCAATCGCAGAAAAGCAACAAGTGGGCGAAGAAGAAGAAGATGCGATTGATCCAAAAGATTTAGAATGGGATGGTCCTGCTGATATGGATAATCCTCATAATTGGCCTCTATGGAAAAAATGGACCGCAACGATGACAGCTGCGATGTTATGTCTTGTGGTTACCATGGGTTCATCATTATATGTTGCATCTGTTCCAGAATTTGAAATACGATACCATATATCACAAACTTTAGGTTTAGCAGGTCTAACATTTTATTTATTAGGGTTATCAACCGTTATAGGGGCTCCTTTAAGTGAAGTGTTTGGTCGTAAGATTATTTATTTGACTTCTTTACCTTTATCATGTTTATTTACAATGGGTGTTGGTTTATCTAATGGCCATATGAGAATCGTCTTACCATGTAGATTCTTTTCTGGTGTGTTTGCTTCCCCTGCTTTATCTATTGCTTCAGGTACCATTATGGATATCTTTGATGTTGATGAAGTCTCCACTGCAATGACATTTTTCTGTGTAGCTCCATTTATGGGTCCTGTCATGTCACCAATTATTTCTGGGTTTGCAGTTGAATCACAAGGTTGGAGATGGAGTCAATGGATTCAATTGTTTGCTGCAGGTTTAATCTTCCCATTTATTTTAGTGATGCCAGAAACTCATAAAGGTGTTATCCTTAGAACAAGAGCTAAAAAGAGAAATTTAAAATTAAAACAATTTTCAAAAGAGGATCAAAAACAATTTTTAAAGATTACCATGACAATTACCGTCTTAAGACCTTTAAAGATGTTGGTTGTTGAACCTATTGTCCTTGTCTTTTCAATTTATATTGCATTTATCTTTGCTGTGTTATTTGCTTTCTTTGAAGCTTATCCAGTTATCTTCCGTGGTGTTTATCATATGGATCTAGGTATTTCAGGTTTACCTTTCTTAGGGATCGGTATAGGTCTTTGGATTGGTTGTATTTTCTATTTATATATTGATAGAAAATATTTGTTTCCAAAGGCTCCTGATGGAACTCCAGAATTAGAAAATCCTACTTCATTACGTACTACACCATACAGAGGTCATCGTGATCCAGAGACTGGGAAATTGAAACCTGTTTGTCCAGAGGACTTCCTATTGGCTTGTAAGATTGGTTCTTTAGCATTACCTATTGCTTTGTTCTGGCAAGCTTGGACCGCAAGACATGATGTTCATTGGATGGCTCCTGTTGCTGCCGGTGTTCCATTTGGTTTTGGTTTGATTTTAATCTTTTTCAGTTGTATCATGTACTTCTCTGCTTCATATCCACCATTATGTGTTGCATCATGTATGGCTGCTAACAATATGTTAAGATATGTCACTTCATCCGTATTTCCATTGTTTACTGTTCAAATGTATGAAAAGATGCAAATTAAATGGGCTTCTACTTTATTTGCTTTCATTTGTATTGCAATGTTACCAATCCCATGGATCTTTGAAAGATGGGGTGAAAGATTAAGAAATAAATCTGTCTTCGGTTATGCTGCAATGTTACGTGAAGCTGAACAAGCTCAAGGTGGATCTAGTGAGGATGTCACTGGTGATTTAGATTTGACTAAATTGGCTACTTTACAAACTATGGAAACAGAATTATCTAGAACAGATTCTCACAGTGGCTATTATGATGCTCATCAAGCACCTTTGAATATCAATAGAACTCTTTCAAGAAAGAGTAAACATTCTCAATTAGACAACGGTACAAACTTAGAGCACCGAAGTTTACACAAAGGAGATAACCAGGACAATGATTCTACTGTGGATCGTGTGAGACCAGAAAGTATATATGCTAATGTGAACCAGGATCAAGATCTAGAAGATTCTCAGATTGAGCAATCGGAACTTTCTTCTAGAATAGTATAAGGGTTCTATGATTACACACACACACACGCATTCACAAGCAGATCCATAAATGCATTGAAAATTACACTTACAACATTCATTGTTGTTGGTTTTACACATATACCATATAATATTAATACTATTCATTAATCATTTCATCGGACATTATAAAAAAAACTGTCCTTAATACCACTTAATTTTTTCTCGATTTCAGTTTTATTTTAGATACATATAAATTATATAATTATTATTTTAGTATAGTATTAATACAGATCCTGTATTTTAAGTAGTTCTTAACAATTACAACAATTCTCAGTATGTACATTTGGTCCTTTGGTAATATTTAGAGATGTATCAGGTAATTTCTTGACTACTTATTTTTCCGTAGTTCTGTTTATTTTTTCAAGTTTAGTCGTCTTTTAGTAACTTTGCATTTTTGAAAATATCTTAAAATTTATTATTTTGTTATGACCATATATAATTACATAAAATAAAGAGAGAAAAGAACAGAGTATAAAATCATTTTATCAATATTCATAGTTATTGTTCACTCTTGAAGATGTTATCACCTTTATTTATTTGTACTTTTTTGTCCTCACCACCACTGATGATACCAACCTTTTCAGCCCATTTAACAGCAAAGACCTTATCTTTAGTCTCACCATCTTCCCTTGTGATAGTATACATTGGGGCTGTAGATCTCACATCCCATACCTTGACAGTACCGTCATGAGAACCAGAACATAACATGTACTCGTTTTCAGGACAAGTATCCAAAGAGACTACAAAGTTCTTGTGGCCAATTAATTGTTGTTGAGTAATCTTAGAAGAACTGGAGTCGGCACGAGGATCATGCAATGTAATGTGTCTAGCACTGGAACCACAAGCTAATAGCCCTAAAGAACTTAATTGTGCAATACTCAATAATGAGTAAGATGTAGTCTTAGTGTCGACACAACGAGCAGTGACAAGATCCCAGGTCTTAATAGTGTGATCCTGAGATACGGAATAACCTACTGTATTATCATTACGGTCAAAAATTGCTTGTTCCACTGGGGCTGTATGAGATTCTAGTAGTGATAATGGTGCTCTTCTTCTAATGGAACCATCCTTTAGAGCCAACTTTCTTCTCTTTTTGGCTGCTGTAGATACTTTGTTGTTTGTTGATTTGGTTAATTCTTCCATAGAATCTACTGCATTCATGGCTTTATAATCTGTAGACCAAAGACCAATAGATTTATCATATGAAGCGGAAATGATCCTAGATGTTTCATTAGACACATCTAAAGAGACAACTGGAGCACCATGACCTTCTAGGATAGCTAGTGTTTTACCTTCCTCAACAGCCAATTCATCATCCATATCCTCGTGATTGTTAGTGGCACCAACTGGGGAATTCTTGGTCTTCCATATACGTAAAGTACGATCGTTACCTGCTGACACAATTCTAGTATTGGACAAAAACTTGACAGCTCTAATAGGAGCGGAATGACCACTATACATCTTCTCTACTTGACCACTTAGATTCCAAGTTCGCACAATCCCGTCGTAAGAACCAGTAATAATGGATCTTTGTGGAACCTCAATACCGGAGGTAACATCGATGGAACTGATCCAATCCTCGTTACTAAAACTAGATAGATAAGAAGGTGGAAGAACTGCTCTGGTATACTCAATATCTAAGGAAACTTCAGAAGATAGACCATTCTTTACTAAATAATCGTCTAGAGAAGAACGTAATAATTGACCATCAATCAAAAAATCAAATGGAGTAGTGGCTACATCTTCATCGGAACGTTCCGTAGATAACAGATGGTTGACAATTTCAGACAGACCATATCTTTTCAATTGGATTGGGACGTACATAGGAGTGTCCTGAACCTGTAAGGATTCATCCTTTTCACGGGTGAAGAATCTGATTTTAATTTGGGACTTGCCGTCTGACATTCTGGATTGGGATACTGTACTGTGGACTTTCGAATGAAGATTATATTCCCATAAAATATTCGTTTATATGTGATATTTATGAAATGAAAATATCAACTGTTCTATAGCCTTTGAAAATCTAGAGATGAGATGAGCTTTGAAATTTTTCAAAATTCTGTTTCGCCTCACTTTGAAAATTTTTCGCAGCTTTCACCGTCTGAAGAAAAATGATCGAACGTACTGATGGAATTTTTGTCATTTTATATTAGAGTGAAATATTAATATATGTGACGTGAACAAGTTTGATGGGATGTTTACCAAATCTATAAATCAAAAGAGAGATACCCGTAATATATATAGTACCATTGTCACAATTACATGTGGTCGTATCAAAATCATATATCGGTTGGCTGTTTTTTACAAGATTTTACTAGACTTCAACTAATAGTTAGTTATATCTTCATTAATTACAAGACAGTTTTTACTTTACCACAAAGTTCTATCTTTTTCTAATATAAATAGACTAATAGTACTCCAACGAACTTGCTCAATGTATATATACACATATATATGTTGAACTCTATACAATTCAATATCCACCAACGATTCCATTGGACATTATGTCATCATATTGGAACTGTAAACACCGTTACCGGTGCATATCTTCCACTATACATAATGTAATTTCGTTATTGGTGGTCATCGCGCGCGGTGAAATTTCCGATCGTTCATTCTGAAATTTCAATTTTATTCGAGTCATACACACATATATATAGATATATATAGATGAACATATCAGATTAAAACTAATCGTGAGAATTTTTTAGTGAATATATCACTTTTCACATCTTTTAATTTCGTTTTATTCAGTTATTTGTTGTAATACAGGAATATTATAACTCATTGGTATTTATTGATTATCTTAATTAGAAATACAAGGAAAAAAAAATGGCATCTTCAGTTCCAGGGCCAAGACCGCTCCCAGAGTCTCGTTATGATCTATCAACATATTGGGGTAGAATTCGTCATTGTGCGGAAATATCTGATCCATCAATGCTATTAACTACATCGAAAGATTTAGATGCTGCACGTCAAGTCATCGAAGCTTACCGTAATCATGAGATCGAAGCACCTACTCCAGCTTTCTGGAAGGCTAAGAAACAATTGGATTCGACGGTGCACCCAGATACAGGAGAGACTGTCTTACTACCATTTCGTATGTCATGTTGTGTTTTGTCCAATCTAGTGGTTACTGCAGGTATGCTAACACCTGGTCTAGGTACGGCGGGGACCATCTTCTGGCAATGGGCTAACCAATCGCTGAACGTTGCTGTTAATTCTGCCAATGCTAACAAATCACATAGATTGACTACTACTCAATTAGTGACAAATTATTCTGCTGCTGTTATTGCATCCTGTGGTGTTGCTATGGGTTTGAATGGGCTGGTTCCCAAATTGACAAACATCTCTGCAAACACAAGATTGATTCTAGGGAGACTAGTTCCATTCGCAGCCGTGGTTTCTGCTGGTATTGTGAATGTGTTCTTAATGAGAGGTAATGAAATTCGTAAAGGTATTGCTGTATCTGATGAAAATGGTGACGTTATTGGTAATTCTAAGAAAGCTGCATTGATCGCCGTAGGTGAAACTGCTTTAAGCCGGATCATTAATGCTACGCCAATCATGGTTATCCCACCACTACTTCTAGTCAAACTTCAAAAGGGCTTATTAAAGAATAAATCCATGGGTATTCAAACTGCCGTTAACATCGGTATTATTGCTGTTACCTCATTTGCCGTTCTTCCAGCTGCTCTTGGTGTCTTCCCGCAGAGACAAAGTATCCATGTCAATAAACTTGAACCTGAATTTCACAGAGCTAAGGATAGAGATGGTAAGCCAGTCACCAAGGTATATTTCAATAGAGGTATTTAAAAAGTGTATAGAATAAATAATATCGTATTGTTAATTGATAAAGATTAATATGGTATAAGTTATCACTGAGTACGACTAGGACCCTTTATAGGTAAAACGTTTTTTAACTTCAATTTTTTGGCTGCAAAAAATGAGAAAAATTTGTAGTTTGGCTGCCTTTTTGTTATTACGGCATCCTTAGTGACAAAGAGGGAAGGCAGAGAGAAATGTGATGAACTAATAGTACACTGAAGTCATAGATGGTTCAGTTATTTATTCGATGCAGCCGTTGTCACTTCTTGGAAGTTGAATATATATATAGAATTATTACTATCTGTTGATTAAACTACTATTAAATTTCTTTCCATTTTTTCTCTTTCTCAATTTGGGAACAATTACCAAAAACAATTCGAAGTATACCGGACAGTGAGCATTAGCATAAAGTTTGAGAGGATTTAAAATAAAGAAACTTCCTAAGTTTTTGCTTCTATATCATATTTTTTTATTAATAATTTATATTTGCTATCCATTCTATAACCAAGAACCATCATGTCCGAAAAGGAGGAAGCTATCTTCCGTTCAGCAGAGATGTCTCTGTTGCAGTTCTACATCCCCCAAGAAATCTCTCGTGATGCAGTCTATACATTAGGTGAACTTGGTATCGTTCAATTCCGTGATTTGAATTCCAAAGTTAGAAGTTTCCAGCGTTCTTTCGTTGCTGAAATCAGAAGACTGGATAACGTTCAAAGACAACATCGTTATTTCTTTAAATTATTACAGAAGCATGGCGTGCCTTTGTTTGAAGACCCAAATTTGATGTTCCCCGATGATACTGAAGCTGGCACTGATGTTGCTAGTCATGGTCCTCATTTACCAATCAGTAGTTCCATCATTGATGAACACGTTCAAAACGGAGCTTTGCTCGAAGAGAGATTGATTCAAATGGAGAGCGCTGCAGACCAAATTCAATTGAAGAGAGCAGACTTGGAACAATACAGGGCAGTCCTACAATCTGGTGATGAATTCTTCTCCACCGAGGATGCTGCTCAAACTTCTATTGCTTCATTAAGAAGAGAAAGTATAATCAGTGAGGGTAGAGGTCTTGCTGATGATAGTGCAATCAGAACTCATGTCAATTATGTGACTGGTGTGATTCCAAAGGATAAAGTAAACACTTTGGAGCAAATTCTATGGAGAACATTGAGGGGTAATTTATACTTCAAACATATAGAACTAACTGATCCATTCTATGATTCAGTCACTAAAAATTTTGTTCAAAAGGAAGCATTTATTATCTTTTCTCCAGGTGATCTTATCATTCAAAGAATTAGAAAGATTGCTGAATCCCTTGATGCTAATTTGTATGATATTGATAACAATGAACATATTAGATCTCAACAATTAAGTACAATTAACCAAAATCTAGATGATTTATACAAGGTTCTTGACACTACAAACAAAACCCTAGAGAGCGAATTATATGCTATTGGTAATGAATTGAACAAATGGTACCAAGATGTCTCTAAAGAAAAACTGACCTTCGAAACTTTGAACAAATTCAATTTTGATTCTAACAGAAAGACATTGATTGCTGAAGGTTGGGTTCCAACTGACGAAATTGATTGTTTACAAGATGCTTTATCCGAGATGACCACTAGATTAGGAATCGACGTCCCATCTATCATTCAATCTCTGGAAACCAACAGAACTCCTCCAACTTTCCACAGAACCAACAAGTTCACTGCAGGGTTCCAAAGTATCGTCGACTGTTATGGTATTGCCCAATACAGAGAAATCAATGCCGGTCTTCCAACTATTGTTACTTTCCCATTCATGTTCGCTATTATGTTCGGTGATATGGGTCATGGTTTTATCATGTTCTTAGCAGCTTTAGTCCTTGTCTTAAACGAAAAGAAATTGAATAGAATGAAGAGGGATGAAATTTTCGATATGGCTTTCACTGGTAGATATATTGTCTTACTGATGGGTTTGTTCTCAATGTACACTGGTTTCCTATATAACGATGTTTTCTCCAAATCGATGACCCTTTTCAAGTCAGGCTGGGAATGGCCAGAACACTTCCAAAAAGGTGAAACCTTATTTGCCAAGTCAGTTGGTACTTATGCGTTTGGTTTAGATTGGGCATGGCACGGTACTGAGAATGCATTACTATTCTCTAATTCCTACAAGATGAAACTTTCTATCCTAATGGGTTTCATCCATATGTCTTATTCTTACATGTTTTCTCTTGCCAATCATCTATACTTTGATTCTATGATTGATATCATTGGTAATTTCATTCCAGGTTTAATTTTCATGCAAGGTATCTTTGGTTATCTATCTATTTGTATTGTTTACAAGTGGTCTAAGGATTGGATCAAGGATGGTAAAGCAGCTCCAGGGTTATTGAATATGTTAATTAATATGTTCTTAGCTCCAGGTACTATTGATGATGAATTATACCCACATCAAGCTAAGGTTCAAGTTTTCTTGTTGATTGCTGCTTTAATTTGCATCCCATGGTTATTATTAGTTAAGCCATTACATTTCAAGTTTACACACAAGGATGAATGTGCAATCGCATTACCAACTGCTGACGATATTGAACATAATGCGTCTACTGAGGAAAATGGTGATCGTGAATTCAGTAATGAAGAAGTTGATGAAATATATGAAGGTGCTGATGACGACGAAGGTGAAGGGCATCATGGTGAAGAGTTCAGTGATATTATGATCCATCAAGTCATCCATACCATTGAATTCTGTTTGAATTGTGTCTCCCACACTGCCTCTTACTTACGTCTATGGGCTTTATCCTTAGCTCATGCTCAACTATCAACTGTCTTATGGACCATGACCATTCAAATTTCATTTGATATGAAAGGTATCGTTGGTGTTCTAATGACATTTTTCCTTTTTGCCATGTGGTTTGTCCTAACATGTGCTGTTTTGGTTGTCATGGAAGGTACATCTGCCATGTTACATTCTTTGCGTCTACATTGGGTTGAATCGATGTCTAAGTTTTTCGTTGGTGATGGTATTCCATATGAACCATTTGTCTTTGGTTATAATGATATGGAGGTTGCCGTAGAAAGCATTAATGCAAGCACTAGTGATTAAGATCGTTGTTTAGTGTGAAGGATCTAGACACTCTTACATATAATCTAATTTTGACACCGCATCATTGAAGAAGAAATAGAGGAACAAAAACACTATTATACTTTAATATATACAACTACTATAGATATAAAATAAAATAAAATAAACCACATATTAGTTACAAGTTATAGAAACAAAAGAATATCAGATTATGCATACGATTTTAAAGATCTTGCATCCGTTCAAATATATGAAATCGCGTTACCATGGTTACGAGTGATAACCTTTCGCCCCCGAAAATGCGAACCTTTTAATTGAATTATTAAGATCGTGTTACACAACTACAGATTAAACACATCTGCATATATCTATAAAATCTAACTCAAATTGTTACAAAGTAAGAAAACAAAGGATTCTTACGAAATCCACGTTTAACGTAAAACATAGAGTTCATCTTTACCAACTAAATAAGGATATTGCTTATTATCAAAATATGGTATATGGAGCGACCCTCGTAGAATAGAAAATATATAGTAGTAGTTAGCAGATAATCAGATTTACAATTGAATTTTAGCAAAAATATTAGTGCAAGACCTTTAGGAAGTCCAGATCAAGATTTTTGCACTATCAAGGAAAAGAACCATACTGCCAAAATAATCTTACCAGACTGCACTTGCTGGCGCACTACATGGTAGTAGTACCATTTTAGGTGTGTACATACTGCTACGTTTTGTGGTGGTTCTTCTAATTGAGTATAATTAAATTACCAGCCGACCCGTATTCCATTAGATGGGCTTACTGGACTGGACTGGGATTGATTAATTGATTAATTGACTAAATTGATATTTCTATTAGTTTGTTTCTTAGGAACAATTACACTGCTGTCTTTAATGGAGAACAGAAAAAAGTGCATCACAGAAACCGGGGCAGAAGAAGCAACAAAGTGCGGAATATAAAATTAAACAACGGCTAAAAATCAAAGCAAAAAACGAAAAAAACATCTCGGATGTGTAAAGGCAACACAGAAGATATCGTAGTATATACGTTGTCTGATCCAAAGATTGGTGGTGGTAGTAGCAGTAGTTAATAATGATAGTGACAATAATAAAACTAACATAACGTTATGAAATATATATCAGAAAGCTATAACTTCATTTGATTTAAGTAAAACAGAGAGAGAGAGAGAGAGAGAGAGAGAGAATAATATCTGTTAGTAGTTTGTGGTGAAAAGGGACAAGAAATTATAAGATCACAGAGTTTTAGGAAGGAGCTTTTCATTTTCATGTAATTAATTTAGTTCAAGGTCCCTTTGATATTCCATAAGCAATATTTGAATTTGTTGTTTTGCGAAGTCATTGAGTGGTTTTTTATCTTTTATTTTGATGTATCAATCAAAACATTCTTTTATTTCTTAAGTCAGACACCTTCCTTCCGTTCTTTGGTATTCTTATTCTTCTACGTATAAATGTATTATAATAAACACTCATCATTACTTGCTTCAATAAGGCTCTCTCTTTCTCTGTCCATCCCAAACAAATATATATAGAAATAATTGACTGTTTTGTATTGTATTCTCTTTTTTGAAGAATTCCTTATATAAAGAAATAAAGATACGAAATAGCAACAAGATTATTCAATCATATGCAAGATGTATATATTTACTTTGTTTTGATTTTGTTCAATAAAATAAGACGAACAATATTTCTTTTTTGGCGCTAATATATATATACCTTGTATATCTTATATCAATTAATTCTTGCTGATTCTGAAATAAACAACCTAAACTAATTGATTTGTTATTATTCAAACTACTTCATTCGTTTTTATCATTAAAGAGAGTAAATAAATCGATCAAACTAAATAAAATACACTAAATTTTTATTTTGATTTGTACATATTCGTAAAAAATTACTCAAACTCCGTGCTTGTGTAATAATTTATTGAATAAAAAACCTATACAAAGTTCTAATACGTTTAAAAAGAAAGTTGAGATAGTTGTTATAACGTTTAAAACTGAAAACAATCATCGTCATCATCATCATCATCGTTCAATCCATTCATTGATTAACTGATTTAGTAGTTCCTTCTTTCCCCTACTCTCCCTCTGTGTGTGTGCCCCTTCTTTATTAACAGAGCGACGCGAACAACGAAAAAGATATTTTCTCAGTATTAAGAAACCGCACCATTCAATATTATTATTATTAGTGCACTTCTCACATAATATCTTTGGAATTTCATTTTTCTTTCCTCTATCAGCTTCCAGTATATTACTATTATTGTTATATTAAGGAGGTGGTGTGGTGAAAAAAAAATATATAGAAAAATATTATAATAAAAAATAAGAGAAAAGATAGAAAGTTAACCAGATCCAAGAAGCTAATTTATACTAATTTTATTTTATTTTTTGCTTGGACGTTTTAAATTATTATATTAACCCCTATAAAATTACAACCATATTACACATTCAACCATTTTTTTTTATTATTATTTGTTTTGTAATTTTGAAATTGTTTTGAGCATATCCATATACAAAACTAGAAGATTAAGATAATTATTAATAGAAATAGACACTAACAGTAATAGGAAACAAAAATAAGAAAAAAAAATGCCGATTCTAGGTAGAAACCCATTTGGTCATCATCATCATTCGTCTTCATCGACTCATTTAAATGAAAAATTGGATTCTAATGGCTCTTCTCCAAATAGAACAGGAAATTCAATCAATAATAACAGTAGTAATGTTAATAACCATAGCCATATGACTCAACCACCTATTAGAAGAAGTTCAAAATCATTCTTAAGTTTCATGAGTAGGAAACCTTCATTGGAATCAATCAGAAGTGAAAAATCAACAGATTCGTTAGTGAATAGTCCCACAACGTCTCATATAATGAATTCAATGCAAGATAGCCATCAACAACAGCATACTCACAATTTAAGCCATGGTCATATGCATGATAATCACATGTCACCTAAACCAACTCACTCAATGGTAGAATTGAAAAGATTTTTCAGATCATCTAAAATTATGTCAATGACTCATGGTCATAATAATAATAATACTACTACTACTAATCATTTGCATGGTACACATGGTGGAAGTGCGGTGAGTAGTTCTACTACAAACGTACCATCGATGTCAAGACATACTCAGACACAAAAGGGTTCCTCAGTTAATAATCATCATCCTCATTCAACAACTCAGTTGAATTTGAATTCTCATTTTCAAATGACTGCGAATGATCATCATGGCCATACTCAATCCGCTATACCTCCAAGTTCCGATTCGATTTTATCGTTGTCTAATACTATCAACATTTATCACGATGATACTATTTTAGCTCAGAAATATGGTAGACTTGGGAAAACTTTGGGGTCAGGTGCAGGTGGTTCTGTAAAAGTATTAGTGAGACCCTCTGATAATGCAACTTTTGCAGTCAAGGAATTTAGACCAAGAAAGGCTAATGAATCTGTGAAACAATATGCTAAAAAATGTACTGCCGAATTTTGTATCGGTTCATCTTTACATCATCCAAATATTGTAGAGACTATCGATATCTTCTCCGATTCAAATCAATTTAAATATTTCCAAGTTATGGAATTTTTACCTATAGATTTCTTTGCAGTAGTAATGACCGGTCAAATGTCCAGAGGTGAAATCAATTGTTGTTTGAAACAATTATGTGAAGGTGTCAGATACTTACATTCAATGGGTCTCGCTCACAGAGATTTAAAATTGGATAATTGTTGTATGACTGAACAGGGGATCCTAAAGATTATTGATTTCGGTAGTGCCGTCGTCTTCAAATATCCTTTTGAAGATGAACAAAGAACTCATAATGCACACGGGATTGTTGGTAGTGATCCATATTTGGCTCCAGAAGTAATCACATCCACGAAATCTTACGATCCTCAAGCTGTAGATGTTTGGTCGATAGGTATAATCTTCTGCTGTATGATGTTAAAGAGATTCCCTTGGAAAGCTCCTAAATTATCAGATGATAATTTCAAATTGTACTCTATGCCTGATGACATTGAAAGAGACTATACTCAGTCAGCTAAACATCATGAACAGTTGTTATCTGAAAGAAGAAGATATCGTGAAAGAACGAGTCATCCAGAAGGTTGCGAAGATATAGAGAAACAACATAACGATGATGACACTGACAACAACAATAATGATAACAATGAGGAGCATGTCTCAAAGGATGTTGCAAACATCAAACAATTACCTACTCCACAAGAGGAGGACATTCCAAATAATGATACTACTATTAATAACTACCAACAGGAACATTTAAATACTGTTCCTGAAGATGAACATAAGAAAGGTGATACATCAAACGGTAGTACTGACAAACATACTATTGAAAATATTACGAACCAAACACTAACGAATCCTCCCGTTAAAGAAGTTAATGATAACAAGAGCAACAACAATATCACACAAAAAGTTAAGATTGATGACCATAATGAAAACAAACAACAACTGCAACACGCTGAAAAGGAAAATAATGACAAAAACCCAGTCCTTCAACATAATGAGACTATACCAGATAACAAGTCTATATCATCTACTAGAACTGCTGCTACTTCACATACTCAACACAACGGACATCCCCACAAGAGAGTAATACATGGACCTTATAGATTATTACGTTTATTACCTCATGCTTCTAGACCTATTTTGTCTAGAATCTTGGAAATTGATCCAAGTAAGAGAGCCACCCTTGATGAAGTATTTGAAGATGCTTGGTTCGATGAAATTCCAAGTTGTACTATGGACAACAAAAACAACGTCATTAGAGCCCACGGTCACCATCACACAATTGTGAAGGATTCGAAGACCTATAAAATTTAATGACATATAATGTTATATATGAACTATTCTAATATATGATTTAATGTTACATGGATATATATATTTTCCAATTTGATTATTTCTATACATATGTAAATGTTTCAAATAAAAATTCCATTTTCTCCTCAACATACGCCTAGTATACGGTATAGATGGAAACAGGTTAATTATATTTAATTATTTACATGCTTTATTTATATTTATTTACCGTCTACCAAATAAGTCAAATGGGATTTATCAAATATGTCTACTTTATCACCGAATTCAGCTAATGTTCCAGGGAAATTTAGGATTGAAACATTATTTACGCCCCATTTATTTGTGAAATTTGAGTTTTGTTTGGGTGATAGAATATTTACATTATCAAATCTAAAGCTCCAATAAAGGGCTAGTCTCCATAATAATATTTTTTGACCAACATCATCGTTAACCATAGCGTTTAAATCCTCATTTTTCTTATAAAGCTGTCTCTCCGCAATCAAATTAACCAATTCTGGTTTAGAAAATGTCGTGATCCCTGATTCAGAATTCATTATTTTTCTTAAAAGTAACCAATCATCAACGACATAATATTCATGTTTATCAGCCACGAGATTTGCAAGTTTTGATTTAACGTTGAATGTCTTCCATATCGATATTTTCCAACCTGGAATCTCATTAGTCGGTAGTTGGTTTAGTAACTGTTTCAATGTCTTTATATCGAGATCATATGGAGAGGAAATAGAAGAAATATTCTTACCGATACCCACTGTTCCGCACAACTTATTCTGTAGATTCTCTTGCAATACATGACTCTCAGTGATTTTCTTGTATGCGCCAACGGATAAAGCTGATCGAAGTCCCAATTTTGGCCATAAATAAACCATTACTAGGAATAATTCTTCAAATATAAAGAACATTATTAGGAATCTAGGCAGTTTCCAAAATTCATTTTTTCTATACATTTCAACGAAGTTTGTTCTGGTGATATGTTCATCGAGTAGGTTGAACTCTAAATCTTTCAATAGCTGTTGATTGGAATATAGGATGCTTGACTGATTTCTATATTTTTTATGAACTTTGTAGGAATTCTTTATGGCCTCCCTATATATTTTCATTTGTGATTTTATTATTCTAAACCATAATGTCGGACTCTTCCTCCAATTCGGTACAATTGAATTCGAATTGTTGATTTTTTCTTTCTCTAATGCAATTACAGAATATGTTCTAGGTAAAGTATCCGAAGAGTTAATATCACTGTCAATCTTTGATTCATCAGATGTCACAAGTATTTTGCCGTTTTCAAGCTTTTGTTTAAAGTTGTGAAACAATTTATTATTCTTCGCCGATTGTTGGAATGTTTGTTTTGTATCTAGTGCAAAAATTGAAGGATATGTTTTATAATGTAAACATCTCCTTGATAATAATTGAAACATATCTTCTCAATATAATGGATGAATGCCGGAATATGCAGCTAACTACAACTTTCTAATAATTATACCCTTTGGGTTCCTAAAACTTAGACCTTTTATAATTGTTTGTCTATTTTCTAATAGATTAATATTTAAGCGAACTAATTGGATATCTAAAATTCAAGAAACATATCAACATCATACAAAAAAAAACAATGTGTAAAAGACATATATTTATCTATGCGCATATACATTAAAACGATGACTGCTCTATAGCAACAGAACTATATCATATATGATACTTATATATTTATCTCAAAATACCATCAGAGACAGGAATACATCTGTATATTTCTGCTCCATTATTAAATATTCTAATGTCGGTAAAACGAAATAATCAGCAAGAATACTTTAAATATTCGATGCTTCTATAATTAATATTAAATATACGAAAATACAAACTTTCTCATTTATTTTTGATCAACCGTAGCTAATAAAGCGTCTGCACTCTCCAAAGCGGCTTTAGCTGGGTCTGTCTTTTCTATACCCTTGTAAGATGCTAGAAACTGTGAAAGGTCATCTTTGAATTCACGAATCTTTTGGTATAAAGTTGGAAGTAATCTTTGAGTATCCTCCAGGACTTCTACTTGTTTCTTTAAGTCATAAGGATCGATTTTAGGATCATTCTTTAAGCTTTCTACATGAGCAGCTTGATCCTTTGCTTCTTGTAGGTAATAACTCTCTTCCTTCACCAACCTTTCTAGTGCTTTAACTTTAATCTCTAATTGCGTTGGGGCCATTTTTTTAATATAACTTTTGATACCGATATCTATCCTTTTATTCTAACAAATTGTATTTCTTTCTCACAATTATATAAAGGGTGTTAAATTTAAATGCTCGGTGCTCATAGTAAAAAATATAGATATTAATTTGTTTGTTATTATTATTATTATTATTATATAGCAATCACACCAAACTAAAGGCGAATTTCTCTCTTTTGCGCGTTCGTTGTAAATTCTACAAAATTTCTCGTTAATCAATTTTGGTGGTGGATAATTAGTTGTTATTATTAAACAAAGGTGTATATATTTATATATATCTGGATATATAAACATATTCACCGTTTTAAAAGTAGGTATATGGTTTAAGAATAGATGCTACTCGTTGTACTTGGGGTATTATCTGAGTCTACAAGTGATATTCTGTCGATCTTAGCTTGTAAGTCATCAATTATGTCGGAACTTTCTGAAGATGAGATACTTGAATGAACTATATGTGTCGAGGGAATTTGGTTATATGTAATCATTTTACCAGTTTTTATATCTTCGTTGGTATATTTGCTATTAGTTAATTCAAAATCATCGTAATCAAAATCAAATATTACAGGATCAATTGTGAATTTATGACAATGCATTGTTTTTAATGTATTATTCAATGGTGTGGAGACTCCATTTTCTAAGGAAACTGTTGGAATATCATGTATGGTCAAATCTGCAATATCTAAACTAGATGGTAATGTATCCTGAGCGGTTTCATACCCATCTGTTGCGGAGCTAGATGACACTACATCTGCCTCATCCTCTGTCCATACTTCAGAATTACTTCCATTCGATTCATCATGACTGGATATAAGATCGCTTAAATGCTTAACATGATGCAAACAAGATTCAAATGATGATGTATCTGAATCAATTTTTTTATTTGGTTCTCCTTCGATCAGGTCATCATCCCGTGGCTTAATTCTTTTATTCATTTCAACAATGTTTTGCCTTTTTTGTACGTGTTCCAATACTCTTTCAATTTCTGAATTCAAAACAGATGTTTTGTTTTGATTGAATGGGATAGTATCCTCATCAATAGAAGGGATTGACCGACTATCATCATCTGCACAATATGCGTCTAATATTTCATCAAACAGAATTTCATTTGTGCTTCTACTATACCCTGGATGATATAAACTCAAATTACCTTTTTGATTAGTCCTCTTTGGTCTTGAATGTGGCATTTCCGGAGATTGAATAACAACTTTTGGAGGTTGAATTTTGTGTGAATTAGATGTCGCTGTTGGTGAACGTTCGGAGCAATATCTATATGCTATACCTTGTGATACTTGTCGAGAGTTTCTTTGTAATACACGCTTTTTATTATGAATACTATTTTGTCTTTTAAGGTTGTTTTCTTTAATTACAGGCATTCTTTCAACGGATAATAATTGAGCAGGAATGTGATTTGATTTGTCCTGTTCTTTATTTTGACGTTTCTTAAAATCATGAAGGAAAATTTCTGGGACAGATTCTAATCTTTTCTTGAAATAAATAGTACCACCGTATTGTTTAGATAATCTTTTCAATTTCTTTTGTTGTGGGTTAATTATATTGTTATTATTATTCATATCATTTAAAATCAAGGACTCTTCAGAGCCACTACTTGGAATAGGAGGAATCTTATATAATTCCTCTGCAGTTAATGTCAGAGAAGGTGGTCTGAGGACATCAACTCCTCTTTCAATTTTTTGACCTAAAAACTTTCTAGGCATTATATTTCTTTTATTTGTCTTCAGAATTATATCGTGGTTCAATAATATATATATATTAGTATTATTGTAACAATTTTTTGTATTTGGTTGGTTAGTATATTTATTCTTGGTTAATTGACACAAAGAAATATAAGAAGTATAAGTAACCAGGTTACTCTATATCATTCACCTACTATATATATATACCTACATATGTATGCAACATCTGGAGACATCAATCGCAAGATAAACATCACAATGACCAATGAATGACCCATTATCACAGAGGGTAATTTAATGGAGAGGGGTTTTACTTGTCTTGGCCATATTATTGTAAATCACAAGAGTCTCCTCAAATAATTGCGAAATGGAATTGCTTAACTCGAAGCAGCCCAGTAAGAAACAGTACATATGTATCCATATGGCCCTGCTTTCTAAAGGTATCCTTCATTTTGTATAGTGAATTAATACATCTCAGTAAATAAGATTAGCTAGTTGAGTTTCATAATTGTGTTCAAAACGATCATTTAAACCAGCATTTTCTAACCTTTATGAAAAAACGTCAACAATAACAATAGAGAGTCACTACCATTAAGCTAGGTTGAAGAAAATTACTTGATTAAGATTAAATGGCTGGTTCACTTTTTCGGTCTTTTCTGCGGTGCGTTGTCTGAAAAACGAAAAATAGTGATATAGTCCAACAAAAAGGTCCCAAGACAAAAAAATAACAAAGTGACAGCAAAATGATACCTCGACAAGGTTACGACCATGTAGATTCTCGTAACTGTAATAACGTTTACTATTTCCATTATCCCAAATGTAGTTCAGTTTTTTCTGAATTTTGGTTCAGGTATTGTAAGTTAATTTTGGTTTGGTATATTCATCTGAACTAAAGGCACCGGGTCTTCTTTATAGTTACTCGTAGTTTTTATATGGCAAAGTAAACAACTACCTGACCTTATAGTGTTGAATGCTTATTATCACTTCCAATAACATAATGTTTCAAAAACCCTTTTTTAGCAATCTATTGATGAGTTTTGGGAATTTAAACAGATCTCGATTCAGATAAGCTTAATGCAACACTAAAATAGATATCTGATTTGACTTAATATTAATCTTCAAATATATTTATATTTACGCGCTTTATCTACCTTACATAGTCCGTACCTTGCTTTTCTTCCCAATCCTTCAAAGCTTTATCCCATTCATCTTCATTATCGACATCAATCTCTTTTTCTTGCATCTCCCTATCCTTCTCAATCTCTTCTCTTCTTTTTTGTTCCGCTTTATCATATAACTCTTTATTATCTATCCATCTATCTTGTATATTGTTCTCACGCAGACCTTGATCTCTTGTTGCTTCAGCCCATACAGTATCACCACCAACCTCTGATGCACCGAATATATAACCATTAGCTTTATCCACTGATAATTGTAAGTTGATCATACTTTCTTTGTCGTCTACTGCTAGTACTTCAAATGATACTAGGTTGAAATCTGAAACCATTTCACTTAAAGTTTCAGTTAATTTTGCGTAACGCTTACCCATTATACTATTACTCTCCTTTTCCACATATGGTAAAAGATAGTCGAGATCTTGTACATCTGTATAGTAATCTAAATTGAATGGAAGTTCCCCATACGATTTGATCATATCAATCTTGGAAAATACATTAATCTGTGGTAGATCCATCATAAGCATAGATCTCAATGCCAATAAAAGAATTGAAATATATTGTGAAGGTGAAGTTAGGTAGTAGCAATCTATAAGATTTACTACACAAAATCTCATGTCTAATTCTTTCTCTAATCTTTTAAAGATTCTGAAAAGTGAAGAATGATGAGTGAAAAGTTCTACTTGACCAGGGCAATCAAATACTAAATAAGCCTTTTCCTCCTGTACCAAAGATTTTATTTGTAATACAAATAAATCTATGGATTTATCTAGTGATTCCATAGCATACATCAAACCACCATTAGGTCCTAATTGTTGTTCCTGCATAATTTCTTCAATTGTAATAAAATCTCTAATATCCACCGCACATGGATAAGGAAGTGAATCATTTGCAGGATCCATATTTACTATCTGCCCATGTCTTCCGATGGCATTAAAGAATTGTGCTGTCCCATTACAGTATGTTGATTTCCCAGAACCTGGTGGCCCTATAACGATCTGAGCAAAGGACATTATTAAAAATATAATATGGTGTACGTGCTTTTATTTGTAGGTACAGTTTGGTAAAGAGTCTTAAAATTAACTGTTGACTCTCCAGATATCATTGCCAAGTAATAGCACTCCATATAAAGTTGTATTATGTAATTATATAACTAATATAGGAAGGAACCTCATCGTTTTTCCATAATTTATTTTTTTTCAATTTTCAACTTTTATGCCGATGGACTTTTTTTTTAGTAATTACCAGTATTCACACAATTGCTAAAAAACTGTCCCTAGCACAGTGGCATAAACGTAATAACTTTTGAGATAAGTATGACAATCCAGTACATTCACACTCTGTCGATTTATTTCTAACTGAATATGTTATGATTATTACAACATTTAGGATTTATATCTATGTTATGATTTAGAGTTTCTATACTGAATTATATATATGTAGATACGTTCAAAAGAGCAAAGGCAATTGAAACAAAAATAATCGTGCTAGAAGAGGGCTTGACTCTAAGCTTCAAAAATATCATCCTCGAAATCTCCTTCACTAAAATATTGCTCATCACTTTCCGTTCCATGGAAGTCGGATGAGTCACTATTAGAATCTGATATAGCATCACTACTATATTCACCAAATTCATCGAACTCATCGTCATCATATGTTTTCATCAATATTTCATTCTTGAAATTACTCTTTAGATCAATGACGTAATTACCTTCAATGTAACAACTAGTCAATGTAGATTTTTTACCAATCTTAGCATTTGGACCAATAATGACATTTTCTAATACACATTCATCATCAACTTGAACGTTATTTAATAGGATAGAACCAGAGATACGACATTTGTTACCGATAGTACAATTAGCATTGATTGATGATAATTTTATACTGTTCTTCTCCATCAAAGTAGCCGTAGAGTCCACAATGGAGTCAGCACCAATGGTGGATGACATTGTAGATGTTGTTGGTAAATTACTTGAGTTAGATTTAATCTTTAGGATGAAACGAGTAGCATCCATATAAGAATTCAAATCATTCGAACGTATGAAAGTCGATTCTTCTGGGAGAATGAAAATAGATATAGTTTCTCTTTCTGTAGAATGTTGCCATGATCTTCTACTCAAGTCTCTGAACAATTTTGATATAGAACTCTTTGTATTTATAGTATCCTTGGTCAAATTATTTGGTTTTCTTAGATAAGATGGATGAATCAAAGTTGGATCCACAGGCAAATTAATATTATTATTGTTATTATTATCAGTAGTATTATTAACATTTTTATCATTATCACTTAGAGTTGTATTACTCAAATTACTTTGAATTGGAATCAAAGAGTTTTTATCCATGGAAGTTCCGTTATTGTTACCGTTAATTGATTTATTCATAGACATATCATTAGTAATAATATTATTACTATTATTTGAACCATTTTCCATTGAAACCATATTAGTATTGTTATTGTTATTGTTATCATTTTCATCCTTTTTCAACAATTGAACTAATTCATAAGAACAAAAATAAATAAAAGAATTAATTAATTTCTTTGAGATTGAACAATTTGGATAATTCCAAAGCAAATGGTCTCTAACTTTCAAATATTTCCCCTTTGTGACTTCATTTGTAGAATAGGAATCTAATAAGACGGGTTGTTTAGATGTATGTCTATTTTCACTGTATAGAGTGAACATTTTATCTTCTTGTTTATTTTTATGAGATTGTTTCTTATCGATAACATTTTCTAAAGAATTTTTATAATATATAGCCATTGCAATATTATCATCATCTCTATTTTGATATTGATCTAAAAAGATTTGTGGTGGAATATCTGTAATGAAATCACATGGTAAAATGACAAAATCTCTATGAATTTTATCCAGTAATTCATTTTGTAATAATTCACTTGTATAAGATGATTTAGTTGAAACAAAATTAATTTTTTTTGGTTTCTTTAAATGATGAGTATGATTATTTGATAATAAAGCCTTTGAAATCAATTCATATTGTTGATTTCTTAATGTTAAGAATGATTTCAAACCAGCTTTTATAAAATCAATTTCATCAATATGACCAACTACATTGATTTCTGAAAAATCTGCTTGATCACACCAATCAATAACGTATTCAATCATAGGCTTCCCAGCAATTGGTAACAAAGCCTTAGGCAATCTAGCCAATGCCTCGACATTGAATTCGCTGATATTGTTTAATTCTTTATCATTTACTGATGGATCAATATTTGGATTACATAATGGGGACAAGTTTAAACCTTTCCCACAAAAGATAAATGATTGTAAAGTTTTCATCCTTGGATTATATTACTGCCAATTTTTATCTCCGACTAATAAAAACAAATATATATGTAAGCAGAAGATGACTAGGACAATCTACTTAGCAATCTTTATATATAAGCTTAAGATATATTGTTGTTATTCATCCTCATCAGTTCTACTTCTACTTAAAATTTTTTTCCAGGTGACTGAAAGAGAAAAATCTCATAAAATTTCGTTGGCACCGACCGCCTCACAACTTCCATAAAAATTTTATCAGAAAACATTTACGGAAATTGCAAAGAAAAATTGAGAAAAAAGACGGCGCGAGATGCGAAAAACAAAGATTCTAAGCTGCACACACAGAACGCAATGAAGAAACATATAACAATCCTTTTCAGTAAATTTCTCACAGCCAAAATTGAAAGAAAACAACTGAAATTCTCTCTTTGTCCATTTTCTATTTTCCAGTTTTCGGCTATTGAATTATGAATATTTGCCACCCATACACTGATGAAAAAAGGTCAAGGTATAATACACAAGAGATACCAAAGTGAAGTGGGAAAATATGATAGAAGGAATATCATAAGGATCATACATATACTTGGATTTTTCGAGATATATACATATATATATCTATATATACTTATAATCATAACCGAAGAACAAATTACAAAAATAGAATTTAAATTTTTTGTTTATTAATTTAATCTTTCTTAAAGGACAATCTGACTGAGACATTAACATTTTTGAATAACTATAATAATGAGTGAAGAACAAGATCCACTATTAGCTGCTTTAAACGATGAAGGTGCAGGTAATAATAGTACGGAAGAAAATCAAACCACTAATGAATCTGCAGGTGAAGTCTCTAGAGAACCAACTTCTGTACCTGTCATAGACCCCGAACAGGAACTACGTGATAAGACATTATCCTTATTTAAGAAGAAATTGATGGAGCATAGACGTTATGATGATCAATTGAAGAGTCGTAGACAAAATATTAAAGATTTAGAGAAAAAATATAATAAGACAGAGAATGATATTAAAGCTTTACAAAGTATTGGTCAATTGATTGGTGAAGTTATGAAAGAATTATCTGAAGAAAAATATATTGTTAAAGCTTCATCAGGTCCACGTTATATTGTTGGTGTTAGAAATTCTGTCGATCGTTCTAAATTGAAAAAGGGTGTTAGAGTTACATTAGATATAACTACTTTAACAATTATGAGACTCTTACCAAGAGAAACAGACCCCTTAGTGTATAATATGACTTCATTTGAACAAGGAGAAATCTCATTTGATGGGATTGGTGGTTTGACAGAACAGATTAGAGAATTAAGAGAAGTTATCGAATTACCTTTAAAAAACCCTGAAATTTTTCAAAGAGTTGGGATTAAACCTCCAAAGGGTGTCTTACTGTATGGTCCACCAGGTACTGGTAAAACTTTATTAGCAAAAGCTGTCGCTGCAACTATTGGTGCAAATTTCATCTTTTCACCTGCTTCAGGTATTGTAGATAAATATATTGGTGAATCTGCAAGAATTATTAGAGAAATGTTTGCTTATGCTAAAGAGCATGAACCTTGTATTATCTTTATGGATGAAGTAGATGCTATTGGTGGTCGTAGATTTAGTGAAGGTACCTCTGCAGATCGTGAAATTCAACGTACATTAATGGAATTGTTGACTCAAATGGATGGGTTTGATAATTTAGGACAAACTAAGATTATTATGGCAACAAATAGACCAGATACATTAGATCCTGCTTTATTAAGACCAGGTAGATTAGACAGAAAGATCGAAATTCCTTTACCTAATGAAGCAGGTAGGTTGGAAGTCTTTAAGATTCATACTTCAAATGTTAAAAAAATTGGTGAATTTGATTTCGATGCTGCTGTAAAGATGAGTGATGGTTTCAACGGTGCTGATATTCGTAATTGTGTCACTGAAGCAGGGTTCTTTGCAATTAGAGATGATCGTGATCATATCATCCCTGAAGATTTAATGAAGGCTGTCAGAAAGGTTGCAGAAGTAAAGAAATTGGAGGGTACTTTAGAATATCAAAAATTATAAGTATGATATATATACATATATAAGCATTATATTATAATCTTAATTCTTAAAATTGTCCTATTCATTAATGGGTTCTTTGTTTGTTGTTGCTAAATAATATATAAAATTACATCAAAGGTTATTTACTTAACCTTTTAATTCACCAATTTTTTTTTTGTCTCTCTTTTGTGTGGACATATGTATATGTATATCAGTAAGATCTAATACAATACGACATCACATGACATGTCTTAATTATCTGTACAGATGGCAATAAATTCGTCTTCATTGATTTCTCCATCTCCATCCATATCGAATTCTTCAATCATTGCCCTCAATTCTTGATCATTCATATTCTCACCTAACTCCTGAGCGACTCGTCTAAGATTCTTAAACGATATCTTCCCCGTATGATCATCATCAAACAATTGAAATGCTCTTTTAATCTCTTCAATTGGATCTCTCTTTAGTATCATTTCACCGGCTACTGTGAAAAAGTCATCATATTGCATCAAATGACGACCATCTCGATCATAACGATTGATGTAGTCTAATATTTCTTTCTTTTCTAATTGGAATCCCAAAGCACGTAATGCTACTTTAAATTCATGGAAATCTAAGTACCCGTCATTATTCATATCAAAAAGTGAGAAGGCTTCGTATATTTCTTGCTTCTGTTCTTGTAACAGATCACTATCTATACCAGGCTGATCATATCCGGCATTGTTGTTTGCATTAGATGGTACATATGATTTACTGATGGGGCTACCGCCAACCTTATTCGCCCTTAGATTGTTCATCTTTGGAGATTTCTATATTTTTCGTGTGTGTATGTGTATCTGTGGTACGTCTCTTTTCTTAATACCCTTTTCAATTCTTTAAAAAAAAAAACAGATATATTGATTATTAATATCGGTGTTGTAGAATTGTATGTAGTTTCAACAATAGCGAGTTATGTCGAATGTTATAACTTACACTTTGAGACTTGTATCTAATTAAGTTTAATTATCGCGAAAAGATCACTAATTAAATTATAATATTCTAATTCTTCTGTATCTTTTTTTTGCTTCTTTCGTTCCGTTCCATCTCTCTCTCTCTCTCTCTCTCTCTCTCTCTTTTGTATATCATTTGTTTGAAAATTACCGTAAACGGTACGGAAATTAGTGAACAAGCTAAAAAAACCTAGAAATGAACAAATCATTCAAAATATTGACAGTTCTTAATATATTAAACCTATTGTTTTACGCCTCTAATTACTGTAGAACAACAATACAATAGACACAACTACAGCTAAAAATTATAAACACATATATCTCGTTAAGTTAGAACTGAAACAATATCCCCGTTATTGTTTTCATGAATAAACAATAGAGTCTACAAATCGGTAATAAGTTTATAGAGTTTCATACCAAAAAGACCCAGATTTTATTAAATTTTGGGCCAGATAATTCTCAAATTAAATTGGAACATCTAAATCTGTCTATATATTAGAATTGGATAACAACTATACATTAAATAATAAAGTAAACTCATTTTTAAACACAGATACCCTGCATTCAAAGGTTCTAAGATAATCGTTTGTATACACTCACATATATTTTAGATGACTCGAGATTACCTTAATGTCCCGACAACATCGGGTTCAAGGTCCAAGGAGCAAAAAACATTGTTGCATCCACCGACATATGAAAGAGTAGACTCTCAATCACAGGATTCAGCTAGTATGGATTTTGATCTAGAGTCAGAAAATTACGAATCACATAGTGATAACGACACAGAATTTGAGAATTCAACCCATTTTTCAAGTGATATGGATTTCGAAGATATCGATTCCTTTATGGAAAGAGGAAATATACCAGAATCATTAAGTAAGTTGAAATATATCCAATATAAATTGAATCGTACGTTAATACGACCTGTCCAAAAGAATATAGTCAATCCTTTAAACGAAATGCAACTAGTTATGAATAATGAAATCGATAGATACTTGAATCGTTTTGGGAACCCTTTGATCTTGAAAAGATTTATTTATATTGCCATTATGACTATTATGCTTTGGGTGATCGTATTTTTCGGTGATTTTGCTACAGGTATAGCTAAGGGTTCAAAAGGTTCATTTTCAAGTCAACGAATATTGTTTGATTACTCCAAAAAAGTTATAAATTTGAAAAAATTTGAAACTGATCTTGAATATTTATCTAGTATACCTCATGGTTCAGGTACCAAAGGTGACATATTATTAAAGAATTATATTATGAAATCTTTTGAAAAACAAGATTTAGACCAGGTGTTTGAAAATGAATTAAAGACTTATTCCAATTACCCAACAAATAACTCAACTCTATCCGTGTTCCATACCAATTTGAAACAATTAACTACTATAGAATTGACAGAAGAAAATTATACCCCATTAACCATCAATGGTGACTTAAAAAAATTAAGTTTAATATATGGACATTATGGGACTGACGAAGAATTGAAGCAGTTACATAAAATTTCCGTGCTGGGAAAACATACAGGTAATTATATCTTACTCGTAAAGTACAATAAGGAAATAATAGTAAGTGAACAGATTCTAACCGCACAGAAATATAACGCCAAGGGAATTATATTTATTTCCCAAGATTATAACGGTAACATGGATGTATTGCAAATGAAATCTGCTGGGCTACCACAGTATGCTACAGGTGACATATTGACCCCAGGATACTACGGGAGTAAAGTTAACGGTATAAGTCCCGAAGATTCTAAGTTGCTAACAAACATTCCTATTGTAACATTAACTAGAAACCAAGGTGAATTATTATTAGCTAAACTTTCCAGAACTGGTTTACTTTATAAAGATGGAAAGTACAGTGGTAATATAAATGATCTAAGAATCGATTTAAAAAGTGATACAATTGAAAAGAGAAGACAGCCTGTTTATAATATTATTGGAAGAATTGACGGAAGAGAACAAAATGATAAGGCTATTATTATTGGTTCAGCAAGATCTGTACATGGACCTGGGGCTTCATATCCCAATTTCGGTACAGCAACCCTAATGAATTTGGCTGAAATATTCCAAAATTTAAGATATAGATTTAATTGGAGGCCCCTTAGAACCATATACTTTGCATCCTTCGGTGGCTCTGAGTTTAATTTCGCTGGTTCCACTGAACAAGTCGAATTAGATATGATGCCTATCCATGATGGTGTCTATTCTTATATTGACATCTCTCAGCTAGGTTTAACTGACGAGATCAATATTCAAACAAATCCATTGATGTCATCACTGTTTAACATGGAGGCTAAATATATGCGAACATTCAACGTAACGACATGTCCTATTCAACAATATGGTGATTGGATCCCATTTATTGCTAATGGTGTTCCCTCAGCAGCTCTTGGATCCCCAGCTGTTAAAAAGAGGATGTTACCGATAGAAACCATTGAAGACACATTTGAAATGATTCACCAGTTACTCCAAGAGAAAGAAAATCAGGACAATGTTAAAGACATTATTTTCTATCTGGTCGAAATTATTTTGAAACTTGTAGATGATCCTATCATTCCGTTTGACTTATTAGATTATGTTCAAGAAATAGATACGTCGGTCCAATCGATGTTAAAGTTGTATAAACATAAGATCGATCTGGCAGCTATGCTCAGAAATATACTAAAATGGAAAAAGACAGCTTATTCATGGAATTTATGGCTAAATCATTGGAAAGATACGGTTTGGCGAAAAGGCACCAGCTCTGAAAATGAAGAAAATAAAGAAAACAGATTACGTTGGAATGAACATTTAAGTAAGATTAACAAACTGATGTGTGATGAGTATGGTATCCCCAATAGAAATTTTTATAAGAATGTTCTATTTGGCCCACCTTTATGGAATGAAAAGTTTTTCAAGTCTCATGATTATAACCCATGGAGTTTCCCTGGTGTGAAGGACGCAATTAGTACACATGATTGGAAACAGGCGAATGATGAAGTCAGAGTTATTGGACAAATGTTTTCTGATTCGTCCGAAGAGTTCATGAAGGATTTAAAAATTCTGGTTTGATTGATAATAATGTAAGTTTAAGTTTTAATGTTAGTTCATTTTTCTTTTCAATTAACTATTCTCTAGACACATGTCTTAGCATCAAATTAGGTTACCCAGAGTTTGCAGCGCACGAAATTATCTTTTCACAATAGTATTATATATATATATATATATATATATATATACTTTGCATATTAATAAAATATTAATCTTTTTTATTATAGAATTAGTATTTAAACAATAATACAATACAATATATAAATGTGTGTGTATGTGTTATGCAGTTCTTCACAGTACATTACTATATTTTTTTTAGTCTACGTGTTTTTTTAACATTATTCCATCAGCAGAACCTTCTGTAGTATTGAACAATTCCTTCAATGGCTCACCTTCTGATTCAAAACCGTTATCCTTATACCAATCAAGTATGTTGTTAGAATTGACTGGTACATGAATGTAAACATTATGTTGATGGTGTTTCTTGCACTCTTCAAATATATAGGTTAAAAATTTAGTTTCTATCTGGTTGTTTTGGTATTGATCCAATACAGCCAAAACTTCGATGTGGACACCCTTTGGATAAGCGTCACCTTTCTTCTTGGGATATAGTTTGGCTTTACAAGCACCAACTGGGATTTCACTGTAGTAAGCCAATTGAGCAAAAAATGTATCTTTCTTGGTATCCTTTGGGAATAATTCATCGAAGAAGTTATCTGGATATTCAATTGATGGATTCACGGTCTTGCATATCTTCTCCAGCATACCTAGATTGTTGGCGTAAACATTATCTAAGTTAATTAAATCACGGCCCATTCTGATTATAAAAATATGTAGTGTGTGTATGAGAGATGACCTATCGATTTTCTTATGTCCTATTACTCCTGGAGTTTTATAAATATTCTATTCATTAATTTCATATTATTTTAATATGTTGTTGTAATTAATTTTTTTCAATTAATTTTCAGACTATTTAAATTTACACGCATATACTGAATATACTAAAGAATTAATAGTTTTACAAGTCCTACAACAGAAGGCCTCTTATAAACGAGTTTACTTTTCTGAATTATTAGTATACAATTAGTTTCTTTTATAAATTTATAAATTATAATTATCTTAATACCCGTCTATTTAAAAATGTTTAAATTTATTCTTGTTATGATGATCAGAATGAATGAGATGAATAATGTTATCAGCTCATTTCAACATCATTTGCTATTGGTTCATTTGTATTCATTCCACCACCAACAACTTGTTTACCATTCACATCTACTCTCATTAATTTTAGAGTAGACATAGATCCAAAACTGTTATTCCATTTTCTTAAGAATTCCACGTTTTTAATATCTGTTAAATCTGGACATAAAAAACCTTTCATAAATTCTTCCATCTCTAGATCTCTTTTACTTTGTAACATCTGTTGTTTTGTGGTAGGTGGACGATTAGATCTTCTCTTCTTTATTAAATCGTTTAATTCATCATCATCTCTCTCTATGAACTGATTAATAAATACAGCAATCTCATCAGTGGAAAACGTTGTCATATCCTTAAAAGAGTCCAGATTTATAAGATTTTGAATGAATTTCACACGAGAAAGTTCATTAGATTTACGTTCGTTATGCGCTCTCTTTTTACCGGCAACCTTCCCTTCACGTAACGTAGCTCTTGTTAATTTTTGAAACTTACGACCCTTTGGGTGAAGAGTCACTTTACCTTTCTTGGCCAAACCTTTCTTAATCTTCGATAGAGTTTTACTCACAGGCATTATGTCGTTATATCTATATGTATGTGTTTTGATGTACAAATATGCTTGTTGTATCGTATACTAGTACATATATAACAATGAAGGTGGGAAATCTAAAGAAGATCTTTTCTTTTCTATTGATTTCAGACATGTCGTCAAATCTCATCTCAGCTCATCGCCTTTCTCATCTTCTGCACTTCGAAAATTTTTCAGGATATTTCAGTTTCTTCGTCTGATTGATTTTTTTGTTTTGTTAAATTTCATAGCGAGAAGAGAGACGAACGGATTTTTCTTTCACATTCATTATTATTAGTGGTATTTAAGTGTATACGTAATGGGACGTTATTAGATATAAATATATATACAGTCGATTGTTTTGAGTGGTTACATCTAAATTAATCAATCATTATGTCGCCTTTCAGTACTTTAAAGATCATAATGTCCAAGTTCTTACGGTATGTGGTATGCCGTTTGATATGAAGAAGTAACTGTAATTGGCTGTAACAGGTAACTCGTTAATATCTTATTTAATCACAGTATCAGAAGAGAATTGATCTCACAAACTCATTTTTCTTTCTTTCTGTGATTAGGATATTCTTATTTACGTAGTATATCTCATTTTGTCTCTAGTTCTGCACTATATATGTATAAATATATATGTACATGCCACAATTGTCTTGTTATCATAGGAAGCAGGAAGTTAGGAGAAAGTCAAAAATCAAAAAAAAATCAAAAATGAAACAAAATAAAATCACAAGCCATAATGAATATTTATATTTAAAAATATAGGATGTTCTTATAGTTTAAGAACAGGGTTGGATTGATCACCTTCACTAAGGCTATACCATCAAAAATATTTAACTACAGAATGAGTCTATATAAACTAATAACACCAAAGAAGTTTGTCGAATTAGTCGCAAAGGAGACAACCCGTAGAGTTGTACCAGTTGATTCTACTTGGTATATGCCAAATTTAAACAAGGATGCCAAGGCAGAATTCAAGGACCTTGAACGTATTCAAAATGCAGTCTATTTCGACATCGACGGAATTAAGGACACTAAGTCCCCTTATCCTCACATGGTTCCAGATTTGGAAACATTTAACAAGGGAATGAGTCAATTGGGTCTAAAGAGAGATGATATCCTAGTAGTTTATGATAGAATTGGTAATTTCAGTGCTCCAAGATGTGCCTGGACAATTGGTTTGTTTGAACATCCAAATGTTTATCTATTGAATAACTTTAATTTGTACAAGGGTGCAGGATATCCATTAGACACCTCTAAGAAGGAAAGCTTTTCGGAGTATCCGGTATCCGATTACCATGCTGATTCTAGTCTGGCCATTGATGAGGTGGTGCCTTATGAAAATATAGTGGATTTAGTTCAAAGTGGTGATATAAGATCTAAATACAATTTAGTAGATGCAAGAGCGTTAGATAGATTTGAGGGTAAAGTTCCAGAGCCTAGACCAGATATTCCTTCTGGACATGTCCCAGGTGCCAATCCTTTACCATTTGGGGAAGTGTTAAACGATGGAGCTAAAACATTTCCAGAATCCACCGAAGAGATGGCCAGCCGTATTGACCAAGTAACTAAGAAATTAGGCTATACTATCGATCCTAAGAAACCAACCATTGCAATGTGTGGCACTGGTGTCACAGGTACTATCATCAAAACAGCGTTGGAACACGCGGGTTTCAAGATGGTCAGACTTTATGATGGGTCTTGGACTGAATGGGCTCTAAGAAGTGGTTCTGAATTAATTGCCAAAAATAGGGATTAGAAAGTATATATCATATAACATTTTTATAGTAAATGAACAAGTAGAACTATAATATGATACATTATTTCATGCAATATCTCTCAAACAATCTAATGATGCCTTTTAAGAACCTTTGTCTGATCATGTAAGCCCTGTTTGTTTGTTTTTTGGTTCGCAGTAGGAAGTTTAATAAATAAGCGAAACTGAAAAATTTATTTATTTTAGGTTAAAGGAACAATAATATGGTCCTTGATTTAAGAACCCTCTTTCATAGAGTATACATAAATCAAAAACGGCTACAGATAAAAGAACCAATCATTTCGCCTTTCGAATCTACATATTTACATATATCGAAATGTCATTCTTACCAGGGTTAACTGAGGCCGCTCAAGTTCCAGATATATATATCGATGTTAATGAGGCACATACACAAGTGCTTCCAATTGGTACCCTTTGGAAAATTAGAGTACCATCAGAAGCCAAAATGAGCATCAAAGTACTCACAGGTATTGCTGAGATTTTTGGAACTGAATTGGCCAACAACATTGAATATAATTTTCAGAATTGGAATTTTACCGTGCATGCTGTAGAAGAGGTTTGTTTGGAGTGGAAAGGTACTGACTCTCATCCAGCAATTGAAGGAGAAGATCTTATCCCCAATGAGTCAGCACAGAACATATACAATTTACATTTTTCATTAGAAAAGATGAGGAATTCAACCTTTGACGGACCAAAAGTGATGATTATAGGTAATAAGAGAGTAGGGAAGACTGCTCTGTGCAGAACGTTATGTTCATATACTATTAAATTCAAATCATATCAGCCCATGTTTATCAATTTAAATCCTCAGGAGAGTATTTTCAGCCCTCCGGGTTGTCTTTCTGCCACCCCAATATCTGATATCCTGGATGTTCAATTACCAATTTGGGGAGAAAGTATGACAAGTGGTGCGACTTCATTGCATAGCAAACAACCTTTATTAAAGCTATTTGGATTAGAAATAATTGCAGAGAATAGAGATCTGTATATGTCTACAGTCGAAGCATTATCTGAAGATGTGAGTGAACGGTTACATAAAGATGCATTGATACAAAGATCAGGGTGTATAATAAATACACCACCACTATCTCAATTAGATGATGATTTAAAAGATTTAGTAAATATTATTGAAAAATTCAAAGTCAATTTGATTATCATGGTTGGAGATGAAAACAATGATGAAGATATGGCACAATTCGAAAAGGTATCTCAGACCATTAAACCATTTGTAGGTGATTTCCTATTAAGACTACCTAGGTTGACTGGAGTAATAGAATCTGACGACACGTATGAGAGATCACTACAACGTAATGCTATAAGAGAATACTTTTATGGTAATCAAAATACAGCATTGAGTCCGTTTTCTGTATCAATAGATTATGAAGACTTAATAATATGGGAGCCAATCAATTTATTGGATCCAAGTAGTGCTGGTGCGGATAACAATTCAATTGATAAATTAGAATTGAAACAGGTTACAATTACACCAAGTTCGATTCAGCATGCGTTAATATGTCTTACTTATTCAGATAAACATGCTAAACCCAATGATGTACGCAGGTCATCGATACTAGGATTTGCACTAGTGACAGAGGTGAATGAAAAGAGAAAAAAAGTACGTATTCTAATCCCTGTTCCAGGTAACTTCCCAAATTGTTCTACATTGTTGACCAGTTATAGATACTTAGAATAGCAACACTATCTTACGTATAAGTATAATCAATATAATAATAATTGTTCTACGTATAAAAATAAACAACATTTTACAATATGTGAATGGAACACTAATCATATAATAGAGTCTGATCTGTTTACCCTAATTCAGTAAATATATTATCATTTATATAGATCAAATTATTGTGACCACTGCGGCGCCTTATTAGAGATTTTTTATCAGTCAAATAATTATTGTCCTTTAATAAAACGCAAACAAAAACTAAAAGGTAGACACAGAGAAGGTACAAGATAAAGATAACACTAATTAATTAGACCAACGTAATAAAACAAGTAATTGTGAACAAATATCACATTAGTCGCATATGATATGGATTTTCAGGTAACGGTATCTTTGACACCATATGATTTAGCCGTTTTAGTTTCCATATACTTGCATTGCATTCAAGATGCCAAAATCCCTTGGAAAGCCTTTGAAGAACTTATTTGTCCAACCATTGAATCAAGTTTTTTTGATCCACTTATCGATCGAGATTCTGTGTATAATGGTCTCACTCGGCCTCTGATTCCCAACTTGGCGGATATCATTCAACGTCTCTCCGATATTAAAGGAATGGACACTGTGTTGGTAGATTATATAAATTGCATCACATCTATCAACACATTAGAAACGTTCTATAATATGCTAAAGGCACTTAATATATTTTGTTTGGTTAAGACCACCGAAGAAATTACAGAGAGAAAGAAACTTAACCCGTCAGCCAATTTTGTTTACTTCACAGAAAGAAGTTTTTTAGGAAAATATGTTGTTAATTCTTTAATGAAGATCGAAATTGGTGGGTTCGAAGATAAGAATCTTTTATTACATTGCTTTAAGAAGTTTGTATGTGAATTCACACAAACAGATATATATAAATCTTGGAAATCGTCTATTCATGACATAAGATCGTCGTTAATATCCTGGGGGTTGGTATCTAACGAATACAAAGAAGATGAAAATATGATTGACGTTTTTAGCAGTTTTACTCGGAACTTGGAACGTAATGAGCCGCCTGATCTAATGGTGACGACAAATCATTTAGAAAATATTTTAGATTGGTATTTATTCAATTTGGTAAATGAAACAGCTGATTTTAAGAATGATCCTTCCTATAGATTTGTTCAATTAATTACTGATGATATAACACTGCATAATAAAAGTCTTTTCCCAAGAATCCATGTAATACAATACCTGAGGTTTCTCGACTCGAATTCTTATGATGATGCCTTTAGAGCATTACATAATTATTTTGATTATGTTTTAAGTCAAAATACAGACGCATATTTCCATATTTCATCATTGTGTTTAGCTGCTTTCTATACACACTTTCATGATGCAGAACTTGCCATTAAAAGTTTTGACGAAGCCACAAAGGTAGCAAGAGAAAATAGAGATGCGCTTACATTGAATTTGATAATAGTAAGAATAATAAAATTTATTGAGAATTATCCAGAATATTCTGCACAATTCAACGTTAAAGTGGAACAGATAACCAGATTTTTAAAATCTAGTTCAGATTCTATTGACGCTTCAATATTTGAAAGTGCATATCGATTTGACTCAGTGACATTATTTCGGCGTCAAGATGATCAGATTTCCATGTTTGAAGCAATATATAAATATAGCGTTCTTTCCATGGAACAACTAAAATCCGAAAGAGGATTGAATAATCTGATGCTGTTTAAGAGAAATTTTTGGAACGAAATCGGATTCCCATCTCTGGGAAATATATACGATGAATTTACTAAATCCAGTTTGGTTGTTAAAGAACTAGATCAGATGTACACACACCTTGAGTCGAACAACCTAGATGTTGTAAAACGATATCTTAAAACAATAAATTTTAAGGTTCTGAACTATAATGAGCGGATGCGAGCAAAGATATTGCAAGTACGATATTTGAGAATAATTGGTGAGTATGATTCAGCATTGGTGATAATTGAAGAATGTATCAAACAATGTGTATCTATATGTTCTGATTATAGAATGAAAACTAATTTTGAAACTGAGAAATGTTTTTTATTTTTGGATGCTGATCTTGGAAGTAGATGTTTACATCTTGCAACTAAGTTATTTAAATATAACCAATCAACACAAAACGGGCCAGGTATGACTAAATGTGTTTTTATTTTATACCAAATACTAAAGAGAGATGTTAAGATTCAAGACGCACATCAACTATTAGAGCAGAATATGGTTAATATCATGCAATATTCCAAATTTAGAGAGCAGGCTTTATCTTATTATAACGATTAAAATTGGATGCTAGATTTGTGTAAATATTTATACAATCATTTGTATTAAAAGATAAATTAAGTATTACAATAATATAGCATAATGGGAATCACCCCTTCAAAAATATATAATATTTATATAGAAAAGAATAATGGCATGATATATTTGAAACCCCTTTAACCTATACTGTGATTGAATATAAGTTATAAATATGTTTTGCTAATATTTTTTAAGAACTTTTTAATATTCATAGATATGTCTAACCTTAGTTGGTGTTGGTGTTGTTGGACCATTGAGCTTGGTTAGTAGAAACAGTTGGAGCAATAGAATCGGCAGTAAGAGTCACAAATTTGGTAACTGGGTCTGCAGTAATTGTGATGTAACTGGTGACAGGTTCTAATGTAACGTAAACAGTTTTAACGTTTGAATCAGATTCGGCTGACGGTTGAGATTGAGAATCAGAATTTGATGGAGCTGAAGTTGTGGTAGCAGGTTGGTATGTAGAGTTTGAGTAACCTTGAATGATGGTAGAATATAGTGTGGAAGTCAAATAAGTAGTTTTTTCAGAAGAGTTCGCAACGTCTGTGATAGCAGCTTTCTTATTTTCTGCATCTTCAGCAGTGGTAGTAGTAGGAGGTAGAGTGTGTGTTTGGTAAAAGGTAAAGGTTAGGTAAGAAGTGGTAGTGTCATCACTTAGAGTCCATGTGGTTGTCTTAGCTTCGACAGAGGTAACTGGAGATAATGTAGTAGTAACTTTATCTTCTTGTGCAACAGATGAAACGGTTTCATTGGTGAAGGCAGCAAAAGCAGAAGCACAGATTGATAAAAATGTAATTGACTTAGAGAATAGCATTGTAAATATTTGCGGTTAAAATAGAAGGTTATAGGTATAGTAAAATAATGTAAGGAATGGACGAGACCTGAATAGATTGGCTCAATTGGATGATTAGTTTTATACTATACTGATAATAACTTTGGTATGATTCATTTAAATAACAATCAAGAAGAACAAATAAAGGAATGGAGGAGAAACAGTTATAAACGTGAAAACTCTTGTAAAAGGAAAACATTTGAACGTTCCATAAAAATAGAATCCCAAGACGAAATATATACATGTATATATAACATATAGTATTTTTGGAATAAAAACAAATTTACAACAGTTTTTTAAAAATACTTTTATATCTATTGTTTTGATTTACGTTATGTTCCCAATAAACAAAGCCATTGTGTCTGCAGAATACATAACTAGTATCTTTTAAATTTGGTGAGGGATAGACTGAATTGATATTACTGTAAAATTGTTGGAGAATTTAATTAGCAGGTGCTGAAATATTTTAAATTTTGATCATTAAGGTTTTTTTTGTTCAGTTGGACAACAAAAGAACAAAATCCACTAATTTTGTAAGAAATAATAGAGGAGCATAATATGGAACTACTAGAGTGAAACATCCATTCAATGTCATCAGAGTGTCTTATTCCTCCCTCTTAATCGTAGCAATGAAAGTATATTACTTCAATGATTCCATTGGACTACATTTTTATGTAGCCATCGTTACTTGGATTGACAACTATTCCAAGTTTGTTATTGTTTTGAATAACAATAACAAATTTATATTGGATGTTATTTCAGTTTTTCGCACTGTATTCAAGTAGCTATCCAAAGGAAATTCACAGACGCGAAATGTGAATCAGGCGACTCTGGAGCGTGTCTTATTAATGCTTGGGGAACCCCCACCATTTGTGTGGCCTGTTCTGTGGATCACGCCGCATCGCGAAATGTTTTCTCGGTAATTCTGTGCAGTAAATTCTATGTGATGTCAAGTAAACCTAATTAAACCAGGTAGGCAAATCACGATAGTGAATCAAGAAGTATATATTTTTCTTTGATTATTTGATAACTATATCAAACAAGACGAGAGAGAAGAACCACATAAATTAATTATATCTTATAGTTGAGCGTTATCCTGAAAAATGGGTACATCTATGTTATGTTTATCAGTGTCTGGTGAACTTCTCTACTATTTTGGTAGAGAAATTACACAGAACACACCCAATATGCGTATTTCGACTTGGTATGGGTTTTGTTGACTTCAATACGTTAGACGAACTGTTATACTGGAAGTATTCATCGTTGTTATTACGTAGTTATTCCAGAGTACATAATTGGGAGTTGAATGGGGGAAGAAGTAGTTTGTTTACTTGGCACAATGGCATCATTCTTTTTTTTTTTGCCAGATGTATTTCTTTACACCTTGTTTTGGAAAAAAAGAAAGGCTACTCCTCTATGTTTGCTTTTCAGGTCTGTTATTTATTTTTTGTTATATGGTACGCTATATACTAGGTTGCTAATAAAGGTTGAATTCCGATTTTTTTCAAAATTACAATGTGGGAGTTGAGATTGGTTTTTATTTTATATTTTATTCTCTCAGTTATCATTACCTCGATTTAAAAGAATCTAGAAGCGATTTCTTTTAAGTTTTGTTCATCCTCTGTCAGAGTGGTTTTTGTTTTTGAGAGGTTCAATATCATACCGGCAATAAACTTACCATTGTTAAGTACACTCTCAACTCCATTTTCTTTCTTGTCCTTCATATCTAAGATTGTATTCATAATTACTACTAGTTCATCCAATTGGTGTTCCATTAGATAATTATTAGAAATTGACCCCATATCACAATTCTTTAAATATATACCAATTGTCTTCGTGATTTGGAATAAGATATCAATGGTCAACCCTTCGTTAGAATTCGATGAATTTTGGAAACTAAATACTGATTCCCATAGTTTTATTAGGATATCTTCATTTGTGGTCTTTCTTGATATCAATAGTTTATCTAGAACCAGACAAGCAATGAGAGATCCAGAGTTTAAGACGATTTCCAAGCTTGGAGTAGATGTATTTTCGTCATTCACCAGATAATAAATTGAACTACTTGGTAAAACTGTGACCAACTTCTTCAGAAGATTCGATAGCAATGGAAGCAAACTTTGGAAGTATTTCGTTTGATCATGACATATTTTTAATGTGATAATAAGTGTGGCTAGAGTATTCGTAGATAATAGTATTGTGTTGGATGTATTCAATAGTTTTCTCAAAAGATCTAGGAATCCAGAGAATTGCATCGGGTCTGTAAACTTCCCTGTTGTGCCTTCAATTATACTTTCAATATTCAAGTTTTTCAGTAACCCATCTGAGTCCCCTCTGGAATTAACAGAATTTGATAAAATAATAAAGGCTGCAGCTAAAGAATAGCCATCTGAAGGATCCTTTATAACTTCAATAGACATTTTTTGATCAATTTTATTTGAGACACCTTCGTTAGCTGAAATAAAACCAACAATAGATACAAGTCGTCTCATTGTTATCATCTTATTCTGAAATTCTTTGCGTCCTAGGATATTCAACGCCTGAAATAATGCTTTCTGAGTAAAAGAAACTATGTCATCTAATCCTTTGTATTTTATTCCATCTTGATCATTCTTCGTGACAATAATTTCTAAACTTTGTATGACATTGAATAATAACTCCACACTAAGATCTTCTTCGATTTCATTCTCGTGGTCCTTTTCTTCAGAGATTACAATATCATCTGGTACAGTCTTCGCTACAAGTGAGATTGTCTGTGCAAAAAATAGTATGTCATGTATTGTGAAGCCATCGGAATATACCTCGATTAATTCTTCTAATAACTCAGAGCTTAACACCACAGTTTCTATATCGTCCAAAAATACATGTTGGCTAAGTTTAAGGAGGGAAAATAGAGGGCCTCTGACATATTTTGCAACTCTCTTATAGTATACTTCATTGTCTAAACATAAATTTCTTATTAATATTATCGTTTTGGTTTGTAATGACGAAAGTAAATCCTCGTCGGCACCATTAGGTAAATCCATTAAGGTTAGGATTCTGCCGGTGTAGTAATCAATTATTATATTCCTCTTATCCAGATCACTTTCTGTTGGTCCCCCAATAAATATGCATCGGTTGGAGTCATTATCCACCACAGAATTGGCTATACATCTAATTAGCTCATTAGCTAACCTAAAATATGCTATCTTCGCACTGCTTAATGTATCCTCTTTGAAACACATATCTAGGACATCTGAAACAACTCTTAGTAAATTCGAGAGCAGACCAGTTTGTCCTACAATGTCCCGGTTTGAAGGGGATCTCAAACTAACAGCCAATTGATCTAGAACAGTAAGATAACTGTCCAAGTAAACCGATTGTAATGGAATATCAGTAATCGATTGCGCATTTAGTAATGGTTGCAAGCCGAAAAGTATATCGTCGTAATCCATTTGTTTCTTTATTGATGTGATAAGTTAAGACTAGTCAAGTTGATAACTTTGATTCCAAAATTTGTTCATTACTTTCAAGAGAAAGAAAATGTGTGGATCTTATATAGTATGTAACTGAACAATGAGTGGCTTTATATTATTAATGAAAGCTTCATCTCATTCACGCTTCGGCTTATGTAAGGCGACAGGTAATAATTTTTCAGGTTAACAGAAAGAACCACAGTACTGCCAATAAGCTATAAAATTCGATCGAATCAGTCACCCGTTTTTATATATGTAATACATCTAATGATATACGTAATGAACATAAATATATCATTGCAAATTAATATTTCATTCTCAGGCTTTTTGGAACTCTATTATATACAGTTTTCTTGCTCTTTAAAGGAAGTGCATAAACATGGCTCGGCGCTCCGATATCTGAGCTAAAGTTGTGTTTTCAAATTGGCAGTATTGATTTAGATTATGGTACGCAGTCGTTTTGTGTTATATATATATACATATAAAACATAATTAGTGGTAACAAGGTATCATATATTTCTTTTGATCAAATACGTATGATCCCTACCCCCAGGTTTATTGAAGTTTGATTTCTCCTGCAGTGGTAACAGGAGACAAGCTGAAAAAAAATGTTCTTAGCGACAAAGAAAAAACAAACAGTATAAGAAAATTTTTGGCAGAAATAATGTAGTTTGCCTAATGTATAACTTCAAGTTTAGAAACAAATACTAGCAATTCCTCTGGTATTTCTTATCGATATCGTTCAAACAATCTAATTTCATTATTGGTTCTTTTGATACTACTTCTTTTTGAAAGCAATTGCATTTCCTATCAAACAGCATCACATTAATTAATAAACTACGGATCTCGATGCTAAATCCTAACGACTTACCATTCTTTGATCCTACAAAGGACGAAAAGGTTGCCGTGATAACGGGTGGACACAGTGGAATAGGATATTATACAACGCTACATTTGTACATGCATGGTTTTACAGTATATATATGTGGGAGAAACTCTCATAAGGTACATAAAGCAATTCGAACAATAATTGACGAGGCAACAAGTAGGACAAATACATTACCCTTAGAGATAAGAAAACAAAAACGATCATTCTTTGGAACGATACATTATATACATATTGACCTAACAGATCTGAAAAGTGTAGAGCGTGCGACATTAAAATTACTAAGATGTGTAACACATATTGATGTGTTGATAAATAATGCTGGTATTATGGCAGTTCCATATCAAACAACAAAGGATGGGTTTGAAACTCAATTACAGACGAATTACATATCGCATTTCTTGTTGACAATGCGATTATTACCTCTATTGAAGGAATGTAATGGAAGAGTAATATCATTGTCCTCGTTAGGACATCTATTAGAGTTCCATTATTGGAAACTAAGTAAAAAATGGAACATTTGGCCAGATATAATATTTACGTGGTTTAGATATGCGATCTCGAAGACATCTCTTATTCAATTTACAAAGATGTTAGCGATCAAAAACCCAGATGTATTATGTATCTCATTGCATCCAGGTCTAGTGATGAATACAAATTTATTCAGTTATTGGACCAGACTGCCCTTAATAGGTATATTCTTCTGGGTTTTATTCCAAGTGATAGGATTCTTCTTCGGTGTATCTAATGAACAGGGTTCATTAGCCACATTGAAATGTGCATTGAGTGATAATTTGTCTACTGAAGAAGATAATGGTAAATATTACACTACAGGTGGTGTAGAATCTAAGAGTAGTTATATAGGAAATAATCTCGACGATGCAGCATCTACATGGATATGGACGGTCCATCAACTGAAGGATAGAGGGTATAATATATAAGATAAGCTCATTCCATCTCAAGTTTTTTGTAACATTATAGACCAATAAATAGTAATCCCATAAGGTATTAAAGAACAGCACATATTACTCCATAGATGGGCGCCAGGTTAATATATATAAGGTAGCAGTGATATTGGTAACTAACAAATTTATGCATAATCCTTCCGCTTCCGCTTCTTAACCGGAAACGGCCTTAATTTACCTCATTCGGGCGGTGACGGGCTCCGAAGACTTTCGAATTTGAAGATATCTTAATTTATTCTTTCTAGTTCTGTTAGTTTGTTTGCCATTTCTGATGTTGAATATGTAATATTTTGATTGTTTAATGCCTGAAATATTTCTCTGGTTAATTTTCTGCGTCTTCTTCATGGGGACGGCCTCACTTGGCTTTGCTTAGCTTTGCTTTTTTTCTCGCTACCAATAATTTTGGTGACAACTGAAAATTTTTCATCTTTCAATTAGAGACTCTGAGAGGAATCAACTGAAACAGTAGTCGATCTCATTCTCTCCCAGAAACTATCTCGAATTGAATTACTCACAAGGTCAATATTGACCGCAGCCATTACAGAGGAAATTCAACCTGCACATCTCTTTTTTCATTATTTCTTTATATATATCTTGACATGTTACAAGAGATATTTTATAACATACATTATTATTCGTTAATATTAATTGCAAGGATTTTATTTTGGTTTGTTTTCTTGGGAAACGATAAATCACTGCTATAATATATTATATTTAGATCCACATCCATTATGTCTACTGAGGCCAGTGGTTTAGTGCTAGAAAACACATCTCGTAGAGATGCTTTGATTGCCATTGAGAAGAAATATCAAAAGATCTGGGCTGAAGAACATCAATTTGAATTAGATGCCCCATCCATTGACGATGAACCTGTAACCATGGATTCTGAGGAATTGCACCGCAAATATCCAAAATTTATGGCCTCTATGGCTTACCCATACATGAACGGTGTTTTACATGCCGGTCATTGTTTTACTTTGTCCAAAGTTGAATTCTCTGTAGGTTTCGAAAGAATGAACGGTAAGAGAGCTTTATTCCCATTAGGTTTCCATTGTACTGGTATGCCTATCTTAGCTTGTGCCGATAAGTTAAAGAGAGAGGCTGAATTATTCGGTACTGACTATAGCAATGTTCCAGCTGAAGATGCTGAAGAAGAAGTCAAACCAGAAATTAAGGAAGAAGCTGTCGATCCAACCAAGTTCAAGGCTAAGAAGTCTAAGGCTCAAGCTAAGAAGGGCCGTGGTAAGTACCAATGTGAAATCATGATGCAATTAGGTATTGCCAGGGAAGACGTCATCAAGTTTGCTGATGCTCAATACTGGTTGACTTACTTCCCACCTCTATGTCAAGATGATTGTACTTCCATCGGTGCTCGTATCGATTGGAGACGTTCTTACATCACCACCGATGCTAACCCATACTACGATGCCTTTATCAGATGGCAAATGAACAGATTAAAGGGTCTAGGTAAGATTAAGTTCGGTGAACGTTACACTATTTACTCTGAAAAGGATGGTCAACCATGTATGGATCACGATAGACAATCTGGTGAAGGTGTCGCCCCACAAGAATATATTGGTATTAAGATCGAAGCTACTGAATTTGCTAAAGACGCTCAAGTATTACTTGACGGTTGTGCTGCCATTGACAAATCCAAGAAACTTTACTTTATTGCAGCAACTTTGAGACCAGAAACTATGTATGGTCAAACATGTTGTTTTGTTTCTCCAACCATCGAATATGGTATCTTCGACAACGGTGACTCTTACTACATTACCACTAAACGTGCTTTCAAGAACATGTCCTTCCAAAAATTAACCCCAACTAGAGGTTCATACGAACCTATTCTAACCATTCCGGGTAAGGCCTTCATTGGTTCTAAGATTGATGCTCCATTATCTGTTTACAAAGATCTAAGAATCCTACCTATGGAAACTGTGATTGCAACTAAGGGTACCGGTGTTGTGACATGTGTTCCAAGTAACTCTCCAGATGATTACATTACCACCAAGGATTTGGCTCACAAGCCAGAATATTATGGCATCGATCCATCTTGGGTGAAACCACTTGATGAAATTGTTCCATTGATTAAGTCTCAAAAGCATGGTGAAATTATCGCCAAGGCTCTTGTTGAAGAACTAAAGATCCAATCTCCAAAGGACAAGAATGCTCTAGCTGAAGCCAAGAAGATTGCATACAAGGAAGATTACTACGGTGGTGTAATGATATATGGTCCATTCGCTGGTGAAAAGGTCGAAGTTGCTAAAAACAAGGTCAAGGAACAAATGATTGCTGACGGTCATTGTTTCGTCTACAATGAACCTGAAGGTGTTGTTATGTCACGTTCTGGTGATGAATGTATTGTCTCCCTAGAAGACCAATGGTACTTGGATTATGGTGAAGAAACCTGGAAGGCTGAAGCTCTCGAATGTCTAGAAGGTATGGAAGTCTTCGCTCCTGAAGTTAAGAATGCCTTTGAAGGTGTCTTGGACTGGTTAAAGAACTGGGCCGTTTCTCGTTCTTATGGTCTAGGTACTAGAATTCCATGGGATCCAAAGTACTTAGTTGAATCTCTATCTGATTCCACCATTTACCAATGTTTCTACACAATTGCCCACTTATTATTCAAGGATTACTACGGTCAAGAAGTCGGACCTCTAAACATTAAAGCTGAACAAATGACTGATGAAGTTTTCGATTATATTTTCCAACATACTGATGATGTTGAAACTGATATTCCAATTAAGTCCCTACAAAAAATGAGAAGAGAATTCGAATATTTCTATCCATTGGATGTTTCTATCTCCGGTAAGGATTTGATTGGTAACCATTTGACTTTCTTCATTTATAACCATGTTGCTTTGTTCCCAAAGAAATTCTGGCCAAAGGGTATTAGAGCCAATGGTCACTTGATGTTGAACAATGCTAAGATGTCCAAGTCTACCGGTAACTTCATGACTCTAAAACAAATTGTCGAAAAGTTTGGTGCCGATGCATCTCGTATTGCCCTTGCTGATGCCGGTGATACTGTTGAAGATGCCAACTTTGAAGAATCCAGTGCTAATGCTGCCATTTTAAGATTATTCAATCTAAAGGAATGGGCCGAAGATATCGTTAAGAACCAAGACACTTTGAGAACTGGTCCAATTACTGACTTCTTCGATGTTTCCTTCGAAAATGAAATGAACGTTTTGATTGAAAAGACTCATGAACAATATTCTTTGACCAACTACAAGAACGCTCTAAAATATGGTCTGTTTGATTTCCAAACTGCTAGAGATTATTACCGTGATTCTTGTGAAACCATGCACAAGGATTTGGTTCTACGTTATATCGAATTCCAAGCTTTAGCTTTAGCCCCAATTACTCCACATTTCTGTGAATACATTTACCGTGAAGTTCTTGGTAAGTCTGGATCCGTCCAAAACACTGCTTTCCCTCGCGCTTCTAAGCCAGTGGACATGAAGGCTCTTGCTGCCTTAACTTATGTCAGAGACTTGCAAAGATCTATCAGAGAAGCTGAAGGTCAAGCCTTAAAGAAGAAGAAGGGTAAAACAGCTGATGTTGATACTTCCAAGCCAATCAAGCTAAGCATTCTGATCTCTGAGGACTTCCCAGAATGGCAATCCGACTGTGTCGAAGTCGTTAGAAAATTGTTCGAAGAACATACTCTAGATGACAATAAGAAGGTCAGGGAACATATTAATCCAAAGGAGATGAAGAGAGCTATGCCATTCATTAACTTGTTGAAACAACGTCTAGCCGTTGAACCAGCAGAAGATGTCTTATCTAGAGAGATTCAATTCAATGAAATTGAAACCATTAAGTCTACCATTGAATCTTTGAAGTCTGCCAGTCAAACTTTGAACACCACTGAATTTTCTATAATATCTTTCTCTCAAGGTGCTAAGACTGGTAAGGATATATTTACTGGTGCTGAGGTTGAATTAACTCATCCGGCTAGAGTCATTGACCGTGCTTTGCCAGGTAACCCAGGTGTTATTTTCAGTAACATCTAAAGAGGTAGTATTTAGTCTGAATAGTTTCTTCTTTCACATAATACACCTATGTAATAATGTCTAGTTATAAATTTATACGTATAAAAAAATAAAATAAAGTAATAAGATAAAAAATTGAATCAATATACACATATGAATCAAGAACGTGAGGCAATGTAAAATGATGTGATTTATTTTTTTAGAATATAAATATATATGTTGGTGTTTATGAATGGTTACTAATGTATGTATGCACAAAATAAAGTCATTGATGGATGTGAATGTATTTTCAAATTTGTTCTTTCGTTGTATTCTATTCGTATAGGACGTGGCTATTATTACAGAAAAATATTGGAGAATAGCAAAGAAATTTAAGAAGAAAAAATGCTGCATTGTTATCATGAATAAACGTTAATGGGAGGAATTTTATTTTTGGGTAGTTTGATAGGAGTTAATTTCATAAGTTCTTAGATATTTAAGAATTTGAAGGTAAACCCATCTTTTCAAATAGAACATTACCGCTAGCTAAATGCCTAAATTTTTGTAATAAAGAACCATCTGAATGCAAATCCTTAATATCCTTCTTTAAGTTTGTGTTTATCACAGAGACACTATTGATAAATAAATAAGGTAATCTCTGAGTGGCGGCAGCAGATAATTTTGTTGATTGGATATGATCTTGTAAACTATCACCATTGGAATGTTGGTCCAAATCAACAATTGAGATTTGAGGAGAAATCTCGTACTCCTTCAATAATAAATTTTTTAAATATTGTGAATCTTGTTCAGTGGATCTAATAAATAAAACTACAGGAGAAGTATTTAAAATTTCTTTAAAATTGGTTTCTGGATTAAAAATATTTGATGGTAATGATGTTTGTGAAGCATGTGGCGCTAAGATAGTGGTTTTTTTTTCATTTGAAATCTCACCTCTAATAGTAGATATTTGTTCTTCAACTTTCTTTGAATTTAATTTGCTTTCATCCTGAGAGGCTTTATTACCCATACCATATGTATCTTCTGTCACTAAACCAGCGTTTGTTACAGTAGCAGTTATTCCAGTAGTATCAGCACGATAATTTGATGGTTCAACTTCAGTATTAGTTGGTTTTTCATTTTGTAAAAACCCAAAAGTTGAATCTTCTGAATAATCATTCCATGTAAAAAATAAAAATGCAAATATACCTAGCATAACTAAAGTAGCTAAGGTTAATCTATTATGTCTAGATCTTTGAGTATATAAAATTTTATTATTTTTATTATTTGACACTATCATATTGTTATTGTTATCGTTATTGTTTATTTTAATTTAATATTTGCCTTTCTTTATAAAAGGGTGTCTTACTGCTTTATTTAAAAAGAAAGAAGCAGAAACAATAATATGAATATGTTTGAGAGGGAACTAATGGTGTCAACTTCGACGATACAAATTCAAGATAGACTGACAGAGATACTTCTTTATATATATAGAAATATATTTATTATCTACAATCGATAATATTGATGAAAGGAGAAATACGCCAAAAAGGTGATTCGCTTCTCTTTTAGAACCTCATACGAATGTGGATCTCTTCCAGATCGGTACGGAACATTAATAAAAACACACGATATCTAGTAGAAAATTAAACGGTTGAATCTGTAAATATCATGACTTTAATCCTTTAATGTTTCTATAATGTTTTAACCTTTCACTTTTAACGACTGAAGATCTAGGGAGAAAAACTGCATCAAATTAAGTGGGTGTTAATCAAAATTAAGAGAGGAAAATGCAGCAATAAGTGTAGTGGTTAATTTCTATTTGTTATGTTAGTAATGCCAGCATAAATTATAGAAAATATTCCTTTCATCCATCCTTCCATCCTTAGAAATTTAAATTTAACATTGTATGAATTATATAATAACCTTCATACGATAATGTAATTGCATAATCACGGAAAACCGCCAGAAAATCCCGTAGAATGAGAGAATAATTCGTTTCGAGATGAGGCAGTGCTGGTACAAAAATGAATAAAAATAACAAAAGGAGAACGGCAGTGGCAGTACAAGCCAACTGAATACAATATACTCTTGGTTGTTTAATATTACAAAATTACGAAGATTATGACTTTTCGAAATGAACAATATATTTTTGCACAAAGTTAATCGTGTTGATCCGAAAAAATACGATCAATTCAATTCTTTCAGTACCAAGAAAACCACTAATAATTTAATGGGTTTTATTATATCTCAATAACTATTTATACAACAATTGGATGTTGCCAGTGTAAAAATGTCGTACAAGGTATCGAAACGATCTTAAAAAAGAGAGTACGTTGTTAATTATAGATAGTTAGAAAGAAAGAGAGATACAGCTTATTCAATTGTTCTCTTCCGGGATAGAAATTGCGCAGAAATATCCCAAAACCAAAGCCTTCGAAACATATTTAAATAAAGAACTGAATAGTTACCGAAGGTAAATCTGCATTGATTATTTCGTATAGAGAGAGAAACTATTGAAGATTGATGATCTACGTACATTTTACTTTTTATTTTGTTTTTTACTGTGTCGTTTAAGGGGATATAGAATTTCAAAAGAGAAAAATTAATGGAGTTTCCAGTTCGTGGAAGGTGATCGCGCATATTCCACAGAACCATGCGTACAATATCTCTTTTTTTTCGCCTAATTAACAACTAGAATGGAAAATAATCACTATTCCCTAACCTTCTACTAAATAGGAAAAAATGAGCCACGATTGGTTTAGAATTTATCCGCGTTTTTACTTTAACTTCATCCATTTTAACGTGATTTAATATCGTTTGGTAACAGTAACTAAGTTGATCTAATAATTAAAGTAATGAACGAGAAATATTACTTAATGATGATTTTTAGTGATAAATAAGATGAAATGTATAAATTTATATATTTTACTTAGAGATATGAACAAATAAGTTAAATGATGAGAAGCCGTCTACACACCTGGGTTCTGTCTTGTTTTGATTTGCCATCTTAAAACCGATCCGATTCAAATCTACAACATGATAATGTTTAATGATTTCGATGTAAGGTATATTTTATTTAAAATATATATATATGTAGAAGTTTCGATGAAATTTCATGGGTATTCTTATGGGAATATATATATATTATATCCTAAAAATATGACATTTATCTTAAGGACTAGAATATATATTTCATATGTGTAAATAACAAACTTCACAATTACGTCTTGTCAAGTATATATTCAGTATCACATAGTGCAAGATAACTTTTATTCATTCCCTATGACGCGAAATATCAGAGGTAATTAATTGTCCGCGGTTAACCAATAATAGTCGGTGTCTTCTAATTTATATGATATATAGGTCGAAACAAATTAACCCTAAATAGTTAGGGTTAGTATATATATGCATTAGTAACCCTAACTTTTCCTTAGTTACCACGTTTTTGAGACCCCACACAAAATATTATTTCCGCCTCCCCTTATTTTTCCCACCTTTAATTTCGTTTTCAGAGAGATAGAGCGATTGGAAGAGGGGAAGTCATATTCTTATTATGTTCTCCGTGTTCATTGGTCCAACTTAGAAGAACCCTCTTTGAAAAATAAAATATATTAGTATGTTTGTAATGAGACTCATAGAGATATATAGTGGGGCATAATTCCGAATTATCGGTGTTTAAAATATACAGCAAGATAGTGCATATAGCCGGTATATGTTGTATAATGATGAATAAATTACTTCGGTCCAGCGGCAAAGTAGTATTTGGGAAGTTTAAATTATTCATTCGTTTATCTACCTGTTAATGTGTTTTTTCTTATATATCTGAAATTTATGGGCATGTAAAAGAGTACAAAAAACATGATTTTTTGGTTATTACTAGTAAATATAACTAGTATCGCAACCACCAGTGATTGAAAAAGAAGTGACACTTTTCTTTTTTAATCATATTTACTTGATTGTAGTCTATATATTCTTATTAATTATCTAAGTTTTGATTGTTAGATATAATAAAATTAGAAGACGACGCCAGCCAGTATACAACTACCCTCTTAAATAACAACTATTATTAGTATATATAAATATATACAGACTTGACTTATCTAAACCCTTTCCTTGTTATTACCTTTATTGTATATTTGAATGTATTCTGCCGTCTTCTACCTCTCGACCAATGATATACAATTCTTTATAATGTTTTTCGCTTTGTATATACTTAATTTTATAGAGCCGTTGCCGAATTTTTGGCCGTAAATTTAAGTACGTAGAGACAGAAGAGAAAGAGCGAATAAAAAAAAAATAAGGATATGTATAAATATATATAGATTTATAGAGAAAGTTATGTTTAATAAAACGGGCAACTCCGCAGAACGTATTATATGATTTCTACTTGATAACGTATAAATATCTTTAATCATTTATATATAAAGAAGTTATTGTTAAGTTTACTCTTTAAAATTTATTAAAGGTTATATTCGTTTTGGTATTATATTACATTTATTTATTTATTTTATTTCGTTTCTGTCTCTGCTTCTATTTACAAAATTTAAGAAAAAAGGGAAAATATTATTAATTAAAAATTAAATTAAATTAAATTAAAACTTACAATTTTTGTTCATATTCTAAACATACATATAACATTAACATACACAAACAACAATGTTAAGAGCAATATCGTCAAAGACCAGTTCAAGGTCCTTGATGAAGAATGTTCTCCTTAAAAGAACATCCATGATTCCATATCTAACTTCACAGAAAAGATCGATTGTTACTGGTACAGATAATTTCTTATCTACTTCAAATGCTCAGTATATCGATGAAATGTTTGAGGCTTGGCAAAAGGATCCTTCTTCAGTTCATGTTTCATGGAATGCATATTTTAAAAATTTGAAAAATAATACAGGAGCTCCTGCTTCTGCTGCTTTTCAAGCGCCTCCTATCTTAATTGGTACTCCTCAGGGTACTCAAGCAAATCCATTAGGTGTTAATTCTTCAAGTAATGGTGTTGACAGCGATGTGAACCTACATTTAAAAGTGCAATTATTATGTAGAGCTTATCAAGTGAGAGGTCATTTAAAGGCTCATATTGATCCTTTAAAGATTTCATTTGGTGATGATAAAGTTAAACCAACACCTCCTGAATTAACTATTGAATATTATGGTTTCTCTAAGGTTGATTTGGATAAAGAAATTACTTTAGGACCAGGTATTTTACCAAGATTTGCTAAGAATGGTAGAAATTCAATGACTTTAGGTAATATTATTAAAGAATTAGAGGCTTTGTATTGTAAATCATATGGTATTCAATATACTCATATTCCTTCAAAGGTTAAATGTGAATGGTTAAGGGATAGAATTGAAATCCCAGATCCTTATAAATATTCTATTGATCAAAAGAGACAAATCCTAGATAGATTAATTTGGAGTACTTCATTTGAAACTTTCTTATCTACCAAATTCCCAAATGATAAGAGATTTGGTCTTGAAGGTTTAGAAGCTGTTGTCCCAGGTATTAAGACTTTAATCGATCGTTCTGTGGAATTAGGTGTCGAAGATGTCGTTCTGGGTATGGCTCATCGTGGTAGATTAAACGTTCTATCTAATGTGGTTCGTAAACCAAATGAATCCATTTTCGCTGAATTTAAAGGCTCTACCAACCCAGATACAATCGAAGGTTCTGGTGATGTTAAATATCATTTAGGTATGAATTATCAAAGACCAACTACTTCAGGTAAGTATGTCAATTTATCTCTAGTGGCTAATCCATCCCATTTGGAAGCACAAGATCCAGTGGTCCTAGGTAGAACAAGAGCTTTGTTGCATGATAAGAATGATCTTGTTGAGAAAACAAAGGCCCTTGGTGTTCTATTACATGGTGATGCTGCTTTTGCAGGTCAAGGTGTTGTTTATGAAACTATGGGATTCTTAACTTTACCTGAATATTCCACTGGTGGTACTATCCACGTCATCACTAATAACCAAATCGGTTTCACCACAGATCCAAGATTCTCTAGATCTACTCCATATCCATCCGATTTAGCTAAGGCTATTGATGCTCCAATCTTCCATTGTAACGCTAACGATATCGAAGCCGTCACATATATCTTCCATTTGGCAGCTGAATGGAGAGCTACTTTCCACACCGATGCTATCATTGATATTGTCGGTTGGAGAAAACATGGTCATAACGAGACTGACCAACCTGCTTTCACTCAACCTCTAATGTACCAAAAGATTGCTCAACAAGAAAATGTTATCGACACTTACACTGACAAGTTGATTAAAGAAGGTTCTTTCACAAAGAAGGATATCGATGAACACAAGAAATGGGTATGGGGTCTATTCGAAGATGCATTCGAAAAGGCTAAGGAATACGTTCCAACCCAGAGAGAATGGTTGACTGCTGCTTGGGAAGGCTTCAAGTCTCCAAAGGAATTAGCCACTGAGATATTACCTCACGAACCAACAAATGTTGATGAAACCACTTTGAAGACTATTGGTAAGACCATTTCATCGTGGCCTGAAAACTTCGATGTTCACAGAAATCTAAAGAGAATCTTGAATAATAGAGGTAAAACTATTGAGACTGGTGAAGGTATTGATTGGTCTACCGGTGAAGCTCTAGCTTATGGTACTTTGATGCTTGAAGGTAATCACGTTAGAGTGTCAGGTGAAGATGTTGAAAGAGGTACTTTCTCTCAACGTCATGCTGTCTTACACGATCAAAAATCAGAAGCTACGTACACACCATTGAAACATTTGGATCCAAAACAATCCGATTTCACTATTTCCAATTCATCTCTATCTGAATATGGTGTCATGGGTTTTGAATATGGTTATTCCTTGACTTCTCCAGAACATTTGGTTGTTTGGGAGGCTCAATTTGGTGATTTTGCCAATACTGCTCAAGTCATTATTGACCAATTTATTGCTGGTGGTGAACAAAAATGGAAACAACGTTCTGGTTTAGTATTGTCTTTACCTCATGGTTATGATGGTCAAGGTCCAGAACATTCTTCTGGTAGATTAGAAAGATTCTTACAAATGGCCAATGAGGACCAAAGATATTTCCCATCTGATGTCAAATTGCAAAGACAACATCAAGATTGTAACTTCCAAGTTGTTTATCCAACCACACCAGCTAATTTGTTCCATATTCTAAGAAGACAACAACATCGTCAATTCCGTAAACCATTGGCGTTGTTCTTCTCCAAGCAATTGCTACGTCATCCATTAGCTAGATCTAGCTTGTCAGAATTTACCGAAGGTGGTTTCCAATGGATCATTGAAGATGTTGAACATGGTAAGGCTATTGGTACCAAGGAAGAAACTAAGAAATTAGTCTTGTTGAGTGGTCAAGTCTACACTGCACTACATAAGAAACGTGAGGAGCTAGGTGATAAGACTACTGCTTTCTTGAAGATCGAAGAGTTACACCCATTCCCATTCGCTCAATTGCGTGATACTATCAACAGTTATCCAAACTTAGAAGAAATCATCTGGTGTCAAGAAGAACCACTAAACATGGGTGGTTGGTCTTATGCTGCCCCAAGATTACAAACCACTCTAAAGGAAACTGAAAACTACAAGGATCATACTGTCAGATACTGTGGTAGAAACCCAAGTGGTGCCGTTGCTGCTGGTAACAAGACCTTGCACACTTCTGAAGAAAATGCTTTCTTGAAGGATGTCTTTGGTCAATGATTAGATGAAAACCTTTTTATTCTTTTTTCCCCAGTATAATTTTAAATTCTTATTCAAAAAATAAAAAATAAACACAACTACAACTATAAAATATTCATATAATGCCAAATAAGTTTTACTCTGAAAATATTTATCTCTATTTATCATCGTCCCGATATACTGGAGAGAAATGTTTCATATTTATGAATTTCTGAAATCATCAGAATTACTGTATATTTACACCTATAAAATAAATAAAATAATTATAATTAAATATAACATTATTATAAAATCTTATATTTAGAATTTAGAATTTAGATGGATGAAGTCTGTTCATAATGTTAATGTATGGGCTGCCATAAATTTGTTTACTTTCAGTATAATAGGTTAAATGTTTAAAATTTTTAAATTTGTTATTGATTCAAAAAAATAAATTCGAATTTTTTACATTTAGTAGGTTATTCTCAATGAAAATATAACCATTCTTAGAAAGACCAAAAAACGTTAGCTAACCCCCTCTAATTGTTTAATATCAAGAGCATTCCGTATACACTTGTTATATTCTATATATAAAAGTTACAAATAATTATTTTAATTATTAGCTGGCGTTCTTCTTCTGTTTTTATCAAATTCTTTATGTTTGGTTTGATTCGCCAGAGCATTTGCCACTTTCTTGATCTCCAAGCTTATTATTCAACATGTATCACGCCGCACACAAGACCGCCTTGATATATTTCGCCCATAGAAAGACAAACAAAAAAGTTGCGTCGGCAAAATATTCATTTTTTTTGTTTTGAAATAGAGATTCAATTACTCCAAATAGAAAAGGATATTTCAGGGGACAGCCTTCCAGCCTTCAATACAACAGTATATCTATTAGCAACAATAGCATAACTTCAAGAAAACTGTAAACGTAAGTAATAATGTCCACTTCATCCAAAAAAATTGCAATTGTTACCGGTGCATCTTCTGGTATTGGGTATGCTATTACCAAGGAATTAGCTGAACACAACTACATTGTCTATGCTTGTGCTAGAAGATTAGAACCAATCCAACCACTAGTTGATGAATTTTCAACTTCGATCATCAAACCATATAAGCTTGATATTTCAAACATTGATGAAGTTGTTGAATTAAAAGAATTTTTGGCTAAAGAATTACCAAGTCAAAAATTGCATCTCCTTTATAACAATGCAGGTCAAAGTTGCACATTCCCAGCTTTAGATGTTTCCGATGCTAACATGCAAAAATGTTTCCAAGTTAATGTTTTTGGTCACGTCAATATGTGTCGAGAATTATCTAAATATTTGATTAACGCTAAAGGTACTATCGTATTCACAGGTTCATTAGCAGGTATAATATCGTTCCCATTTGGCTCTATTTATTCATCAACAAAGGCAGCTATCCATGCGTATGCTAGAGGATTACATTTAGAAATGAAACCATTTGGTGTACGTATCATCAACGCAGTCACTGGTGGTGTCGATACAAACATTGCTGACACCAGACCACTACCTGAAGGTTCAATTTATGGATTTCCTGAAGGTCAAGAAGCCTTTGAATCTAGACAACGTATGGCAAAAAATCATCATCCAATGCCAGCTGAAGTATATGCCAAGAAGTTAATGGGAGATATATTAAGTTCCAAGGATCCTGTAGATGTCTATAGGGGATCGATGGCTACATTTCTAGGGTTTGTTTCTTTATTTGTTCCTTATTTTATCTTAGAGTTTGCATTAATTAAGAAATTTCATCTAACGAAAGTCTTTAAGGTATTAAAGGACAAAAATGTAGAAAGTAAAAAAAAAGATTAAAACTAAGTTGAAAATGTCAATAAAAAATCCTATTTATTAATGAACTGCTAGTTTTCTTTTCTCTCTCTCTATCATTAAGTTCAAAATTTATAATGACAACAATTCAAATACTCTATTTGCTAGATATCTGTACAAAAATAAAATAAAATGCAACTATTGCAAACGAGATCTTGTAAATAAATATATCACAACATTTTTATTATGAAGAAACATTTTCTAGCTTTAAAAAGTAACGGATACAACCCTTCTTCTCTTAATATTACATAAATCCTTTGTTAACCAATATAAACTACATTTAACAACAACTTATACCTTTCCAATTTGGAACATATTAAGAATTTTATTATTTCGTGTATGGATAGGTTATGTTTCATGACTTGATTTACGAATGTAAAAACGTACAGACTCTGATCAAATATTGCTAACAGATGAGGTGACTAATGTGAAGATATAATAATTAGAGCAATTTAAATTTCATCTTCATCAACCCTTTCTTTTTTTTACCTTCTAGGAACTTTAGCCAAGACAAAAAATATTTTCATGAATCAAAAGAACAAAAAATATAATGTAGATCAGGTTATTCGTATTGACTTTACCTGCAATAACCCCTCGTTACACGATTAACAGAACGATCAAATCAAAAAATATATATCATTTAAAATACACAGAGAGTTTGATCACATCATTTAGCGAGAGCAACAACAATAAACAAACACGATAGGAAATAACAAGAGAGAACAAACACACGAACAAAAATGATTCAAAAATATACACAATTTTAATATCATTGATAGGATAGTAAAATTTCATACGAACATTACGAAAATAAATCAACTTTCTTTCCAACTGTCAGGAACAAAGTCAAACATAAAGAATATGTTAAATGTTTTTTTGAAACAATTTTTAACGCAAGGCATATTTGGTATTCCGAGATGAGGTGATAATATTCCGTAGACCACAACATTGCTTGAGACAAAGACGGCAGAGCAAAAACAACAGCTAAGCATGTCACCGTTACTATGTTTGCTGATTCAATAAAAAATGTGAGAGTTTAGGAGAAGATCAAGTAAAACTAAATAAATTATATAATAAAAGAAATAAATATGGGACCATCAACGATTCTTCTGCATGTTGAATGATTACTTCATTAAAAACATCTTGGTGAAGAAACCTTCGCACATCACATACGAAATATGTTTGTTCTTTTGTGCTGCGGGCGCGAAATTTTAGCAACGGAAGAAACCAACCAAGAAACTAAGCAAGCGAAGCGAAGTGGACCCATTTTTTATTTTTCATTTCTATTGCAATAGACGGACAGGATAGTTAAGCAATTTCTCACGTTCGTTCTTACCGTTTAATAGTGGCAGTAACAACAACAACAACAACAACAACAACAACAACAACAAGGCAATTGAAAAATACTAAAGAGTAAGCGAACGACGAGGATGATAAATTAACGTACGAATATTTCCGTTTATCTCTTTCAATATTTTTTATTGCTTTTGTTTGTTGTTGATATTCATGTTTCATAACATACGTATTGTTTGTTTGTTTATTCTGCTTGATGTCAGCTTTTGTTAAGATTTTCGTTTACATGGAGATATATTTACATTTATATATATAAAGAAGAGCTATCTGGCTAAATGTTTTAAATAACAGGTTACTATATTTTATCCAACTTTTTTTTAACTTTTCTTATACTTATACCATATTCTTCTTTTTGCTATTTCTATTAATAAAACCATAAGAAAATTAACAAAGCTTTGGGACCAATTTTTTATTACTTCGAAATCATCCTATTCTGAATAACCTTTTTTTATATCTTTAACTCCAACTATTTACACTCCTTTAATCCAACTATTTACACTCCTTTTTAAACTCAAACCCTTTTCTTTTTAATTATTATTTACTGTTTTTACCACTATTGAATTCGTATGTATAACTTTTCTTTACACAACAAGATCTATTTTTTTTTTCCATTTGTTTTGTTTATTTATTATTAATTATCCAATTTGTTTTACCTTGATGACTACAGAAAATTCAATATTATCATGAATATATTTCTCGTACACACAATACCTATTAATTTCATTAATATTAGCAATAAAAGACATCATCATTTTCATTGATGTGGTTCCTGTAATGTAACAAAATCCCGAATTTTGTTTCATCCACCAATTATTCCAATATTGATTTGATTTGATTAAAATATCTCTCTCTTTTGACTTTGCTTTCTTTTTTATTTTGCTGTGCATTGCTGGGCAGTTTGCTTCTTTTTTTCTTTTTGTTGGTTTGTTGACTTTTTCGCGCCTCGTCTGGGGGTGCAGTGCTATCTGTGTGGCGTTCATTTTTTGCGCAGTCGCGCTGTCCAAATCAGGAAATGGCTAAATAACGTTCGAAGAAGATCAAATCCAAATTTTTGATTTTTTCTCTTGGCTCAATTTTTCGCGTTCGCGTCCTTTCTACTAATATTTGTTATCACCATTATGAAATCAACAAAACAAAAAGAATATTTCGCTCCTATCTACACTCAAACGACAATGATATACACACAAGTTATAATACTGGAATTACTCGTTAAAGTCATATTTTCATCCTTTTTGAATTTTTATTCGATGATTCAGATTATATCACGAAATTCTGAACAAATTATAGATGACAATGAAAACTTACCTCTTTCAATCTGCTGATTTTTATTTTGGTGGTGATGTTACTGGCTTGGTATTTTCTTCTTCTACATTGCGTTAATATCAACACATTATCTCTCATGGCATATTCTTATATGCCAACGTGTGTGCTTGTTTAGATGACAATTGGGAAAGTATCTGGTTATTTTTAAAATTTTACCACCGTTCTATTATCTTCTATTTTTTGAATTTCTTTAAATGATGAAATAAATACTCAATGGTTAGAGATGTTATTGGAAATCAATAGTTTAAAAGTTCCAATTACCCTTATAACTTTTGTTTAACATTGCCAATTGAGAAATATAGCCTAGAGAGAGATTATTGTCAACAAGAAAGTAAGAAACCTTTAGTAATCAAAGGTACTCAAAATTATTACCAACTAAGTCATTCATTCCTTTTATTTACTGCCATCTTCGAGTCATTACACATTCCATATTTTAAGGTGAAAATTAATTGAAAACAAACTCCAACAAAAAATAGTTCTATTTATTAAAATTATCAACATCGACTTTTTTTACTAACAATTTCTCATTGATTTCAATATAAATCTACTTTAATTCTAAACAGATATCAGGCAAAAACATACAAATCAACAAAATAATTATCAAAATCCAATTTTAAACTAATTTTCTTTTTAAACTAAATTAAAAACAATGAAATTTTCTGCTACTAAATTAACTACCGCCCTAATGGGTGCATCCGTTGTCGCTGCTTTACCTCACGCTGACATTAACGTCGATGACTGTACCACTACTGTTGCTGCTTCTCACCACCACAACAAGAGAGCCATCGCTGTCGAATACGTCTACGAAACTGTTATCGTTGATTCCAATGGTAACACCATCTCTGGTCTAACTGGTCAAGCTACAGCTACTCCTACTACTGTTGCTTCCGCCAAGGCTACTTCTACTGGTGTCACTACCACTTTAGCTCCAACTACTTCCAAGACTGCTGCTGCCGCTACTTCTACTACTGCTGCTGCCTCATCTGGTTCTTCTACTGGTGGTATTTACGGTGATTTGGCTGCTTTCTCTGGTCCATCTGAAGCTTTCGAAGATGGTACTATTGCTTGTAGCTCTTTCCCATCCGGTCAAGGTGTTATCGCTGTCTCCTGGATGAACCAAAACGGTTGGACTGGTATTGAAAACACCGACACTTCCACTGGTGGTTCTTGTGCTGAAGGTTCTTACTGTTCCTACGCTTGTCAACCAGGTATGTCCAAGACCCAATGGCCAAGTGAACAACCATCTGATGGTAGATCCATCGGTGGTCTTCTATGTAAGGGTGGCTTCTTGTACCGTTCTAACACTGACACCGATTACTTATGTGAATGGGGTGCCAACACTGCTGAAGTTGTCTCTGAATTATCCGAAGGTGTTGCTATCTGTAGAACCGATTACCCAGGTACTGAAAACATGGTTATTCCAACTTTTGTTGAAGCTGGCTCCACTTTACCATTAACTGTCGTCGATGAAGACACTTACTACAAATGGGAAGGTAAGCTAACTTCTGCTCAATACTACGTTAACAATGCTGGTGTTTCTGTCGAAGATGGTTGTGTCTGGGGTACTGAAGGTTCCGGTATTGGTAACTGGGCTCCATTAAACTTCGGTGCTGGTTACACTAACGGCATCAGTTACTTATCTTTGATTCCAAATCCAAACAACAAGACTCCATTAAACTACAACGTTAAGATTGTTGCTGCTGATGATAACTCCGTTGTTAACGGTGAATGTTACTACGAAAACGGTAGTTACTCCAGTGGTGCTGACGGTTGTACTGTTGCTGTTACCTCAGGTAAGGCTAAATTTGTCCTATATTGAGGAATTCTTAACCATTTAACCATTTAACCCAATTTTTTTCTTCTTTGTATTTGTTTTCGTTAATCAATAAATATATACACAAGGGTTAAATTTTTTTTTTAATTTTTCAAACAGAAATAATCAATTTGTTATTAAAGAAAGTTCCAAGTTAAATTAGATTACATTGAATAGGAAAAGAATTAATTTATTCTTTTTTTTTAAGCAGGTTGCTAAGGTTACACGGACTTTATTATTGTTATTATACTATTATCTATATTATGTTTTTTTTATTTTAAATATATGTTTTTTTATTACATATTACTTATTTACTACATTGATACTTTTCTTAAGTTTGTTGATTTACTATAAAAATTACCTACATATATTTACTTTGTAGCGAATAAGAATTACATGTACACTACTTCCATTGAATTTTTTTTTGTCTCTAATATCTAAAAGGGACCAAATTGTGGATCATTATTTTAAGGTTACCTTATTGATAGTTGTAGAGTTAGGTCTCAAGTAACAGAAGTTGATAGTAAAATGATAATCGTTTGTTATCTCTTCGCACTGCACTATATACTTTTTATTCCAATATTCTATTATTCGTTTTCTATTGGTAAATATATCATGAAAAGAACGGTTAGTAAATATTGTTCTTATTACGTATTGAACGGTAAAAAGGGGCTGTGTGCACGTGATGTGCTGATATATTAACTCCATGAGATGTGTGCACTCCCGGTTTTCCCGCAATTAAAATAAACCTTCTACGGCATCTCACTACATCTATCTCATGGTCCAATAAAAGATAACTGGGGGCTGCGGATATCTCCTTGGAAAATAAATGCCCAGATCACTTACGGGTTTATTATTTCCTCTTGCGGTGAAGAAAATGCCTGAGGGATTCCCCTCTTGTTCTAAAAAAAGAAAAAGAAAAAGAAAAAACAACATGACGGGGCATCGCCACATCAGGGAATATGGGTACCAAGAAAAAGACACTGAGTAGCGAAGAAACATCTGCAGGAAAGTTATAGATTTGATACCTTCATATCTGCTCCGTAATGTTGCCGAAAAGGGTAATGATCTTCCACGCAATATATTGTGTGAGAGTAATTACGCTTCCTAATAGGGAAAGTAATGTCTGTGAAGAAACCATTAATGATGACCCTTTTGGGAAAGGCCCCTTCTAGACCTGTTTGAGGATAGACTCTATTTTGGAAAAAATTAAAATATTCATATCATAATCTACTAGTTTTAACAGTTTTTTCCATTATTTTATTTGTTCTTGTAACAAGAACAAGACAGACAAATTGAAATAGAGAGAATGGTAGATAGTATAAAAGTATATTTACCAAATGGGGTTGCATAGTATAAGATGACGAAGGAACAGATAAAACAAATAAAAGGTCCGCAAACTCCCCCTGTGTATCAATAATAATGACTTGGGAATTTTCTCTTCTTCATTTTCTTTGGCGAAGGCTTAGACTAAGAGACATTTTTCTTTCGTGTTTAATTGTAAGACAAATAAGTAGAAGGAGGTTAACTTCTTTTCATCCATTAATTTTATCATTTATGAAATAGTAAGCATCACCAATCAAGTCGCATATGATATGGGGATATTTTGGTTGTAATTAGTTGTTCCTATTTAAATAAGTAGCAACAAAACGGTTGCAGAGATGAATAATAACAATATCTGTTGGGTTATTTTTTACTTCTACTATTCTTTCATCAATATTTTTAAGGCAATTAACTATTCTTTAATGTGAATGTTTCGAGTTTTATATCCAAAATTGAATTTATACTTCGTTTTAATCAGTATACGAAAGCATTGATTTTTACTTTCAATTTATTTATCTTGTTCTGTACGTGGGTTGGATTATCAAACATCATTTTCAGTGGTGGATAGAGTACCATTAGGGATTGATTCAAACATCTTTTTAAAGTTAATCAACCTCCTTATTGAACCTTTCCTGGATACAAGTCTTATAATACTTTATTTCCTATTTGAATGACATCTGAGGTAATTGTAAAAATAAAAGATAAAAAATATTAAGATGTCAAACTAAAAAAAAACTCGATATGAAATGATGAAATACATCTGGTAAATACGTAAGACATTTTCTTATTTCAAGGACCCTCTCTTTCATATACAAAATCTACATTGTAATATATATATATATATATAAAACATAGTTATACTTTATTTTTTTGTGAGTAGTCATTTGACTTGTTTCCCACGCCAAAATGTAATTTTATTCGACTTACTTACAGAAAGGACATCAACATCTACGACGAGAAGTTTCCATCAGACTTATCTAAACAAAAACTATAACTATTTCCAATTCTAAGATATCATTATAACCGAGTATTTTGCATCCCTGTGTATTTAAATTTTATCTAACTAAAAAACAAACAAACCTTAACTATTTTTAAACTGTATTTTCTCCTTTTACAGACGCCATCCATAAGAAGAAAAACAAGAAAAAGTTGATACGCAACACATTTAACAAAAATAACCAAAATTACTCCTTGCGTCGTCGTCCGTCGCCTATTTACTATATTTTTTCTATTAGAAGAGAAGCAAAAAAGTTTTTCTTTGTTTAAATTTTCAATTTTTTCTTCTGCGGATCTTTCGCGGAGAGAAGAAAACGAAAACAATAAAATATATATCAAATCAAATAAAAACACCAAACTTTTGATTAATAAATATAATAATTTGTTATATTTATATATAACTGTTTTCCATCTTTTCCATTGTTATTATTTTTAAATTTGATATAGGATTTCTAAGGAGTATTTTTTTTCCCTTTCATTTTTTTTTTTAATTTTCTTCATATTGTTGAATTGGCTTTCAAACAAAGGAAATCAAAAAAAAAAGGCATTAAGTCATAACAATAATTTGTGAGCAAGAAAGAAAGACACACGATTTTGTCTAATATCATCTTACTTACCCCGTTTCAAAACATATGATCTCATATATTTTTTTAATATCCTATTTATACTGATTGAACCTAAAGTGACAAGTGGACCCTCTGCTCCAAGAAGATTCCCTCCCTCCCCATTTATACCCATACTATTTTAACGTGTCTTTAGTCCTTTTTTGCTTGACTTTTTTTTTTTACATACTTAGGAAACACATAAAGGAAGAAATACACAACTTTCCAAAAATAGGCAGAAGAGCATTATAATACCCTGACAACTTCTTCTTACTTATAATATATCCTACCTTTCCATATTCAAATTTCATTCTATTTTACTTTACTTTGCATTTCATTTTTTATTTTAAACGAAATAAAAAATAATAAATCTTATCATTTTGGTAAACCACACATATAATTAAAAGCAACAATAATGGAAACGAATCATCCAACGGCCACATCGTCTTCTGGAGTAACAGATGATATCACTAGAGTAGAAACAAATGACAAACATAGTCCAGGGAAGGACGATAATGCTGGTAGTAATGTTAAATCATTATTGAATTCTGATCCTGCATCAGCTGAATCCATGCCAGCTAAATATCAAGTGACTTTAAGATCACAGATTATGGAAGAATTCGGAATTAACCCTGAGAGTGTAGCAGATAAAGATAATATAGATTCAGATGCATTTAATACCCTTGTACAGATACGACTCATTAAAGAGAGGAAAATGATTGAGACTACTAGGAAAAATAATTTAACAATGTTAAGTGATTTAGTAGATAAATGTATTGCAAGCGATAAATTTGATGAAGCGAATATTAATAAATTATTAGATATTATTATAGAGAAAAGGATCACAAGTTCATCTGTAAGATCAAGACAAGAATCATTAATGTCACCAATGGTAAAGAAAAGAAGAATACAATCCCCACATATGTCAGCTACGAAACAAAACACCGAATATCGTGGACCAAATTCAGATTTACATGCTATTAATGAAACAGATGTTGGACAATCCGAAACTGAACAATTTCAATCTGTAGCGCAATCATATAAATTACCTGTACCACCACAAACTGCATTACATCAACAAAACACTGGAAATGCCGCTGGTGGTAATGTATGGGCGTCTCAGTATCAAAATCCTGCATTACAACCACCTTATATGTATCAAACAGGTGCTACCGGAAATATGCAAGGAAACTTAGGACCTCCTGCACATTTAATAAATGATCCATATTATCAACAGCAAAGTATGATGACTTCGGGATACGATCCTCAAATGGCCAAACAATATTTGGAACCACCACAATTCGTACAGAACTATCTGCAAAATGGTTATTACCAACCTAATGGTAGAGTAATGGCCGGTATGAATGAACATGCATATCAGGGAATGCCACAGAGTCATGCCACATCTATGGGCCAACAGCATTCACCTTATAGAGGCAACGTAGCGAGTGTGTCTGGCCCACCTGGGCGGAAAGGTCATAGGAGGACTCAAAGTGCAATTGTCTCTATGCCAAATGAACTGAAGTCCCCTAGTCGTAGTGCACCTCAAAGACCAGTGAATTTCTTAATACATACACCAAAGCATCCTCCACCAACGTAGAAGATTGAAAACGATAACAATAACTACATTCGATAAGAGGAAGATTTACTGATGATATATACATATTATAAGGTTCCTTTCCAACATTATATATACTCCCTTTCGCATTAACATACTCACATACATATATAATTTTAAATGCATGAATATAGAAAAGAATGAGTAAATAAATATACATTTGTAAACTTTATTTCTTTAATGTACTAGATAATAATGGGAGGCAATGAAACAGAAACAACATCACTTAACACGATATCACAAAACTGTTTTGTGATATCAAATATTACCTTTCCAAATTTCAATATGATAGTTATTCAAGAATGTCTCGAAGTTTATTTTACTTTTAGTATCATGTGAAGGTTAAAAACTCATCATATTATTTTGAAACTTAATATAATTTGGAAAATTTGATCAGTTATGCATTCACTGTCCTTATAATTAGGTTAATACAGAAGTTTGTTGTCATTTTTTTCAAAAATTTTCAGTCATTCAACACCTCATATTACGTTCACCTTTTTCACTTATCCTATATGTTGGGGGTAGAAAGAGGAGCGTCCAGAACATTTATATATATATATATATATATATATTTGACACATACATAAAAAGGAAAAAGTAATCGAAACTCGCAAAACTAATTAAGGTTGAGATGACTTTTAAATTCCCGAGCGTCGGACATCGGGACACCACATATAAAGATTGAATGAGCCAATTTAAATAAAACAAAATTAATTTCTGCCCGTTTTTGATTGCAAAACAAAAGTTCTTGGCTTCGTCATTTTTGGGGTTGTTGCTGCGACGATAAAAAAAAGGAGAATAGAGAAGGTGACTTTGACATTGTACGAGACTTTTTAAGAAGGTACCCAACAAAAGATAAAGGCTCTATTATGTTAAGAAGAAAATCAAGGAGTTTTTATTTTTACGTATATACATATAATAATAATTAATACCTCATTTCCATTGAAACGTCGATTGACTAACGTATCTATGATTTGCAATATTGCTTTAAATTTCCCAATCAATGTATTATTTCTGATATTGGATATCGGGTTTCTTAGTATCGGAGCACTGTGGAGCGTTATGCATGTAATAATGGTGTCATGGGCCATACAAACTCTAGTAATAATACTATATCAATAGTATTATAGTATTATTACTTTGAATATGGCTAGTTCATTATATGATTAGTTTAGTTATATTTCTGAACTAACTATATAGTAATCTTTTGTAACAAGAGTTGATGAATAGCCGCATTATAGTATATACAATCTTATCTGGTTCTTTGATTATCTTTTTTTTACAATGACATTTTCTTAATACCAACATCAATGGTCATACTTACTGAGTTTAAAGAAATATCCATAGATAAGATCGATCAATTTTTGGTATAAACGTTATAGAGTATCTCTGTGTGCTATCATTCCATAATCAATAATATTAAGTATTAAAAGACCGGAAAAATTCGGGATTACCCGATCGGAAATCGCTTCCACCCACACACCCCAGCTATAGAGAAGTGATGTTTTTCTTGATCCTTGAAATATTAAATTTAAAATGTTGTACGGACATTTTAGTGGTTGTAATTCCGTGGAGATAAAGAAATTCGATATTAAAGGTGCCTCCTTTGCCTTTCTTTTATTTATTAATTCTCCATTTCTACAGGGATTTCTGTGAATAGATGTATAGAGAACGCGTTAAATATATCTTCATTTTTGTTCTTCTCTCCCTTGAATATACAATCAGTATTAATTGATTGACACACACTCATTCACCGACAGAGCCAGAGTGAAATCTTGATATTTTTTCTTTCTTTTCCGTTTTTGCTTTAATATTACTGTAATCATTATATCAAGCATTGTTATTTCTTGTAAGTTAAGTAAGGGAGGTAGAAGCGCTAAAGTAGTCTCTGTGTAACTACATTTCAATGTAGTTTAGTTACACATATATGTAATTTTGTGTAGGTTGTTATTGTCTATGAGAGGACTATTAAGGTGATGCGCTCTCGATTCATTTTTCTTTCTTTATTATGTATTTGAAGGTATATCAATTAATGAAGTATTCTGTTAAGAAACATATATATAGGAGGGTAGATTAGACACATTTTTTATTTTTGATGTATTTATTTTCTTGGGTAAGGATTTGTTTAAGAAAAAATGTATATTTTTTCTTTCATTTAACTAAACATTGTTATACTTTGAAGTTATACTATACACTACTACATCATTACTACATGTTATTTATATAGCAAAAACAAAATACATCAAAATCATAAAATACTTTTCTTTTTTATAGAATTGAGTATAATTATTCTATTACAAAACAGTAAGTGAAGTAAAAGAAACATATATATATATATATATTCTCTTCTTCTGTTATTATTATTGTTATTATTATTATTATTATTATTACAATGCCTGGACTTAACCAAGACATCAGAATCGCTACGGTAAAATCTAATGAGAAGGTCGAACCTTCATCATCGATGGATCTAGGTAGTGGAAGTGATGTCGAACTTTATGATCCAAATCGTTATTCCGATGATCATAGTTGTGTCGAACATTCTAGTGATGGAGACTTTTGTGAAATTGTTCGGACAAAATCTGTTCATGATGATAGTAAGACTCCAATAGAATATGAAGTTCCACGTTCAAGATTTGATAGACGTGCAAAGATGATATTAGTTATTCAATGTGCTTTCACTGGATTTTTCTCATCGATTGCAGGTGCCATTTATTATCCGGTATTAAACGTCATCGAAGATGAATTCCATATTAATGAAGAGCAAGTTAATATTACAGTTGTTGTTTATTTTTTATTTCAAGGTGTTGCGCCAAGTATTATGGGTGGATTAGCAGATTCTCTTGGGAGAAGACCAGTTGTCCTAACTTCAATAATATTATATTTTTGTGCTTGTATTGGTTTGGCTAGATCACAGAATTATGGACAAATCGTTGGTTTAAGATGTTTGCAAGCTGCAGGTATTTCCCCTGTTATTGCAGTTAATAGTGGTATTATGGGAGATGTTACAACAAAACCTGAAAGAGGTGGTTATGTTGGTTATGTTTCCGGGTTTCAAGTTATTGGTAGTGCCTTTGGTGCATTGATTGGTGCCGCTTTAGCTAATAGATGGAGTTGGAGATCAATCTTTTGGTTTTTAGTTATTGGTTCTGGTATTTGCCTTTTATTTTCAATTTTAATCTTAACTGAAACAAAGAGAACTATTGTTGGTAATGGTTCAATTAAACCAAAATCCATTATTAATAAAGCTCCAATATTAATATTACCATATGTCAAGAAAGTACTTCATTTAGATAATCCTGATATTGAAACTTTAGAACCAAAAATGAAATTAGATTTATTAGCACCATTAGATATTATTAAAAACACTAAAATGAGTATATTATTATATGTTGCTGGTATGCAGTTTGCTATGTGGTCAACTCATCAAACTGCTCTATCAACTGCTTTAAGTTCCAAGTATAATATGTCAGTTATTGATATTGGTCTTTGTTATTTACCTACTGGGTTATGTACAATGGCTAGTGTTGTTGTATCAGGAAGATGGTTAAATTGGGCTTATACTAAAAAATTTAATAAATTTAAAGTTTGGAGAGACTCTGAACGTGCAAGATTATTAGAAGAAAATAATCATAATGAATCTAAAGTTGATTCTATTATGGATAATGATCCTAATTATACATTCAATCTTTTCCGTGCAAGATTAGGCATGGCTTTTATTACTTTAGTGTTAAGTTCTGGTGGGTTTATTGCCTTTGGTTGGTGTCTAGAAGTTAAAGCTCCATTAGCAGCCGTCTTAGTCTGTAGTGGGTTTGCTTCATTATTCTCTAATTGTATTTTAACAATGTCGACTACAGTTATTGTTGATTTATATCCTTCAAAGACATCGACTGCCACTGGTTGTTTGAATTTATACCGTTGTTTATTGTCTGCTTTATTCATTGGTTGTTTAAGTCGTATGATTACTGCAATGGGTTATGGTGGTGTCTTTACATTGATTGGTAGTGTTAACGCTGCTTCTTCATGCTTAATTCTTTGGTTAGTTAAACATGGACATGAGATTGCCATGGTTAGACGTCACGAAGAAGATGCTCTTAAGAAACCTTTAATAAATGATGAAGAAAAACAATTTGATGAATTAGATGATGATTTAAGTTAGGATCTATCAATGAAAAAATCATTCTCTTTTTTCTTCTTTAATAAATATAGCATTGCATCACATTACATTACATTTCACCATTATCGTCCTCCTTATTCATTCATTCATATATAATAAGGAATTGTTACAAAGACAAAATGCGTTAATTTACTTCTTTTTACAATAGTTAGTTATATACACATACACACTTATACACGTACACACATATATATATTCGAATTAATATATTTTAGTCATTCATTCAAATAATATCGTATATAAATTTATCTTTTAAGTGATGATAATTGTATCAATATAGCTTGAAACGATTAAGGCTGTATTGTCATATATTGCGTGCCCCGCAGATAATGTATGGGGGGACTGAAACAATTCAGTACATAAATACTAGCAGGATTAAAATAGACAAAACAGAGCAGAGCTGGGCAGACGCGTCTCCGTGGTGAAATTCTTTCTCGCTCTATCTCTATTATACGTTATAGATTTTTTTTGGCGACGCGGCGAGAGGAGAAAGTGACAATTTCGTTATTTTTCTTTTACACCAGATAGACAGACAGAGAAATAGTGGAAAGTAAATTATTCGGTTATTATCTTGATTGATCTGACAACAAAACATACCTTATAACTAGTGATATATCGACATTCTCACAATTTGAACACTAGAATAAGTACTAGACTTTCTACTTAGCAACTTTTCCCCTCTTCACTTCGCTTTGGAACTAAATAAGGGACGATACATCAATGGGATTTCTGTGTGGATCAAATACGGAGTCTAAAAAGGCTATTGAAAGAAAGATTGTAATCTTAGGTGATGGTGCATGTGGTAAGACCTCGTTGCTGAACGTGTTCACAAGAGGCTATTTTCCAGAGGTCTACGAGCCTACAGTCTTTGAAAACTATATTCATGATATCTTTGTCGACAATAAACATATTACATTATCATTATGGGATACTGCAGGTCAAGAAGAATTCGATCGTTTAAGATCGTTATCTTATTCTGACACACAATGTATTATGCTTTGTTTCAGTATCGATTCACAAGATTCCTTGGAGAATGTAAAAAATAAATGGGTTGGTGAAATTGCTAATAATTGTGAAGGTGTGAAACTTGTATTAGTGGCATTGAAATGTGATCTACGTAATAGTGAACATGATAATAATGTTATTAATCCAAACAATATTGGTGATCAAGAAAATACAACGAATGGACGTAGTAGAAATGGGAATAAAGACCTAGTCACTTATGAAGAAGGTTTGGCTATGGCTAAACAAATTGGTGCGTTACGTTATTTAGAATGTAGTGCAAAATCAAATAAAGGTGTCAATGAAGCATTTACTGAAGCTGCTAGAGTAGCATTGACTAGTGGACCTGCTGCTGGTAGTGCTGGTGGGAACTCCAAGGACGATGATTCTGACGATGATGACAGTATTTGCACCATCATGTAACATTACATTAACATCACATATATAATTTTCCGCTTTCCATCATATACAATGTGTAATTTGTTATCACTAGTATATATATATATTTAATCAAAAAAAGAAATATATATTAATTAATCAATTATCACGATGTCATAGCTATTGTTATATATATATATATATGCATATGTATACTAAGGTTAACAATTTTCTAATAATTCTTCTAAATACATAGACGGTATTTTTTTTCTTTCCTTTGGGAATCTAGGTGGTTTTTTTGGTTTTAATTGATTTTGAAACGAATAATATTTCTCATTATTTGGACTTTGTAAGGGACTTAATAAACTTACTCTCTTTGAGTTTTGTTGGTCGACATTGTCAATATCTATTAATGACAATCTGCTAAAAGAATCCATTGGAACATGACGTATTTTAGTAATTGCTACTGTAGGGGATACAAATAATGGTGTTGGAGTCAACGAGACACTAGGGTAACTTGTTAGCAATGATTGTTTTTCTGATACATTTAATTGTCCTTCAAGATCCTTATCATAATTATTATTGCTATTATCATTCTCATCCTTGTTAGAGATGCCAATATATTTTGGTGGATGTGAAAAGATATTATTATTATTATTGTTATTAACGTTAATATTTTTAGAATGATAACGTCTTATACATATTGAAATAACCCACGATAATATACATATAATTAATATTGCTAGCATGACAGAACCTGTAGCTATAAATACAGTACCTTCCTTTGGAGCATCCTGTACATGGAAGACAAATGGGTTATCATTTGATGAAGGCGGATATATAATTGACGTACTAGAACTGGAACTGGAACTGGAGCTTGAACTAGAAGTAATACTTGAACTTGAGGAAACAACTGTAGTTCTTATAGAAGAACTTTTGGTTAATGTAGCACTTGTGGTACTGGCACTACTGGTAGTAGTAGTGCTACTAGTAGTAATTATTTTTGGTAAAGCCCTTGGAAATAGTTCAGTTATGATCATATTTTTAATATTTTAACCTACTAAACTGTACTAATTTCTATATTTTTGAACCAATAATTAAGAATATAAACTATTATTACACATTACTCCAATATTTATTATATATTTAAATAGATAGCTATAGATAGTACTGAAAGCAATTTAGTTTAGTTTTAAACCAGATCAAAATAAAATTTCAAAATCTATATATAGACTAAATGACTTAATATACAAAGAGATGAATATAGCCAGATTCATCTATTCATCTATTCATCTATTCATCTATTCATCTATTCATATACTTTTTCGTGTGGTGTGGCTTTTGATCTGTCTATCTTTATATATTTGTGTGCGTCTTTCTGTTGAGAGCCGCATTTATTAACCGGATTTTATCAAGAACAATAGATCTGGAATATATCTATATGCATAGATATAAATATATATAAATATGTATATAAGAATTAGGATGTATAGTTTAGTAAATGATAAATAGCAAGCTGTAAAAATGTATTAACCCACTACCTGCAATAAGTAAATTGGGGGTAGACTGCGTTTTCTCAATTTCATTTTTTTTTTTATATTTTGTGAACAATTCACTATATGAAGTAATATTTTCAGTTTACTAGTAAAAACATGTTCAAATGTTTTAACCTATTGGTACAAATTATCTATAAACTAATTACTAATATTGAAGAAATCAAATAATCAATTATTATATCTGTTATCATGAAATGATACCTACAAGGTTAACATACATACGTACACCATTAAAAAATCATAATATATAAAAACGTTAATTCTACTAAATATATAGATCAGTCCTACAAAATTATTCCTAATTGTGACAATCTCCTTTACATCACTTTACTTTATTTGTGACATTATAATGATTGTATAAAATCATCAATCACATATTCATCTGTCACAGTTCATTCACGTATACAATGAATCCTTGAGGAGAGAAAGGAAAACTGTTTAGATCGAAATAGATCATTAAGAACCATCATTATAGAGAAATCTGTCTGTTTGTCTGTTTCCCTTTTCTTTAATATGCAGAATATTACTACTACCACTTACTTCAATGAATGAACAAGGAAAAAAACGGAGTCAAAAAAAATGAAACTGAGACTGAAAAATTAATGAAATTTAAATTAATTTTCATAATTGTTTACTACATACAACAATACAATGAGAGTTGATCTTATATAATTTCTATAGCCTTTACTTTCCCTGTGTCAATCAATCGAAACTGTTACTGGATTAATAATTTTTATCTGACTATTAGGCAAGATCTTACTGACAATCTTTTTTTTTCTACTGATAATATCTGCTCAAGATTTCGTAATTATTTTATTTATTTATTTTTCATTCAAAAGCAGTGACTAATAAAAATAACTACTACCCTATTTTTTTTCTTTAATTTTTATTGCTCATTCCATTCATCCCAACAATATATATATATATTCGGAAATCTGTATAGGCTGAGAATTATTCAAACGATTTTACTTATTTTACCGATAATTATTTTTTTGGCATAATAATAAGAACATTACAGTTTCAACCAACTAACCAAAACAACAGCAATTCAAAACCATACAAAATATGACTTTCGATTTACAAAAGATAGTGAGACCAAAGATTTACAACCTAGAACCTTACCGTTGCGCAAGAGATGATTTCACAGATGGTATCTTACTAGATGCAAATGAAAATGCACATGGTCCAACTCCAAAGGAATTACAAAAGGATTCGCAATTACACAGATATCCTGATCCTCATCAATTAGAATTTAAAGAAGCTATGGCACAATATCGTAATAAGACTTCTGCATTCAAAGATGATACTGACTTAAAACCTTTAAACGCTGAGAATTTATGTCTAGGGGTTGGTTCTGATGAAAGTATTGATGCTATCATTAGAGCTACTTGTGTTCCTGCTAAAGAGAAAATCTTGGTTTTACCTCCAACTTATTCCATGTATTCTGTCTGTGCCAACATTAATGACATTGAAGTGGTCCAATGTCCTTTGATTGTTGATGATAATAGTTTCCAAGTTGACACAGAACGTGTCCTAGCCATATTGAAAGCAGACCCATTGATTAAATTATGTTTTATTACTTCACCAGGTAATCCAACTGGTGTAAAAATTGATACCGACAAGATTATAAAGATTTTAACAAATTGGGATACTGGGTTAGTAGTGGTCGACGAAGCTTATATTGATTTCTGTGGTGGCTCAACTGCACCATTAGTCACTAAATATCCAAATTTAGTCACTTTACAAACTTTATCGAAATCGTTTGGTTTGGCTGGTATTAGATTAGGAATGACATTTGCTTCAAGTGATTTATCCAGGATCTTGAATGCTATGAAGGCTCCATATAATATTTCTCGTATGGCTGCTTCATATGCTTTGACAGCTGTACAACACAACAATTTACAATTGATGGAACAAACTACTGAACAAATGAATATCGAACAAAGACGTCTCTTAAAGGAATTAACCGCATTAAATGGTGTCGATGATCAATATGTGGGCGGCCTTGACGCTAATTTCATCCTGTTAAGAATCAATGGAGGTGATAATACAATGGCCAAACAATTATATTACAACTTGGCTACTATCTCTGGTGTTGTGGTTAGATTTAGAGGTACTGAATTAGGTTGTACTGGTTGTTTAAGAGTCACTGTGGGTACAGAAGAAGAAAACAATAGATTGATTACAGAATTTAAAAAGACTCTAGCTCAATTAATGGAAAGCAAATAATGATAAAATTACAACAATACTAACTATAATGATAACTTTATAAAGTAATTTGTTTTTTATACTTTTTAATTAATTAATATACTTTCATTAAATATATAAACTATATTTATATCTATTTATTTAGTCTCTTGAAGAATTCACCAAGTTGTCTCTTGGTATTTTGCTCCATACCAAGTCCAACAATATCAATTGATGTAATATTTTCCTTTTCTAAATCTTCACATTCATCTAGATCCTTACTTTTCACCTTGTTAGGGATTAAACTTAATTTTTCAATATCTCCTTGTAATTTTTTGATGTTAACTAATACACCTTGATGATGTTTCTTAGCTTCACTCATCTTTTCAATCAATACATCCCTCTCAATACCACTGTCCTTCGAGATATATACTTTCAATATATTCAATGACTCCGTAATACTTCGCAATTCATCATATGCTCTACTCATCTTTTGACGTAATCTGGTTTGCATCTTTGTTTGATGAAGACTTAATCTACAATATTTATTATCCTTTGAAGTATCAGCCATAAATGAAACTTGGTAAATAAACTCTTTTAGTTCATCCATTTCGTTTTTAGTCTTTAACACTTGAACTGTTGATTCAGAAACTTCGTCGCTTAATTCTTCCAATTTATCACCATTAGACAAATAACCATCCTTTAAGCCATCAACAATATCATACAATCGTTGTGTTTCAGAAATTCTCCAAGTATATAAGTTTGGAAGTGTCTCAGTGGTTCTCTTTTCAAGTTCTATAGTACTCTGATCCATGAAAAAATTATCTAAATTAGTGATATTATCCTTCAATACATCTAGTACTGATTCTATCAGATAATATGTTTTCTCCATAGATTTCATAACAGGATCTGTACTTAACGGAGGCATAGAATCAATCACAGCGTCCATGTAATATTCATTCAGAGGTTTTGGTTTATACAACTGAGCTAAATAAGATTCACTTCCTTCAAATGTCTGTACCTCAAAATCACACATGCTATATTCTGTTGTTTGAACTTCAGCATTGGTAGAAGTAACATATGGTATACATTTGTCATCAACCTCCGGTGTTTCAGTTTGCATTTCTATCGAATTAGTTTTTGACACTACCTGGATCCCCTTTGACGTCACATTAACTGTTGCGTCAACACCTACATCACAAATCCCTTCACCATCCGAGCAAACAACCCCAGATAGATCTTCAAAAGATTCAATGCTTTCATCTGTTTCATTTTCATCTTCTGCATGTGGAGATTCACCTTCGACCTCTGGAAAATCTGTTACTTCTTCTAAACTTTTTGGCAAATCATCATGCTTTAAAGTCTGATGAAGTATTGGTTCATTACTTTCTAATGTATTTTGAACCGATTCTGTCTTTTCAATTGCTTCCATATCCGTCTCTTCCGATAAAACATTATTCTTTTCATCTTGTTTCACTTCAAATCCAACAACTTCCGCGTCAAACCCATCCTCCAATTCACATTCTTTTGGTTCAAACTTATTATCTGATTCCGATTTATCTTGTTCAAACTCTTCAACTGATTCCTCAATCTCAGATTCTGGTTCGCTTATTTCAGGGGCTTGCTTAATTTTGGTCACATCCTCAGAAACATCTTGCACTGCATCTGGTCCACTGACATCACCTATAGATTCTTCGGAATTGTCAAGATTTTCCTCAGTTTCATTATCAGCTTCAAAAGTGGGGGTCGCATCTTTCAACGTTATTGCTGCATTATTTTGCATAGAAAATGAGGTGAACGCATTTGACGTTTCCTTTATTTTATTGGTAAAGGAAGAAAAAGGAGATGGAGAAGGAACAGCTGTTTCCATAGTAGGCTTATTAAAAGGAGTTAATTCTAGAGGACCAGTTGTCATATTAGCCGATTTTTTAATCTTATTAGTCAAAGATTCGATGGTAGATTCTGTCTTTTTCTCAATAACTTCTTGTGATTCATTATCATCTTGTTTTGCAAGATTATTTGCATTTTCTTCATTTTCGGAAACTTCTATCTTTTCTTCTTTTTCTATGTCTGATGAAGCTTTATTAGAACTACCAAAAGGTGAATTTGACTTTCCTAAATTTGCAAAAGGTGATTCTTGTTTCCCGATATTAGCAAATGGCGAATCCTGTTTTCCAAGGTTAGCAAATGGCGAATCCTGCTTTCCAAGGTTAGCAAATGGCGAATCCTGTTTTCCAATAGAACCAAATACTGATCCTGTATTATTAATGGACGCAACAGGGTTACTAGATTGTTCAAATGATGGAGTCCCGAAAGAAAGTTTTCCAAATGCAGATTCCGTAGACTTATCTTCAGTATTCGACGCCGATGCACCAAATGAAGGTGCCCCGAAAGATGGTGCCCCAAATGAAGGTGCCCCGAAAGATGGTGCCCCAAATGAAGGTGCCCCGAAAGATGGTGCCCCAAAAGATTGTTTCCCAAACAAATTGGAATTTTGTTCGGTTTTCTTTACTTCAGAACTTGTTGAATTGAATCCAAACATATTTGTTTTGGATTTATTCTCATTTGTCGCATTCAAATTGGAAGTTAACGGTGGTTCTTCTTGTTTACTTTGTTCTGATATTTTATTATCGGGTAGTTTACTCGAAGTCAAGTTTTCAAAGGCAGGCTTACCAAATGCGTATGAGCTTGTTTCGTGTGTTTCAATATCTGGCTTTTGACCAAAAGAGGTTTGACCGAATGAAGTTTGACCGAATGAAGTTTGACCGAATGAAGTCTGACCTAATGATGACTGAGGAGTAGATGTTTTTCCAAATGAAAATGGTTTATTTGAATTGAATGCTGTTGCTACTGCTTCGGCTGTTTTATCTTCAGAGGTTGCTTTATTAGAAAGGCTTGCAAAAGGTGATACCAAAGTAGAACTATCATTCTTCAAAGCTAAAGAATTTTCCGAAGTAGGAACATACCTTTCAACGAATGTAGTTTTATTTTGGGAATCTTTACCACCGTAATCTTCTTTTATATCTTTCTTAACTTGTGTGGGCTGTTTATCACTTGTATTTGTAACAGAGGAATCCTTAGATACTAAAGGCGCAATTCTATTATTTTTATGAAGATCATCTTCCAAACTGGACATATTAAATTTCCCTTCTTTGATTGCGGTTGAATAGAATAAACCCACAATTTGTAAGTCACCTTCATTATTTAGTATGTATAATAATGGTAATTTTTCAACCTCATCAACTCCCAAACATACGTCAAATATTTTACCATTAGTAGATATATCTAATGCTAAACCTGTTGGGTTTGTGTCATTATCTGTTATTTGACTAATAGGTAGTACAGCTCTTTCGCTATCTTGTGAAGGTTGAACAACTTCTTTCGAATCATATATAGTTAATTCACTGGCGCAGGATGATCCCAATACGCTAATATATTCATAATCTGGAATTAAATTTTTAAAGACGACATTGTAGAAATGTGGATATCTCAAAACGCTACCGAAAGGTGGGTCAATATCAAATGATTCATGGAATATTAGGGATGTTTCATCATTATTTAATTCTGCAATGTACATTTTTTGATCATAACTGACGTCTTCTTCCTCTGGGGATACATCGTTACCATAAACTATTAAGAATCTTTTTTTAGAAACAACGGAAATATTTATTGGTTTCAGACCATCATCATTAATTATATTATTAATTTCTTCTGGGTTAGAGAAGGATTTTACTAATTCTGGTGATCTTTCACCTTTCAATATTTGTATATTTTCAGTCTCACTATTTAATAATAGATATAATTTATCTTCATAAAGATCGAATGAATTAACGTTATCTTGAATATTTTCAGAAGTTTTGTTATTTATTGGATCAAAATAAAACAAATGATTTGTGTTGTCCAAAATCCATAGTAAATTATGAAATAATTTAGCTGTAAGGATTGTTCTGTTTAACTCAATTGATTCCTGAGATTTTTCAAAAGAGGTTGAATCAATTGTAATTAATGATCCAGATTTGGTAACGATTATTGCTTTAGCGTTTGCATTAAATCCACAAAATATCACATCTGGAATTGTTTCTTCAAACAATTTCTCTAGTTCGTCTCTATTAAGCTCTTCTTTATTTTGAACAAATTCTCTCAGTACTTGTAAGTCCCCAATTATCAATCTATCATTAGAATATGCAATGTATAATAATTTCCCATTGAGAATGCTAAAATGCTCTAAAGATGCAAATGGTAATTTTTCTTCTGAGGACGGTAGAATATTTTTTTGACCTAAACTTTTAAAACCGAAGTCCTCAGAAGTATTCGTTGGAACTTCCTCTTGTAATGTTGACATAGTGTATAGATAGAAATGTTAGTATTGATAATGTTGCAGAATCCTTGATGTAGAGACCTTATTTATTTGTTCTTTATTTCACTTGATATGTCAATTTGTTGCAGATCAAAGACACCAACTACAAATGCAAAATATTGAACAAAAACGGGTATATCGATGTCTTTCTTATCACAATTGAGTTTCTCTCTTAAGTGTAAGGCTATATGATTTACTCTCTTTGTTACTGTTATATTTCAATCTAGCTTATATTATATTACCTTTGGTTGTGATGTGATGTTTCTCCTTCCACAATGAATTTCAATTTCGTATGTTATTTTTTTCTTCTTCTTCGCTCCCCTCCATCTAAAGTCTGCCATAATAATATCGACATCCGGAAATTCTTGTGTAATAAAATTGTAAACATTAAAACCATCGCACAGATTACATATTTGTCAATACATAGCAATAATAAACTAGTTAAAGCCTTAGATATAGAGATATATTCATAACGTGCAAAGTGATCTATGGTTGGAATGATAATTAATAACTATAAGTAGTAACAGGGTATCTTAAATACGATTATATATTGATGTGGATGCTGCCTTTTAATTGATATAGTATTACTTCTGTCACTCTACGTTAAGAGTTTTATTTTGTTTATTTTGTTTATATGATTTTATATATATATCTATATATATGAAATGATATGTTTATCATGCTGAAAAGTTCAGGGACCAGCCAATCTTTTGAACAGGCTCATTTAATTTCAAGGCATCCATAGAGGCACCGATACCTAAAGTAACCCCAGCTCTGATGGTTTGTTTATATGACAGAGTTAATTTACCAATGTCAGTGATTTTAGCTTTAATTTGAGATGTTTCATCAGGAAGGTAACGTGTGGCTAATTCCATATTTACATTGGAAGATATCTTTGGGTTTAAAGTAGCTTTAGCACCAACTTGAAGATCTTGGCTTACCTTTTGGAAAAATGAAACTGAGGTTAATTTAGAGTCATCAAGGAATACACCTAAGGAGTAATACTTGGCAGAATAACCCAATGAAACAGCATAACGTGATAAAGTACCGGATATAATATCATAACCAAATTCTGCACCACCTACAGCACCTTCGTGTGATAGAGTCAAATTACCAACAAACGATGGATTCTTTAAAAGATCAAAAGTACATCTACTTGCAAAAAAAGGTTGAACAAAGCTCAGATTAACCTTTGCACTTTTATTTCCGTTAGGGATATAAGTAGAGGCAAGTTCAGTCTTTAAACCAGGTGCTAAATTTTTGAATTCAATCTTTGTATTAAGTTTATTTTCATTAGACCAACCTTGAGTGTAGGTCAAACCAGTAGCCTTATCTGACATTCTGGCTTCCATGTTAGTACTCAATGGACCATCTCTGATATTCTGTCTAGCATTGACAGAAAAATTTACATTGTTTTTGGTATTGGTCTTTAAAGAGAATGCAGCTGGGGTATTATGGAAGTAATCTCTGTTTAATAAGCCATTGATATTTTGGGAAATATCAGAAAAGAAAGGTGGAGCCATTGTGTATAATGTCGATATTGGTGTATCAATGTATCATGCAATTCAATTGAATGAATGAACCATGGCTAAATATATAATTTAAAATGACTTTACTTCATCGGCATCTCGAAATAAGATCTGCCTTTCTTCCAATTTTGATTCTTCGCCCCAAATTTGTTTTTTGGCCTTTAAATTTTTTCCTTTTGGGTTCTTCTTTGTTGTTATAATTTCTGTATCATATAGCAAAGGACAAAGAAACCTGATCAATCGTATCTGCTATAACAAGGATACTCTTTAATTTATTATATCTATATGCAATAATTCATATTTAATTTATAATTAGCTGAGATCACAATCAATTAGATGTGTAATGCAATATTAACATTTACCTATGCCTTGTATAAATGAGCCTGTAGCTAACAATGCGGTGCACGGATGTTTGAAGCTCTTCTAATTCTACAATGTCAAAAATTGAAACTTGTGAAGAATAAAACATTGGAAAGGAAGACCTTCATATTAAATTATATAGCCTTTTAAAAGCAATATTCACAAATAAACGAACGATAAAATCTGCACCTAACAAAAACAATTATTCACGTTTTGTAGAACGTGGGTTGTACTATTTATAACTTTTAAAAGCTTTTTCCAATTTACTTAAGGAAGCATTCTGCCTTCAAGCTTGCATTAGTTTCTTCTCATAACATTGAAATTAATCTTAAGGTACCATACACATATTATCAGTAAGTTGCAATGAGTGATCAGTCTGATAAACAGCCGATTAAGAAGAGGTCTTTGAGTAGTTATTTATCAAACGTAACTTCTCGAAAGGAAGAACTTATTAAAATTGCACAAAGGGAAAAGGAGAAGCAAGAATATGAAAGAGTTGAGAAAGAGAGGCTAGAAAAAGAGAAAATTGAGAATGAAACATTGGAGAGGGAAAGACTTGAACGAGATCGAATTGAGAAAGAGAAGTTGGAGAAACAACGAATCGAAATCGAAAGAGTTGAAAACGAAAGACTTCAACAGGAGAAAATTAAGAATGAAATAATTGCTAAAGAGAGATTGGAAAAAGAGAAACAAAATGTAGAGCGAATGGAACAGGAGAGATTCGAAAGAGAAAGGCAACAACATGAAAGAATATCACAAGAGAAAATTGAGAAAGAGAAACGAGATCAACAAGAACATAAAAGAGAAAAACAAAAAGAGGAAGAATCTGAAAAAGAGAGGATCGAAAATGCGAAGATAAAAAAGGAACAAGAAAAGGTAACTCAAAATGTCAATAAGAATATTGATAAGGACCTAATACTTGCTACTCATGACAAAGGAATGGTTACCAAAACGCAATCAATCACCAAACAAGATTTAATTCCGGAAATACATACTGAAAACATAAGTCACATAATTCACCACGTAGAGAAACGAAATGATGATCATTTAATTAAAAATAATTACGAAAAACCAATCAAAGACCAGAAGTATGCCCTCAAGGCAAATATTGATTTACAATTGCATCACACAAAGTCGCATAGCCCAATTTCTCGTGATACTTTAAAGTCTCTATTGAAAGAACCTAAAAGTTTTGATGACGATAAAGAAAGTGATAGTGATAATCACGCTTCCAATACCAAAAAGGAAGATGACTTTGAATCTTTCAAAGAAATTGATAGTGAAGGTGAAACTGAAGAAGGATCACCTGTGAAGTCAAGAAGAGGCAAACTGGTTAGAGGTGATAAAATGAATACATCAAATACAAACCTAGATGAAGATTTAATGTTCGCTAATAATTCTGACTCAGATCTGTCAGATATCGAGGATGATATGAAAAGCGTTGCTATTAGTAGTAGTTTCTTACACGACAATTCCTCGCCACAAAAGGGTGTAACGCTTGCCTTTGAGAAAAGTGAATCCACAAAAGAATTATTTCCTTCATCACCTGTCAAACGAATTATTCCTGCTAAGGAACACAAGAAGTCTCATGTTGCTGTTTCTAAACACGGTAAAACTAAGAAGGGACTATATAGAGACTCAGGTGGTAGAACTAAACTTCAAATTGCTTGCGATAAAGGTAAAATTGATGTTGTCAGGAGTTTATTAGCTGAAGGTGATATTAACATTAATGATCAAGATAATGCAGGTAATACACCACTACATGAAGCTGCATTAAATGGTCATATCGATATTGTAGAATTATTAGTGGAGGAAGGAGCTAATATCAATATGCAATCATATAATATGTTTCAAGATACTCCTTTGATCGATGCATCCGCTAATGGTCATCTTGATGTTGTATCATATTTATTAAAGCATAATGCAGATCCAACTATTACCAATGCTAAAGGTATAACCGCATACGAAGCCATTGAAGAGGATTCAGAACTTGATGAATCAGAGAAAGAATTAGTTAATGATATTAAAAAAACGTTAAGGGAGTCTACTAAAGTATGGAATGTAGAACATGATGGCGATTTGAATGGTGAACAACAAGTAAGAGGAAGGCGTAGTACACCAGGTAGCTTAAACCAAAGCAGCCGTTCAGGAACAGCTAGTCGTCATGATTCTGTTGAGCGATCTGGTATACATAGTCAAAACGGTAACAATTCCATGGATAAAGATCATATGGCAAATGAAGAAATACCATTCTATTGGAATGACATTACTACAGCTACAGGTAAAAATAAGTTATTGAGAGCATCAAAGGATGGTAATCTTGCATATGTGGGTCAATATTTGGAAAATGGGGGACGCCCAGACTTTAAATCATTTTTTGAAGCAGTAAAATTTGGTCATTCGGAAATCACCAGTCTTTTCCTTGCCTTTGGTGCTTCAATCAATAGTTCTGCAAAGGATGGTATAACTCCATTGATGATTTCAGTTGGCCGTGATCATCTGAGTACAGTAAAACTTTTATTGGAGGCAGGTGCTAACGTCCTTGCAAGAGATAAAGCTGATCGTAATGTTTTATTTTATACCAGAAATAGTATTGTTGGTTTAAATACGCCTGAAGAAATTGAACTAATAGAAGAGGCGATGAAGAAAGCTGGTGGTTCTATCGAAATCGAGGAACCTGAGATTGAAGAAGATAATAATGAAAAACTACGGCTTCAAGAAACTGCAGTTGAAATCAAATTAACTGATGAACTATCGAAAGGTCAGATTGCTATTCATAGAAATAATTCTCCAAGGAACAGTGAATCTATGGCCGGTAGCGAAAACTCTGACAAAGATGTTTCTATTGATGAAGATGAGGAAGAGGAAGATGTTGCTATACCAATTAGTAGAAGAACGGCCTCACCAGCATTAAATGTTAACCATGATCAGAGTAGAAAAAGACAGACTCCTGAACTTGATAATGACAATAACAATAATGATAGACACCATACGCAAGTGATGAAAGACCAGAATATTGAACATGAACAAGAACAAGATTCTCATGTTGAAGATATACATGACGCTAAACGTATGAAACATGATATTTCAGTAAATGATGAAACAAGACACCAAGGATCTGACAAACTCAAGAAAGTATATGAGGAAACAGCGGAAGAAAAAGAACAAAGATTGAAAGCTGAAGAAGAATACAGATTAAGGAAAATTCATAATAAAAAATTGAAAGAACAAGAAATGTTACATAAGATGCAAGAAGACGAAAGAAAACGTGACGAGGAGAAGGCCAAACAAAAGGTGGAACAAGTAAAGAAATTAGAACAAGTTGAAAAAGAACATCAATTAGAAATTCAAAAACAAAAAGAGGAGAATGAATTATCTAGAAGACGTAATATTAGATCCAGATACCCATTGGGTCTTAAGATTATCAGTAATGATATGAATGCCACTAATGAATATGATTATACAAAATATCTACCATTAATCTACACAACGTTTAACAACGATCACAAGAATAAATTTATATTGGATTTACAATTACAAGTAATATTGAGTAATAACCATGAGCTATATACTACTCTTCCTTCACAAATTCAAGATCTGAAAATACCAATTACTATACCTCAAGAAAAGAAAGCACTATGGAATATGACAAAATTCATATTTTTGTACGGCGGTGTAAACGAAAATGAAATTAGTACAACTACTAATGACAATGATATTCAAAATACTTTACAGCAACTCAATATTGATACCAGATTAGAGTTTGAAAACCAAGAGTTTAGTAAATTTTCTCAATTACCGTTAAATTGGATCCCTTGGGATAACGTCGCGTCATCGATCTCTCAAGAACTTCGTACATCGCTTGAAGTTCAAATGGTTGAAGCACAACTCACCCAAATGAAACTTGTACCACCACCTCCATCATTATCATCATTACCAGTAACAACAGACTCTGCAGACAAAATCTCTGAGTCTCGGACTTCATCCTCGCAATTACCTATAAAATTACAACACCGTCACGTGGTTGCAAACCTCTGTCATCACTATAGACGTCGTTCTAGCACTCCCACTGGTCGTACTCAGCGACAATTTGCGGGTCTGTGGCAGTAATCAAACTGGAGGGAATGAGCAGAAATAAGACTTATTGCATGAAGCACCAAATTTGCGAAATTCTGCAGGATATACGCGTAGAAGACGCAATTTTGCAAATTTGCAAAAAAAAATATATTTTTGTGATTTCGTGGAAAACTCCCGGCGAGTTGTTCTGCTTTGCGTATGCTTTAAGTTGTGAAATACTAGGAGCTGATTGGTCCGTAGCGGAAAGTTTCAAATTTATCAAGTCCGCAATTGCCGAGCCACTGCGTTGTTTTTCAGTGAGTACTGCGATTACTTATTGCAACACTCCCCCAATCCCCGGTGAACTGCTTCCACTTGCTGCCAAAAGTGTCTCTGTTGTCTGTTCGGCCTGCAGAAGGGCAGGGAAGGGACTATTATCAATTCTTTGTTATTTTTTTGATTTTTCATATATATTTTTGGCTTACAATGTGAGCGAATACAGTGATATTTTTTCATTTAATATCCCCCTGGTTATATACGTTATTTTATTAGATATAAATATATAAACATAATGAATAATTAGAACCGTTATTTTTTTAATAATCAAATTAAATTTGTTTTCTTGAAGAATAGAAGATTAAGAATATTACATTTTTATTTATTACAGTTCTCGAGAAATTTTATTTTATTTAGTTTAAGTATCTAAGTTGTTTTGATAATATACAAGGACATTTTCCGGTTTTACACTCATTAATATCAAGAAAATATTCATATACAACTCTCACTTTTAGACACAAAATAAATCCACACACATACACACTATACACTATACACTATGTTACGTAATACTATTTGCAGAACTAAAGTTGCTCAACTATCAGCTAGAAGATTTGCTTCCGTTCAAGCCCTATCGAAGGCTTCTATAACCGATTTGGAACACAGATGGGAACATATGCCAGCTACCGAACAAGAATCCTTGGTTGCTAAATTGACACAACGTCAAACACTACCTTGGAAAGAATTGACGGATTCTGAAAAACAAGCTGCTTGGTACATTTCTTACGGTTCATGGGGTCCAAGAAGACCAGTGCTCGCTAAGGGTGAAGCTTCCTACATTTTACAAGGTGTTTTACTAGGTTTAGCTATCTCTCTAGGTGCTTTTGCCTTTATTAGACAATATGGTGGTGAAGAAGTTAAATCTATGAATAAGGAATGGCAATTGAAATCTGATGAATATTTGAAATCTAAGAATGCTAACCCTTGGGGTGGTTACTCTCAAGTTCAATCCAAATAAAATTCTAAATGATATAATGAGAAATTGAATTTCTTCTGATGATGTTTTTCCCTTTTTTAAACATTATTTTCTTTTTTGTTTATTTTTACTCTGTTTTTATGAATTTTTTATTTATTTCATCATTCAATATTTATCAAATATTCTTCCTTAGAACTACTATTACTACTACTATACACTGACGAAAAGAAGAGATTTCTTAAGAGTTTATTAATATGTCTACTTTTATTAAAGGTAAAGATACAGTCATTTTGATATTTCTGACCTATTCTTTCGTGTTATCCATTTTGAATCCTCTGAACATCTCTCTTCTTGATATTACCTCCCCCCCCCCTTTTTAATTAGATATGTTTTCTTTCAAATCTAAAGAGTAAGCATCTCTCTCAAACCTTCACCACAGAACGAAATATAATTGCAATTTAAATATTTTTGTTCTATTTATATACATATTTATGTACAGTCTAGATGACTATTTAATATTACCTATTATTATCTTATTGCATCGCCTTCATTTTCTTTTCTATTGCTTTCTTTGAATTTAAATATTTATAATTACGACTGTGCTATATTTCTCTATGATAAGAAATAATTGATACCAATATACTTCAATGGTACTTCTACTGTCATTCTGATGATGATATTTTATGTATTCGCTTTCAACTTTTTGTTACTACAACAGCCGATTGTTTTTTGGGCATCGCAAAATTTTTTATTTTTTACATAGATACAAACTTAAATGAATATGTTTTATATTGGTGATATTAAAGTTAATATGTAAATACTAGTTTTTAAAAGAAAGGAACTATTCAATTGTATTAATCTCAATAACTGATTGATATTCAAATTATTAGCATCCATATAACTCATTAAATATTTTAGAATATGAGTTTTTCGTTTGGTTTTACTTCCGATGATTTGAATACCAATCTATGTGAAAGACAATCAACCACTACAGCTGCAAATATCGAAACCAACAACTCTATCAATCCACTAGATGCAAAGGAATTGAATGATTCCCATGTAGTTCAACCAAAATTAGAAAATTTGGACGATGTATTAAGAAGTTTAAAAGATGTTAGAATCTCTTATGAAGCTATAGAGATTCCACCAATGGAAAACCATACAACAGACATTGTAAAATTGTTCAGAAGAGATTTGTTTGATATGAAACATCAATTGATGTCTGAGGATAACAATACCATAAATACAAAGGACGATGATGAATTAGATATCTTAATACATGAAGATTTAAGGAAAGATATATATGAAGGTGGTTTGAAATCATGGGAATGTTCTATTGATTTGGTAAGATTATTGAATGATAATTTCAATAATTCACATAATTTGAACTTTGACCAGATTAATTGTGTGACAGAAATTGGGTGTGGTACAGCATTACCATCTGAATATATTTTCAGTCAATATTTGAAACAAAATAGAACTTCAGGTTTGAAATTGATATTAACAGATTATAACTCCAGTGCTCTGCGTTTAGCCACAATTCCAAATTTAATTATTTCATGGGTTAATACTTCATTGAATGAAGAACAATTAACTAAGTTACAACCCGATAACATATCAATTAACAATAATGAAGAAATAATGTTGTCTGCTGAGTTATTAGAGGCCTTCAATGAAAATATTAAAGCCAAAAATATTTCCTTAGAGCTTATTTCTGGTAGTTGGGGTCGCAAATTTTCCACATATTTACATGATCTACTAAATACGATACCAAAACCACAAAACCTTTTGGTACTAACTTCTGAAACTATATACCAACCAGATCACCTGCCACTCATTTCCGAAACTTTAATTGAATTAAAACAAAATACACACTTCACGTCTGTTAATGCCATGGTAGCAGCAAAGGATATATATTTTGGTGTTGGTGGAAGTTTGATAGAATTTGAGAATTATTTAAGAAAAAGAAATATTCAATTTAACACAAGAAAAGTTAACGCAGGCTTAAAGAGATCCATCGTGTTAATGTAATTCGGGATTCTTGTCCCTGATATTTAATATTTATAAATGACGTATCTTTTTAAGAAAAAGAAAAATATTCATCAAATTACTTTATAATATGTATCTACTTCATATGTAGTTCGCAACAAATATCTCTACTTGTTCCAACTACTTGATAACAATAGAATGTAATGTTTCCAAATAATCCATGTATGATTCTGTATTAGAAATTGGGTCCTCGACCATGCAATTAGTGATGCAATCCACAATGTTCTGGAACATCACTTTATTATTTGATAATGGTATAATTTTGTTTTTATTATCGATATCACCAACAAAAATGTATAGTGATTGATATTTGATTATTGTATCTTGAGATTTTTCTCTAATTTTCTCTATAAGGCCTCTTGTTCGATAATTTATAGGCGAGTCGGCAATTTCCGGTAATTCAGTAAGTCCCTCGACAATATCTATAGCATTATCTACAGCAAATAGATCTGCAAGTAAATCTGATTTCACCCTAGAACCTATCCATAAAATTAAATCCATAGAATTATCTATTAAGTACACACCTTCAGGGGAACAATTCATTATACTATCGTTAATCGGTTTAGAGATACCTAGATTGGATTTCATTTCATGAATAGGATATATTGTTGGATACACCATTTGAATAAAGTTTCGAATATTTGCAGTATTCATTATATTTAGAAAATCAGCTCTTCTATCATCGCTTGAACAATAATCTCGAAATCCCAAACTTTTTCCTAATACGAGAACCAATAACGGTAATAATTGTAGAGCCCTTGATAATTGAAATGTATCCCGAAATTCTTTTCTTTTGTGAATATTAATAACATTACACGAATATGACGATATTATATTTCTCAATGAATCATCCAACATATTGCGCACATCCGACATAGGATGAGAGTATGCATTACTTACTGCGACTCGACTATAATATAACAATATCGCAGCCTGATCGACTTTATTATACATTTCCTGCAAGGAATTGGTGGTTGGTAGCGGCAAAGTCATAACTCGGAGTCTTCTATCCCCATTACTCTGTGTTGAAAGTATTGACACTTGAAAAAATGCCATATCGCTCACAAAATCATTTTCTAATATCATATCAAACACATAAGATTGATCCCTAGACATAACAGGACTATAGAACGTTCCTGGAGATCTTTCAAATATATTACCGTATGAAGATTGTACTTTCATGCCATGTGATGCCTTTACTTCCAACACAACATCCAGCGATAAATCCATTGTAAGCGAACTATATAATTCAATGGAAAACCTCACATCATCAAATTTATTATCTTGAAGCTTAATGTTTGTATAATAATGGGTCTGTCCAGATGTTATCCTTGAAAGAGTAGACAAAGTAGCTATATCCAAATAGCTACCATCAGAAGAGTAAAATTGATCTATAGAAATCCCAGTTTCCATGCACTTCATTGCAAATGTCTTATAGAACATGTCCTGGCAATCCATTGCTGATTGTGATTTTAGAACTCTCATTTCGATGTCAGCATCATTTGATAATTTATGTTGGTCTTCTCTAACTTTCAATTTTCCGCAGCCAATATTAGGTAAAGTTGATCCAAGTATAATAATTTTGCCTTTGATGTCACGTATTAAAAGATAGCCAGTTTCCAATGCCGGACCCAATGCAAAAAGGACAGATTGAGATACTGAAAATAAAGATTCCAAACTTTCAAGAAGTGTACTAATACTTTTCTGATAGCCACATATTGGTACTCGCAATTGCTCCGCAGGAACTGGAAGGAACGATTCATCGATATCAAACACATCATACATTAGGAAACTTGATTTTAATCCTCGTTTCTCCACCATCTCGTCACTTAGTATAGAAAAAAGGTGTAAATGATTGTTCACACATACAATCGAAATTGTAGTTCCATTATCGTGATCAGGAATTCTATCTAATGTCTGTTTTATAGTTTCCAATGACTTACGCAGCATTCCATTTTTTAAAGAATTGTATGAGACATCTATTATAAATAAAAGATTGAGTTTACGTTTCGTGTTTTCAATTGCAATACATTTATCTAAATTGTATTCAACAACAGAATATTTTATCTCAGTTCTATTTCGATACATCGTATTGTTATTCACATTATCCGTTTCGTTATTGATATCATCATCATTGTACAATATTGGTAGATCGTTTGCAAATTTGCAGAAATTGCATCTCCATTGATTTGATTGCGGAGTAAATTTCACATAGGGATTGATATGAGCACCGCACCTTCTGCAACTTATAAGTAATTCATCATTACAAAGTGGTACAGGATTCTGGTTGTCATAAAGACCGGTATAAGGTTTTAAAAATAATGCAAAAGGTATATTACTTTGTTTCAAAATTGAAGTCTTTATTGGCACAGCTGATATTGTGCACCTCATGTACTCAGATAATGGTATTGATGAATCATAATTAAAAGTTGTGTCTCCGTATGGTAACTCTGTAACAGGAATAGCTGCAGTTAACCTATCAATATCTGGTTTTGGTTGGTTTAATAAATTGACCCTATTGGAAGATACATTTATATTGGACAACGTAGCAGTATTATTCATAAAAAAATGTGATCCAATTGCATCGTTGTTTTCATAAGACTCTTTGGATGAAGGAGAAACTTCACCTAATGTAGATAATGATACGTTAGATGTGTTTGGAGTCATTGAGGTATAGAATGTCCTAGGGTTAATAACTGGTACATTATGAAGATCAGTAAGCGATAATGTAGCGATATTAATTTGATCATGTAGTTGTTGATGTCCCAAAGACATACGGGTCTGAGGTCGTGAAGGAATAGATGAAGAGAGTGTAGTACTTGACATATTTTTTGTTCGGCCAATTACTAGTTGTGCTGGTTGTAATGGCCCATTTTTACTATACGGACCTCTATTTACTAAGTTGGCAGTTGATACACTTTTCTTTGGTGGGAATCCTTGTCTTTGAATGGGAAACTCTGACATTTTATAAATATTCTTTATAAAAAACAATAATAGTTAAATATTATAGTGGTACATGCAAAATGGAATCTATCAAATTTGTAGTCGATATCAGTAGCTTAAATAATATATATATGGATTTTTGGTGATAAAAACAGTAAACGATATTACTTAGTATGGTACTTTTTAAATGAAAATATCGATTAAATATCAGTCAGAAAATAAAATAAACAAAGAACAGCAAAAATTTTGTAGAGAAAGGCTAATATATCGGGATCAGATGAATAACTTGATGTGGTAACGAGATAATATTTCAACGAGTGTGGATCAAAGTTATGTGTGACTGTTATCACTATTATATTATTTATAGCCGTCTTTAAAAAAATGGTACCGTCTAGTGTGACGCAATCTTCCTTGTGATATTGCTAAATGCTTAATGGTATATTAAAGTTTCCTTCATACCTGTCAAACTTCAAACGACCCTTTCTCATCTGTGGCTTCCTGATCTCTCATCAAATATCATATCTTACATAAAAACTGCCAAACGACGCTCTCACAATCATCAGAAGTTCTCTTTTTTATTGTTTACCTAGCACGGACAGAGCAAAATGGGCAGAAGGGCGACAAGCTTGAGTGGTCTCATTTTATCATCGAGGCTTAACTGTCAAATTTTAAAGATATATGGGTTTACATACTTGAAAACATAGAGAGAGACCAGGGATATATATATAATTCAACTAAGCATATATATATTTTTTTTTTTGCAACAGTCACTCTAACAAAACAAGAACATGGGTGATCAAATAGAATTTTTTAACCTCAAGAATGACGAAAAAGTAGTCTCCCCTTGTCTAACCATCCATGGCAAATTGAACAACAAGGCCTCCAATGCGAAGAATATTCAGGTCCAGCATCCTCAATTACCTACTCTAACTTTCCCAATTAATACACAGTATTTCAAAGCTACTATTTTGCTAACTCCAGGTGAAAATGTTCTGACATTTATAACCGATACCAACGTTGTCGAAAGCATTACTTGTACCTATACACCATTGACTCAGAACAAGCCAATCCATTTGTGTTTGATAGTCGCAAAGGATTCTTCACTGAAATTTGATTCTCCTAAGAGTCAGGTGGCCAAAGAAGGTGGTCATGATCTAAATATAGCGGTCAAGAAGTTACGTGTTGCGGCTAGACTAATGCAAGCTTACACCAATGAACAGATGATGCGTAATGGTTTTGGTAACCGTACAATGAATTTTGTTGAAGAATTTACATATGATACACAATTTAAAACTAACCAAACAATGAGAAATACCGTAAAGGTCCATATTGTAAGATCTCAAAGGTCCCTAAAAGAAATTAGAGATCCTAATGTTGCTCAGCAAAACAGTAAAGGTAATAACACAGGCGCATTATTCGGCTGGGCTATGGATGCGTTGAGAAATTATGGTGGACCATTTGCACCAAATGAACCTCCAGTTCAAGCTGCATGTATCTATCTAGATGGTCATTGGGATGGTAATATGATTTTGGGTCATGCGGCCCTTGGTGGTGGTGATGATAATATTAAATTGGCCATATTTGGTTCTCACGGTTTATACTCATGGCCAACGTGTATGGAAGATATTGTTCCATATTTCTTAGATCCAACTAAATCGTCCCTGAACGAAGTTGCTAATGATTGCAATGAATGTGGCTCTCATTGGGAATGCCTAACTGTCACACTTGGTGCATTTATGCATGAAGTAGGTCATTCCTTGGGATCACCACATCAAGAATCGGGTGTAATGTTGAGAGATTACACTAAATGGAATAGATCATTCTTGACTCAGGAATCTTATTCCGTCAGGACAAACTCATACGGTGCAAAACCACCTATTTTTCCAACTGAAGAATGTACATGGCATAGATTAGATTTGTTGAGATTTTTATTTCATCCGGCATTTACTAGAGAAGCTGACTACTATGATCAATCGTTTTATCGACCTTCTAAAAATGGACGCTTCTCTGTGCCTAAGCCGGCCATGTATCTATTAGGTAATAATTCGTGCAAATTTTCATCACAAACAGGTATATACTTAATTGAAATAATTGCAGAAGATTTAACTAGGGGCCATTTGGAATATTTGCCGTTATCTCTGGGTGGACCAGGACCCCAGAAGGAAGTCGTAGTTTCATTAAAAGATCTGCAGAACTTGTTGCCACCAAATCGTGCAAAATACAAAGATTCGTTTAATATCAGAGTCCTTGCATGTAACTCCCCAGATGCTAACTTTGATACCTTCCCAAGTTTATTGAAGGCTTCGATGATTCCAATGGACAAATATGGTTTCCCTTCGAAGGTTCAAGGTATTAAATCCCAGTTACTTGGTGGTGCCAACCGTGGTACAGAAATTGATATTATTGGTTTAGATATAACTAAAGTTATTTGTGTTAGAGTGTATCATGGTGGTGCGCTTGATGGTATACGTTTCTTTTTACAAAATTCTAAAGAGAGTTCAGCTCCACAACTATCTGAAAAAATACCAGTGGTTCCACCAAGAACATACCTAGGTAAATTAACTAATAGTTTTAAGTCATCTCCTGCTCCACCTGTGAGACCAAGCTCAAATAATAAAAGTATTCTATTTGGTAAGCAAACTAACAATTTCACAGATGTTACCTTGGAACCAAATGAAATAATTACAGGACTTAACGTAAGATGTGGTGCATGGATTGACGGTGTTCAGTTTATTACTAACCATGGTCGTATGACAGAGATGTTTGGTAACAAGAATGGTGGTGGTCTTGCAGAATTGATGCCGCCACAGGGCCAGCAAATTGTTGGTATATATGGTAGGGTCAGTCAATGGGTGGACGCCGTTGGTATTGTGTACGCTAAGGTATAATTTTGTATATATTGACATATATAATAATATTGAAAAATAAGAATTAGTTTGAAATTATCGAGTAATATAGAAAAGTAGTAGCTAATTAAAATATTATTTGTAACGCAGCTAGGAAATAGGAAGAAACACGGTAGTCAGTAGTTCATAGGAAGAAACATGCCAGTCAGTAGTTCATAGGAAGTAATGATAATAATTAACTAATTAACTTTGACTATGACTTCTTTCCATCCTTGTAGGACTTGTGATCGTAGATTCATCTTGATTATTCCCGTTGCCTGAATCCTGTCTTTTACTCAGATTAAATTGTAATTTGGCAAGTTTATCGTTTAACTCTTTTAACTCGAAAGAATTCTCATGATCTTTCCTATTCCTTAAACTATCCAATTGTGTATGATTTTTCAATAAGGATTGCACATTTTTTCCCTCCGTATAATCTTGTCTCAATAAGGATGGTTTACTTCCATTCATATTTGGGGTACGATAAGGTCCTGCCATATCTTTTGGTGGATTGTGCATTCTAAAATGGTCATTCATATCTTTAGAATTATTTGCGTGCATTATATTGTTGTTCATTAAGAGATTGCCAGGTGCAGTGGTAGGTATGCGGTTGGTATCAACCTTGAGGGGTTCTCTATCCAAATGGACCCCAGAATCAGAGAAACTAATACTAGCTCTACGTTTAGATAAGAAATCACTTCTGAATGCATCTGCTGTAGTTGGGGCAGTTGGCACTACTGAATATTTCCTCTCCTTGTGAACAAGTCCTACTTCTTCTACTGTGGTTGTATTTAAATCAGTTTCTGGTACCAAGTGGAATGTGTCGGTCTCGATATCATATTCATACAGACTCCACGTAATCCCATAAGGTTTTGTCTCTAGGCAATAAACACAATGTAACGGAACATCTAGATTCGCAATAACGTCGACACTTAGATTCATGTAGTAACCTAATAATGCTCTGGCCACAACTCTATGAGTCACAATCAAAGCACTATCTCCGATTCTTTCTAATTCTGTAATGACTGGTCTCAATCTGTTGATTACATCCATATATGACTCACCAGCAGTACCAGGATAACGATAACGTAACTTATCATGTTGTCTCTTTTCAAATTCATCGGCATGATATTTTTGGATTTCTGGATATGTCATACCTTCATAATCACCGGCATTAAGTTCGTCTAACATTTTCATTTCCTTCTTTGGATAATCTTCATCATTGAAATATTGAGCTGTTTCAATAGATCTTGTTCTCATACTAGTCCATACAAAAAAATCATGGATTGGTGGTGTATCATTGTCTGTGGTAGCAGTTTCTTGGACAATATCATCTTTAGTCTTGATCTTGTTTGATGATTTCATTTTATCAATCTGGGCATTATAGAATAAGATACGTTGCTGATCAATAAATTTCGAAAGTGCCTTGGCATATTTCAAACCACGAACAGTTAATTTCGAATTACCACCTATTTTACCTAACATGTTATCTTCACTTTCACCGTTTCTTGTAATCCAAATCTGTCTTTCTGCAAGGTTGAAATTCAAAAGATAATAAACTGTTTGTGAAGCTAAAAACCCCTGAATATCATAGGCAATAACCTTCTTGCCAACATCTATCATTTTAATATATGGAATATCCTCATCATCTTCAATAGGTTCATAAGCCTTCAAATAATTTTTTAGTCTATCTTTAAAATCTCTAAGGGAATCCTCAGGATTCTTCCCTTTATAATCAGGACCAAATAATTTTAGTTTAATATTATTCTCAACTACTGCATGATTCGTACAAACAGATTCTAAGAACAAAACTTTCAAATGTTCGCTTCTTTTATGAATTTTCTCAAGTACTAATTTCCTACGTTTCTTAGTAGTATTAGTTGCGTCAAATATTCCAACAGATCCAGGACCTATAGTTAAATAATCCAACAATTCATCCAATGTATCCAAAGCCCATTTATCTCTTAAATGAGTGGAGTCACTATTATGTGGATCAAAAAAATTAGAGTCCTGCTCTGATAATCCATGTTCCTTAGCAAATCTTCTTCTTGTATTCCCCACATTAAACACTTGACAGTAATACATTGAATAATTCAAGTAACGTGATAATTTATTTGTAATAAATGATTTACCTGTAGCTGGCAAACCCACCATAACAATAATTAACTTAGAACCCAGATCCTCATTTGAAATAGTACCGTCTGGGGATGTTTTAGATTTAGTTAACCCTGGTACATCAATCGTAGTAGGTCGTCTCTTTGAATATACAGCTTTATTATCATGTTCTTTAATTAATCTATCAACATTGTCATTATTAGTATTATTATCACCGTGTATTTCATCGTTATGTGGTATTATTTGGTTTTTTAAAGTATTACGTTGTGTCTCACTATCATATTCCATCTCGGAATCAGATGGTAAATCTTTCAATTCAGTGTGACTTGAAATAGGGGAAGGTTTCCCGGACACATTTGGAGATGCCCAATTACTATTAATAGGTGTATCACTTAAGGGTCTGATCTTGAAAGAAGGTATTCTCTTAACTGATGGTATCTCATCACCTTCATTTTGGTTATTGATTGTTTCACTATGTGTAGAATTCTGTGAAGAAGGTACGTTAATAATAACATGTCTTGGGGCATCGATTAATAAATCTGTATTGATATCAGTTAAATCGTCTGGGGAATGTGATCCATCTAAATCTCCTAACGGAGTAGCATCCTTTGGTTCGACATCAGAATCATAGGGACTTTGACTAACAGAACCCTCTTTATAATTAATTTTCTTGAACATCTCGGGGTCTGTGAAGGAGTGAATGTAATAAAAATGATTTATCTTATTTTCTCTAGATATTTCTATAATAATACAAAAAAATAAAATATGTGCTATAGTGATAACAAAATCTTAAAATGCTTGGTGTCTTCTAATAACGTAGAATCAATTGTGAAATACCTCTAATATGTATATAAACTTTGAGAATATAGTGGTTAGAGCCTCCAAGGATCCTCAGTAATAACAATGATTATTAATATAGTAGATCTATATCTGTCTATCCCTAAAATAAATATAAAAGTCAATAAAAAAGTAAAATGCTTCAATTAAAGGCTATGATTTAGTAACTTAACGATCTCGTATTTAATTTTACTATGGCGATAATTGTTCCTCCTTTTGTTTTTAAATTAATAATACCATCCCTATTCTTCTTTCACACCTTAAATTCATAATATATCCAGTTCCCTTTTTTGTCTTCCTTTAACTCCCAAAACTGTTTAATTTATCATTTTCCTTTTCCTTTCCGATTAAAAAATGAAATTGAACTATTTGTGTAGGGTTAATTGTCAACCCTAGGGTTTGTATGGAAGGGTATATATTAATTGACCTGATCGGGTTATTGGAAAACAAACAAAAAATAATTTGATAAAAACAAAGCCAGAGGGAGAAAGTTGAATAGAGAAGGAGGTAAATCAAGTTAACAGGATTGAGAAGGCTATAACTCAAAGTGACGAAGTGTGTTTCAGCAATTGGTAGGAAATCTCATTGATATAATTATATACTCTAAATATATCACTATAATTAATAATTGTTTGGCTAACGTGTATCTTTGTTATACTCTTTTAAAGGATATATATATAGAAACAGGTCAAACCAAGATATATCTATCTTCAGATAAGTGTTTTTCCATTTTATTTAAGCACTATCAATCATTCCTTCTATTCGTCTTCAAAAATGTCATTTTTACAAAATTTTCATTTAAGTCCAGGACAGACTATACGTTCTACAAGAGGTTTCAAATGGAATACTGGAAATAATGATCAACCACAGGATCAAAGCCAACTAAATGGTCAAGGTTCTCCTTTGGTTAATAAGGGACAATCGGAATATAATTCTAATTCTAATTTTATGACCACCCCTGTAAAACAAAGAGGTGGAAACAATACATCTTTATTTAATGCCCCTCTGGATCAACAACAGCAACAACAAGTCACCGATTTCAATTATACCCCTTCACATCAAAAACCGTTTATACAGCCCGTATCAGGAACTACAGTAACAACTCATCAAGATATTAAGGAAATTGTAGAGACTACTCTAGGTTCTGAAGGTGTTTTAAATCAGGCTGTCAAATTACCAAAGGGTGAAAATGAAAATGAATGGTTAGCTGTTCATGTAGTGGATTTTTACAATCAAATTAATATGTTGTACGGTACAATTACTGAATTTTGTTCACCTGAATCATGTCCAAGAATGATTGCTACCAATGAATATGAATATTTATGGTCCTTTGAAAAAGGTAGATCTCCGGTTTCTGTTAGTGCTCCAAAATATGTTGAATGTTTGATGAGGTGGTGTCAGGATCAATTTGATGATGAATTAATATTCCCAAGTAGGAGGGATGGTGTTTTCCCTGATAGATTTATTGACAAAGTTATTATTCCAATGTTAAGAAGGTTGTTTAGAGTATATGCTCATATATATTGTCATCATTTCAATGAGGTTCTTGAATTGAATTTACAAACTGTGTTAAATACTAGTTTTAGACATTTTTGTCTATTTGCACAAGAATTTAATTTATTACGTCCCTCAGATTTTGGACCTTTATTAGAATTGGTTACAGAATTAAGAGATAGGTGATATTCTAGCTGATGAAGATTCAGCTTGTATATTTTATTATTTCTATGTAGATAAACATATACATATAAAAAGTTCGATATTAATTAGAAACAATGACATTTTGAATTATTTATTCGGTATTTGGTGCTGGTTGTGAAAGATATTCACTTTCTGTTAATATTTCCATCTCTTTTAACGTCAAATTTTCAGTGATAGGTTCAGCAGTCTCTAAATTAACATCAGATATGCAATCAAAACTGATACTGTCTTCGGTTACAGTATCAAGTTCTCTTTTCATTTGGATAGCAAGACTTCTTATAATTACCTCATCACCGTAACTTATGAACCATGAACAAAGATCATCCAATAACGCTTTATTATAAACATAATAAATATCATGAAATCTAAAACATTCATGAATATCTAATAACGCTTTTATAACTAATCTTTTACCACCTCTCAATAAATAATATGCATTTTTCCATGCCTTTTGAGAAAGTTGGAAATTTCTATGAAGTGGATACGACAGGGATCTTTTTATACCACATTCGATAGCTACTCTGATAATGGAGTCTTCACCCACACTATTATTGCCCCCATTGTTCAGATTGGTTTGTGATATTTCAACTATACCGTTTGCTCCAACATTATCCAATTTCAGTTGTTGATCTAAGAATGAGATTTGAGGAGTTAATTTACCGATAGTCCAACTTGTCTCTGAGTTATGTGTGCCTTCATTTTCGATTTGTTCAAACGTATAACTAAATAACAATGATAAAATTGTAATATAGTTTGTTTTCATACATTGAGGATCCACAAAATATTCCTTTTTCGGCAAATTATTTTGCATCTGAGCTTGTTCTTTTTCGTTAAATTCAATTGGCATAGGATCATCATTCGAAGGATTTTTTTTATACCATTTTAGGAATTGTTTAGCTAAGGGTGGATTGAAACTCATCAGTTCTTTTATACCATTGATTTCAATGTCTTCTTCGGTACCATATTTAGAAGTCATATATTCAGAGATATAATATTCTGCATCAAATTTAAAATTACCTTTTTCTATTCTTTCTCCCACTCTATCATTTGCACTTGTATGTTCCGGGTCATTTAATTCATTTATATCGTTCCCATTTGATAAAGACACGCCAATTATATCGTTATAACTATTGTTGAACCCATATTTAAACCCCAACATATCATTAGCATCATCATTTGGAACAGTTTGTTCGATTTCCCAATCAAATAATCTCCCGGTCTTTTCAATGTTTTCCAATGATTCAGTTTTCTGTTGTTGTTGTGAGCTGGAATCCATAGAAGCTTGCTCACCTATTTCTTGAATAAGTGGACCTTTTGGTATAGAGGAGTTCTGATGGGTTGTCTCTCCGATTCTTGCTAATAGTTTACTATGTAAGTCCAAATCTTCAAAGATTTGACCTTTATTTAACTTAGGAACTTTGAGTAATATAGCTTCTTCACCTTGAACAAAGGTAGCCATCGATTTTTCAGTTATGTTACTATCGTTGGAATCATCCTCCAATTCAGGTTCTTCTTGAAGTGGATTGTCAAAACGCAGACGTAAATAATAAGGTGCTAAATGGAATATTAAGACATTACCAGTAACATTCACTTCAATGTTATTAGAGTTGAATCTTATGGATGAAATATGGACTTTCACAAATAAATAAGAATCATCCTGGGTAATTTCGAATCTAGGTGTAATCATTATCGCTATAACTCTGTAGAGGTTTGGTAAGTATCTATGTGAACTTCTAACGATGTTAATGGGTTCGCGTCAATTCATAAACTATATGTATGCCATTTAAAGTACGTCTTTTCCTTAATTATTAAATATTGAAAAGTTTTTGTCCAAAAAAAAAAGTACTCGATGACATCGTTTCTTTTTCTATTTACGTAAGCTCTACTTTAGACCGCGAGTTCTGCTTTAGTTTCGTTTGGCTGGATTATGTGTGTACATCGTATTTTTTGTCATAATAGTCTGTATTATAGAAAAGAATTGTATAGCAAATATTAGTTATATTGATACGTATAAAATATAAGTGGTATAGATAGCTAGTGCAATGCAAAATAAAACCTAAGACGGTTGGTGTCGTGGTGTCATTCCTTCAGGATTAGTATTGAGATTTCTTCAAAATGAGAATTTACAAAACTTCAAATCTTGATATAGAATTAATAAAGAAGCTGTACTTCTTATTTACAATGTAATTTGTGTATGTTTGTTTATACCTTTTTAATGATGTATAAATATGCCTGGTAGTGACCTACTTCCAATACCTGTCACTAATGGAATATTTTCTTGTATAATTACACTTCGGTCTTTTCATTTTAAGGTGAAGATTAGACTTTATATTACTGATCATTATATGGAATTCCATTTTTCTTTCGATTGTCAGTCACCATATATTTTAATCTTGGTATAATCGAAAAATTTTGTTTGTTTTTCACTTTATGAATAAAATTTAGTCACAAATAACTTAAAATATTCCAATGAATACTGGATACTATTTGCACACCAACGGTTGACCCTTGTGCGAGCTTTTTTTTTCTGACATATGGGTTATAAGGTTGTAATACCTAGAATTGATATTACCAGATACAAAGTTTTGAGGGCATTCAAAATTGCACTTCAAAATAAAATACTTCATTGAATTTTATCAACAATTATTGGTACTTCTGAAAACTGCTAGATGTTTCTTGTCAGTATAATTGGTGAGAAAAGGTTCATAACACAACTTTATAAAGTGGTATTCATGACGATGAAAGTTATTCCTTTTTTTTAATATTTTTTATTGGCTGCTCATCTTGGCAACACCTTTCTGCATGATTCTATTGTTCCTATTTTTTCATATAACATAGGAGGAATCAAGATAATAACAGTATATTTTAACTATTTTATGGCTTAATATAATAATTTGGAACGCTATGTTACATTAAAATGTTAGAATATTTTCTTGTTTAATTTTTTTTTTGTCTTTGTTTTTGATTTTATTCGTTGTCACAACCAAATAATATAACAGTCAGAAATTATTTTTCTCTCTATGTGTGTACACAAAATAAAATAGGAAAAAAAATAAAAAAGAAAGTTGATATATCTAAAACAATAAGAACAACCAAATACTATCTGGTATCGATTTTTCACTCTTCCTAACCTATTGATTTAAAAAAACTAAAATATATGCACAGTAAATATTTAAATTAGGAATGAATTTAGGCAACCATTGGTGTAGGCCGTTTGTGAATTGTTTGTATCAACAACAACGACAATGAACTAGTTAGGAGTGCCAAAGAACGAAAGACAAAATAAAATTATGTTGCAATAATAATGAAAAAGATGATGATGATGATGATTATGATTATGATTATTATTATTATTATTATTATTATTACTGGCGTAATAGTTATACGAGTTATTAGATAATGCAACATTTAAAAATGGATATATGCTATTGATACCTGCCATCTTTCCAATAAGGGTTTTGTCTGTTGTTTGGGGGTAGTTGACCTGGATGATGATATTGTTCCTTTTCTGCATTTGGCCCTTGTATAATGTATGGACCAGAATGTTGAACAGTTCTATTGTTGTTTCCTTGAGAAATTACGCCTGCATTATTAATATACTGGGGAGGAATATATGATTGCATTGGTTGTTGCATACCCATTGGAGGTATGTTACTATTCATGTTTAACTGACGGTGTTTTTCCGTGGAATTATACTGGGGATTTTGAGGTGGATTAACAGATAATTGCCCAGTTTGATACCCATTATTATCTTGTATAATTTGTTGAGGAATAATATGTTGACCTTCATTAATATACATAACCTGGTTAGGCGTAGGAACTTGGCCTCCGATAGGACCTTGTACCATTTGGTTTGTTACATAAAGAGGCTGATTATGATTGATGATTGGTCTTCCTTGATGGTAAGTTGGGGTCGGAATAGGAATAATCTGACCACCCATCTGATGAATATCATTTCTCTTATTATAAGGATCGTATGCAACAGGATGTGGGTACTGAATAGTATGTGGGTATGATGGTGAGGGTATATTGTTATAATGTGTCGACATGGTATAAACTGGTTGATTGATACCTCTAGTACCGTCGAGGAATGCTTGATTCATTTGAATGTTATTGCCAGGGTGAATATTCGCAGCGTTATTAGGAGTTTGTAAAGTTGGAGTTTGATAGGGCATGTCTAATAACTCTCTATGTTTAGGTACTTCGTCATGTAAAGAATTGATTAAACTGTTAATATGTGGTAAATATGGTTTATTTGGTATTTCTCTTGATAGGTATCTATTTTGTGCAGCGAGTGTTCCAGGATAATTCTGAGGATATTGAGCCGCAACAACTGGATGTTGTATATAATTCCCATCTCCCTGATTTGATAAACTGTTAATGGTATCCTGTGGTATATTTCTATTATTTATTCTCACCATTGGATCATCAGTAGATACCCTTTCAGAATGGAAACTATCTGTCTTAGGTATGGAATCACTATTTGTGAATGTTGAAGTACGATTTTTATGACCTGAACGCGTTTTTTTAGTAATGGGATTGTAAATACTTTCTGAAGATTTATTACCTTCCGTCATCTGATTAAAGTTCTTTTGATTCTCCAGGAACCAAGTAGCACAATGATCTGGAAAATCTGGACCAAATATGGGCACTAGAAGGTATCTTATCGGAAAACAGAATTTAATACAGAGTAATTTGGCAATTTCCATTGGGATCCAGGTACCTTGGATTTTGATGTATCCTCCACGAATACGATGAATTAGTTGTGTCATATCGAATCCATTGAAAAAATTTGACGCTACATTCTTTTCCTTAATGAGATGCTTCTTGAAGCTCTCGAATAGTTCTTGTCTCAAAGAACTTGGAAGTGAGTTCCAATGCAGATCAGTATATTTTGATTTTGATTGAGAAAATAACTTATTGAATTCTTCTAGAATATCAGAAGATGTTTCTGAAGATTCTTTGTTTGATGCAGAAAAGTTTTTTTCGTTAGGTTTTGGTATTGATGAGTTTGGGTGGTGTCTCTTCTTAGATTGCTGAGATTTAGAATCAGATCCTGATGTCGAATTAAAAATGGTATGGGCCAGCACTTTTTTAAATTCCTCAGCACATGCTTCTTGTAAAATGGCATCATTGGTACAATTTTTACGAGGTATGGTAATGAGACCCTTCATAACATCTTGATAAAGTCTCCATATACCCGTTAAGAAAACATAACCACCCTCAAATGTCCATATAATACAATTGTTTGGATTAATTATTTTTTGGTTTTTCTCTGAGTTGTGATCCATTTTTTGTAACCTAAACTTTTGATTTTTGGTTAAAGAATAACTAATATTTTCAAGCGTTATATCTTTGATTGATTGCTCGGGATGGATTAGATTTTGCAAACTTACGTTGCTGCTTCGTTTTATCAGTGTTTGAGTTCCTTCTGTATTAGGAGTTAAATTACTTTTGGTATACCCTTCAGCGTCATTACTTTCCTTTTCAGTCGCTGATTTTTCATCCTCTACAAGATCTTCAATGATGAAACCATCAAGAACGTATGTGTTTGGTTTATCTAGACATAGCCTCTCTCGGTATACTTTAAATAATTTCTCTGGGGAGTCAATATTGTCACTATCTTCTTCATCAGAGCTATCTTTGTGAAATGATTGTCGTAAATTTGGTAATTGGTATTCGAAACATTCTAATAGATGTTTCGAACGTCTGTGTCCACCTGCATGTCTTCCATGCTTTTTTGAATATTTCTGTTTACTTTGGTATATTGGTGATGTGAATTGTTCCGCTATACTCGTCCGATAAGTTGTATATTCAATATTAAGATCTAGATCTTTATCATTCAAAAGAATGTAGTTAAAGAAGGACCTCTGGTAATCATCCAATGGACTGCTTGTAAGTTTAATTATTGATGGATCCAAATATGATACTGGAAATTCTATATTTTCGTTTGAATCCCACTTGAAATTCTTGATATGAATTGTATCGGTGAGTAATGGATGATCGTCTGTTGATGTAGAATTACATTGGGATGTGGTCGTGTTTGCTTTACTTTCGGTTTTACTTTTAGTTTTCCCATTATTGGTCATGTTTTAATGTTAGGTAACTTGTTTGGTTATGTATAATTTCCTTGTTCTTAATTTTTTAATTTATCTGTTTGTTTGTTTTTGAACAATGTTTTAGTGTTGCCTGAAAAATCTTGATGTTGCCGGTATAAAAAAGTGTGGTGTATTTGTAGATATTTGCATTCGTTTGTTACTAAAAGAAAAACTTAGATAGATTTATTGAAAGGACTAAAATTATATCTCGAAGTATAGAGTAATTTGTGCTAAAGAATATCTGTAATACGAAATGGTATGGTGTTTAGTTCAAATTGTTCTTAATATGAAAGAATTTTGTTGTTTATTAAATATACCTCGAGATGCGAAAAATATAAGTAAGTTAGATCTATAATAATAACTTCAGTATGATGCAAATAAAAATTAATTGGATAATATAACTAACAGAAATTTGTATTAAACAATTGACAGAATGCTACTAATTCTAAAATCTATGATGATTTATTTGAACAATAAAAAAATGAAAGATAAAGAGAAATAAATGAAAGTAGAAGGTAAATAAAATTGTTTCAGCTAAAAACAAATATGATCAATATATGTAATACTTTGAAAGGACAGTAGAATGGATAGGTACCTATATATTGTATCGATGTAAATATTTATTGAAAACTTTGATGAATGTAGATGTCCTTTTGTTTATTAGTTTTCTTAGCTTTGTTTTTGTTGATCGAAATAGATATAAAGAGTTAATCAATAAATCGAAGAGTATACATATATTTGAACTTAATTGATGGTCTTGTATCCTTTGTATATATAACGATACCCAAACAATATGATACTAATTGACCTTTCCTCAGGATTTTTATGTAATTTTTTTTTTCTTTTTCTATATTTTTTTTGTCTTTTTACTTCATCTGCAATGGAACAAATGGAAGATAATAAAATTTATAATAGTAATAGAAGCTGCAAATAAAATAAAAATATAAAATTAAGCTGTGAGGACAGTGATGTTAAGAACAACCATATTTGATTTATAATGAATTTTTCAATGCAAGTATTTACAATTATAATTTTTGCGGAACTATCCTAAGAAGAATGGTACGATCTTTTACTGAGTCCACTCAGCTGATCGTGGGATTAAAATTATGTAAGAAATATAAAGAGTAAGATAAAGAACATGAAGAGAAAAAAATTAAAATATGTAAATAATAAATTTCAAAGAATGTACCGTGTCCAATCAATAAAGAGGTGCTTGTGAAACTACTGTATAAAAAAAAGGAACGCTTCCTTAATACTACTGCACTATAAAATAAGCATAAGTATAAGTATAAATATTTTGAAAACATCGAGAAGATTATAGTTTTTCTTGAGTAAGAAATTTAAATAAGTTTAACAGAGTAAAACATGTTAATATCCCTTAAGATCAGGGGAGCCCTATTATAAAAGCAGGCACTATGGAATATAATAAATAGAACTTTAATTTTACGGTATTTTTCTATGCACCATATTAATTAATCACACAAAATAAACAATAAGTTTTCAAAATTCTTCAGATATCTTTTCAGTAAAACTGTCGGATAACAATAACAAAAACCTTATAGTTTAATTAAATGATCTGGTACTTCGGAAGTACCAGAATGTTGTGGAAAAAATATTGTTCCTTAGCAGAGACACGGAAAAAACAAAATAAAGTATTTCGAAGAAAAGGAAAATCCAATCGGTTACCAAAATGAAAAAGGAAAAAAAACAGTTATCATATTTATTATTGTTTTCCTAAGAATATCTATTCTCTTATTTCAGTAATCTTACGGAGGCAGTAGCTTTTAAAAATTAAATCCACCCGGTAATAAATTTGATAAACAATATGAGTCGCCGAGCGGGTCAGACAACCCCACTCTTTAACAGTTTCTTGTGGCTTGCTTTCTTAGAAAAAATATTCACAAAGTTCGGGAAGAAAATTCTACAAGAAAAAAACAGCAGGGCTGGAACCTTTCTATTGGAAAACATAAAGAATGCATATGATAAAGAGATAACGTTTTAGTCCTGCCAAATATTCTAAGCTCTTATTTGGGGCAAGATCCAACATTTTTGGAATCCAAATTTAAAATTCAAAGAAAACCTAGTAGAAATGCGCGCAATGTTTTTGTTTATTTGTTTATTTTCTTATTTCGTCGTTTTTCCACTACAGTTGTACGAATATTTCTTGCGAAAAATAAAATAATATTTACAGATATTATTTGTATTTTCTTCCAAATGCAATATGAATTATATAAATAACTGATCCTGGAGAATAACCCCAAACAAGCAAACAAATATTGTAAAAAAAGTTTCTTATTCATAAAATTTAAGCTCTGCAAGATGAATTAACATGATTCTCCTTCGCGATTTCTTTCAAATATTGAACTGTTACAGAATAATATTGATAGTGAACTGATTTATTATGAATGTAAAGCATTATTGATGCTTATTTAATTATTCGCTTTAGGGGCATTGTTTTATCTTTCCTTTTCCACTAAGTAAATTTACTAAATTTATTTTTATATATACATGTTTTTATAATTAAACAATAGGAAACTATGTAAACGGATTTTGATTCAATTTCAATTATATAATATTTCTTCTTCAATTATATTTAACGGATCTATATTCGCTTGTAGGTGAAATGTTTCTGGGAAACTTTCATTAAGCTAATTTCGATGGCATGCAGGGTATGTCTGTAATATAAATTAGTAAACTCTAGTTATGTTTATTTTAATTTTAAAATAAACTGCACATGATATTTTACTTGATTTAGTTTTAAACTTTTAGTCAATTTCGTGAGATGTCTGTTCCTTCGTAATGAAAAAGCTTTATATTCGTTTTTAGAAAAACATTAATCTAATAGAAACAAAGAACAAGCAAATTTTTTGAAAGAGTGAAACCCCTTACGTAGTTTTTTATTTTAAAATTAAGTTTTAAAGATTAAAAAAGAAAAGAAAACAAACAGTTAATAAGATTTTGTAATCAACTCTCAAATCTGTAGATAACTACTCTAAATAAAAATAGTTCAAATTTTATATTTTCCTCTATAGGGTTTATTTGCAAAACCCACTTGGAATTCATGTTTTTAATTTGATAATAATTATTATTTTCTACACGTGTCTTTGCACTCCCAAACTTCGGAAGTAAACCATGATATAGAGTAGTATTAAAATACAAATAATATTACCATTTTTAAACGTCACGTATTATATTTATTTTGCAAACACTGATCATTACAGGAATTTTTATTTTTTTGTTTTAAATTGCTGTGTGTTCAACAAGTTATAATATAACAACAATAATATTAAGTGCAATGTAATTATTGCAAGATACATCATCTAAAATAAGCAAAATAGAGAGGGTTACTTCTAGTAAATTGAACAAAAACCTAAAAACTCCAAAATCACTTAAACTAACTTTTGGGTTAAAATTGATTTTGATAATTCAAATATTTAATAGAACTATGTGGCACATGAAAAGCTGTAAATTTTTCATAGATGAAATGATAACGACATAGTCTATTTTTATTGTTTACTTGTTTCTCCTTATAAAATGTGAAAGATATAGATTTCATAGAAAGAACTGTATGAAAAATGTTTTGATCCTGGGAAAAAGAAATTTAACTTTTTTATTCAACTTTCTCCGGCGTTATTCTGTGACGCAAACTTCGCCGAGGTGTTTCCTTAAACGGAATCCCATATAAAAAAATATAAATATAAGACTGATATTAATATTAAATATAACTAATTCTAAATAATAAAAGATTGAAAATTAATAATATTTGAAACAATAGAAGGAAACGAGAAAAACATTATTTACAACTTCCATAGCGTTTTATATTTTCTTCTAGTAGTTATCCCAATTGATTAGGAAGATTGCCGTTCAGGATTGCTTTCTACCCCTCAAATTATGTAATTGTATATTGTTATTTGTTATTAAATGGGTTTTTTTACAAATAGTTTTTCAACTTGTTTTTTTGAGTTTATGGAAATGTTATTCATTGTATTCTAATTACTTGTTGCTGTAAGTAAAGGGTACAGTGTTAAAAAAAGCGGTTGGATGCAGTAGCGATTTAGTATGTTGTTTTAGATATTTCATATTATTCAGATAAGTTGTTAATTTATTTCAGATAATAGAATATAATTATAAATATATAATAAAAAAATAAAACAGCGATAATATTAATGTGGTTTTATATGATTGGTTAACTAATTAGCAAAATAAAATAATCTAACAAATAAGAAAGGAAACATCATATCGAAATCAATATGTATAAATATATATTATTAATTTTCCAGTTGAATTATCAAATAAATTAAGAATTCAATCACAGAAAACATATTAAGTTGGAAAAAAAATGATTTAGTTACATTTACAAGACCATATATTAAACTCTAAATTGAGAAAACTATTAAATAAAATGAGGATTAACTCGATTTAACAAAGTTTATTGTCCCATCACGTTTAAGAACCACTAAACAGTAAATACATGAAGTCCGGTGAAATGGAAGAGTCACCTCGTTTTTCCATATCTTTTTGGCAACTAAAGGACTTACTTTACACAAAAGAGGATATATTGTTTATACCTCTATAACAATTACTATTCTACTATTATCTGCCTCTTTTGTCAATAAAACAAACATAAACATCCTTTAACGCGTGGGGTTCTTTAATATCAATTGGGGAATTGATGTTCCAATTGAGCTGCTTAGAAATGTTTTTGATCCAGTGTGTTGGGCAAGTATTTAAAACAAGAGATTAAGTGGGTCATTGTTTTCTGTTTATGGTTCAGTTTGGTTTCTTTCCCAAAAAAAACATGGGAAATAACAATGGAGGGTGGAAATCGACGTCCACAAACTTAATTGTAGAATATTTTCCAAATAGTTATGAGTTGTTATTGAAAGTTAGATATTCCTACCTTTTAACAAAACATAGTAATCTATGGGACCAATGAATTATAGTTGAAATAATAGAAGGGTGCTGAACTCATTGGAGGCCCTTCTATTAAAAGGCGTTATGTTAGATAATTCAAAAAAGAAAATGTTGTGTCGCTACCATCTAAGTAAAGTGACAGGATAAATATAGGCATTCCAATTCAAAACAAGTCACGATTTGTTTTTTGCATTTCACTTACATAATATTATTACGTACAACATATCGTAATAATATGTAATATATAAGCAATCCTACGATTTTCTGTTAGGTTATACCACGCATAAGAAGAAACCTGCATATCATCTAACAGATTACGAAATAAATTCGTTCAATAACTCCATTCCTTTCTCTCAAGTTATTGTAAATACAAAAAAAAGTCTAATTGGTAAAAATCAATCTTACAGAACGATTTGGAAGGGGTTGTAATCAAAATACCTAATTTTATTTAAGACTTTTATTTTATGGTTATTCTCCTCTTCTTCTTATTCTTCTTCTAAAGAGCGTTATTTTTCAGAATAAACTTTTTAAAGCCGTCTGCGGTTGCTTTTGTTTGCCCTCCGCTATTATAGGATCATATGATTTATTGTTGTTAGCTAAACTCAAACGATTTCAGAGAAATTCCGTAGTACTGAGAGCATGTGAATAATAATAAAAATAGGAATTACGAACTTCCACGGATCATTCATTTAGGGAATGGAAGTTGGTGACCAGACACAGGATTTACTTTTTAATGATATTCAAAGTGATATAAAGAAGATAAGTTATAGTAATAAAAGTGGTTAGTTAATAGTAATGTAAAATGAATAGCTTTCCAAATAATAATCAGATTCAATTCATAAATGAGGTATTGAATTTACAATTATTGTCGTTTGGATTTTTTTAAAGGATCTGATATACAGCAATTTTTCATAATTGTCTATTTCATTGTCATACACTAGATAATCACTGAAAATCAAACTTGTAACATAGCTTCTGAGTAAATAAGAATTATAATTACAATCAATTATTTACTTACAAAAGGAGTAGATATCACTATATATGTATATTTCTTCCGAGTATTATAATAGCAATTATTATCTTGATATTAAGTATTGTAATACATTCGTACGAATGTATATATTATAAATAAATGTAAGCATAAATATTACAAAACATTTTGAGGTACTGCTGTTTTATTTGTGTTGTGATTTTTGTTTAATAACTGCGATAACCATTGTCCCATGTCGGAAGAATTGTCATAAGATTTTGCCAAGCTTTCGTTTAAATTGGTGAAATCATTTTAAAAATTAAGATAGAGAAAGAAAAGTGGAAATTTAAATGCAAAATGATGGAATATGTTTATTAAATTTAATTATAAAAAAAAAATTGTATAAGTAAATATATGATCTGTATAAGATTTTAGAATGTTATTTTTATTTTTGTTTCTTTTGACGTATAATTATTAAAGAGTTTTTCCAATTCTTTTCAATAACTTATATATCTAAAAATGTATGCGAAGAAGAGGATGAAGAGGAAGAAGAGTAAAGTCGTGATATAATGATTGAATCATTTCACTATTTATAATTTGTAATTTGTTGTGTGTGTATGTGTGTTTTAACGGATTTCAACTTTCTCTAGAAGACCACTATCTAGATTATAAAGTAATCCATGAATTCTTAAACCACCGTCTTGCATAGCCTTCTTAATGAAATCTTTCTCACCGATTTTTTGAGCTTGTTTTCTTACGTTTCTATAAGCTAATAATTTAGCTTGTTTAGTAATACTAATATCTTTATGTAGAGAAGGACCATCAAAGTCATCACGAAGATCTTCAATATCTTGTAAGTAACTGTATAAATGAGAACAACTTGAATCCTTTAGTCCGTTTCTTCTGTTTAATAGACATGTATTAATACCACCACAATCAGTATGACCACAAATGACAATTTGTTTAACGTTCAATACATTCACAGCATATTCTAAGGCAGATTGTGCAGACAAATCATTTTCAAGGACGATATTAGCAATGGTTTTAAATGTGAAGACCTCTCCAGTGGCATAACCTAGACAACTTTCGTTGTAACGAGCGTCAGAACAACCAAAAAATAAAGTATGAGGTGTATGGTTTGTAGTGGCGAATGGTGTAAACATAGCAGGATTGTTAGTTTTCATTGAGTCTGCCCATTCTTTATTGGCTACCAATAGGTTGGTAGAAGAGTAAGATGGTTCAATTGTAGTTAAAATATCGGTACCCATTGTGTATATGTGTTTGTAAGTGTTTGTATAAGTTTTGATTATATATATATATAGTATATAATAATAATAATAATAATAATAAATGATAGGGAATATTATTAAAATAAATAAAATTGGAAATAATGAAATGTCAAGGTATTTATAATTTCAGAATGAAATTAAAAAAGGATAAAAAAAGGCATGAGGTATCTCCTTTAAGGAGTCATCGGAAGCACGTAAGAAAGAAAAAGAGCCTTCCTCCTCATACTTAATTGTAATACAAATTGTATATCTATGTCATCATCAATATCATCACTATTACTAAGGTTGATACAATCGTTAAAGTTTTTTTTTTAGTCATTATGAAAATATATATGTACATTTCAATACTTATTAACGGGCGGAACGAAAGAAAAAGAGGAGTAGGACAAATATCACCGAAGTAATAAAGAGAGGGTCTTTCTCTCGCTCTCTTTGTGATGTTAATCGATTTAAGCATAATAAATAAGAAAAGACAAGAACAAATGCAAATGCAAAATGAACGCCTCATCTCGTCATCATTATCCTCATCATCTCATAATGGAAGTAGTAAATCTTCCGTTTTTCTTGGGCCAACGCAACATCTCTCAGCCAACATTCCTCAAATATTTTTAGGGGCAGAACAACCGAAAAAACATTCAATAATTCAGTTTTTGGCGGAAGGAAATAGGGAGGAGAGAATAAAAAAAATTATAATGCTAACGTTAGTGACATAACTATTAACGAAAGAAAAGAAAATTGGTTGGGTGGTTGTTACGTATTCCTGACATCATCGGTAAAGTTTTAATTTTCTTTTTTAACCCACGCTTCCTTTATTTTCAAAACTCAACGGAATGTTCGTTCGTTCGTTGTATTTTTGCGTTTTTTGCTTTGTGTGGGTTAACATATTTAGTGGGGGGAGGAGGAGTAAATTTCAAATGAGGAGTGGAAAAACATAATATTGGAAAAATTGGTTACGTCAATATGATGTATGTATGTATGTTGAAGATACCAACAGCCTGGATATGTTTGAGAAGAGAGATGCGGAGGTTTCTTTCACTCTGCGGAAAATACATTATCAGATAAATCCATTATGATATCACCACGAGGCGGCGAGGTAATGCATGTTGTGATGGTTTATTATTTTTGATGTGGATCACAGAAGAAACAACTAAGTAATATATATTTTTTACATTTTAAATTAAATTACCTTAATTCCTCTTGCTGGACGTTATCTGTCTTCTTTACCTTTTGGTACATAGAAAAGTGATCTTATAGTGCTATCATTAGAAGATCATGAATATATATTTGTATTTATGTATATATTTATGAGAGACAGTCAGCTATAATGGTGTTCCAGTTACGATACTATCAATATTCTTTTTAAAGTTAAAATTAAAATTAACTATTTTAGTCGAGAAATAAGTTGTGATGATGTGAGTGTACAATTAAAAAATTAAAACGTAACAAATGTTCTTAACTGAATTTCTCATATTCTTTTAACGGAATTATAATTTCTTTTGTTTGACTTATTTATTATATATAATGCTAATAATTTAGTAGGCATGACGTAGGATATTAAGTACCGATCTTCTTATATATATATATATATGACAGATTAGTGATGATATTTAAGAATATGCTCTAACTTGTATCTTACTAGATCTAATGAATGTATGTATGTGTCTTTATTTATATTTGTCAAGAAATGAATATTATTGTTGTTATTATTATTAACAAAAGAAAAAATTAGAAGGATTGACGATATATTTGGAGATTGTAATATAATTGTTCAATAAATGCACTACTATATTATCATTTAGAATGGAACATTTAAACCGACTCTATTTGCTGTAGCTTTCACTTTTTCTCTTTGAGTATATTTATGACTTAAATCATATAATTCCATTAATTCATCATATTCACGTTGATTATTTAAAAAATTAGTAGCATCTTTCCATGATTCAATTAAACGATTTGGGTTTTCAATAGTATTATTATCACGATTAAATTCTATTAGTTCAGTTTCAAATAATTGTTTGAAAGGAGAACTATCCTTAAGATATAATAATGATTTATCTTTATTTATATCATGATTTTTTAATAATTTCATTCTTTGATTTAATTGATTTAATTGTACTACTAAATCTTTTTGATCATTTGTATTAATATTTTTCAATTGTTGTTTTCTTATAATTTGCATCTTGTCATATGTTATTAATGATATTTGACGTTTATTATCAAACTTTAATTGTGCTAATCTACCACGACGTTCATATTTAACTAATGCTTTGAGTAATTGTTTATAAGTAGATAATAATTCTATCTTCGACATTTTTTTATAATAATCTACGATTTTAGATTCAGTTTGTTGTATTCGTATTTTATAGGGGTATTTCTTATGTTTTTGTTTTGTCGTCCTTCTTTTTTCTTCAATTATATATATATACACATTTAAAGATGTATATCAAGAAAATTATCACTAATGTAACAACATTTTCAAGAAATTTCAAAATTATTTGCCACGTGATTTTGTGGCACGTGACTGTTTAAACCCTAACTTTATAACTTTCTCATACCCTAATCTAAACATGTTGTTGTTTATAATATATAAATATGAACGTTTTTTGTGTCAATTTCAAAATATTTCACTCTTTCTTCTTATATTGCGTAGTATATAATAAATATACAATTTGTATTGCCTTTCCCGAATTCTCGGTCAATTCGTGACGGTGTATAAATACGTGGATCAAACAAAATCAAAATGAATAGTTCGATTTCTGTTAATATTAATGGCCGATTCTTCGGATGAAAACCAACCAATAAGCGTGCAACGCGGTAATTAGTTTTTCTAATTACTTGATGAAATAACAATTAATATCAGCGTGCACGCATTTCAGTTTTCTTTCTGTCGAATAAGATTCAAGGAATTATTAGTATGTGGAGGAGGAAGGGGGCAAGCCGATTCTTACTATGAGAATACAATACCTGCTAATACTAGTAATAGCAATAGTAATAGTAAATGAGTAGAGTGGCAACCCCTCTTTTCTATAGTAGTTTACAAGTACACGCGTGTGTACTTTCAAGTTAGTTTTGCAACTTTGATTGATTTCATACAGTCAGGATTCATCCAATTATTATCGTCTTTGGTATTATTTACTATTTTCTTCGTATGCTTTCTTTGTCTTTTTATTTTGTAGAGAAGTGAAAGAGGGAATACTCAAAGGACAAATGAAATGGATGCGATGATTACGATGGGAAAGGTTCGCTCTATTTCATTTTACTTGACTGTAAAATTGCGTTATTCTTTATTTCTTTTCTTACTTTAATAATAATAATAATATATATATATACACTCATTTTTCTCGATTTATATTAATTTCTCCCCATCACTAAAAAGAACTTCATCTTTATACTTATTTTATTTAAATTTTTGATTTTACATTAAAATTAACGCTACCTATATATATCTACATTACATCACATTACATCAAACAAACAAAATGTTAAAGAGCGTTATTTCAAAGAGAACATTAGCTACTGCAGCTCAAACCATAGTGCCAAAGGAATATGGTGGTCGTTTCACCGTAACTTTAATTCCAGGTGATGGTGTTGGTAAAGAAATTACCAACTCCGTTATCTCTATATTTGAATCCGAAAGAATTCCAATCGATTGGGAAACTGTAGATATCTCTGGGAATGATGAAGCTGATAAAGTTAATGCAGCTGTGGAATCTTTAAAAAGAAATAAGATTGGTTTGAAAGGTATTCTACATACTAATGCTGCTGATCAAGCAGGTCATGGTTCCTTCAATGTTGCATTAAGAAAAAAATTAGATATTTATGCTAATGTGGCTCATTTTAAATCATTAGAAGGTGTAAAGACTAGAATACCCAATGTTGATCTAGTCGTCATTAGAGAAAATACCGAAGGTGAATTTTCTGGTTTAGAACATGAATCTGTCGAAGGTGTAGTTGAATCTTTGAAAATTGTTACAAAACCAAAGACTGAAAGAATTGCTAGATTTGCATTTGATTATGCTAAGAAAAATAACAGAAAACATGTTACTGCCATTCATAAAGCTAACATTATGAAATTAGGTGATGGTCTGTTCAGAAATATCGTCACTGAAATCGGTGCCAATGAATATAAGGACATAGAAACTTCCGCAATGATTGTTGATAATGCATCCATGCAATGTGTTGCCAAACCGCATCAATTCGATGTCATGGTCACTCCATCCATGTACGGTACTATCCTAGGTAACATTGGTGCTGGTTTGATTGGTGGTCCAGGTTTAGTTGCGGGTGCTAACTTTGGTAGAGAATACGCTGTCTTTGAACCAGGTTCCAGACATGTTGGTTTGGATATTCAAGGCCAAAATGTAGCAAATCCAACTGCTATGATTTTGTCAGCCACTTTGATGTTGAACCATTTAGGTTTGAACGATAAGGCCAGTAAGATATCTGATGCCGTTCATAAAGTTATTGCTGAAGGTAAGACTACCACAAGAGATATTGGTGGTTCTGCATCAACCACTGAATTTACACAAGCTGTCATTGACAAACTAGCTACTCTATAAACAACAACAACAAAAATAACAATAGAATAGGTCAAACATACACATAAAAAAGAAAAAATGTAAATTATATACATATATAATATATTGATATAAAATAATACAATACAGTCTCATACATATTTCGTTGTAACACCTTTTAATATTCCTATAATTATGTATATATATCGATACATCGTCTTGATTTACCTTTATTACGTATTCCCTTCTTCCTCTTTCTTCTTGTTCTTTTTATGCGGGTTTCGGGGTCAAAATATATAAATATTACTATAATAAGCTAAATGAATGAATCTAAAATTTATAAATTATCCACTTTTTTCAATAAAGACCAAATTAACCATATGGCGGTGTACAGTTTCTGAAATCGTATAAATTAAGGATCTTTGCAACAATCATATAACAATGGATCATCCAGACTCTTACAATGGTAAGTCTGGGTTTAAATATTTTTCATCCTTTATGTCCCTAAACGAGTCATCATTCACTATCCCATATTCTTTATTGAATGCCAACTTAAAACAACATGAGATATTTGTTGAACAAGAAACAAACAAAATGAAGCTCATGTTAAAAGATATTAATGATATGATGATTTCGGGTACCATCGATGGTGAAGAGCAGGCCCTCGTGGAATTAAATGCGTTGATTAAAAATGTTAATACTTTTGAAAAAGAGCTCCATATAAAAGTAGACAAAGAGGGGCAGCTACTAAAGCGAATTAAACATAGAACTGCCTTTTATAATGAAATGAATAACAATTATTTAAAAGGTGATAATATTAGTATTATTGACTGGTATCAGAAATATACAAATTTATTAATAGCAGATTACCTGATACGAAATTGCACATTGGAACAACAACAACGAGTTGTTGAAGAAACACATGACAAAGATACATGTAATCCTGGTGTTCTGTTTTTGAAACAGCAACACATGGAAGATTTGCTTGATACAGATATATTGATAAGAGCTAATACTATAAGCACAGCTCTAACAGGCGAACATGATTTAAACCCCCTAATGGAATGGATACAGCATAATAAACAAATGTTAGCAAAGAAAAGATCTCCTTTGGAGTTTAAGGCAAATTTTCAACGCTACATTGAATTATTATTAAGGTTTGATCTTGGAGGAGCCATTCACTGTTTACAAACATGTCTATTTACATATATCGGAGATCATTTTGACGAGGTGACTGGTGCCTGTGGATTGCTGGTATATATGGAAAGATGTGTTGAACAAGTAACATACAACGAAAAAATATTGCAAGATGAAGGTGAAACCTGTGATATACATTATAATGAACATAAATCTGGAACTGTATTCTCTAATCAAGATGTTGCTTATCGATATTTTTTTAATCGTTCTCCACCAATGGATTATTCGCAAAGTATAAATTCAAAAAATCCTATCAACGCAGCTAACGTTCAACATATATTTAATGCCAAAAATCTTGAGAAATACACTACTCTGTTGGATCAGAACAGTTGGTTGAAATTAAATGAGTTATTCTTGGATGAATATTATTCAATGTATAAAATTCCAAAGAATGATCCTTTGTTGATCTATATTTCAATGGGTATATCTGCAATGAAGACCAAGGAATGTTTGCATAATCATCCTTCAATCGACCCTCGTTATAATGTTCTTGAACATTATTCAACAGCTGATAAATTAGAGAATCAATGTCCTGTATGTTCGGAATATTTTGCACCTCTATCTGAGAAGCTACCATATGCACATCATACTGAATCGAAACTTTTCGAGAATCCTGTAATGTTACCAAGTGGGAACGTTTTTGATTCAGCTATATTGAAACTATTGGCAAAAACACTTCGTAAGAAAGGTATTGTGAAACTGAATCGCAACGAAGTTATTGATCCTATTAAGAAAATTGTTTATAATGAGTCAGACTTCATCACTATGTACCCCACATAGATCACACAGGTGCATACGTATATATTTTTCTATATGTTAAAGATACTTTTTTTTTTTGGGGTGATGCATAGTTATATTATATTGATAGAGTAAATAGTTTGGTCATATATATTATATATTTTGTTCTTCATCATTTTCCTGGTTTTTCTTATTTTGCCTGTAATTTCTCTTTCTTTCGAAATTTTTAAAGATATAAGTTCTAGCTTCTCTCTCGTGGGCAGGCTTTGTAGTGTTTTGTTCACTATTAGTTCTCTTGTGATGATACTCTGGATAATTTTCCCATATAAATTTACTAGACTTATCTAGCATTAATCTATTGTCCTTGGCTAGTGTCTTAATTTGCCATGAATCATAAGGCTCACCAGCGAATACAGTCAATAAGATCTTTCCATAACCTTCTGGTGATATACCATCTGGATTGGAATTCTTACTTGTCTTCTCTAAATCATAACCCTGAGTATGTTTATTTTTAGTACCTTTAATATGAGAGTTAACTAAAGAAAATAATTGTTTACTACTATCAAAATAACCAAACACTAATTCTTGATGATCTCTTATATTTCTATCTTGATCCTTAATACCTTTCCCAGTATGTGGGAAATTGAACATGATATTATTTAAATACTTATGTCTCCATTCGGGACCCATGATCTTTGACCATGGTGTATGTTTTGATATTTTCATAGATCGTACTAATTTAGTGGCATCAGTTTGAAATAATATCTTTACACCTTCTTGAACCAAAAAATCATAATTACTTTGGAAGGTGTTAGGGTATTTCAGATTCAACTCAGTAATAGATGCATCGTAACTTGTTGCAATTAAGTTTTCTGGTTTTATATAGCTTTGTTCAATAATAGATTTTGCAAATGAGAAATCACCTTCACCTATCAATAACAAAGTTTCATCAGATGAAAATGGGATCACAGAAGCCTCACGTTGTTTCTGCACAGCAGCTTGTCTCATAGTCTTCTTGGATACATGTGCCTTTTGTCTGTCAGCATTCAATTGTTTCTTTTTTTGTTGTTGAATCAGATTATCTTGCAGCTTGTGCTGAGCCAAAGCAGCTTTCAACCCTTTTGAGCCGGATTTCCCTTTCAATTTTCTTGCCATAATGTAATACTACTATGAGGATGTTCAAGTGGTAAGTTAATCTTATATGGTTAAAAGAATGGAATTATATACGAACGTCAATATGTCGTTATATTCAAATTATCCCAATAAGATATATTCTTAGTTCTCAAGTAATCCTCCCATAAACGTAGAGAAAATTTTCTTGTATTTTTTTTTTCAGTGCCGATGAGATGAGATGAGATGAGCTCTCGGCTTGAAAATATCCCGTTCCTAATTTAGGTTTTTGCAAAGAGACCAGTCAGACAATACGTTCGACATTCCAGCTTTTATAATAACCACTATAAAGGATAGTTTCAGCAACTGATAAGTATCTTATTCGTTAATCCAGATAGTTTTAAAGTAACCCCCTTAATAGATTGATTTATGACCAATCTAAACATGTTTGTGTCTTGGCTCGTGAGATACAATGCGGCTGCTCAACCACGAATCCGCTTATAATAATCTATAAGGGAGGGCAGGCTTGCGTTTCTTACCCAAACCACCCTTCTAACCACAGCCAGAGCATATCCAAACAAGTATCCGTTCCTGATATATCTATCTTTGCCTGATCCTATATATTTCTTGGCTTTTAAAAGATGACAGTTGACTGTATGTATATGTATGTATGTACCACTGTGGGTGGACCCACCACGTTTAATGCCCTCTTTGTCCGCATGGAAGCAGATCACGTCTGTGTGCGCTCTGTCTATCTGTCTCTGTCTATCTGTCTCTCACTACAATAGTGTGTGAACGTTAATTAGATTAAGTGTGGATTTTAGCCTGGCGAAAGGAGCGAAAAAAAAGATAAACAAAAGTCGCGGTGAGAGACCCATAACGGAAATTAAAAATAAATAATAGACAAGAAATCTGACAACAAGAGGGCAAAAAACAACAGTAAGAAATGTAGGAACTTTTTCTATCAGAACAAAAGAAAGAATATAATACTCATACATGGCTAAATAGTAACAAAGTTATTATCGTCAGAGTGTTTAGAAGAGAAGAACATTAGCAAGAGTTTTCTTCTTTAGATTATTATTATTATTATTTCTTTCTTTTGAGAGGTTAAATACCCCCATTGAATAAATTAATAATATTATCGTAACGATACAGATAAGGTGAACTGGATTAGATCATTATAGAGTTCTTCTTAATTTTTTTGTGTAAGGAGGTTAGGATTATAGTTAAACTACAGAAAGTGAAAGAGAGAGATATTCTATGAGTGGATCTATACCTGCTGGGAATTTACCAGAACCTAGTGGGACTATTCTAATAGCCACTAAGGCTTATTCACGCCGTATGGATGATGAAATTACAATACAACCAGGTAACAAGATAGAGGTCATTACAAATGATGAGGAGTTTAATGATGGTTGGTATGTAGGCCGTAATTTAGAGACGGGACTAGAGGGTCTGTTTCCTAGATTATTTACTGAACAGCATATTAAACCAATAACAACAAATGATCATATTCCTGAACGTCAAGAACGGATCGTCTCTGTGAAAAATACTATGAAAGATATAGATAATGCCTTAGCGGCATTAAGAAATAGTTCACTAGATATGTTATCTGCCGAACAGATCACTTCACATAGTACTTCGGATTTACACAGCTACGATATGGAAGATAATGATAGTACATCACTATATACACCTGGCCTACAGATTGATGAACAGGATATTTCGTTACCTTTGAAGATACCTTCTACACTTGATGGTAATACGGAAGATGTCGTTCATTGGACTCCCGGACAAGTATCCGAATATTTCCATTCTAAAGGATTTGAACCACAAGTGGCCTCAAAATTTGAAATTCATGGTATTAGTGGGAAAAAATTGTTGGAATTACAATTATCACACCTGAAGAAAATAGAGATAGATTCCTTTGGTGCAAGATTCGAAGTGTTTAAAGTGATAGATGCATTGAGATCGCCAATGATAAGACCAATAACACCAGGTAATCATCCAATACCTACTGATGGCCTCGCTATAAGTTCAGAGAAAGCCATTTTTGAATCACCAGGAAGAGCACCTATTCCACCTTCGTATCGAAGTCCCGTGCAACCTCTTGTGTCGCCTTCCCTTAACAATAATAACAGAAACTCCATAATAGCATCATCTCCTACATTAAGACATCCATCACAGGATTACTTCAAATATCCGCCCATCTCAGAAGAAGGTAATGGTTCCAACAAGATTAGTGGTAGCGCATACAATTTTCCTAGAACGGGATCGCCGGCTTTGTCGCCACAACATACGAGATCACGTTCGATATCTTCGGCATCCTTTAATAGTACTGGTAATGGCGCTACCGTGGTCAGCAGCCGTGATGTCTCGTCGTATGTCAGTAAGTCGAAATCGACAACTGGTACTGCCGCCGGCAATGATAAGATAAAAAATAGTATGCTACGTCAAAACCAGCATAGAAAGACGGCCTCTGGAGGTTCATTTGTTGAATTGTTTAATAGAATTTCCATGTTATCTACAAACGATGAAGAACTTGAAGAGGATAATACATTGACAAATATGTATAATGACTCAGCTCATTCCACGAGACCATCATCCGCCATATATCATTCGTCTCATTCCAGAAATGTTTCAGAGACCAAGTACCATCATCATAGTACAAGTACAAGCAAGTACCATCCAAGGACCCCATCTACATCTAATTTGATGAATGATCATTCAAGATCACCTTCGAAAAGTAATACAAATATGTTGACTACTGGTGTACATTCTCGTACTCCATCTGGTGTTAATAATCACGTATCAATACATTCTAGAACACCCTCCGGTGTAAATTACAAGGACTCTCATTTAAGGACTCCCTCTGGAGTTAATAATACTAGTAGTAATGGTGATAGTAATCAAAGACACAATCATATGCGGACCCCTTCAGGACCCGCAATCGATGGTCGTCACTCAAGATCTGCATCCGGTGTTAAGTCGCATATTAGACGTGTCTCTGTAGGTACCTCCGAACTTAAGAAGAGCAGAAGGTCATCTGTATTATCCTTTTTATCTCCGAGTAAAAAAGATAATGATACAAATCTCACAAAATTCGAAACTTATTCAAATAACAGGGAGAGTATTCCAAACGATAATAGGAGAGCTTCTCACTCAAGAAAGAGCTCGACTGCAATTAATTCTGTAAGGCATCAAAGTTTAAGCAATGATGCAGCCAATACTACAAGCGGAACTATAACATCAACTGCCAGTAAACCTAACGCACCTCTCCAGAAAAAGGTTACAGGTGAGAATGTCAAATCTAAGGGGATGTTTACCTTGCAACCATCCGCCAAGAAACAAACATCAGCATTCCAAGAAGGTATTCGTACTATATCTGTGGATAAAGCAATTAAAAATGCTGATTGTGCAGGTTGGATGAGTAAAAAGGGTAGTGGTAAGATGGGTGTGTGGAAGACTAGATTTTTCACATTACATCATAACAGGCTTTCTTATTTCTCCAATACTGCAAAAGGGAAGGAGAAAGGTTTAATCGACATCACTGGGCATAAGGTTGTCCCCATCCAAGATGATGATACTTTAATATCTTTATATGCAGCAAGTATTGGCCGTGGTAAATATTTTTTCAAACTTGTTCCACCCCAACCTGGGTTTAAGAAAGGTTTAACATTTACACAACCACGAGTTCATTACTTTGCTGTTGATTCCAAAGATGAGATGAGGCAATGGGTGGCTGCGCTGATAAAGGCCAATATTGAAGTTGATGACTCCACACCCATTATATGTTCCTATAATATGCCTACTGTATCGCTGAGTAAGGCTCAGGATATGTTGAAAGATGCAAAAGAAGAGATGAAGCAAAGAGACAGAGATCTTGCACTTCATGAAGCAGATGAAGACGAAGTGATGTGGGAAGAACAAAATAAAAGGAATCAAATGCAAGCTGCTGGGTTCATCTGATTTTATTGCTAAAAAAAAACACTTGTGTTTTTTGTATATCAAAAGTAATATGAAACTATTTGATGTACTTTACACTCATAGTATACCAATCTATTGATATAAGGACTAAATAATAATACTTAATTTCTAATCTGTTTAATAATAAATAAACAATACTCATATACTTCGAAGGTAAGTTTTGGATTTTTTAATATTTGTGATGAAATATTAAATTTTAGTTGGTCCAGCAAAAAATTGAAACTGTTATAATATCCCAAATAATGTAAACAAAATTTAAGAAGAATGGAAGAAGGTTGTAATAACGTCTTAAATTTGTAGTTTGAATTATAAACCTTTACAAATATATTATATATGTCTAAATAAATGTTCTTCATAATGCTTTATTCCTGCATATGACAACTCTCGAGAGCTTCTATCACGAATTGGTTTCCCTTAGGGTCCAAATGAAGCGCAATTGTATACTCCTTAATAGCATCTTTTTTCCTTCCCAATGCTTGTAAAATTTTACCTAACATAAAGTGTAAATTTGGGTTTTCTGAATCTAATCTAATTAAATCTTCGAATTGACCTAATGCTACACTGTATCTATTCATTGAAAATAATAATTCTGCACGTCTATACTTGGCCAAGACCGATCTCGGATCTAATTTACATGCAATTTCATAATATTTTAAGGCCATCTCATTATGAAATAATTTTTCTAATTCTGTACCACAACAACATATCAATACAACATTCACAGGATTAATCATCCTTGCTTTTTCAAAATACAGCAAAGCTTCTTCGAATTTACCTAACTGTGACGCACAACTTCCTAGTCCATAATAAGCATTATAATGTTGAGGATCACAAGCTAACGCTTTCCTATAGAACGTTTTTGCAACATCAAAAAGTTCATTATTAGCATGCTCATGACCTAATAGTGTATATGCGTATGCAAAGGAGGGATCCAATTGTGTTGCTTTTTCCAATGCTTTAATTGCTTGGTCATGATCCTTTTGAAGGGAAAAATAATTACCCAATATACACCAAGTCTGAGGCGAATTTGGATAAGCATCTAAAAGTTCAGATGATAAATTAGATAAGTTCACTTTATCATCTAAATGCCACAATAAAGTTGAAAATATTTCTAAATCCTTTAATCTTGTATTTTGAAGACGTCTTAAATTAGTGAAATATGTTAATGACATGTCATAATTGACAATTTCGAAATGCAATCTCCCCAATCGGGCCTGACACCAAGGCATATTATTTAAAATGTGCGAAGGTAATTGGGAATTCATCACTCTAATAGCGTTGTAAGAATTATATTGAGATGATGCCTTTAATACTTTAGCCAAAGTATAAATTAAAGCTTTAAATTCTTTACATTCTATGATGACGTCGGATTCGTCTCCATATTTCCCTTTATTATTTGTGTTCCCTACATTAGAAACATTAAAATTTATAGTATTGCTACTACCCATAGCTTGTCCCGATAACACCCTCTTTGCAGTCGTAGCAATACCTTGAGAACTAAACCCTGTCTTGTTTCTAGGTGTCTTAAACGTTGTCCTTTGTGTTTCGTTACCCAATTTAGCAGGAGGTGTAGTCAAGATTTTGTTTTTAATTATAGACGGAATTGTTCCTAGACTGATACCATCATCATTATTGTGATTGTTCCTATTGGTCGATATCATTGTACGTGGTTCTAATGTACCATTGTTATTATTTATGACATCTCCGTTTCTTCTTGTTGATCTTGTATATACTTGCTGTTGATGCTGAGGTGTTATAGAACCATTAGCAGAGAACAAAGGGTTTACTTGTTGCTGATGATGCATTGATAAGATAGGTTGACGATTCATAGAATAACTCGTTTTCCTCAGAGAATTAGAATTAACATCATGTGACGACGACGACGACGACGACGAATCAATTATATTATCTTTATTAGTCTTAGACTTATTACTATTAGATCTAAATGGAGACAATGTACTATACAATAATGATCTAGTATCATAACCTCTAGTCTTATCTTCATTTGAATGTTTAACATTACTATTACTTGCAACCACAGTAGCATTAGTTGCATTAGTAGCATTAGTAGTAATAACTCCATTATTCACTTGTTTAACCATATCTGTTCTTAATGGACCTGATCTCTTTTCTACAAAAGGGTCAACTGTTGCTGATACAGAACTTGTATATGGATCGGAATGCATATTAAATAATTTCTTTAAATCAATCATTGCTTTCATATTATTTAAGGCTACTAAAGCTTGCCATAAATACGGATCTTTCTTAATTGCCTCCAAATAATGATTAACACTCGATTTTATATTATCTGTACGACGATATAATTCTCCAATCAATGAATGTATAGTTGCTAAATTTGGCATAAAGATGAAAATATCTTTATCTTTACTTTCATTTTTAATAAATGAATCTAAATGTATAACTAGATACAAACATGCATTTTCTTCATTTTTACCAAGTTTCAAGCAACAACGTGCAAAAAGATAAGCGATAGCAATATGTGTACTCTTATATCTTTCAGAGACTTCTGCTGCAATCTCATATTGTTGACCCATGAATAATGCTAATGAATAAAGATAGACAGATTGTAATCTATTTATAGATGATATTGGAAGACCTAAACATTCTGTATAATATAATTCTGAGTAAAAGATTGCCGTTTCAAAATTTAATTGCATTATAGCCGTAGTGATATAATTTGTTAAATTTAGTTGTAAATCTGGAGATGATCTATAATCTGGATCATAATAATTTGTATTATTATCATTAATATTGTGCAATCGATCGAATCTAGCAGTTTCTCTTAATAGTAATTCTGCAGTTCTATTATTTGAACCATCCAATAGATGTTGTTCAACTTCTGATGGAAATAACATTAAATATATTTCTTTAGCTCAGTTTACTAGTTGACCTTTACTGTTACCTTTATAACTATCTTTACAATTTAAAATTACCACAAATACAGATATTTTCTGTATTTTCTTTAATATTTTAGAATAAACAAAATAAAATCTTATTATTACAATCCTACTTTGACGTTGTGAACAATGCAATGATATAAAATAAAATGACGATGAACACACACACACAGAGGTTTAAACCTACCAATATAAAATATCAAACTCTGTGTAAACAATAATACGTTATAGTTTCAATCACGTACCTATCTCTGTTTCAGCCTACGGTAGAATAACCTCTTTGAGTTCCTTGTATTTTGTAATGTTTATATAACTTATAATATCAATATGTGAAATATTCACTAACAGTTCCAAATGAGGCAAATTCAAATTCCTTCCTCTTCTTAACAACCCATAAACAATACCGTTATTGTTGTCGCCGTCGCCGCACACAAAAATCGACAGCGCGTCTTTTTTTCTCTTCTGCCCGCGTCCACCGCCTATAAAGCGGAAACAAACAAAAAAGTATAATTTATTGAAACATAATACTATGTAATGTACTCTATAATCTATTTTATATTTATATACAAAGATATAAATATACTGGGGACTCTTCACCAGCACGTTATATGCATATCTGATTCAATATATGTAAATTTATGTTTCGCATCTCATATCAAATATCTTTTTCTAAAAGTATAAATGACCTGCTTGAGTATCGAACGCTGGTTCTAGTTTACACGTTTTTCTATCTTTTTCAAGAAAAACTAAATTTAATTAACGCGTCACTTTCCTAATCAGGATATAACACTCTCCCCTTTCCATAGAAACCCACTGAAAAAAAAAGTTGAAAAATTTTCGTTTTTCGTTTTTCTGTTTGGCCCCGGTTTGCTCACTGTTTAAACAGACGATTTGATGTTGAGTCGATTACTTTACTATGTTAGGCGTTAATTGCGGTTTCACAGTTTAGAGATAATGAGACCACGAGAGAGAGAGAGAGAAACAAGTTTATTGAATGATTTGGTAAATAACGTTATCAATCGTTCTTGACAGCTACAATTTTGGTTGATTCTTATTCTTGTACTTAGTAAGACTAAATTTTGATTGATTTGTACTTTTTATTTAATAAAGTGGAAAGAGTTTTCAGTGACTTGGAAAGTGAAAAGTTTGATTATTATTGCTATCACGATACACACATTGATTGAGAACCAACCAGAAAGAGCAAAGAGTTATTATCAATTGTCATCTCCAAAATTATATTTCACTACTGCTTCTTTTATGCTTTTTTAATTTTATTTCAAATCATACATATTCAATCAATTGCTTACAATATCAAACCTTTTTTTTCTTCCTTTCTTTTCCATATACAAACATATACTATTAGTAATCATGCCATACTCATCTATGTTGATGGATTCAACTAATGAAGATGGATCACACCAAATTAGTAATAACGAGCAAACAAATATGATGGTTCATAATCAAATACCTACAATAACGACAACAAATGCAGATGATATAAATAGTCATCATCAAAATAATAATAATACAATACAACAACAGCAACTGAATAATAATAATAATAATAATAATAATAATAATAACGTTGTACATCAGTTGCAACCCCCACATCCTAATATGAGAGGCCCTATTATCGAAATTGCTACTTATGCAGAGACGGATGTCTTTGAATGTTACGTACGTGGAGTAGAATCACATATTGTAATGAGAAAAGTTAAAGATGATTGGATCAATTTAACACAGATGTTTAAAATTGGGAATTTTTCTAAAAATCAAAGAACAAAAATCTTAGAGAAAGAATCAAGTAAAATCCAACATGAAAAGGTTCAAGGTGGTTATGGTAGATTCCAAGGTACTTGGGTACCTTTGGATGATGCAAGAGTGATAGTTGAAAAATATAATATTAATGACCCTGTTGTAAATACTATTGTTAATTTCATACCTGATCCAAATAATTTACCACCAAAGAGAACTAAAAACAGTATCTTAAGGAAAACGTCACCTGGTAAAAAAATTGCATCACCATCAAGTTATAAGACTACCCCAAAGAGAAAATCACAATATGAACCGAGCTCACAATTCTTAAGTAGTAATGGGGGTACAAATTCGACAAATAACAACACAACTTCATCGACTTATAAAAAATTGAAAAAACAAAATAAGAATCATAACCTTATTGGAACAAATCCAAGCCCTTTACAAAGTATTGCATTCCAAACTCCACAACAATCATATTTATCAGGACATTCTGCAAATACAATTAATGGAGGTAATTTCGCAAATACAGGGAACTCTGCATTGATGGGAACAAATTCATTTGGTGTGACTGTAAGTGGAAACTCCACAATATCTCACTTAAGTTCCAACGAAACCCCACAAACGAATGGATATTCAGCTTCTCAAAAACCGTTGCAATTTTATCCAGTTCCAACATCGTTACGTCAAAATAATAATACTAGCAATAATAGTAATTCGGAATACGATCCACAACCACAGAATTACCAAAATCATTCAGGGACCACTGGAAAAAAACTACACCAGACGTTCTTAACTTTTGTTCCAGATGGTCCTCATACAAATCCAGACAATAATGATTATAGCATGCAACAATATAAACATACACCAAACGATGGGAGTCAAATATCTAAATATGAGATGAGTAATGACAATAACCAAAATGATATTGAACAAACACAACATTTTCACAATGGAATGATGAATACGAATCCTGTGCCTCAACCACCGCCTTCTTTGAATGCAGAAGATTACAAAAATTTAATATTACAAACATTATCGTCTGAAGTAAATGCTAACGACGAATCATATTCATTACCTGTGGAACTTTTTTATCCACCTCCTAATTTCGATATTGATTTTTTAGTGGATGATCAAGGTCATACATCTTTACATTGGGCTGCTGCCATGGCAAATATTCCATTGATACAATTATTATTAAACTCCAATGCTAATGCTCTACAGTGTAACTCAAAGGGGTTTAATGCAGTAACAAAGGCATTATTCTACAATAATAATTATAAAAATAACTCATTTCATAATTTGTTATCAACATTAAAAATTTGTCTAATATCTCCCGATCAAAATGGCAGATTACCCTTGCATTATTTGATAGAGCTAAGTGTAAACAAATCAAAGGACCCTGCCATCATAAATTCTTATACAGAGACTTTATTACAAATTTTGAGTAATGAAAATTATTCTTTATTAGAAATGACACTTAATTGTCAAGATCGTATTGGTAACACTCCATTACATTTATCTGCGTTGAACTTAAACATATCATTGTTTAATAAACTGTGTCTATTGGGTGCATCAACGAGCATCTTAAACATTGATAAACATTCCCCCGTAGATATATTATCAAGCTTTAATCTAATAATCCCATCCCATCCTAAACCTAACAATAAATCTGACGTTCCTGAAGATGAACAACAAGAAGTCTTGAAATCACCTAATGTAAAAAAATCCAAAAAGAAAGCAGGAAAGAAAAAAGTTAATAACAATAAGAAACAACCTACAAAAAATGAAGGTTTTAGTCATGAAAACTTGCTGAACGCCTCTATGGTAGATTTAAAACCTCATTTGAACGAGGATCCAACTAGTTCTTCTTTGAACATGATAAGTGTGGAGGATATTTCTTCTGTAGATATTTTCGCAAACCCATCAATTCCTATATCGTCTACTATTACTAAAAATTATAACAAACAAAATATTCTAAGCCCACAAGGTGTTATGACTCCAAGCAAAATACCTAATATGAATTCTCCATTCCGAGTTGAGCACGAAGGTTCATTATCAAATGGTACTAATGAGGATATAACAAATAATAATGGTACTATTAAGAAGCATAATCAGCTTAAAAAATCAACATTTTTGGCGTCACCTCATTTTGCGTCTTTGAACGAGAATTCAAGACACTTTGCTAACCTTGTATCTGAGGATGCTATCTCACGTGAAACACAATCTAAACTAAATGAAATGGCCAATCTAACAGGGGTAAGAAAGATGGTCTATGATTTGAATAAGATGATAAACGTAATGACAAATAATATTGAAGAAAAGTTGGGTACTGTAGTTAACGATACAAATAGTGTAAAACAAGAATTAGAGGCTGTAAATGACAGATTTAACTCTATAAACCGCCAATCTAAAGAAATATATCTTTCAATGAATGTAGAAAGTAAAGATAAAGCAGAAAACATTCTTGAAGGACATGTTTCAAATAATAAACAATATCAAAATCAATTAGAAAAAGCCATGGAACGTAGCCAAGCCCTAAAGTTGGCTAAAATAATGCATGAGGAAGAGCAAGTAAAAGAAGAAGAAGAAGAAGAGGAAGAAAAAGAAAAAAAAGAGATAACTGCTTCTGGAGATGAACTGGAACAGTTGAAGTTGGCGACATTGTTATCTTTGTTACAATTACAACGTCAATCAAAGATGAACAAGATTCAAGAAGTGACAAATTCTTTATCCACAAGTAATAAGATTAGGAAATATGGAAAATTGATGGGTATGGGATTTGAAGATTTGGAAACTAAATTATATCAAATTGAAAGAGACCTTGAAATTGAGGTATAATCAATATGTACCTATCGAATTGATAGAAATTAAAACATTTTATATATTAACTTTTCTGTAAGCATATACCTTATTAGTAATAATAAAAACCAGTCATTTGCATTCATTTCATATATTCAGTGAGAAAAAGATATGCTACTCTTAAACTGAAGGAGGACCTTTCTATGATACCAACAACCTATTGTATATCATGTCCAATATCAGTGAATAATGATAGAAAGTGTGGTATGTTAATGATGTTTCGCTTTTAAACACATTCTAAAACTAACAGAGCCAAGAAAAAAAAGGTACGTAGTCAAAGGATCAGAAAGAAGGTCTAAGCAAAAAAACAACAGATAACCAATATATAGTAATTTAAAACAGAAGGGGAATATGCACCTAAAGAGAAACACATGAAAAACGCAAATTAGTATACATAGAAAGAATCGAATATTTGTGTTGTAATAACTTCCACATCACATCAGTTAGTTCTAAACGTTAATAAACAAAATAACAGAGATGGAAGAACCGCAAGACTCCAAAGCTGATATTCACCCAAACGTAGTAGACCAGAAGAATGATCCAAAGAACCAAGAATTTGTAAGACCACCATTAACATTAGGTAGTGATATCCTTCACGGAATAAAATATGCTCTTTTCAATCCGGAAGCGAATCTTATAGTGATGCCTATCTTGATGCTATTAGAGTCGATGGTATTGAAAGTAATCATAGGCAATGTATCATACACTGAAATTGATTACAAAGCGTATATGGAACAAATTGATATGATTAAAGAAGGTGAATTAAATTATGACAATATTAAAGGTGGTACTGGTCCTTTGGTGTACCCTGCTGGCCATGTCCTTTTATACAAAATGATGTATTGGGTTACTGATGGAATGAATCATATAGAAAGTGGCCAAACAGCTTACAGATTTTTCTATTTACTTACTTTATTCCATCAGTTTATGATTTATTATAAATTGAGTATTCCACCATGGTGTGTTGCTTTAGTTTGTTTATCCAAGAGAATACATTCAATTTATGTACTAAGATTATTTAATGATTGTTTTACTACATTTTTTGTGATTTGTTCTTTCTTAGGGTTAATACGTGGTGGTACTTTAAAATCCAAATGGTTAAAGATAGGTGTCTGCACTTTAGTTTCAGTAGTTTACAGTTTTGCTGTTAGTATTAAGATGAATGCTTTATTATTTTTCCCAGGGGTTGCTGTTGGGATATATTATATTTGCGATGGTACTTTATTCTTATGCCTATATTCATTAATGTTAATGATTGGCTTACAAATAGTTGTTGGTTATCAATTTTTACAAGCTTTCTCATGGCAGTATTTAAACGGTGCTTTTAATTTTAGAAGACAATTCATGTACGAATGGAGCATTAATTGGCAATTTATCGGTGAAGAAGGATTCTTAAGTTCTTCATTTCAAAGAAGTTTACTTGTATCCCAAGTAATTATGTTATTATTTGTCTTTATTAGTAAATATCCACGTCTGATTAAACAAATTGCATTATCGATTATTCATCCTTTCTCTTCTACTGTTCATTTATCTACTAAGACATATTCTGAATTGATCCCATATCTTTTTATCATGAGTAATTTCATAGGTATAATATTTTCAAGATCATTACACTATCAATTCTTAACATGGTACCATTGGACTTTACCAATCTTAATTAGTTGGTCTGGATTACCAATCTATTTAGGTTCGATATGGTATATTGCACATGAATATTGTTGGAATTCATTCCCACCCAACCCAACTGCTAGTATCGCCTTAGTATCATTGAATGCTTTCTTATTAATCGTAGTATTGATAAGAAAGGGATGTCCTGTTAAAGAGCTAGAAGAAGAAGCAAGTTTACAAGAGAAGAAAAACCAATAGAGGATCTAGACAAGTTCTATTAAATTTCAATATATACATACATATTTACGTAAAACTAAGAGTTATATTATTTCCGAATTATAAACTTTAGTTTCATATAACCAAGTGTATATACTAGGTTCCAAAATTGAAACCCCAACTTATAAAATAAAACAGAAGTCTTAATGTAAAACTGAGGTGTTTCATCCATCTGTCAGTTTTAAAACAAACAAAGATGAAACGAAACAACAGCAACAACTTCCAAACTAGAATGAGATGAAATTTATAAGCAAATTAACTGTCGAAAAACATTACTTCGGTTGCAGATATCGTGCAGTGCGTGCACACCGGTGTACTCAGTAAACAAAAAGTTTTCCCATTGGGCCCTTCCTTCCTTCCTTCAACTTACTCGAGATTATTGTTCTCACAGCATGAATTAATGAAAAAAAGAAAGCATCACTTTTCAAATCCGTCACCGGTCGGGAAATGGCAAAAAACCCTAAGAACTCACTAAAGAAACAGCGAGACAGAGAGCGAAAGAATGAAATGAAGTGGAAGAAATGAAAGGAATCAGACCTTTTTTATTATTATTTAGATTATTTTTTTACCGATTATGTCAACAGGTGGGATAGGCAAAAGGATCAACGAAGTTCCCCCTCGACTTTAACTTCTTAATAAATAAATAAATTAATCTCTGTGATTAATGCAATACCTTAATTAAATAGTTACTACAAACAGCCTTGTATTTGTTATTGTCATATCTTTAAGGTACGCCATTTTTATTTATTTATTCATCCTTCGAGTAAGGCTTTTTTTTTGTCCTCCCACTTTTCATCATCTGGTACTCTAACTTTTTATTTATTTTTGGCTTGGTGAAATCATTACAACTTTTTCATATATTATAATCAACAAGATTCTATTTAGGGAAGAACTTTCTGAAAGTACTTAGAATACATATTAGTGGATGAAATCTATCATTACCATTCGAAAAGGAATAAAAGTTTTAAAACAGGCAAATATAGAAGTCATATAAACAAATAAGAGAACTCTCTCTCCATTGTAACATTTAATTTTCATTTTATTGATTTATCTATTATTATTTTTTTGTAGAAAAGTACAAAAATCATTATAACCTAACTAGAGGAAGGAATTAAAAGCTAGAACGAACCTTCTCACTCTCTTCTATTATTATTATTATTATTATCATCATTATTATAATATAGTTTTGCATCATTATGGATAATCGATTTGCATCTCAAGGGTCACAACAATCCCAAGGACAACAAATCCCACAAGGAGACGCTGGATCACCTGGAATATCTGGCCCTGGAAATTATCAACAATTTCAACAGCAACAACAATATCAAATTTCACAACAGATGGCTCAACGGATGGTCCAACAGCAGATGATAGCCCAGCAACAACACTTGCAACAGCAACAGCAACACTTGCAGCAACAGCAACAACAATCTCAACAGCAACAACCTCAACAGCAACAACCTCAACAGCAACAACATCCATTGCAACAACCTCCACATCCATTACAACAGCAACAACAGCAGCAACAGCAGCAGTTTCCTCAACATAGAATGCCTGGTAGTGGTAATGGCATGAATATTCCAAATAATGAACGGTCGTCGAGTAGAGCAAGTAATGATCCTCCTAATTCAACCCCTGCACATATAGAACAATTAAACAATCAAAAGAAGCTATTAAATACTTATATTCAAGATTTCCTATTAAAATCAAATTTAAAGAAGTCTGCCGAGTCATTTAGCAAAGAAGCAGAAATGGATCCTCAAGGTCGTCTCTCAAAGAATGATCGTGCTTCTTCAATTTCTCCTGATATGAATAATGCATCATTTAAACCATTGTATGATACGAGACAAGGCTTCTTGTATGAATGGTGGCAGTTGTTTTGGGATCTATTTAATATTAAATCTAATAGAGACGGTTCTGAAATTGCGCAAATTTATTATCAAATTATTAATAGTCAACGACAAGTAGAACAAATTCAAAGAAATATCGCTATTCAAGCTGCAAAAACTCAATATATTGCAGAGAGAAGAGGTGAATATCGGAATGAAAGTTTAGAACCTATGGAATTGGCACAATTATTGTCTCGTCAACCTATCTTAACTAATGGAATACCTTATCCACGATCGATGAATTCACCTGTATCTAATGCTCAATATATGATGCAACAACCACAACCACAACCACAACCACAACAGCAACAACCTCAACAACCTCAACAACCTCAACAACCTCAACAACTGCAACAACCGCAACAACCACAACAACCGCAACAACCACAACATCCATTGCAACAACCACAGGGCCAACCTGATAGTAATGTCCCAAATGACCATATCCCTTCACGGACACCTCAATCAATGAGACCACAAATGCATGGCTCTACCACAAGCGTGAATACAATGAATAATAACGGATCACCTAACTCCAGTATCAGTAGTGCACAACAGAAGAAACAGTTATTACAACAACAGCAACAAATACAACATCAACAATTGTTACTTCAACAACAACAGCATATAGCCCAACAAAGACACCAAAGTCAACAAGCTTCGTACCATGCTAGACATTCTGCTCAACCCAACCCATACCCAATGAATCAACAAGGTTACGATTTGACTATGGGAGGCCAACCTAATGCAGTATATGGTGCACCATCTATAAATAATAACAATTCTATGGAAATGATGCAACAAATGGGTCATTCTGATGCTAATCAAATGAATCAACAAAACAATATCGGTTCTGACAATAGTAAACAACTAAATGGAACAACACAGAGAGGAAGAAATAATAGGAACAAACAGGACATAGCGGCTGTCGAGAACAGCAAACAATCCATGAGTAATCAACCAACACCAGGATACGTGAACCAATATTCTAACGATAATAGAATTGCTAGTATGCCTAATGAAGGTAAGAGTGCCACTTTTGTGAAAAATAATGGTGCTACTAAAAGAAAACCCTCAACTAATAAAGATAAAGCCAAGACTACGAGACAACCTGCCAAAAAGAAACGGTCCACAAATTCTAATACAAACAACAACAATGGTAATAAACCAGGCACAAGTTTGGTAAGTACACCTGTGGAGTCTAAAGGTACGCCTAATTTCACTTTCGCAGACAACAAAAATCTTCATAACAATACACCTGGTGCAATGAAAAAAATTGGGAAGAGAAGTCAATCAACTACTCAATTAATGACGGAATTATCGGACCCCAATTCTCCTCGAATCACTACTGGTCAAGTATCTACTTCTACGGAATCAGCAATGAATAAAAATGATATGCTACCTCCAAATGGAGTTTCTCCACATGTTATTTATTCACCACAATATAAAGTAATGGCAACGCAAACTATGAGTGCGAAGAATCAAACCTTTGATTCAAATGTTCAAGATAAGGTACCTGCTACAAATAATCAGGGACAAAGAAGAAGAAAATCTACAACGTCGTTGACTAATAAGATAGGCCTTACTTCGTCCTCTAGCACAAATAATAACACATCATGGGAATCATCAGCTTCTGCACCTAAAACAGTAAAGAATGCCATCTTTTCGACTTCTGAACCTGTTACACCTCTTTATTCAACAACTGTACCAGTTGGTGGAAATTCTGCTAAGCAACAAAGTTCTTTATTATCAACCGTAGAAGAACAAAGTGTATATCCTAACAGGAAAGATAGCAATTCAAACAAAAGTGATAATAATAATAATAATAATAATAAAACAAAATCAGAGAAATCACAATCATCAACTACAAAGTATGGAAAGAAAAAAAGTCAAAGATCTAATAAAAATACAAAACAAGGGGATGCTGGCCATCGCACAAATGTAAATAGACCAGCAATGAAAGCTGATAGTGATCCATCTTTGTCTGGTCAAGCTTCTAATTCCGATGACAGTAATAATCTAAAAAGTGAAAAGATTGATAATAAAATTTATTTTGAGAGTAATTCTACCACTAATCATGGTAATAATCACAATATAGATGATACTGCTTCGAATTACATGTTCGGAAATGATATACAAGATGATGATATGTTATTTATGAACACAATAATGGATAATGATAAAGATCATTTTGGTATGGACATAAACATGAACATGGGTATGGGCGTTGATATGGAAATGAACGGCGGTGATATAGTGGTAAAAGATTTAGATACTGAAGGTCAACAAGTTCATTCAAACAAGGGAGACTCTGACAAACATCCAGACGCTTCTAATAATGTGGGAGCAGAACAAGATTTTCCGTTTAACAATTGGTCATAGTACAAAATAAGAAAAAAAAAAGTGACTTTACATATTGCATCAGCTCTCTATTGAGATTTAAAATTCGAAATAGAACCAAGAGCCAACTTTTATAGTTTTAATAGTTTTTATTTTTTTTTAAATATTCAAAATATTTTTTCCATAGTTTTGAGATAAAAATGATAAAAAAAGGTATGTTAATTAATCATTGCACTCTTAATATGACTTATTTAATAGTATTTACTTGCATATTTACTTTGAATCTTAAGCAAGAGAAAGAGAGAACTTTAACCTGATTTCATTATTTTGGTTTTTCGCGAAAGTTTTCAATCTTTGCGGTGAAAAAAATTTTTGAATTAAAAAGTTCAACTTTTTTCTCTCTTTGCCGGCAAAGTTTGGTAAATGAATTGATCTATATCTGATATTGAACTTCTTAGGTCGGTTATTTTATTAAAAATTATATTTATATTAACATAGCATACTACAAAAGGATAGTTTTAGAATAATTTAGCATCTCATATAATCTATGAATGTTTAGGAGGATTAGTGTGTCGTAAATTTAATCACATCACCTTTTCTTTCTGTTTCTCTCTCTATTTTAATTGGTTGATTATTTTCAATCATACATTACGTTTTACAACATATCAGACCAGTGTACTATAAATAAAGAAGAAGAAACAACACAGTCTTTCATTCATTAGTACTAGGATTCTGAATTCATCATTTTGGTATCACTTGAATTTTAACTATTGTCATATTTTATTTTTTCTTTCATCAATAAATCGTTAGATCATGCCTGGGAAAATCATTGCTGTTCCATTCTTAGATCAAATAGAGGATATCGAAAATTGTTTGAAAAATAATAAAAACGTTAAAAACTCGACAAGTACCACTTTTTCGTATTCAAATAGTAATAAAAACAATAACAATAACCATAATAACAACAATAATAACAATAGTAACAACAACAGTACTAATAATAGTTACAATAATTATAATTACAACAACAGTTATTATTACAATAAAGGAAATAATGGATACTATAAAAAATCTATGATAAATGGAAACAAAAATTTCTCTACTCAGGATAATAATGGGAATTACGATAGTTATAATAGGAATTTTGATTATATGAGATATAATTCTAGAAAAAATAATAATAATAATAATAATAATAATATCAATAATAATAATAATAATAATAATAATAATAATTCATCATACCCCTACAACAACCATTTTGCAACACATATCTCTCAAGATAGTTCTAATAATGATCTAACTACAAAAGCATATCCTATTTTTCAAAAGAATGGGAAAAATACAAATTTCAATCAAACTGTTGCAGAGCAATTAAAAAAAACTTATCCTCAAATTTATCAAAATACACATTCTGCTATCTATCCTAATGACCAAACTTACGGACAGACTGATTTTGCACTAAACCAGGTAACTAATAACCTAGGTACATTACAGTTGCCAGATAATTCTGTCCAAAGTAAATATTCAAATCAAGGACAGTTAGGTGGTAACAAATATATTGAAAGTCACTTGCATTCTAATTACCAAAACGCATCTGACCTAGATATGCTGATGCCTCACTCTGCTCATGCTACCAATGCAAACAATAACAACACCGGTAATATTAGTAACGAGGATAATAGCATGGCCCCATTCAAAGCTTATATACCATCCGAATTATTAGATTCATCGAATGGCACGTTTTCTACTAATGATGGAATCAACATGAATTTAGATCCTAATGGTTCAAATATTCACAGCTCTTTTGTGGAACAATCGCAAGGTACATTACTAAGTCCTTCATTAGGAACCAGTGGTATGAATTCAACACCTTCGAACATTAATGATAATGCGTTGAAGTTTACTTCTTCACCATTTAACAGCAATAATGTTGCTATCAACAATATACAATCTCCAGGAACTCAGCAACCTCAGCAACCTGATTTATCTTCTATCGGATGGGGTTCTAATCAAATGGACATTCAATCATCAATGCCAGGGAGATCTTCTCTTAATACCTCCAGTAATAGCAACAGTGGTATGTTTGGTATCTGGAATAACGATATGAGTGTCTGGAGTTAACCAAACAGTAGCAAACATAATAACTACATCGGAATTGCTATTCATCTGCAATTTAAGATGAATGGATACCGCATAATTTTGCCTATTTCTCATATTTTTTTTATCTATTTATTTATTTTAGGGTATATTACGTCAACACTGGATACAGGTACATAATTATATAATCATCACATTTTAATGAAATTATCGTCATTGTTAATTTGTTATATTCATCTCCTATATTAATTGTAACTACAACGAAGAAGGGAGGTTTATCGTAACAATTAAAAAAAATAAGAATATTGAATTATTACATTATTTACATATATTTAAAAAGTTCATTTAATATCTAATACTTTTTTGAACATTGTTTCCAATTCCTGTGCTTGAATTTTACCTTGGTATTTCCTCATACCTAATCCAACCAAGTATTTGATTGAGTTTTTCTTTTTACCGGATTTAATACTTTCAATCATTTTTGGGTTATTTAAGTCCTTAATAATTTCCTTACATCCATCCTCTAAAACAGCATAATCAATTTTTTTTGTAACTTCGAGATCGTATTTTTTAATTAAAGTGACAAAGTTGGTATCAATTGATTTGTTACAACCTTCCAGTTTATACTCTTCTAAAATATGGAAAAGCAATTGCTTTGCATTGGAATTCGAGATCACTCCACTATGAACAATGTTTAAAAACTCAGCCAACTTCCCTGGTGATAACATGTCTCTTGAAACGTGGTTTAAAGAAATTTCCAATTTTTTTAAATTACCCAACAATTCATGTAATATCCAGCTCACAACAATTTTAGGGTCACCGTTTTTATTATCCTCCATAGAGTTTGTATATAATTTGAAAGTATCAACATAATAAGTTCGTAATTCTTCATTGTTGTATAATTCATTAAACTCATTCTGAATAGTCAGTATCTTGGCATCTTTTTTTGACAAGTTGTAAGGCTCTGACATTAATTCTCGTATACATTCATCTGCATCTTTTAAAAGTGTCTTTGCAACCTCACATAATACATCAGCATCCAAAGATATCGGAGGTAATTCAGGATCAGCCATATATCTATAATCCATCGTAGATTCCTTTGATCTTAAGACAGTCGTTTTAGATCCATCCCAACCTCTAGTTTCGACAGCCTGGGTCGCAATTAAACTATTATTCTTCAATACGTTCACTTGTCTCTTATATTCATAATTAATGGCATTAACAATTGACGAGGTATTAGGAAGATTCTTCAGTTCAACTCTAGGATGTTCATTCACTGACACGTTTACATCAATACGAATAGAACCAGCTTCTAAATCACCCGTTGAAATTTTCAGTTGCCTAACAAGATTTTGATATTTTTTAATAAACGCTTTCACTTGTAATGTATCATGGAAATCTGGTTCGGTAACAAGTTCTATAAGTGGTACATTGGACCTATTAAAATCTATTAATGTTTCTTCATCTGAGTTCTGTTGCAATGATTGATGATATATAGAACGTGCAGTATCCTGCTCTATTTGTAGTTGAGTTATTCTAATTTCCTTTGAAGGTTCATTTATTTCGTCAAACTCCTTAGATAACGTTAAATAACCACCCTTCGAGAAAGGGTGATAGTGTTGGGTAATTTGATATCCTTGAGGCTGATCCCCATAAAAATAATGTTTTCTATCGAATTGAGATGCGAGATTAACAGTACTTTTCAATGATAATGCCAGCTTTAGTGCAAATAAAACTGCTTCGTAGTTTAGTATCGGCTGAGTACCAGGTAAAGCAATATCAAAGTAACTAGTATTTACATTTGGTTTCGATATTGACTCAAAGGGATTATTTATAGATCCTGAAAAAAGTTTGTTCGTTGTACTTAGTTGTGTATGAATTTCTAAGCCACATGTCAATTCGAAATCTTTTATAGGTTTCACATTGGAGAGTTTCCTTTTGATTGGAGGGAATCCAAGTGACCGAAATTTCAACATTGCCCTTAAATTGTGACTACCAAACCTTCCCTGCCAAAAAACACAACAACAAAAAAGCACTAAGAATAGATATATCGCACCTAATTCAGTCTAGTTCAATATAACACTGACGTTTATTTTATGTATGTAAATTGTACAGCCTTAGGTATTTGATGATACAATTTATTCCCTGTTCATTTCATTTCACTTTATCGTATATTCTTTATTTAGGAAGAGTATCGCTTTTAACGAATCCGCCTCGAAAAGTTACTTTGTTATCATTGCCGTAATTAGTTTTTTATTATATTTTTTTTTTTTCGAAATAGCTAAAAAACATATTGTAACTCATTTTGGAACACCATCGATGTGTTGATTTGTATAAGTGGAACAATTACACAGTGAACTAAATCATTCAGCTTGATTGGAATCATTAACAAAAAGAATTGACAAGCAATTATTTACTGTTCTAGAGATTTACATTTTTGGAAACGGAACATTCTTTGTTTATCCTGAATCCTTCTTTGCAATATAAAATAAAATCATGTTCTCAACTCCGCTGAAAAGTAGAGTAGATTATAGTGATAACACATTTGTTGGTTCAAATACATTTTCAAACACAAATAGCAATGCTGTAAATACCAACAGAGTCAGTGGTATGGGGAATGGAATTTCCAATATGAACGGGAACAATTTGATAAACGCAGGCACTAGGACAATCAACAACAATCATAACAGTGCTATGACATCATTTGCAAGTGCAACAAGTCCAATTGGTAATTCTACATATATGCAACCAGGTTTATCACCCAATAACGATAATATAAGATTGACGGGCTTAGGAACTAAGAAACCCCTGGAATTAGCTAGTGAATATATTGACAATTTAGAACGTCGTGATTCTAACTCACCTATTCTGGATGAAAGGTCGTACTATAATAATGGCGTGAACTATAACTTCGCTAGAGATGTCGGTGGATTAGGTGCATTTACACCATTTGAACGTCAATCTGTTATCAATATTCCAGATGTGTTATTACAAGAAGCTTGCAAGACTGAAATTAAGAGTGATATGGGTATCTTTCCCGAATTGAATAGATGTTGGATCACTATTGATAACAAGTTGATATTATGGAATATTGATTCTAACAACGACTTCCAGTCAATCGAAGAAATCAAACACACTATATTGAATGTAAAATTAGTTAAACCCAAACCAAATACATTTGTTAACCACATAAACTATTTGTTATTGATATCTACCCCTTTTGATATGTACATCCTGGCACTATCCTATAACAATGTATCTAACGACATAACCGTTTACAATACAGGATTATCGGTATCAATAAGTGGAATGGGTTCATTAGAGATCGTATCATGTGAGAAGACAGGCCAAATTTTTTTCGCTAGTACAACTAATGATTTGAACATTTGGGAGTTACAATACACTGGCTCAGATGACTGGTTCAATAGTAAATGTAATAAAGTATGCCTAACACAATCATCGTGGTCAAGTTTACTTCCAACAAATGTCTTGAATAAGTTACCAGGTAGTGAATTAGTTCAATCGTTTTTTGAAGAAGATTCTAAATACGCACAAGAAACAATTATTCAGCTTACAGTTGACCAATCAAGAAACATCGTTTACTCTTTATCTTCTAAATCAACCATAAGAGCTTACTTGATAAAAGATAAGTCACTAGAGGGCCCTATGGTTGTTGGTCCCTCATACATAAGTAGAATAATTGGTACCACAACTGCAAGAGCTGCTGCAATCTTGGGGAAAAAATACTTGAAAATTTGCAAGATCATCTCAGTGTCTCAACAAGAAAACAATAACTTATTTTTGGTTGCATTAACTATTGGTGGTGTCCGTTTGTATTTCAACGGATCAGTGGGTAGAAATTCAATCGAGGCTCTGAGATTAGAGTCTATTAAATTTCCACCAAGTTCTGTTACTCCTGAGGCAATGCAACAGGAACTTCAACAGCAACAATTAGAACAGCAGAAGAGGAACATACCATTCTACTCAAGTTTGACCTACTCTGAATCGATATTACTAAAGCTACAAAAGAAATCGTCTGTGCTATTGGAAACTACTGATTCGAGTACAATCATCTCACCAGGTATTTTCTTTTCTTCTTTGATAAAATCTACCCAACCAGCTCAACCTGTTGATCAGAAATTACCGCCAACTACTTCAACTGCTACTACTACTGTACAAACTCCAGGTCAAAAAATCAAAGCAACAATACAGGCTAGAAAAGCGAATATTGAAGAAAAATCCAATGCTCAAAATTTACCTGTGAATCATCGTCTGTTTGTCAGTGTTCCTGATTATGGTATTTTGAAAAATCATGGAAAGTACGTCGAAAATGCAACATTCCTAGATACTACAAGCCCTGTTAAACAAATTGTTGCCCTTACTCCAACATTCAATGCTACTACAAAACCAGGTGGTTATGCTAATGAATATGCAACCCAGTATAGTGCTGATGATTTAAAGGTTGCTGTACTAACCAAGACAGCCATTGAAATTTATAGGTATCGTACCCCTGATGAAGTATTTGAATCTTTGATTGATAATCCTTTGCCATTCGTTTTGAATAATGGTCTATCCGAAGCCTGTTCCAGTGCATTATATGTTACATGCAAATTCAACAAGTCTGAATTAATCAGATCCAAAGCGTTAACTTTCCTAACTGTTGGTATTCCTGGTGTGATAGATATTAAACCTTCATATAACCGCTACTCTGCATCTACTGTTACTTCGCTATTATCCAAACCATCTTTAACTACTGCAACTCAAAAGGCAGTGAATAGCATCACATCAACGAATACAAACTTTAACCTTGATGATGTTGTCTTATCCCCAAGATTCTATGGTATTGCCATGCTTATTTCAAGACTATTCCGTGACATATGGAGTAAAAATATTTTTGTACCTGATGCTAATGCCAAATTTAACAAAATGAATACATTAATCCCAGAATCTCTTCAAACCGGAAACTTTATCAATAGTGTATCAATTACAAAAATGGATATTGAATATTATTTGTCTTCAATCTTAATCCTGAACGAATTTTTCTCTAATTATGGCGATTCTATTACTCAAGTAATTGCCCCTTCTTTGCCAACTGAAAGTTCTAAAAACAAATATGATGAGGTTGCTAATCAAGCAGAAAATATTGCTGTCAACTCATTGATCAAGCTGGTTCACTCTATGAAGGAGGCACTATCGTTTTTGAATGTCCTATACGAAGAAAGCGAGATTGAAGGTTACGAACACCAATACCTTGCATTTAAGGATATCATGAAGTTTTTAAAAGTTGACATACAAATTAGATTATCCAAGCTTACTTTTAAGGACTTGTTTGCCCCTAATGAAAATTCTAAAAGTTTAATTAGAGAAATACTTCTATCTGTAATAAATAGAAATATTTCAAGAGGTGCCTCTATTGAATTTGCTGCTACAACTTTACAGGAACGATGTGGTTCTTTCTGCTCCAGTAGTGATATCCTAAGTTTTAGAGCTATGGAACACTTAAAGAAGGCTAAAGAAATCGGCTTAGGTGATTATGATACTGTTTGCTATCATCTTGATCATGCAATTAAATTATTTGAAAAAATAGTTGATGACTTAGCTTTCGATAAGTTAAAGGAAGCCGTGTTGGTAATGCTAAGTCTAAACTACTTCCCTAAGACTATTGAATTCTTATTAAATATTGCTAACCTCATAGATAGGAACAAGCTTGCTTATCAATATGTTGCGAATGGATGCGCTATAAACGATCAAAGAAAGGAATACTATGATAAACGTATGATGATCTATGATTTTATTTCAGAAGTTTTAGTTAAAGTCGACGAAGTCGCTTCGAAGAAGAGTACCGATATTAATGGTTTAAATATGGTGTGCGGAGATGCTAACACATTGAAGGATCAAAGTTACGCAATTGCCTTTAATTATAATGACAAATTATTCCACTATCACATGTACGACTGGTTAGTATCGCAAGATCAAGCTGATAAATTGCTGGATTTAGATACTGCATTTATTCAACTTTACTTGGAAGAAAAATCAAAGGATTCCTTAAAAATATCAAATCTGTATTGGGTATACCAATCAAGAAAATCTCAATTCTATAAAGCTGCTGAAATTCTTTACTCCTTGGCGGTATCTAATTTTGATATCATTTTAAGAGACAGAATTGAATGCTTATCTCGTGCTAATGGTTTCTGCAACGGTGTTTGCCCTCCAAACCAAAAACAAAGCATGGTTCAATTAACTGGTATAATTCAAGAATTGTTTGATATTGCTGCTGTTCAAGATGATTTAATTAATCTTATCAATACAGATAATAGAGTTGAATCTGAAACTAAACAGAAGTTGATTAAGGAGTTAAACAATAAAGTTTTACCGGTAAGTGATCTGTTTAATGATTACGCAATCCCATTAGGATACCATGAAGTGGCATTGAATATATTTAAAGTTTCAGATTTCCGTAACGAAGAAGAAATAATGGCAACATGGAATGAGTTATTTGAATCTGTAAAGAAAGAATTACAGTCTACTAATAAGATTGAAGATTCTTTGAATTTTATCAATTTATTATCTAATATTGTAATCAAGATTGGGAGAACTGTTCACACATCTGAATATGTCTTTCCAATAGCGGAATTATTTCCTATCATTTTGCATTTATTCGAAGAATCTCTACCAAAGGAACATATTAAAGCTGGTATTATTGCTTCTATATTCATTTCATCGAATGTTTCGTATAACAAACTGTATCATGTATTAAGAAGTCTCCTAGAAACATTAGACTCCAGGGATGATGGATTAAATAGAGAGATGGGATGGTTAATTAAAGAATGGTATCAACACGATAGAAAATTGAGAGACGTTATCACGTTTGATGAAGTATCACAGTTAGATGAATATAGCATAGAAACGGATCCAATCGAAAATTACACAAAGAAAAGTGGTAATAATATCTGAATGAAATCATTACATATGCTGGAGAAAAATTATCATGATAGTATCTTAATTCATAATTTGTATAATAAATAAAAGTCATAATATATTTAAATGTTTCGTTTTGTATTATAATTGTATCCGGTTATAGGACATGTAGAAGTAATTGGGCAAAAAAAAAAGATAGCAAATTTATTGTAGTGTGTTATATCGAACTATATATATTGTTATATAAAATTGGTTGTGCCACAACCTTAGGTACCCAAACTAAATTATTATTATATATATATATATATAAAGTCATTTAATTTATTCTTGTTATTGTTGTCCAAATGTATTTTCACCTGAATATGTAATATATAAAAACCCATCTTTGTCCTTATTCTCTTGATATACAGCTGACATTAGTGCAGCTGTAGGTGGAAGAGTATCATTTACAAAGATAAATATTGCCTTTTCTGGTGGAAGCATTATCCTCTTCCTTATGACGTATACGAATTGTCCTACAGTTAAATCTGCGGGTACTAGATATTTTCGTTTGTCAATCTCTGGTATGTCTGATTTTTCAGCTTTTTCACAGATCACCGGTATTCTATTCTGAAATCTGTTTAATATCCTCTCTGATTCAGTCTTTCTCTTTTCGAATGGATATTCTGATTTAAATGTCGATTTCATTGTGAGATGGGATAATATATATATATATATATATATATATATTTTTTCTCCTCTAAAAGTATCTTGTATTGTTTTGTGTAGTATCTATTTTCTGTCTCTCTTAGTACTATGTTAATTTTATGTTAGTTAGTCTTATCGTAAACTACCCTGTCTTTACCATTTGTTAATATATCAAGTTATCAGCTTCCTCTTGCTCTTTAGCATTGTCATTTATATATTAAAAGAAAACGGGAAAATGTAAAAGAAAGAGGAGTTCAGCGATGGACGCCCCTAAAAAGATAGTCATTTAAGAGAGGCAAAAAAACAGATTTTAAGAAGTTATTTTATTGATCTTGTTATGTAGCTAAGTGGGGGAGGAGAAGGGAGAGGGGCAGAGGGGAAGAGGTTTCAGTTAACTTAGTTTATGAATTTATTTGATGTTTATAAAGTGATATAATATGGATCTATGAATATCTGTGTACATAAGCAAGAATAATTTTATGTGAACTTTGATTTGGCACGCAGGATATGTCCGTACTTATACAAAACAAATGGAACCACAGATAATGCGAGGGCTATAAATCCAACAATGGTAGAACCCCAGCCAACCGGGTATCCATCAATGGCCAGGTTGTCGTACATGGCTCTACCAAATAATGGGAAAGAACAAGCGAACCCTGCCCTAAATAAACCATTTCCCGCAAAGACAGATGCAACATACTTTGGGAAACTAATGGCCAAATATGCAAAAGTAACTTGAAATAAATTCCAGCAACATATAACAAATAATACTTGAGCGATGATGGGAACAATCCAATGGGTACTAGCTGCCCATCCGAATAGGAATAAAGATGCTGGGAAGGCCCAAAATACAAATAGTAAGATGACTAACAAATCTTCTGGTACAAAAGACTTATTTTCAAACTTTTTCTTTAGATATTTCATTTGGAAAATACCTAAAATCATAAAAGCCATAAAGCAACCAACACAAAACCCCAGATAGGATAAACCAAGTTCAATTAATGTAAAATGATAAACATTTATAAATACTATTGGGAATGATTCAAAAAATAAATAAAAAGCACCATAAGCTATACCAGAGTATAAATCAAATGCTAGAATAATTGGCTCCCTAGCGATCATTTTGAATGGCCTGACTAAAGTATTCTTTATTATTGTGTTAATTTCCATTTGTTCATCTTCTTTGTCATGAATAGAATAAAATCTGTCATCGCCAGTTTGTTTCCTAATTCTACGTGCTCTTCTTGAAAGAATTGTCTTGTGTGAAGTTTCCTGGAAGAAGAAAAATATAAAGATTAGAGTGAATGCAGACAAAAAAACCAAAAGCCAAAAGATCCAACGCCAACCTTTAGCAACTACCATTGAAGCACCTAATAATGGACCAATAATTGGAGCCACCATTGTACCAACGGACCATATACCAATGTATACACTCATATCTTCTGGGGCAATGATGTCACCAATAGAAGCACCACCAGTTGCTAATGGAGGTGAACATAATATACCAGTTATAAATCTCATAACAATCATTCCACCAATACTATGAACTGTGGAAATCCCAATATTGAAGACAAAAAATAGTAAAAATGTAATAAAGTAAATTGGTAGACGTCCAATTCTCGATAGTTCGGATAAAGGTGAGAAAATTAGAGGGCCAATACCATAACCTAAAATATAAAGGGAAAGATTTAAAGTTGCTGTAACATGCCCTACATTAAATTCATTTCTAATTCCATTTTCACCAGGAGTATAAATTGATGAACCCATATAATTGACACATGTAAGTAACATAATTTGAACCATTGTTAGAATCTTTCTTGTGGAAGACCAATTCATCGGAAACTCTGGATCGTTTGGACCCCTCCAAGTCACCAAGAATGGATCAAATTTTTCATTCTTTTCAGTAAGATTGGTATCAACTTTGTCAATAGAAATATTGACATTATCCCGTTCTGCAGAGTCAAAACTCTCGTTATCTGTAGTATTAGATCCTAGATTGTCATTTTCTTTTGGGATGTTATGTAATTCAGGAATGTTCACTAACTTTAGTAGCTCTAATACGTCAACAAACGTCGTATTTTTGAAATATTTTAGTGACATTTATTCTATAAAGTGATTTGTTATTTAATTCTCGTTTATTTGTAGATGCTTTGTGGTCTTCTTTTTTTTGATTTCTGGACATTTTATTTTAACTATTCAAATATGTCCAATATTTATAGGTATTGAAAATTATCGTAGATTAATTAATTCTTATGGCATTACTCATCATTTTTATCACAATCATCCCTCTGTTGTGATCTATCATTATTAGGACTGGTTGACAAGAATTCATCGAAACCTTAATAAGATTAATTATATCCATGTGTCAGCCGTAGAAATAGTAATTATGGCAATTGCTTCAAATGCGACACTGGCGGATTTTGGACGGACAAAAAATCGTCTGTGTGGGTTTTTCTGTGAAAAATATTCTGTTCTTCCTTTTCTTTTCGTATCTCCTTGCTATATCCGTCTCTGATATTAGTTACTATTTGCAGTAATTATATTGATTTATAATTACTAGAAAGCTATTTGAAGCCAGTCATTGGATTCTTTTCTTCTTGTGAAAATATTTAATCTTTACAACAGCTACTATTGTTCGATAAATTTGTTGTACTGAGAATATTATATGAAAAAAAAATGGGGAACAGTTGTTTCAGAGAAGTATAGATTTGGATCATAAGGGCTTGTACTAGTATTATTCACACAGGGTACTATAATTCTTGGGCAATTACAAATTAACTATAAACATAATTATTTTTAGATGTCAAAGATAAATTAAGTAAATATGTTAATTTATAATATTAGATTACAATTTATTTATTTTTTATAATTATTTATTTTGTGTTTTTCATCATTTACAATCTATATATTTTTAGCTTGAAGATTGTGTCATTGATAGATTGTTCTTCGTCAGCAATAGAATCGGATCTGGAAGAATCGAATTTGGAAATTTCAGATCTACAAGTCTTAGATACCATAGCGTTATGCTCATTTAGAACCTTTTCGAAGTTCATTGAATCTTTAACTAGATCATATTGCACTAGAACATCATCGGTGGCCTCTAGACCAGCCTTCTTTCTCAATTTTTGAATTCTATTAATAATTTCTCTTGCTAAACCTTCAGTCTTTAGTTCATCGTACACGTTAGTATCTAGAATGATCAAGACATCGTTGTCAGTTCTAGTTTCTCTACCACTTTGAATAGCAGATTCTGGTAGATCTCTGATAACATTCAAATCACCCATAACAAGATCAATTCCATCAACAGTTAGCTTACCAGTAGCCATGTAAGTCTTGACGTCATCGGAGGAGACCTTTGGTAAACCGACCTTTACCTTCTTGGCATCACCCTTCAACTTCTTACCTAAAACAGGCCAGTCGGCAACAGCTTTGTATTCAACATTATAAGCTTCTTCATCATCAGTGATGATAACGTCTCTGACATTCAATTCTTCAATGACATAAGCCTTTAGAGCTTCGACGTCCTTCAAGTAATCCTTGTCACTATGTAGAATGACTAGAGTCTTTAATGGGGTCTTCAAAGATATCATCTTCTTTTCTCTAACGTTTCTACCTAATTCAATGACAGATTGCATTCTTGCGACAGCCTTTTCAATAGCTTCATCGAATAGTTCCTCTCTTACAACAGGGTAAGACAAGAAATGGACAGATCTACCATCTTCACCAAATCTTGCTAATACTTCATCAGGAATGTAGGCCTTCAATTGTAAGTAGATGGAATCAGCCAAGAACGGAGTAAATGGAGCCATAGCACGAACAAAAGTAAATAGAGCTTCAAATAGAGAGTTTAGAGCCTTGACACAATCCTCAACACCATTTTCACCCTTTAAACGACGACGGTTGAATCTGATGTACCAGTTAGTCAATTGGTCAATGAAATTCAATAGTTTTGGAACAACGGTATATAGTTGATATTGACCCATCTCTTCGTGAATTTCTTGAACCAATGATTGCATGGAGGCAAGAATCCATTTGTCCATAACATTTTCACCAGTTAAATCTGGGTTGTATTTGAAGTCGATGTTTGAGGTCTTTTTCAATAGAGCAATTTGTCCATCCAGAAATTTGAAGGAATTGTACCATGGTAACAAGACTTTTGAGACAACTTCCTTGACACCTTCTTCTTTGAACTTCAGACTTTCAGCTTTCAATACTGGGGAGTTGATTAAGTATAATCTTAGGGCATCGGCACCATACTTCTCCAAAACAATGTTAGGATCTGGGTAGTTCTTTAGGGATTTGGACATCTTTCTACCATCAGAAGCTAGAACAATACCAGAGACGATAACATTTTGGTATGGAACTTGACCGAACAAATGAGTACCCAAGACGGATAAAGTGTAGAACCAACCTCTAGTTTGGTCTAAACCTTCGGAAATGAAGTTGGCTGGGTTTCTTTGTTTAAATAAGTCTTTGTTTTCAAATGGATAATGTTGAGAAGCGTATGGCATAGAACCGGATTCGAACCAACAGTCGAAGACTTCTTCAATTCTCTTTAAGTCACCCTTACCTTGCTTAGATGGGATGGTGATGTTATCAATGGTATCACGATGTAGATCGGTAATACCCTTAACACCAGATAATTCTTCTAATTCTTGAACAGAACCAACACAAACAATTTCCTTGTAATCTTCAGAGACCCACAATGGAATTGGAGTACCCCAGTATCTGTTTCTAGAGACATTCCAATCACGAGCGTTAGCAATCCAGTTAGTGAATCTTTTTTCTTTAATACTGTTTGGAACCCAGTGAGATTGTTGAACGGATTCCAAAAGTTGTGGAACAATGTTCTTAACACGGATGAACCAAGCTGGAACAGTTCTGTAAAGTAGCGGTGTATCAGATCTCCAACAGAATGGGTAAGAATGGCGAATTTGAGTAGCGTACAGCATGTTACCTGTTTCAGTCAAGTGTTTGATAATCAACTTATCAGCATCCTTGACATAGACACCAGCATAATCAGAAACTTCTGGTGTGAACTTACCTAAGTCATCAATTGGGTTAGGGAAACTAGAGTCTTCGTCAATGATATGGTTGGATAAACAAACGTTGTAATCCTCTTCACCAAACGCTGGAGCGTTATGGACAATACCAGTACCAGAATCAGCACTGACATAGTTATCAGAAATGACCCTGAATGCGGTTTCCTTAAATTCTTCAGCGAAGTAAGGGAACAATGGCTTATATTTCAAACCAACTAAGTCCTTACCTTGAATCTTTTCAACAACCTTGTATTTGGCATCCTTTGGCTTCTTGTATAGCGATTTGATCAAAGCTTCTAAAAGAATGTAGTAACAGTCCTTGGTTTCATCGTAAATCTTAACGTACTCAAATTCAGCGTTGACACAAAGAGCCATGTTAGATGGTAAAGTCCATGGGGTAGTAGTCCAAGCAACCAATTTGGTCTTTTCTTGACCGATAACGTCGAAACCAATGGTGACAGCTGGATCATTAACATCCTTATAGTTTTGTTGAGCCTCGAAGTTACTCAATGGAGTAGTTAGACCGGTAGAGTAAGGCATGACTCTGTGACCACGGTAGACTTGATCCTTTTCAAACAGTTCCTTGAAAGCCCACCATTCAGATTCCATGAAAGAAGGGTACATGGTCTTATAATCATTATCGAAGTCAATCCAACGACCTAGACGACCGATGGTCTTTCTCCAGTCGGCGGCGTAAGTCATAACAATAGCTCTACATTCGTCGTTATAATTCTTTAGACCAAATTTGAAGACATCGTCCTTACCCTTGATGTTCAACTTCTTGTCAATGATATGTTCAATTGGAACACCATGAGTATCCCAACCGAATCTTCTCTCAACGTGATGACCGGTCATGGTTGCATATCTTGGAACAATATCCTTCACGGTAGAGGCTAAGATATGACCGTAATGAGGGGTACCTGTGGCAAATGGAGGGCCATCATAAAAGGAAAATTCTGGCTTACCTTCGGTTAATTTCAAAGAAGTGTGGAAGGCATCGATTTCGTCCCATAAGGCAAGAACTTTTTCTTCTTCCTTTGAGAAGGAAAAATGAGAAGAACTTTCAGACATAATTTACGTTTGTATGTTTTTTGAAGAGTCTTTCTTTATATGTCTATTCTATTAAGAATAAAAAAAATTACAAAAATAAAACAAGTTTATCTTATATAATATATGTGTAAGTATGAGTTATCGATGACACTTCGTTAATAAAAATTTCATGACAAATTTGTCTCTCTTGCTCTCTCGGTGTATGAATTTTTTTGTTCAAAAAAATCAGTCATTTCTGCGTTGTCTTGATCTGCCACGGTTTATTTTGTTGCTTAAACTGAAAAGTTTTTGAGGAAATAAAAATGATTGGCAATGAAAGAATGATTAATTGAAGATTCAGTAAAAGTATATAAGGCAGAGGTGTTACTTTCTATATATTATGTTGAATGATTTGATAGATTTCAATATTACGAAATATAACTGACGTGATGGGATTATTTACGTGAAAATTATGTGTTATCTTGCCAACAGCGGAAGAAAAATTGGGTTACGCTCTTGTGCAGTCTTGTGAGATGTTTAAATTACCTTGTGTATGCGCTTTATAATTGTCTTTTATGTAAGATATCTAGTAATTATAGCACACTCTTGCATTGATTCAGAACAACCATATGTTTATGTTTTTTGTCGATAATTATGACCTTTTACATGTCAACATCATCACAATGAAAGTTATTTATATTTTTTGAAATTCATTGTCGGACTACAAAATATTAATTTGTAAATAATAAATAGAAACTAAATGTGAAACAGTTTAGTCAATTTCAAACTATTTCTTGGTACTTTATATAATACATCTCACATAACCGTATAATAATACCAAAATAACTAAGGCACACACATATACATATATTTGATTTGTTAACTATAAAATAATGCATTGAAATATAAAATTATTTAGAATGACAAAATATGATAATGATGTCTGTTTTTATTTGTAAAAATGTAAATAGATTTATTATTATTTCAAGAAGCTTATTTCTTAGCGGTCATTCTTCTTAGGTAGAAAGCTAGTTCTTCACCTTCTAGAATGTAACCATCACATCTACCGGATTGACCTGGTCTAGATGAGATAACAGCGTATAGTCTACCAGCAGTGAATTGAGATTCAACAGCTTGTTCAACCTTGGCGGAAGCAGCTCTGGCAGCCCATTTCTTTTCAGTACTCTTGGACTTAGCAACAACTTCTTCTTCCTTAGTGTTCTTCTTCTTACCTAGAGATAGACCGTAGTGAGCTTGGTACCATTGCTTGAATGGAGTAGCATCGATTTGAACAACAGCAGCCTTGGTTAGAGTGTTAGTTCTGACCAATTCGTTGTTGGATGGATGGTAAGCAACACCAGCAATTCTGGTCTTCTTGGACATACCTTCGGAAGCCCATGAGAAGTTACCGGTCTCAATTCTTAGAGCTCTGAACTTCTTGTTACCACCTCTGGTTCTGACAGTGTGAATTCTCTTAGCACCAATCTTGGTGTTAGCTGGTTGACGACCTAATTCGAACTTTCTCTTCTTTCTGAATTGAGCACGCTTAGCACCTGTGGCTGATCTTTTGTGACGAGAATCACGAGAAATACCCATTTTGATAACTGTAAAATTTTTTTTTGAGTGTTGATGAAATAAAACTTGGAATGTTAGTTATATTACCTCAATATATTTAAATGTTAGTAAATTAAAATTCCAATAAGTTTCAAAATTTTTTTAATGGGAGAATATATAGATATATTTTTTAAAATATTTCATTTTCTTGATAATCTTATCCTTAGATAAATAAAGTCAGTAATGTTAATGAAAAGATCCCACATTTTAAATTCGGAGATATCATATACTATAATTTACAGATTGTTAACTATCATTCTCATTGTTGGTTTATCTCTTGACTATTACTATATACAGTGTCTTTCTATTTCAAATATTTAATAGGTTTCACAATTTAATATATCGATAATTATATTTCTTGAATCTCTATTCACGTTAATCCGTTAAAATTACTATTCATCTCTGATCATTCACAATATATTCTTTAGCGTTCTTCTTTTTATTAAGGATCATCAATATCTCTCTCATGATTATTTCATCTGTGTAGTACATACGTTTTGTCTGGTGTGATTAGTTTACGGTTTTCTTTGAAATGTAAGTAGATAATTAAACAATATATGAGTAAAATATATCACTTTTAACTACAAATTCAAGATGTCTGGCTACTTTGGGTTCTTCCTCCCATAGTATTATTACATCTATGTAGTGGTATATTATTGTTACTATCAAGGATTGAACAAAAATTGTTAGGGAACAGGGATTGAGTATTAGAAATCGAACGCTTAGTTAGTTTGAGAATTACTACGTACGCAATCATCACATCGACCGATGGGTTTACAAATGGGCTAGAGTGACCAATCGTAGAGTGTAAACCTCATTGCAATACTCTGCTTGGTTCACCTTGCTACTAGCCTCTGAAGCGAACGCTTGCAGGGTTCCCCTTCCAGTCTCACTAAATTGAGAAGGTATTTTGAGATATTATTAGGTGGAACTGACGGAGGTTATCCAGCCTAAGCAGTTCCAAATTAGTTGTTCAGTCAAATTGAAGTAGTATTTTTCCCTTTCCCTCCCCCACCCAGCCCCGAAAGGACCTACCGACCGTTGGCTTACATAGGTTTGCAAAAAATCCATTTCCTGCGGCGTTTTCCTTTGATAAAGCGCACTCCATGTTTCATATTTTTCTAAAATATTTTCAAATAAAAATAATAAAATTTAAAATTCTTTCATAATTGAAATAAAATAAATAGATGTAAGGATGTTATGGATACAGTCGTCCAAAAAATGCGGAATCCTACGTCACGTGAAAAGTTTCCCAGAAAAAGAAATTTTCAAAAAATTTAGAATTTCAATTCAAATCGATGACCGTTTTGGTGGAATATAATTAATAATAATAACAAGAATAATAATAATACGTATTAATATCTTTTTGTTATTTGTTTTAAATATCATACATATGCAAGAAGGGCTTCCATATATTTGCATCTCCAACTATAACACAACATTAACAATAATATCGTATACTTAAAGGATGTCCACATATGACCAAATCGAAATTGAAGATATGACTTTCCATCCGGAGTCTCAACTATTTACATATCCATGTCCATGTGGTGATCGGTTCGAAATCCTTATTGATGATATGTTTGATGGTGAAAACATCGCTGTTTGCCCAAGTTGTTCTTTGATGATAGATGTGATATTTGAACCTGAAGATTTAGAAGAATATTACACTGAAGCAGGAATCACTCCACCTCAACCTATGATAGCATCATAATCAACTGAAGGAAAGAGCAAGGATAACAGTTCCATAATATTTGAAAATATGATTCAAAATGTTAGTAACGAATTATGTGGAATAGACTTATTCTGTCAAATAAAATATGGAACCATACGAGGAATGATATAGTATTTTTATTGAAAATCTCATATTTGAACTCATACAGATTCAAGAAAGTATAATTATTCCACGTGTTTTACATGATCCATACCACCTGTCAATAGTACTTAGTTATGTGCCCAAAATGAAAATAGTACAGATCTACAGTTATTACTGAAAATAGTCCACACCAGACCCCATTTGTTCATATATTAACAACTTTATATTCTCATACGTACTATTAATGCTACATACTGCCACTCAGATATATATACAGGTTATAATTAATCTTCATATACATCAAAAAACTTACATTTCATATTTTGTACCGAAAGAATCAACCGGAGTAAAATAAGTATTGAGAGCTCATCTCTCTTTATCCATAAGAAGAATTTAAGTAATTGATATATATATAATGATACTACTTTCTCTACTTCTACTTCCGTTTAGTACCGAATTTCACTTTTCACCGCAAATATATTCCTGATGAAAAAAAAACAAAAACATCGCAAATAGAATGACAGACAACAAACATACGAACTGGAAAATATTACCTAAATTGAGCATGTAAATACTGCAGGATGTGAAAGTTCAATCATAATACATAGAGTGAATTAACTAAAAATGACAACAAAAAATGTAGATACATTAATCAAGGTAATGATCATCAAATACACTTTGAAGATAATATATAAATTCTTATTTTTTAAAGAACATCTCTTATAGTTCTATACTTCTTCATATGAAAAGTAACAACTGTGTATTTTATATATATATCCCCTTTAACGCAAACGATTATTTCCAATCCATAGTACTACATCTTAAATGAGTAAGAAAGTTATCAAGAATATTGATCCAAAACTGGAGACAGAAACCTACTTACCTTCTGCTCCAGCCCCCTCTGAAATTAAATCTGATGAAATAAAACTTAGAAGAGTCGCTAGACCTATTAGAAATGTTAGACACATTCCTATTAAATCGCAAGTGTTTCATTCCAAAGAAGGTCCATTAGAATTCTCTTATGAAAACAAAATTAAAACACCAATCTCAAAGAACAAATTAGTTGTTCAAGTTTCTCATGTTGGTTTGAACCCTGTAGATGTCAAAATCAGAAACGGTTACGTAAACCCAACATCAGGTGAAATTGGTCTTGGTAGAGAATACTGCGGTGTGGTTACAAATGTTGGTTCTGATATTGCCTACGCTTGGCATGAAGGCGATGAGGTATTTGGTATTTACTATCATCCACATCTGGGCACTGGTGCTTTGCAATCATCATTACTGATTGATCCTAAGTCCGAAGCAATTGCTATCAAACCTAAAAATGTAAGTTGTGAAGAAGCTGCTGGTACGATGTTCTGCTTGGGTTCTGCATTTAATATCCTAGATAGATTACAAAAAAATAAGTATTTAACTGAGGATTCTAACGTATTGATCAATGGTGGGACGAGTTCTGTTGGCTTGTTTGCCATCCAATTATTGAAGAATTATTATAAAGTGAAACCTAAATTAGTTATTGTAACATCAAGTAACGGTCCTGATATTTTGAAAAAAGAGTTTCCCCATTTGGCTGATGATATGATATTTATCAATTATTTAACATGTAGAGGTAAATCGAGTAAGCCATTAAGAAAAATGTTAAAAGAAGAGAGAATAGAATCATATAATGGGGATCGCGAAAACTCCGATGTAGTTATTCCATACACACAAGGAAAATTTGATATTGTTTTAGATTTTGTAGGCGGTTACGATATTTTATCCCACTCAAGCTCATTGATTCATGGCAAAGGTGCGTACGTCACCACTGTGGGTGATTATGTTGCTGACTATAAGGAAGATATTTTTAATTCATGGGATAACCCAAGTGCAAATGCTAGAAAAATATTTGGATCCATCATTTGGTCATACGATTATTCACATTTTTATTTCGATCCAAGTCCAAGTACAGCATCTAAGAATGAATGGATTGAAAAGTGTTGTGAATTTTTAGCAAATGAGACAGTTAAATGTGTCATTTACAAATCTTTCAGTTGGAAGAAAACTTCCGAGGCTCTGAAAGTACTACAAACACAACGTGCTCAGGGGAAGATTATTATTGAAGTTGAAAAATTCTGATTCAGCTTTAAACATATCGCTAAAATAAATTAATAACTCATTGTTCCTTTTCATAATTTCTAATATATAATAATATCATATCCACACAATAAACAAATAAATACTTACTAATATCTTTAATGGTAACGTCAATTAAAATTGTTGACATACGGAAGATAATATCAAATAATCCTGGATATAATTTTAATTCATGTTTTCGTAATTACTATATTTTTATTATATAACATTATTTGAATTACATAATTAGCATAAAAAATTGCTATTATCTATCAACTTTTGAATATTTCATTTTATACTTAATGGTTATCATTCATGATTCTCTCAATTTTAAAGAATAAATGATTATCACGGTTTGCTCACTTAATGCGTAACGATTTTATAGGATGTATACTTTATGCCAGATGGAAACTTCTTCTCCCCAGAAATAAATCTAAGGCGCCAACTCAATATTATAATAAGAGATCATTCTGTTATCATCTATAAGCTGTATCTAACTATCATATTTATTATTTCATAAAAATACCGAACAAAACAATTAATAAGGCAAAACCAATATAATATATCGATGGTGATTGTTGATCCTTTCTTGCATTCTTATCATTTTGTTCACGCAAAGCTTCTTCTGCACGGATACGATCCTCTGGATCCTCAATATCTGTTATATTGATAACCTTTTCCTTAGATGCTTGAATAAGAGGATCAACACCTCTGGCAGCAGCAATAGCTTCAATATCACCATCTTTTGATTTCTCATTATTTCTTTTCTCCAAAACCTTTAAATTTTCTTCAATCAACTCTGGAAACACAGTTTTGAATCTTCTATTTGAATGTGTGTTATATTCTACTGATCTCTTAGCCAATATTTTCTTTTGTACTTCTGTTGTACTAATAGAACCCGTAGTCCCTTCGTCACCTGTCATGAAACTTAATAGACCTGTCAAGATAGTTGCCACAGACCAACTAGGGTTCCACAAATCTGGATGATAATCACTCATAGAAAGGCATAATCTAGTATTTTCTTTAAATCTACCATTTGGAGTAATCATACGGATAGCAGGTGGCTTATAAGGATAATCAGACGGGAACGTCAAAGTCCCATGATATTGGCCACCTTCATAGGGTGTGTCAGATGGACCAGTGATGACGTAATGCCATTCTAGTATGTTATCTTCATTTGGTCTAGCAGATATATAAGGAGGCGGATTTTCTACAAGGAGTTTGTATTCCTTGGTTAACCGCTTTAGTGCCTGCTTACTAGCCATATTTATATTCTTTGTGGTATGTTATATCTATGATGTATTTGAGATAGTAACTAGGTAAGCTATTAACAACGTTTTTTTAAAATCAATTATGATTAAGAAATATTTCTAGAAGTTTCTTTTCAGGTTTGAGTTTCTTTTTTCCATTTGTTGAATTGCTTATGTAGCAACCGTGTAGTCTTATTTTTTTTTACCTCTCCACAATAAAATCGATGTACCCTACCGGGTACATGAGACGATCTCGCAGAACCTTTAAGCCATTTTTTACAATGACTGTTGTGTCAAGAAGTCGCTAAATATATTTACATCTAATAGATAGTTGATTATTAATTAAATGATTCTATAAAACGTCCAAAAAAGTATGTAATTATAAGTAGTCATTATTTCTTTCCAAAACTGAAAAACTTAGAGGTTTTCTCACCTATCCTATTCTTCGATAAACCATTTTTCTCAGTATTGAATGATTCAACAATTTCCGCCGATTCTTCTCTTGAACTGATATTTAAACAGCCAAAATCCTTTAAGAAGTTCTTTCGACGAACCACATCGTCTGCATGAATTAATTCCGACACGTTTTCATGATGAGACGCATGTCCCACACAGCTGTTAACAGTAGCATTATCATCCTCTGTATACATTAACAAATACGCCGTGGACATGCTACCACTGTCTCCTGAATATTTCAAGACATCCTCATCTGATATCGTCTCAATTGTCTCGTCGTCAAAAATCAACCAACCATATTTTTCGGTCTTGCATAGAGCCACATAATGACCGTGCTGTGGCCCACCCCCCATGTGAACAACCAAACCGGTCAGATTGTAATTTTTGGATTGTGTTGCGTCAAATGTACTTTGAACATGCAACTTGGATGGATAGTATATGTTATTGAACAATTTAATATTTGCGTTCTCAGCCTCTGAATATTTAAAACGTTTTAAATGTAATAGTAATGTACTAGGTAAATTTTTCAGACCCACTACCCTTTCAGCCTCTTGAAGCCCACAGCACAAATCACAATAAAATTTATTTGAACCATTCAGTAACTCCCTTTGATGGTACTTTTGCAATACATCTTGTATGCTGGTTTCTTTTTTCCCTTGAACTTCAATTGGAAAATCAAGGAAATTTTCATCCCTAGTAGTTATATTATCACATGTTAGACATTTTACTCTATATGTTAATGAACCTTCGAACATATCTTTAATAAAGTTTGGTGCGCTTATATTATTTCCATTAGTCATATCCGTATCGCTAATTTGATTTAAAAGGAAATTGAGAAATTCATGTGCATCCTGATGCATCATACTGTTGAACAAAACATTTTCCCTCTTGAAAGTATGAATAAATTGATATGGCGATACAACACCTGTCATATAATCATTTTCAGTGATACATTCAAATATGTCTTTTAGACTTCCAAATATGGGTGATCCTGTATCATGCTGTGATATTTTTTGGTCAATATTAAGAACAGGCCCATTGACTAAAGCAACTTTCTTCCTTCTTTCGATGGTTTGATAAATAGGTTGAGTGTCTGAAATTTTTCTCCCTAGATCCTCATTCGAGTGTTCATTTGTATTCACATTATTATCGTTATGTTCCTCAGGTACTGAATTGATAGTCTTATGAGAACTGCCATTCGACGAGGAACGGTCTCCTTTTATTTTCGAAATACTACTATCTAGTTCCCTACCAACTATAGTTATTCTAGAGTTTCTGTCATTGGCGGAGTTTAATTTTAATGGATCAGCAGATTGTAAAACTGAATTTTCCTTTGGTATTGAATCTGGTACTTTTATAAATGATTCTGCCCTATTTGAAGTTTCTGCGTTGGATAATACCGTCGTGTTAGTACTATTTGATCGTCTCATAAAACTTGACAACATTTTTTTACTTTGGTGTTGAAATGATTTTTCTTCCTCATTAAAGCGATTGTGGGAATCCGATAAATTACCTAATGGCAAGGTTGTACTTTCTCCATGTCCATTTAATTCTTGCAACAATCCGTCATAAGTTCTTGGGTTCTTAGATGTAACTTTCAATTTTCTTTCTCTTGATTCGCCCTTTAATTTTGGATATGTTAAAACATTAATTCTGAATTCTTTATGATTGTATAAACATTGTAAAACGGAGTTACAATAACATGTATTACCGAAGTTCTCAAAGCCAAAAACCTTGTTAGATCCATCTCCAAACGGTAGATCATCTGTTCTTCTACTATACCAAAGTGGAGGATAAACATCGTTTGAAAATGCTTCCTCAGAAGTTGTCAGTGGTGGAATATCTCTTTTAAATGAGTTGTTTTGTTCATTACTGAATGGGTTTGTGTTACTAAAACTCTTCTCCACTTCTTCTATTATTACCATCGAACCTTGCATTTCAGAAGAAGTTAGTACATCCTTCTCATCAGTATTATCGTAATTTATCTTTTGCTCTTCATCTAATGGATCATCAATAATCGTTCGTTGTTTTACTGTAAGATCATCTGAAGAGCTATTTTTTATCTTAGACGCTTTATTAACCGATAGGAAGCGCTTAAACATGTTTTTTTGATTGCTTCTTACGGTTTGAAATGTGCTGTTGAATGCAACTAAATAGCCACTTGTAAGTAGCAGTTATCTGAATTTGTCGAATTTTTAATTATTATTTAATTAGTTTTCATTTAACCTTACTGTACGATAGATGAAAATGTCCCATGCCTAATCTCTCATTACCTACGCGACGCGTGGTGGTTAAATTCAGCCCCCATTGAATGCCTGCCGAATACGTCAAAAACAATTGACAGCTAGAGGGAAAAGACAAAAAGAAGGTAATAACTGTTCACTAGCCCATTGTTTGTCTACTGTACAAATATCTATTCAATAAATTATATAGTGTGTTATACAGTAGACCAATGTGGTTTCTTTACAGACTACAGCTGGTTGAATTCCTGTCAAAATTAAAACAAAAAAAAGAAAAGAAACGAGAAATTAAAAATTTCAATAAATAAAATTACATAAATAAATAAATAAATATTTGTGATGGGTCAATAGTTTAGCCGAATTATTAAAATTCGGGCTCCATATTCATGTCAAACCAACCAAAGAAATCGTCGTTACTTAGATTACCCTCAGTCCATCCGGCACCTTGCTGTTGGAAGAAATCATTAATCGGATTGACAAAAGGCTCTTTACCATTACGATTATTTTTGTGAATATTATTACTATTATTATCGTTCTTATGGGTGGACTGATGATTTTTATTGTTATTATTATTTTTATTATCGTTAGATGTCTGTTGTTTAGAATAATGCTGTTTTTTGTTGTTTAAGAAAGCATTTAAATTGTTGGAATTTGAATTTCCTTGATTCTGGTAGGGCATTTTATTGTAGTACTTTCTATTGGTTTGATCGGCCTGAATATTTTTGTTATACTTTGGAGCATTTACTACTCCATTAGTCGCATCATTGGTTTTACTACTAAACAATGATTCTGTTTTGTTTGAAGATCTATTGGATCCGTAAGCTAACACACCATTGTTGTTATTTTTAGAATCGCTACTATTATTGGACCCCTGGTAGTATGTGCCATAGTCAGAATTAGGTGTACCGAATGAAGTACTTGATTGACTATCGTGTTTGCTACCACTTAAACCGGAATAATGCTGTTGTGTACCGTTTGTAGCAATATGAGATGAGACAAGTCCCATACTATCACGTGCAAGCACATCATCAATCTTAACACTACCAGTTTCATCCAACATGAACAATGGAATACCATTAATTTCTATTGCGGATCCTTCTTTTTTATCATTGGTCTTGGCCATCTCTTCTGCATGTTTTAATGCTGTCTTAGTTGGGACAAGTGTTGTCACTGTAGTACCACCTGGAGTTGTCTGCGTAATAGTCTTGAAATCATCTCGGGTGATATGATTGTACAGAGGTAATGGATACAGTTTTTTATCCCAATTATTTGTAACATTTTTTCCTTTATTTCTTAACTTTCTTTTTTCTCTTGCATTCTTAAGAGCAGCTTCATTATACTTGGGGTCCATCTCTCTTCTTCTGGCCTCATGCACACACCATACTAAATCATAAAATAATGAGCCCGTCAAATGAGATCTCATTCTAGATATGACACCATTTTCTTCGATAAATACCTCTGAATGTGTGATCAATACAAGATTTAGTTTCTCTAACATACTGGCTGTTCTAGATATATCATTTTCAACTGTAGCCCAAGCCGTCAATTGATTCCTGAACAATCTATGGACAGTAACAATAGATTGTCTTGCAGAGTTTAGATACTGGTTAGGTAATAAGGGTGTCAATTGCAATTTGAACAGAATCAATGCTGAAAAGGTTACACTCTGCCTTATAAAAATTGGCAGTGAAATCAATTGATGGACCTCTAATATGTTTGTTAACAATGTTACAATCTTTGTAGCGCAAAGATACGAGTCTGTAATATATTCAGACTGGTCTTCAATAGGGGTCTCTGGGAAAAATGCAAAACAATAAACCATTAGCCTGACATATAGATAATAAATATGTACATCAACATTTTCTTCAAATCCAGATATACTTGCTAGAGTATCCAATTCCTTGTTCAATACAGAAAGTGCACCAGCTCTCTCCTTGGGACCAATGAGCCCATCTGGGCTTGTCACGCTAGAACCCATTACATTGCAGAGTTTCAACTGAAAATTAGATAGGCTGATCATTTTTTTAAATCTACTTGGCAATTTGAGCTCACAATGTTCAGGTATATCATCACCAAACGCATTAGAGTCATCATTAGAAGATGTTGTACCATTATCATTAGTTTTGTCTTCATTATTCGTCTGTTTGTTAATTGTGGTAGATGTAGATGCCTCTATAGGATCTTCTTCTATATCACATTTTAACGCCTTTTCAACCAGATAGTCTGTCTTTGACGTAGATGGAAGACCTAAAATACTTGCCCAACATAATTCAGCAAAGTAAATACCAAGCCACGTTCTTGTTCTCCATTTCTCAGCATTTGGCATAGAAGTTTGTGATCTTGTGAATTCAGTGATAAATTCACCTCTGTGTAAACCTAATTGATAAGACAAAGATTTAGCTAGACCGACAAATCTATAAGAACAATCATCTAACACCTTTTGATTAGGTAGCGGCCATATACATAGAATTAGTAAAGCTTGAGTAATATGGGTTGATCTTGGGGTTCTCATCCAGCAAGTTTCAATGGCTAATTGTTTAATTACAACACTTAATTTCGTATATAGGGAAGGTTCTGGATCTGAAAGACAAGCAGTTAGCATGACAGTCCAAAACAATAATTGAGACTGAGAATATAATTCTGTCACAGAATTTGTGTACATTATAGGGAAATAAGGTAAATAATCCTTAACAAATATTGTATGCAATCTTGTCGCAGCTGTCATTGATAGATGAACATCCCCAAGGACAAACTCATCAATATTCGTATATGGAGATGGTAATGGGTTTAATGTTTCTGTTGTTAAAATAACAGGTGATTTTTTATTATTCAATGAATGACCTCCATCTATACTTGTGGCTCTAATGCTATTACTTGTATTTCCTGGTAATTGTTCTGAATCGTTAGAATTTGATTTGACTTGAGCTATAACATTTTCATCAGTCTGTGCACCACGTTGTAATGCCATCTGTAAAGTATTGGGAATCGCATTTTCATTATTAGATTTCCCTTTACTCATAATCGTGGATACATTTGAAGTGTTTGATGTTGTTCTCTTAATGTCGTCATTTGCATTAATATGATTCTTGTTCAATAATGCAGGTTCTGTTACTAAGTATGTTTGTACAGATATTTTTGTGCTTGGATTAGTATTAGAATCAATATTATTATGATTTTGATTAGGAAGTACTGATTGTGGTAACGGTGTATGTGTTGGATCTAAAGTTGATTGATAAGGTGACATTATAGAAAGATCAGTCTGTGTGGCTAAATCTTTTGGTGTATTAAAATTACTTGTGGCTCTGCTTAATAAATTTTCACGACCTATAGGATTTTCGTTAATATGTTTAAACAACACGTTTTCATTCGCCAACAAATAATTGACTTTAATCTTTAAATCATCCAAATCTCTTCTCATCATTTGTAATTGTGAACCTTTCTTTGGTTTAAACTGAGGATCTACTTCACAATGTAGACCATATTTAGTACATCTTGAGCAAGGTGTTGGGAAGTTTTGATGTGCATCACATTTTATCTTATGCTGTCTACAATGCGAACATGAGGTCACGGGTCTATGATTCGCCGCTGTAGCAGTATGTGAAGAAGATACTGCACTATTGTTGCTGTTGTTGTTGCTATTATTACTGGTTGTGTTCTTTGTAATCATTCCTGAATTATGAGCCATTGGAAGTATCGGTGGAATATGTTGCAGTTGACTAGTAGGAGAATTCACTTCAGGATTTAATTTCTGTTTTTTCAAGTTTGCTACCTGATATTGTTGATTTTCTTCTTTCATAACCTGCTTTATTTTATTTCAGAAAGAGAAGTTATAATACACTTCTTGAAATTTAAGAATATTAATATAGTTAATTTATTGTAGGTAGTTTTTCCTGCCTCTTAGAATCACTGAAAAAAATAATAATATACAGATAATGAATATAATGAATATAGTTGAAAATAATACAAAAACTTTATTGTTTGTTCTTAATTTTCCATTAAATGAATGACGATGATTTGAGATCTTATATTGTATTTTCTCTCTCTCTCTCTGTTTCTCTTATTTCCTCACGTTGTTTTTTTCACCAAAACGATACTAAAAAAATAAATAAAATTAAACAGAAGGGCCCGCAATTGTTAAGGGTACTAAATAAGGGAAATGCATAAAATGTATGAAACATTAAATATATCGGATTATATATATATACATATATATAAACAAGTTGATTCCAGAAAAAAAAAAGATAATCTTGAATGTATGTGTATATTCAATTGAAACGAACTCTTCTCCTTACCTTCTTGACTGAAAAGAAACGTTGTGTACCTTTGCTGACATTGTAAGAAGATGCATTAATAATTACCTACATAAACAGCAAGAGAAAGAAAGAATACTCTAATATCAATAGCTGAGTGTACATGAGTTCTGTTTTTCAAATACCAATGGTGGATGATATCATTTTCTATTGTAATAAGCTTGTACAAGACAATAACACCAGTGTCTAAGTATATTGCGTTTACAAGATTGACATAACTGTCAATGAGTAGTAGTGGGTTGATACGGGTCTCTTATTTATCGAAAGAAAGCATCTGAATCATCCTGCCATTAGTTGATACAACTAGTATGTATCTTCATTGTCATTAGAATCACTCACTCTATTTAAATATGTATAACATGGTAGTATATCTTTCTAAATAAATCGGGGAAAGGGAGGGGGACCCACTAATAACTCTGTTATTAGCATGGCAAGAAGAAGAAAAAGAAGCAGAAGAAAAGAGTGATTGTGGGGTTTCTCTCCTTTACGTTCTCCGAGAGCTGGCCCCTCCACCTCCTTCTCCTCGGGGCCCACTGACTTAACCCACACCCCACACATGCTCTGGCCCGCTCTAAAAAGAAAAACTAAGGGAAAATGGGAAACTGACCAATGAACGATGCGATAGCTCCGTCTGTAAAACAAATAAAGGAACACGAAAGAATAATAAAGCCTTTAGAGAAAAACTTGTAAATTGAAGTAAATAGATATACTCACTAACAATGCAAGTTTATCTCTCTTTGATGCGGGTTTTTTTTTAATTTAATTCTAAATTTAATTCTAAATTTAATTCTAAATTTAATTCTGAATTAAACCATCATCAACAACAGAAACCTATTCTTTAGGATGAATTTTTTAAACAAAGTTCGAAGATATTCAACTGTCTATTTCCGTAGGTTCGTTTTAATTATCCTCAATGTATTATACCAGCCATCAACTTAAAATAACAACAACGACAACAACCTAATATACTCATTTAGCGTAGTGCTTGAACAGAAGCATCAACATTGCCATATATCGTAATACTGATTATATAGAGGAGAAAAACAAAAAGATATATAAATTATTACATATACACATATACACATATACGTATTCTATTTTATCAATAACAGGCATATTACTATCCAATGAGAAAAGAAGGCTTGTACCTCTGTCTTGAACCTTTGTAACACATAGTGGGAAACATCAAAAACACAAAAGAAAAAAAGGTCGTATTATTGAATAAGAATGGTAATACCAATACAATAAATGATGCAACTTTCCTCTATTCTATTATGTTACATTGAAGATTGGAATTAACCAGTCGAAGTTTATTATATACCACAATATATATATATATATATATATATATTACATTAAAGATAACGTAATTCACTTAATCATCTCCTCACAACTGATGGTCGAGATCTTTCAACTTTCTAATGAATTTATCAAAAGTAATATCAATATTTTGTTTAATAAACATGGTTTCTGTCCAACTGTTCTTTCAATTTCAATCCCACCTTCTTGTTTTGATCACTTACCGCCATCACCTTTCAAAAAAACAAAACAAACACCCATACTCTACATACTATTTACACATTTTCATACAAATAATTTCTAGTACATTGCTCGTCCGCTTACTCTCTTTTGTTCCATTGAAAGGAGCGAAGACTTTTTGTTTATTATTATATACACAGGAAATTTAAGAGCCAGAGAGAAAATAAAAATGTAAACAAAGAGATATTTTAAATAATAACCATACAAATCAATCGATATACAAAACCCTCATACTTGAAATCCAAGAAGTTAGTGATATAAACAAGCATACTCAATTCATTAGTATACAATACCTCCGTACCCAGAAGATATGTCATTTCAAAGACGATCTACTAGTTCTGTGGCGCGTTCCTCAAGGACTGGCTCAACACCTCGAGACGTTAGAAGACGTACCGTGTCGGGATCCAATACAAAGACTAAGTCCGTTGCATACTCGAACAATACACAAAAGATGGTTCATTCCAGTAACGAATTGAGCTCGAATATACAAGTCTACGTCCGTTGTAGATCGAGAAACCAAAGAGAGATTGACGAGAAAAGTAGTGTGGTCATCTCTACAATGGGACCTAACGGAAAGGAAGTTATGTTATCTAGTCCTACTAGTTCTGGTTCTTTGTCGTATCCAAAGAAGACATATCTATTTGACCAAGTGTTTGGCGCCGAAAGTGATCAGAATCTTGTGTTTGATGTCACTACTAAAAATTACATACAGGAAATGATGGATGGTTATAATTGTACCGTCTTTGCATATGGACAAACAGGTACCGGGAAAACTTATACAATGTCCGGAGATATTAATATATTAGGTGATGTGGAGTCACAGGATAAAATATTGTTAGGAGAACATGCTGGGATTATACCAAGAGTATTAGTCGATTTATTTCAAAGATTACCAAATGAAACAAATAATGATTTTTCTGTTAAAATTTCATTTTTGGAATTATATAATGAAAAATTAACCGATTTATTAGCTAGTAATGATTCAGAAGATGAAACCATTCGAATATTTGATAATCATAATAACAATAATAATCATAATAACAATAATCATCGTAATAGTAATAATAATAATAATAATAATAATAGTAGCATTGGTAATGGGAATAGTCATTATGGCATGAACAATTCTACAACATCGTCAACACAAGGAACGAAAAATAATAACAATAATAACTCTCACGATTCTAGTAATATTTCAAATAATCATCATAATAAAGTAAGTTCCATTAAAAATGTATCGAATTCTGCAATTATTGTGAAAGGAATGGAAGAGATATATATCAAATCTGCTTACGAAGGGTTACAATTATTAACAGAAGGTTCTTTGAAAAGAAAGGTCGCTGCAACTAAATGTAATGATCTATCATCGAGATCTCATACCATTTTCACAATTACTACACACATTACAAAGATAGACCCTATCTCAGGGGAACAATATGTCAAAATTGGGAAATTGAATTTAGTGGATTTGGCTGGTAGCGAAAATATTAATAGATCAGGTGCCGATAATCTTAGAGCACAAGAAGCAGGTCTAATAAATAAATCATTACTCACGTTGGGTAGAGTCATTAATGCATTGGTAGACTATTCTCAACATGTCCCTTATAGAGAATCTAAATTGACAAGATTACTACAGGATTCATTGGGTGGTAGAACGAAGACTTGTATTATTGCTACAATATCACCTGCAAAGATATCATCGGAAGAAACAGTGAGTACATTAGAATACGCAACTCGTGCTAAATCGATAAAAAATACACCACAAGTTAATCAATCAATGTCTAAAGATGTATGTCTCAATGAATACGTCCATGAAATCGAGAGATTGAGACATGAATTGCGAACGTCAAGACAGAAGGATGGGATATATGTAAGTCAAGATCAATATGATCTATTTGAAAGTAACGAAATATTATTACAGGAACAAAAGATGAGAATACATAACATGGAAGAACAAACCAATAGATTCAAACAGGAATATGTTAAACAAACTGCAATTAGTAAAGATTTGGAGTTGAAATTAAACGAAGTTGAAAATACTTTGCAAGGGGTACAAGAACAAAAATTATCATTACTTGACGTATTTGAACATTATGAAAAATCAAATAATTTATTTATTGAAGAAGTACAAAATATCCATTCAATAAATTCAAATTTATTAAACAATATAACAATGGAAAGAAATGAATATTTTGATGATTCAAAGGATTTTATGAAGCAAATACTAAAAGCAAAAGATATAACGTCGGAACAAGAAAAGAAACTTCGAAAGTTGCAAAGGGATATAAAGCTTTACAATAATACCTTTAAGGATGTTATCACTGGTGTTTATAGTGAATTACAAAACAATTTCTCCCTTTTGAAAGAAGATGTTTCTAAACATATCGATACTATTGATTTTGAAAATATACCGACAGCATTAGCTAACTTGAAGGACTCAATTGGCACTCAATTAGATTTAATAAAGAAGCAGAATAATAATATGGTTTCTGATCCTTACAAGGTACACAGGTTGATCCTTGAATCTTGTTTCGAACAAATCTCTAAATCATTGAATTACTGCGGCGATGTTCTTGGTAAGGAGAGTAATATTATTTCCAACAAAATTAAGGACGACTTAAATCTTTTAGGGACCGAAATAAGTGAGGAGATGCGTACAATGGTAGACTTTATTACAAGACAAAGACAAGAGGTAGTAACATTGGAGAGTAAATTACAAGAGGAGCAAACACTCTCGACTCATTTGAATGAAAAACTGGATACACTTACAAAATATTTTGAAGAATACATTACAAAAGAAAAGACAAACTTGTATGACATTTTGGCGGACACATTTCAAACTTTCAAGTTAAAACAATCTGAACTCGATAAGCGTTTCTTAAATAAGGCTAAAACAGAGATTATCTCTCTTGGAAGTACAAACAATAAAATTATGAACAATAATGTTAAGAATATAAAAGACATATCAATAGGCGCATTTGAATCCATCAATAGAAATATAATACAGAGCCAATCACATGCCAGTGATTTGGTTGAGCTGAATACCATTAATATTCCTGAACAAATTTCCAAACTCCCAATAAATAAGTCAATCCAACATGTATTAGACAGCTTAACTAAAACATGCGAAGAGAACTCATCACGAAATTTAGAACAGTTACTACAAGAGTTGAATGAAAATAGACATAAAGATAATGTTAATATTTCAAATAGAATTGAACAAATGACGACCTCCTTGGAAGAATCAATAAAGTCAGATAATTACAATTACCGTATTGCATTTAATGACATTCAAAATGATATCCAAAAATTAAACAGCTTTGTGTCTGAAGACTATAGTTCTAACATTAACCAAATTTCTAAAACACAAACTGATATTCTAACTGAATACTCTAACCACATTTCTGGTGTTGCAGACAATTTGAATGAAAATTCACAATTTTCGACAGGAAAAGATATTCAAGAATATGACAATCACCCTGACATTGTCAAAATATCTAAATTACCAGATTTTAGAAAGCCATCGAATTATGAACTATATGATAATATGAAAACAGAAATAAATGAAGATATGACACATATAGATGGCCTATCGTTGGATAATATTTCTCCTGTCCATATTTCATTATCAAATATAAAATATAATCCAAGCACACCTGTTCCAGTCCCTGATCATCCTTTACCATTATCAAAGGTTTTAATGCCAAGAAGCGTTAATACGAAAAATATCCGTTCAAACACAATTGCTACAACAATCAAACAGAGTTCGAGTAGAGTTACGAGCCCTTTAAAACCGAATAATTTGAAGAGAAGATTTACATTAGAACCCTTGGATAGTGACATATCAAATGTAGAATCGAAAGAAAATAAGGTGCCGTTAGATAGTATATTTGAAATGAAGAAAGTTCACCTAGATCCTAACATGCCACCTCTGAAGAATTCCAATTAATGTCAAGAAAAAAAATTTCAAATATTTTATGAAGGAATGAAAAGAAGGCTAATTTGATCTATCTATAAATTTACATAAAAGTAGATATAATGTTAAGTAGATTTTACAATATTATATATGCGAGTAACGACGTAAAATCGATGAATAAAATAAAATCAAGTAATATGACTAAATTGGATGAATGAACAAAAATTGTTTACATTATGACACAATCTTTTTTCTTTTTTCTCTTAATTTTAAGTTCCTTCTTATCATTGTTTTCCGGTATTTTGTGAGTACCATCCTTTGCCATCCAAATATTGCTCGACTTATCTATATTGTTTGTAGTTTTATTAATGGTATTATCAGGTAAATCTGCCAATATGTTACTTGTCGATGTAGGGTTATTGATGCTATTTTGCGGAGTATGTTTATAATTTGGATTATTAAAAAATTTAGGAGTATCCATTTGTTGAACTTCAAGATAATCATTTTGTTGAACACCTTGAATATTATCAATCGAACGGTCTGCATCCAGTTGATTGCTATTGGAAGTTGTTGAGAATAAATTCACAGTTGTTACACTTCTACTCTTTCTATGACTATGATTTCTAATTTCTTTGTCTTTAGAATTATCAACAGCTTCAAGGTTATCTGCATTTTCTTGTCTTTTGACCTTTCGTATAGCTCTTTGATCGTTGTTTTTAGCGGCTTTAGTATACCATTTTCCTGCTGCTTCTTCGTCTTGTTCACATCCTTTCCCATTTTCGTAGAAATAACCTAAAGTGAACTGTGCTTTTGGAAGACCCAGATTTGCCGCCTTGGAGACCCATTGGAATGCCTCTGTTTCATCCCTCTTGAAAGCAGGTTCTGCTCCTAATAAGTACCATGCACATAATCCTAACATTGCTACGGGGTCATTTCCTTGTACAGCAGCCTGAGTGTAGTAATGAACAGATAAACTAACATCTTGTTCAATGACAGAATTACCTGTCTCGTAAACTTGCCCCAATAATGTTGCAGAAGGGATATGACCTAATGCAGCTGCTTGGATATATAACTCCATAGCGTATTTTTCATCAGGGATAATTAAATCTAAGAACCCATGTTCATAAATCTTTGCCAATTCATATGGTGCCGCATTAGTCAACTCGTTGGCTCTTGCCGAAGCTCTAGAGAGCCATTTAATCCCATTCTGTTTTGTGTTTACATCATTTGGGAGACCCATTCTACCATTGAAGGAATATAAGCCTAGTTTAAACATTGCTGATGGGTGATTTCGACTAGCAGCAAACTTCAAAAAATTTAGAGCTTTTCTAGCGTCTCTAGTCGTACCTAGACCTTCTTCGTAACAATGAGCTGTCCTATAAGCACTCTCAATATGCCCATGCTTTGCTGCAGCCTGGAATAAGATAAAACTTTCTTTATTAGAAACCTTACCAAATGCACCAGAGGAATAAGCATCACCTAACAAATATTGAGCATCAGAATAACCCTTTGAACTTAATTTCTTTAAGTAATGTTGTGCATCCTTCAGAAATTGTTTCTTAAGATCTTCTGAGGATACATCTTTTTCACTTAAATTATTAGTAGTGTCTTTGGTTACTCCTATGGAACTATTAGTATCGATAGTTAATGCTGTTTGTAACATGTATTGTGCATATTCAAATAATAATTTAGGATCCTTAGACTTCTTCACATTTTCTCTATACATTTCGATAGTCTTCAATCTGGGCATCAACGAGGTATTATTATCTGTCCCTAAATATCTAGTAATCATCTGATGAGAGATATCAGCTACAGATTCATTAGTAGACGTCAATTGTGTATCGTTACTATTATTCAACATATACATATGAGAAAGATCCACTGACCTCGTCCGTTGTTGTCTCAGTGCCCTAGCCGCATCTGACCCTAAGGACAAACTAGAATCATTATTGGATTTTGGTTCAGTTAGGGATCTTTCATGTGTTAATTTGGTAGGGGGAAGTTTCACCAAATCCTGATATAACTCATTAAAGTCTTCGGAGTTTGCAAAATCTGCATCGTCAGTAACATCCATAGAGAGTTCACCCAGACTGCTTTTAAGTTCAAGTTCTTGTGTATCGTTCGCTCTTTCAGAGTCGATTTGGTCGGCACTATAGTTCATATTCTGCGTATTGTACAGATGCTTTTTATATGGATGCATTGTCTCACTCATATTGAATAGATTATTTCAGAATGAATAAAGGAAACAAAAAGAATCACAATAATATTTACTATTATTATCAATACAACTAGTAATCACTACTTTTTCTTGTTTACGTAGTAGTAATACGCTATTTTCTAAACTTCTAATATTGTAACCCAAATTTAGATAGTGCTATTTCTATACCCTTTTACCCTCTTACCTGCTCATCTGCCCCTCTGTTAATTTATCCATTTCGTGTGTGTGTTGTACTTCGTGATGAAGACGACGCGCAATCTAATCCATATATAAATGGGCAATGGCGCCTCAGTTGTATACGCTTACCGCAAAAAAAGAGTATGAGGGTTTAGGGTTGCGGATGAGGGTTTTGTATTTCACTCACTGGGCAGCGCAGCGCAGCCGGTCGACTCGGCCGGTTGAAATTTTATTGGAACCTTCAGTGCGGTAATAATGAGCAACCAATAGCAGGTAGTCAGGATGTTATAGACCAGACAAGTCAAGCCCTCGACTCTATATTTGATCGTTATTACCAATATATACACCATTTGCCGGTTGCACTGCTCGATTACACAATTGGTATCTAGAATTAGTGGTTCTGTTTTTTTATTTCTAATAGCACGTTAATCGATCGGATATATATTGTCAAAAAACGAACCGAAACAACTAGTAAAGAAGGTCATATCGCAGTATATCGAGATAACGATGTCTGATAACAGCAATAATGGTAATGATCATCCTCTATCCATTTTAGTTCCCCGGAGACGTGTTCCACCCAGTTTCAGCCAGTCATTAGATCCATTGCATCCGAATAATAAACTTCATTATAACAATTATCTATCTCGAGACACCATGATCAGTAATAATAAAGATGTATCAAGAAACAGTACTTTGAATTCGGTGGACACAATGGAATCTGTTGCATCAGAAAATAATTATGGAAAATGTAATACTAGTAATAGTACCAGTAGGAATAGTACCAGTCGAAATCATAGTCGTACGAAAGAAGAAGAAGATGATGATGAAGAAGAAGATGAAATGTATGATATCGCACTGGCAATTTTCCAGAATAAGTTTAAACGAGTTACTTTTAAAGAATATGCCGATTATTTAGGACAGAAAGAACATTATCGAATACTATGCGAATATATTCAAATGTTGAAACCTTTACCTTTGTCACTAGCTTCAGTACTCATTCAATTATCCAGTAATATATATTTTATTGCCGAGGCTCAAAATATCGATAGAATATTAGAACAGATAAGTAAAGAATGGATTGCAGAACATCCAGACACACTTTGGGATACAAATTATGAAATTGTACATATTATTCTTTTTTCCATTCTAATCTTGAATAGTGACTTACACAATGAGCATATTATTCGTGGTAAGAAGGATAAATTTTCTGCTCAAACATTTATAGAGAATACTTGGTATGCTATTGAAAAGGAAGTGAAGACTAATTACCAAGAAATCGATTTAGATAGCATCAAACAACAAGCAGCCATATTGTTTAAGGAATACTATGAAATTTTGAAGAGTAATCCATTGCCATTATTCAAGGGACCAAGACGTAGTTTCTCAAATTCTCGTAGAAATTCTTTAAACTTATCAAGAAGAAATTCACTGAGATCAATGTCCCATGTGAAGAAAATGAGTTCGGCAATGTCTGACTATGAAGACCATAATTCACGAACTGAATCAAATACAAGGACAAGATCACAATCAGTCAACGTTTCTAATACTTTATCAAGATCCAACTCTATCTCCTCAAGGAAGACAGTAAATTCAACTTTTTCGAAAGGAACTGCCAGTTGGAAATATAAACATAATCAACCTTTGCCACAATTATACATTAAACAATCCTTTGATGAGAATTTAAATCGGAAGAACAATACAATGTGGCTCATGGATTCTATCATCAAGATCAATGAAAAGGATTTGAACAAGATGACAAGGAAAAGGAATAATACTAGTCGGAATCAAGAATCTAATGGGAGCAACAATAATTTGGCCATCAACTCCGATAATGCAAGTATAACAACATCTACATCCGCAGTATCAGCTGTCTCCTCTACAGTGAAATCCCATTCAAAAGGGATTTTTAATTGGTTAAGAAGATCAAAGGGAAAAACCATGTATCATGACTCAGGTAAATCAATGACATATTTAGATAATTCCAGCAGATGGACGAATGCTAGGATACGGGTTTCTGAAGGTCGTATATTTATATTCAAGACGAATAAACCAACTATTGCGAGTAATAATAGTAGCAATAAAGATCGGCAGTCGTCTGTTGGATCAACACATAGTAGTAATATAACTCCACCTCCACAACAAAAATCTCAATCATCATCTTCAAATAACAGACTCTTCTCAAATGGTTCAACATTATCATTGCCAATGACTTCTAAAAGTTCCAACCCTAATAAAGAAACTAAAGATCAATTTCGAAATTTAGGATGTGTTGTACTGAATTTATTTGAATGTACTGCATCAGTTGTTCAAGAAAATATAATTACAGGAAACCAATCTAAAAGGGCTAATTTTACATTAACATTTCCCAAAAATCTCAATGGTGTTCAAACAACCTTGGATTTTGAGACCCCAAATTTTCAATCAGCTCATGATTTTGTAGAATGTTTGAATTTTTGGGCAGGTAGGTTAAGTCCTGTCCCTGTAGAACAATTTGAAATCGTTTCTAATGAAGAGTACGGTTGGAGTTCCAAAATTTTGGATGGTGAACACGCGACTTCACAGTCACTAAATAATGTCCATCTGTGTGAGTGGAAGCCGCTACTAACGATGGAACTATTCTATGATCATATGGATGAAATCCCTGGTAAACTTCCACTTGAACAGAAGATCGATGAATTAAAAAGCTGTACCGATAGGTTAAGTAAGTTAATTGATGAACACAACGACTTAAAACCTAAAATTATAAGCGTATGGGATCGTTCTCTCAATTTTGATAAGGTTATGGACAATTGGAATGCCAAATATCTTTTCTTGAATAGCCAATACAATAAGAGAGTAATATATTTGGTTGCTTTAGAAGAAGCTTTAAAGACTCTCCAAGACAGAGATGTTTTTGAGGAGTAATGATAATTTGTATTTGTTTGAATCTATACTATATATGTACATGAATATTTATTTACTCTTCGTATTAAATTGACTATTTGACATCGATCCATTTGGCCACTATCACACCCTATATTTAATGAGAGTCACTGTCTGTAGTTGGCTTATTAATCTTCTTGTCTTTCATTCTTTGCATCAATATTTCAAGCACCTTATCTTCACCATATTCCTGTTCATCTATCTCTTTCCATTTATCTTCAATGATACTACGTTTAGATTTACTTTTAATAATTGCTCTCTTCTTATTTTCCATACTAGCCTGTTTTAAACATTGTGATAGTGCTTCTTTCTCATTATTACAAATTCCAAGAATTCTCTTGTAATAAGCCTTTTGATGGCATTTATCCAGAGCCTGAATAAAATCGTAACATGCTATGTCAAAAACGTTACAAATGTGATATATTTGTAAAATATTGTTAGTAAAACTGGACAAAGAACGACAGCTAGATGTTCATAGAATCGTGTAAACTGATATGTTTGTGAATGAAAATGTAACATACAATGAAATCTTTCGGCTTCTAATTGAGGATGCATCTTCTAAATAGTTTTATTTGTCAGGCTTTGGTATAGTGTTGATCAGGGTCTAAATGTGTGATTATCCCTTTTGGTTCTCTGTTTCTTTTTATTGCTCTGTTTATATAACGTTATATAAAAATGTTTCCCCTTAGAGCAAATTTAACGGTAATTTTTAATTTTGACATTTTTACCTAATTAATATTTTAGAAATATCAAAATATATAACTCTGAAAGAAACTAAAGTAGACTTTGAATTTTGCAGGTAATATATATAATGGAACGACGTACAAGATAGTTTTGAGTATCCTAAATCATAGATAATGACTACAGTTTCCAATGAATTCAAAGCTCGAAGAAAGCATCAGATGCTGCGATTCTTTGGAGCAACATTCTTTACTCTTCTCTCCTTCAGATTAATGTTAAAGCAACTGCAAACACCCAAATGTATGTGTCTACATTATTGGTTGAGAAATATTCCAATTCCAATTTTAAATAATTTGATAATTTATCCAAGTTACTAACAAAATTACATACATATTTATAGATATCCCTAGTTTGTTCCAGCAAAATGTGAAACAACTGCCATCTGCAAAGAAACAAAATGTTGGTAAGTCATTAGGAGGAACAGTAGGTATAACACTTGGAGGATTCCTTATGGGAATTACAGGTACATGTTGGTCGTCTGATATATCAACGCTTGATGAATTTAAGGAAAAATTTCATGGTATAGATGATCACCCAAAAGTGAAGTGATGGATTCAGTAGAACAACATTGATTCTTTAGAATTAGACCATATTCCTTTAAATAATTTCCTTATTTATATACTGACATATTTGTACATAGAGTAATAATACGGCATTAACATAAGCACAATCATAAATATTGTGAGACTATCATTTAATATGTTGTAGTTCCTTTGCCGTATTATTGGTTAGCCCTTCAAATTTTAGTCTTACGCTGAAGCCGAGTAAGATACGGAGAGGACGGTATCTTCGTTGTCTACATTGTAGAAGGAAAGAACTTTTAACACAAAGGAAGTTGGTCAAACTAAGGTAAAGGGATAAGAAGAAAGAGGACTTTAACTAACTGAAGCCTACATTATAGGTTATTCGAAATATTAGGTAGTTATTTGTTATTGTCATATTTTTTGCTAAAGTATTGTATCAGCACCCCCAAAAAATACGAAAAGAAAATATGTCCAATCACACTGAAGAGATTGATCAATTCATTACCATGACAAATGCCTCTCGTAAGGTAGCAACTGAATATATCACGACATTCGGTGACCTTGAGAGTGCTATTGAAGGATATTTTGCAGCCCAATCAAACGAAGTTCTTTCTTCATCGGATAATGATAGAGAAGCTACCAATGATACAACAAGATCAGTGGAGTCATATAGTGAACGTCCATTGGGAATCGAGCGTTCTGGTTTACAATCATCTGGTTCTAGCAACTATCCATCGAGGAAAAATAAAAGCAGTTCTGATAACAACAGTAAATTCATGTCGTTTAGCGATATGGTGAGAAATAATGCAGATGATGAGGATGATGAGGATCGTCCTAGAAATACTTTTGCCGGTGGTGAAACTTCTGGTTTAGAGGTTACCGATCCAAATGATTCGAATTCTTTAATAAAAGATTTATTAGAGAAGGCTAAAAGAGGTGGTGAGAGAGCAACTAGTGGTGCTTTTGACGATAATGAATCAAGCCAACCTGAAAGGAATCAATTTGAAGGAAGAGGGTATAGATTAGGTTCTGTAGTCGATGCACCAAGTCCTGTTGTTGAAGATAATTCTCCAATGGTATCTACTAAGAAAGAAAAGGTGAAAAGAGAGATTACTTTTTGGAAAGAAGGGTTCCAAGTTGGTGATGGTCAATTATACAGATATGACGATCCTAAATATGCGCATTATCTTCAAGAATTAAATCAAGGTCGAGCACCATTGAATCTCTTAGATGTTGAATATGGACAAGATGTTGATGTTGCTGTTTTCAAGAAGTTAGATGAATCATATAAACCTTCGAAGACTCCTCAGGTAGCTTTTCACGGTAAGGGTCAAAGACTTGGCTCTCCAATACCTGGAGAACTTGAAGAACCTACTTTTACTCAGCCTGTTAAGGTCCATAATTCAAATGATGATAAACCAGCATCACCACAAGAGTTAGAGAAGGAAAAAGCAGAGATTAAAGGTGATACATCTGTTCAAATTAGGTATGCTTCTGGTAAGAGAGAGGTTTATCGTTGTAACAGCACCGATACGGTTCAATCGTTATATGATTATGTGAAGCAAAACACATTAGATCAATCGAGAGCATTTACATTGAATCATGCTTTCCCAGTCAAGGTTATTGATCAATATGATTCTACTATTGCAGATGCCAATTTAAAGAATTCTGTAGTGGTACAAAGGTGGGTTCTTTAATGTGGAATGACTAGTTGATAAATTATTTTTGGTTACTGCTAGGACTTCTATCGTATACATATATAATACAGTGAATAGATCATATAATTTTTTTTTACATAGAACATAGATTAAAATATAAAAGAAATAAACAATAAAGAAATATTAAACAGTTTGATTACTTTAACTTTATTGCACATTAGAATGTATGTTGTCAAACATATATAACAAAATTCAGTAAAGTTTCAAGTCACCAGTGATTTGATCTAATACTGATTTTGGTGCAGGACCTATACCTAGTACAGTAGCACTACCTGCAGCAATTTGTGTTCTGCCAGCATCATGGATTACTACGGCATTTACATCTAATGATAATGCCTTTGCATATAATTCATCCATCATCTCTTTATTTTGACATTTTAATGTAATCTTTGCTTGACCACCATGCAGCCATCTGTTGGTTAAAAGAGGATTATATGATTTCTTTGATGGATCTGTAGCTATCAAACGGAAGCATCCAAGAGCAGCATGAGCACATTGGGCTGCAACTTTACCTTTCTCCATCTTCAAATCAGTTCTTATGACCAAAGCCATTCTAACTTCACCAGGGATATCATTCAAGGCCAAGGATTCAATTTCATAATCAGATTCTTCTTCAGATTCTTCTTCTTCCTCGCTATTAAAGGCTTCTTTATCGGTAACATGATCAGTACTCGTAGCAACGTTTTTATTACCTTTCTTTGGATGCAATGGTTTGTTTTCTTCTTGACCAGATAGTTGAGGTATGGTTTGGCCCAGATAAAAACCAGTAGCTAACGCAACAAAGGCGATACTAAAATACGCCGGTATATTGCTGTTTAAATTACTCATTTGAAATGGTTTGATATATTCAAATAGATGAAAGCAGATGGTTATTGACCTGATTCATTCAGATCTAATACATTCATATATGTATAGTGTCCGACCAACATTTTCAATGACTGAGAAATTTAATCTGATCGAATTTTTCAACTTTCGTACAGTGAAAAAGCGAGGGAAACAAATTTAGACAACAAGCAATGGGAGATGTCCTCAAGGTTCATTACGATGGAATTAGATTCGCATTGAAAACTTTGATTCGATAAGGTATGCTTCTTACAATTTAGTAAGGTATGTATATATTAATTAATGACATATGATCGTACAGCTTCTATAACTCACTGTGAAGTGTGGTAATGTTTTCTTTATGCCATATCTTGAGTCGAGAACCATATTAAGAAAGTTGTACAGCTATGGTGGTAACAGTTCCATAACTCTTATTTGTTTTTCAAATTTATCAAAACATCACTATCTTTTTTTTTCAGAAAATACTGTACTAATTACAATGTCCCTATTCGAAAGGTATATTGAGCATCCAACATACTAAGAAGCCATCCACATCAATAAAATTTCCATATTAAAAATGTAGAACTTGAAGGATTAGCATTTTATAATTGATTCAAATACAATTGAGAACAGAGGCGTTGGAATATGGTGTCAAGTAAATATAAGAAAAACAGAGTAGGTGAGATTAATCCTATCTGTCATACTAGCGTTTCCATTATACAAAATCTGTCGTTGTGCGGTAATTAAAGGAAAGCCCGAGATATTTATGTATATATTGGCATTATATAATATCGGATTTCTTTAGTTTTACTTTTTTTCCTGAAGTAACAATATTTGAAAAAAGGGGATAATAATAGATTACACAATTTTAATATAATCTAATTTAATTAAGAGAACCGCTGAAAAATAAAATTAGTTTTATGATTACAATTACAAAACCTATATTATAGTATTATTGCTATCATAACAATTATTTTCATATTAATCGAAAACTGAAGCATTTCAAAAGATATTAAGAAAAATTTAGGATGGGACAAATACTTTCTAATCCAGTTATCGACAAAGAAAAAAGTGAAGGATCTGATGGGTTTACAGCTTTCGGATTATGTACCATGCAAGGTTGGAGAATGTCAATGGAGGACTCCCATCTTACAGAGCCTGATATACTCGATTCCAAACAAGAAGATCAATTAGCATTGTACGCTGTATTCGATGGGCATGGTGGGGGCGGGGTATCTACGCGATGTAGTACAAGGATGACCTCCTTAATTAGGCATTTAGTCCACCATGCATCTGATTACTATATGACTGTTGACAAGAAGGCAGTTAATTATGGTAAGTTATTAATAAAGGCTTTCTTAGAGATAGATGAAGACATTAGTAAAGATCAAGAATTGGTTAGAGAACAAAGTGGTTCGACGGCAACCGTAGTACTCATCTCAAAGAAATTAAACAAGGTTATATGCGCCAATGCTGGTGATAGTAGAACAGTGTTATCCTCAGATGGGTTAGCCAAGGCATTATCCTTCGATCATAAACCTAATCTAACCAATGAAATCGGTAGGATTGTTGCAGCAGGTGGTTATATTGAAATGGGGAGAGTCAATGGTAACTTAGCTTTATCTCGTGCTGTTGGAGATTTCACTTATAAAGGTGACACAACCCTTCCTCCACAAGAACAAATTGTCACTGCGTTTCCTGATATTATGGAACATACTTTGGATTATAAAAGCGATGAATTTGTAATCTTAGCATGTGATGGTATTTGGGATTGTTTATCATCCCAGGATTGTGTCAATTTAATACATTTTGGTATTAATAAAGGAAATATGGCCCTCACAGATATTTCCGCTAGAATAATTGACGTTTGTTGTGCTCCTACAATTGAAGGGACAGGTATTGGTTGTGATAATATGAGTATCACTATTGTGGCATTATTAAAGGATAATGAATCTCTAGATCAATGGTTCCAACGGATTAGAATGAAGAATATACGTGATGTAATATCATTTGAAGAAAAAAGAAGGAGAATATTTTCACAATATTTACCAAAGGATCGTACTCAACTCTTTGCTATTACTACTCCAACTAATGAGGTTCAAGAGACACGTGAATTGACACATGAGATTAATCCGAGGTACCAAACAATTGCAGATGAAACACAACAATTTGGTAATCCAATGAAAACCGAATTAGAGGTTGAAAATGACAATAGTATTGCAAATAAAGAAATACCTATACCTAAACCTAAAAGAGGTTCCTTGGATCTATTTGAAATAGAAAAGAAAATTGAGGATGGTATTAAGGAGAAACAGAAAATTGGACAAGATAATGAGAATAGAAATAATGATAATGATAACGAGAAAAGAGGTAAGACCCACGAGAAACATTCGATTTTTAATCCTACGACACTTGGTAATATGCTAACTTCTTTTACAACTGCTGCCATTGGCGAAGCTGCTCCATTTCTTAGTGAAGAAGAAGAAGAAAGTGAGAAAGAGACTCAACAGAGCAAAAAATAATGTATAGCATCGCAAAAATAAAAAACAAAAAGATTAAACTACGTACTAAATAGTAATAACAATACACATACTGCTCCCTCTAATTATTTATGAAATATATATATTACCATAATATCATCGAGATTAATTATGTTAAAATATGTATAAATATATCTGTATCTTTACAAACAGCTCAAAATGTCAATCTGATTGAAATCATATCATTAAATATCTATAATCTATAATCTATATATGTATATATATATGTCATTGAATGTTTATGATTTATGCTCCATATATAGAACAACTAGTTTCCCATACTTGATCAACAACCTCAGATAATGGAAGGCCTTTGATGTTAGCAATAACTGTAGCGACTTGTTCCATTGTACAAGGTTCATTCCTCGATTTGATCATATAATTATTCCATTCATCTTCCTCCATTTTGCTTAACTTATCTCTCTTGACAGATTTATATGGTAATGGTTGATAATCTTTTAAATATTTAGAAGCTTCGTGAGTTCGTCTAATTTCACACCATGGAGCATCTGTCTCCAGAAGTAATCTATCTAGTGGTACTCTCTTAACAGATTCGATATTTTCTTCTAGTCTAAATGAAGCACCATTCATTCCAATATAGCAGTTTGGAGACAATGAAAGTAAGTTCTCTAAGTCGCTGAGTGAATCAGTAAATGAATGTACAACAAATTTTTTCGAAGATGGTAATTTATAATGAATCGGTTCTTTACTACTAATAATATCCTTTAAATTGAATTTATCATCATTATCATGGAATCCATTAATAAATTTCTTTAATATAGTAATAAAATCATCACAACAGTTTCTCATATGAAGAAATAAAGGAATTTCCTTATTTTCTAATAAACAACATAATTTCAATTGTTCTTCAAAAAATATTAATTGTAATTCTTTACAAGAATAATGGAAACGATCATAATCAAGACCGATTTCACCAATTGCTCGTAAATCTGGATCATTTAATTTTGTAGACATAAGTTCATATAATTCTTTCAATTTCTTTGAGGCAAATTTTGTATCTTTATTCAATGATTCATAAAGTTCATGATTATAATTTTCATCATTTGATGGGTTATCGATTGTACTTGATGAATCTATACTCTCTAAATTTTCTACAAATTCATTTACACAACATGGATGTACACCAATTGTGTAATATAACTTCACTGGAGAGGTATCCTTTAAATTATCCTTCAATTCAACTACTTGTTTTGATTCTACAATTGAGGAACCTGTCAATAAAGTAACTTTGACGTGTCTCTCCTGGGCTCTATACAAAATGTTGGATATATCAGGATTATGATATTTTTTACCATGGTATACACCTTGGAACATTGGATCGGATAGGTTAAACCCTATATCGTAATATTTCATTCGAGGTAAATATCTTGGTATCTGGCGTACTGTACTATTATACATCAGTAAACTAAATTGTCACTGATATCGCTCTATATATATAAATTATAAATCAAGAAAATACTATTATAGCTTTCCCTTTCATGCATTTCTTATACTTGAATATTACCTCTTTAAAGAATAAACCTTACGACATCTAAAAACTAATCTGTAAGAAAATAAATAAAATAAAAAAATGTTAATAAATAATGAGCCATTTTTCAATATTGTTTCTTAAATTGGGAACGGCGGAACAACTAAGAGACACCCACACATTACACCCAACGAACTCTAAAGGACCCTTCCATATAAGTGTGTACGATAAAACAAACTATTGGTGGAAGCTATTTGATGACAAGAATTTAATGGTTATAACAATAAAGATTATCAATCTCATTTTGTTGTAAGTTGGTGAAACTACTGATGCCAATATATGTATATATATATTTTAAAATCTAAAAACAGAAGGAAATATGTTTCTAAATATTGCTGACCATATTTTAAGTTTGTGAAGACGACTAATAGGAAACCACACTATTCTTTTCTTAGTGTAAGATAGTTTAGAAACATAACATCGAGCTCTGACAATGTTCACTATACGTATATCATCAAACTATATAAGAAGTAAAAGAACTAGAACACGCATGATTGGTATATAAGTTTAAATACTCTTTGGGAAGATTGAGAATGTTTTCTATATTTATCAAGAATTTCCTTTATATTTTTACCTGTTTCAAATACAAGGTTATACCAGAAAAGGATTTGAACATTCCTGCTAAAACAAACAACCAAACAAAGATATACACCCAATATTGAATTAGGGTATCCTTTTTCCCCACATTATATAATTTAATACAGATTTAAAATAAAATTGTCAACGCAAATTTGCCTCTCCCAAAAGAAAACCAAAATATCTTTACCGCCGAAGAAGTCCTCTTGTAATCGTTTTTGCCTTGCTTATTGTGCGCAAAATTGCATAATGCCCAAACGGAACAAATTTGCAAATGTGCGTTTTGTAAAGTTGCGGAAGAAAAGAAAAATTTGCGTTCTCTCTATATTTCCTTATGCTAAAAGGAACTCAAAAAGGAGTTTTCGTGCAAATTATTCTATTTCCGTGTGAATTAGCGTTGGGAGGGGCGTCTATAATTGACAGTGGTCCCTTCTTGAGTGCCCTCCCCGTTGAGCTAGAAAAACAAAAAACAAAATTAGTTAGTATGCGAAATAGTTTGAACGGACAGCGCAAATTTTGAACTGCTATTTGATTCTATTTGAACTCTATTTAATTTTTACATACACAGACCCACAGTATAGTAGTTAGTATGGCGGGGCCAGAGAGGTCCCTTCTCTCCATCAGCGTTCGTTGTGTCCATCAGCTGTTCCGTTTCGTCTCTTGCGGCTCACGCTCACACACAAACAATATAATATTTAATTATTCCTCATCCGACAAACAGCCCACCGACCGCAGCAAATGATAGACAGACAGAGAGATGAAAGAATAACAAAACAGACAAAAAAACTAAATGAGAAGTCTTGACGAAAAAACCCATCGCTCATTATCACATCATCCATCGGTCATCGCAAAAATATATTGGCCGTCATCACACACTGTAGACTTACTATTTATCAATACATATATTTCTGTAACTACAGACCACATATCATTAAAATAGTATAATAACTCTTTTTGATAGAACGTAAAAATTTAAATATAATACATATTAGAGTTTAGTAAAGTTAAGTGATATACATAGATATAGTTTAATAACGATATTTTTTGTTTTATCGACGTATTACAACTCACTGAAGAATTTTTTTTTTTTTTTGCACTCATCACCAAAACAGAAAGAAGAAGAAAAAAAATTGTAACATATAACGTTGTCAAAATCCTGTATTACAAGATATTATCAACTACCATATTATTATTTGTACTATCTACCATTAGAGAATCATAGATAACAATAATCTATAATTTCTCTGCCCATAATAGTATTGTACTTTTTTCTTTTACTGATAGTTGAAGTCATACCAAAAAAAAAATAAAACAATTTTGAATTTACAGTTCCTATTTGTTTTTTGGTTATAATATTAAATTTTGTTTCTGTTTTTTACCATTGATCTATTCAAATAGGTTCATGTTCCTATAAAGTTTCCAAATCATTATATTTATATCTACTGAATATTATTCATACAGTAATAACAATACAATACAACACTATCTATCGTAAAAAAAAAGAATAGATATATATATATTATTTTAGAAAGGAATAACCATTTGAAATAATATGCCTTCTTCAAAATCTACATTTTCAACAATGGCATCACATTCAACATCGACGATTTTAAATAATCATCCACATCCACATCCACATCCACAATTGCATAATCAAAATCATGCTTTGAATAATACTTTACCAAGTCCCGGTAATATGGCAAATTTTCATTCAAATATGATGAAGAAAAAAGATATTATAAATCACGAACCTACTTTATTATCAAGAAGTAATACTGTTTCTTCGCCATCTCCTTCTTCTGCAACTTCGCCTTCTACAGCAGTATCATCATCGATGTCTTCACCTACTACAAACCCAAACTCTATTAAAGAAGTAATCATAAATCCAACTGATATGACTAATAATCGAATTAATGAGGTATCAAATCCTGTCTCTGGTATACAAAAAGTTGAAGAGGTTAAATTGGTTAATTATTCTAATGGTACAACTCCTAACAGTGCAGGTAAGAACCCTTCATCGTGGGATCCACAGGATGATTTGTTATTACGTCATCTAAAAGAGATAAAGAAGCTTGGATGGAAGGATATTTCTCAATTTTTCAATAATAGAACACCTAATGCATGTCAATTTAGATGGAGAAGATTAAAATCTGGAAATCTAAAATCTAATAAGACAGCTTTAGTTGATGTTACAGATTATACTGCTGTGATTAAAGCTTTAAATGAAGGAAAATTAAATGAATACAAATTGATGGACGTTCCAGCAACTGCTAATAATGAATCAAAACAAAAGCCGCTAAGTGTTAGCGATAATAATACTGATATGATATCTCCTAGAAAGAAATATGAAGAACTCAAATTTTCTTCAATGACAAATAAAGGAAATAATTATCAACAAACGATTGCTTCGAACAATTCATCACCTTCTAAGGAATCATATGCCTCAAAGTTTATTTCGAGCACTAATTTATCATATTCTCCAAACGATAATATCATCGATAATAATCAACATACTAGTAATATCAATTTCGGTAATGAATCCTTTACAAAACAATTTAAACCACAAAGTCAAGGTAAGATCCCTCAAATGGAGCAACTGAAAACACATAGTAATATTTCCTCAACACATTCTAACACCAATAGTAAGAAATTCATTAAACCGAGATCATTTTCACATTCTGTTACAAGACCTAAACTTCTTGCTAGTATGAAAAATTCAGTATCAAATATCAATAATGGTGTTTCTACTGTATCTAATGAAGAAGAGAACGTTGGTTTTATTCCAAAGATTATTGTAAGATCAAGACGTAGTTCTTTAGCTGTGCCTGTTCTGCAACAAAATCAAATCACGAATCAACCTCAATCTCATCAAAATTCAAATATGCTGTCTCCTTCAGCTTCCTATTCGAATATTGCTAATGCTCTAAACACTACTTTGGTCACATCTAAATCGAGGAAAAATTCGATATCACTGATGTCAAGACGATCATCGTTTAACGTTACAAGTGGAAATTCATCAAGAAAGCAGTCTATTATATCAACAGCAGTTTCAAACTCCATTTCTAGTCAATTTCCGTTGGCTCCACATCCTACCAGTGACGTTCATTTAAATGTTCAATCCATGAAACAAAGAAAAGATTCAGCATATAGGAAGGATTTTCATAATATGAATACCATGGTGTCAAATCCAGAACATAGTTTCCCATCCACGTATGGGTTTGTTGACGCACCGTCATCGAATACACGTCGAAAATCATCGATTACTGGAGTTAATATGCATTCAATTTCTAAAGATATCCCATCTGTGTCCGAATGGACAAATCAAGAAGATGCGATAGTATTGGAATGTCATGGAAGAAATCTGTCTTGCAGAGAAATGTCAATTTTATTAAATAATAAATCAGAAAATGAAACTCAATGGAGATTAAACTATTTAAAGGGCATTGGAAATGGAAGTAAAGGGAACTCGGCCGAAACTGAAAATGTGGACCCATTACACATGGGCCATGTATCCAATTCATATACTGGGACAGAATTAGGAAAAAAAGACCAAATCAATCAACCACTGAATACCCATCTACCTAGCATAAATAATATACTTAATGATGCAAACTAAAATAAAAGGACACAATATACCCCCACATTAGATGTTCTCTATTAGGGGACCAAAATCAATGAAATACAGAAAGAAGATAATAATATTCTAAATTTAGGACAAGACTGAAACATATAGTCTCTAGTATGCAAAAACGTATTTCATTTTAACTATTATTGAATCATAAAATTTCAATAGCTTGCAATTGTTGATAATTAGAGAGATCCCAATATGATAATACATAACATACAAAAATATGTATTGATCAGACCTTTACATTTAGGCAACCTGTAATGCATATTGGCAGAGAAGTGTATTGTGTAAGTATATACATTTATTTACATGGAATTAAAACCTATATATCATCGTAGCCTTTATAAATGAGAATAACTAATATTAGAAGGCAGGTAACCTTCTTAATTCTTTATTAAATAATGTTATTGGTTACAGATGTTATGCGTTTATATAATTTTATATTAATTATAATTATCATCGGTTAATATTATATTCCATATCCACTTCATCGTCGTCATCATCACCATCGCCATCGCCATCGTGACTTGCATTATAATCTTCATCATTGCTGTTAGATTCATCAATATTTCCTAAAGTTGACATATTCTCATCAACATCTATATCTTCATTTTTATTCTCAATTCCTGAGGAAATTGATCTTTGGATTGAATCTGTATAATTAGACTTTGTGACAGGTAGTTTAGATTTTACCCCAGGAACGAATGGTTTTATCAAACAAGATTGCCAATGGTCATTTAGATCAACAGTAAAAGTTTTGTGGTCTTCTGTACAAGTTATTCTACTTTTAATTTTGTTCAATAAAACATTTTCCATATCTTGTCCATCTGCTACGTCATCCGTCATGTGGTCTATCATAACCGTAAGATGTTCATTAAACACATCCGAATTATGGTAATCGACATTCGCAATTGACTTTAAAATTTTACTTGTCTGTGAATCGAGGTTACTATTATTGCTAACGGCATTTATTCCACAAGATGGACCAAATACAAGTGGTTTCCATAATAAATTCTCTATCTTGATATGCCATATCATTTTCTGTCGCCATTTTTCATTGACATCTTCAATATAAGACCAATTTCTGATAGCAATAATAAATTTAGATTTATTGGCCAGTGTGAATAAAACGTCTAATTGCTCCAAACCAAAGACTACATCTGTAGCTGTGAAACCAGTAATAGTAGATAATTCCTTTAATGAAATATTTATTGATGCATCGCCATTGAAGTTTAATTGACGCAAATTTAATAGAGTTTCTGCCAACTTACATTTCCAATAATATCTATATGTGAGTAGCCCTAAATCTGAAAGGGGTTTCTCAGGAGTACCAACTTTAAATTCCCTCCTTGATAAAAGGTAAGAGAATTCCATCAATAAATTTCCGAAGCCCTGTCTTCTGAAGGTAGGCAATGTTAGAATACAACTAAGGTTATAATCAGTAGAATTTAATTTTTCTTTGGAAAAATAGCCTACTAAATGGTTTTCAGAATATAATACATAAAATACAAATGGATCTACCTCATAGAATAATGTTTTTGATCTAAGAAAAAGCATTGACAACAGACAAAGATTCCTACAATATGTTTGATTTTCTCTTCCATCTATTTCAAATAACCTAATTGATTTGTCTCGGTAGATTACTGACCCTGGAGGTGCGAAATGGGAGGAACATTTTTGTTTATGGCGCCAATATTTAAATCTCGAGGAGCAATATGACAAGCAGTTTTCACATATGAAAATTATAGATTCACTATTGACATGTTCAGGATAAGGACTTGGATAAAGGGTTTTAATTTCGTTATTATTTATGCAGATTGCTTTTACTTGCGATTTCGCAACAAAAGGTGAGCTCTTTGTTTCCCTTTTAAAATCGAAAGTATAAGTCGATAAAATATTACTATTAATGTATTTTGTTGCGCTAGATTTAGCAAGTGTGCTTGCAAATATTTTACGATCATTTGTTTCGGGTTTCGTGCGATCAATAGAGTATTCCTTTTTGGTAGAATAGATGGACTTATAAAGAACATCACGAAATTCAGAATCTACCTTGGTGTATCGATGAGGCACTATATGTGTATTATTTTCATGAAATACAAAATCATTACTTAGTAATCTGTTAAAATTTAAAAATTTCTGAGGATTATATTTAATTTTCACAGATTGCAGGAATTGAATGTATTTTGATTCATAATTCATCTCTCTACTATACAGGAATTCTATATTTGGGTTCAATTGGTTGGCCTCGGATCTATTATGTGGTAATACCCAATGTTCAGTAGTTTCAGATTCAGAATCATTTGTAGCATTTCTTTCAAATGAAGGTTCTGCCAGATATTCTGTGGTATCCTTTGGGGTAATATTTGAGGTTATCTCATCCCTATCGTTTAATTGAAGTTGCCGCGTTAATTGTGGCACATTGATCTTCTGTAATGATTTATCTCTGGGATTATGTAAGGATCTCTTTCTAGCATGTAATCTGTCTTCTAAAGAAACTGTCCTCGATCTCAATGTTCTTTTCACTTCGTCATTTGCATCTCTATTTATTGTTCTATTTCGGAGATGTCTCATTGTATCATTGGAACTTGTATATGATGTTGTTGTTTTATTGATTGAAAAAATAAAAAGAAAAATCCTAGAGTTAAATCGAAGGATATATTTGGATGCAAATTTAATTGGCAACTGAAGGCAGTTCTAACAATAGGGATAAAATTCAGTTTTGTTGTTGTTCCGCTGACTATATACCATTATTTCCTTTGAAATAATGGTATAGTGTTGTTGTTTTGTTTACTTTTCGCATGAAAACTAAAATTTGTATAAAACGCGTTGAACGGCGCATCCATCGCCATTGAGATTTGATAAAATTATTATTGATGAGATTCAATCCTGTTGATCACAGGAAGTTTAACTTTATCAGATGTTTTCCTATTAATTTAGATGTTGTTCTATTTTATATTTTTACGTTAGTTTTATAAGTTTATTAAAATTATACATTGGCATTTATATCGATATATACATATAATTGGTAAAATAATATATATTGGTGAGGGATGTGCGTGTGTCTTCATCTTTCGTTATCGTAATCATTAAATATCATAAAAGTGTTGCATTAGGAAAATTAACAAGGTTGACATGAAAATGTGAGGCATTCTATTTGTACGTTAATTGCAAATAAAATGTGTCGTGTTGTTATCATTGTCACGTTAAACTACATGATTAAAGCAAAGTATTCATACGAAACGCCATGGCTAGTAATTAAGATCGTTTCAATAGTCGTAGGAGTCAGGGAAAGAAATATTTTAAAAAAAAGGTTAAGGATCATTAACCCAGTCAATCATCTATAATGATTGAAGTTTTGAGTATTTGCCAAATTAAAATGCAAAAAAGGCTTGTAGCTTAATTTGAGGTAAATGAATGTTTTACAGTGAATGTCCGTAGTTTTGTCATAAGAATTAGCACATTATTGATCTTCTTTATTGTTTTTGCATCTACCACATACTTCTCTTTACATTGGATGTACTGTTATTGCTATTATTATTATTTATCGTACCAGAAACATCTAATCCACTCAAAGATCTACTCAAATGGTGTTCTAATCCACTATCAAGGCCAATTCCAGATGTGGTGCCATAAATAATATCGGCATTACTGTTATTATTTGCATTTAGAAGCATATTAGCTGAATCATCATGGAAGGATTGAGCTGAAAAATTAGACTGTATAGATCCGCTAGTATTTTGTTGTAATAAAGGATGGTCTGAAGAAGTTGGGATGATTTGATCATGAAGTTGGGAAGGTGAGGAGGAATTGTTATGTAATGATGATAGGATTCTTTGAGTTGTAGCAGTTTGAGATGATGGGTTGTTAGTTGCCATATTAGAATTTCTCAATAGTGGGTTAGATGAGTTCAATAATTGCGTGTTGGATGAATAACCTGATGGGATTCTGGCTGATGGAGTTAACGGGTTGGGTTGTCTTAAAAATGCCTGCTGTTGAGCAGATTGCGAAGAAGTGGTAGATGATGGTAGTGGTTGTTGTGATTGGCTATTAGACCCAGAAAGTAGAGGAGATTGTAAAGAAGGGTTTGAGCCTTGAGCTTGATCATTACTATAGAAACTACTTGGGTATGCAGGAGTTGGTGAAGCAATACCTTGAGCTTGATTCAAAACGCCTCTTGATAAAGTTTGAGCTTGTTGAGCTGCAACAGTCTGTGCTAACAAAGATGCAGTACCGTTGGTGTTCAAAATTGAAGAATTGTGAGATATAATACTGTTATTATCATTGGCATTAGATGCAGCTGCAGCTGCTGCGGATGCATGAGCTTGTAATAAACTAGTGTACGAGTGAGATCTATTTAATGAACCACCAGTAGAATTTGGTTGTAATGGATGCATGATAGGCATTTGACCTTGTTGTTGCAAATGGGATTGCAAACTAGCTTGGTCTAAGAATTTCCTCTTGATAACGACAAATCTTGGATCGTACACTTCAATCAAGTTCAAGTAAGAACAAAGAACATTAATTACACGTTTGTAATTTGCACTAAGTCCAATTGGGTAGGCTAATTCATTGTAATACTTTTCTCTATCTCTAAACAACAATAATTGAGAATAAATTTCCAAAGTGTCTGGATCATTGAAATCCAATTGTTGTGGTGGGATTGGCACTGTTGATGAAGATGGTAAGGGGGCGTAGTAACGTTCGCCACTAGAATTTGAGTTAGATTGACCATTATTGTTGCTATTATTATTGGTAGCGACATTTTGAGAACTTCCATTGTTTTGAACATATCCAAAAGGTGGAATTTGTTGTTGATGAGATGATGATTTTTGTGGTTGTTGTGATTGGGATTGGTACTGATATTGTGATTTCTGAGAGTAGAATGAATTAGAGGTACTTTGTTGAGCTAGAGCATTTGCACTGCCATGATTATTATTCATGTTATTGTTGTTGTTATTAGTAGTATTACCAGTCTTGTTACCATTCATTAAACTTGAAAATATTTGATGACTAACTGTAGCTGCATTATTATTTCCATTAGCTAAATTTCCGTTGGACATGTTATTGTTGTTTTGATTCAAACTAACAGATGACATTTTTCCTAACGAATGTAATGATAAATTGGAGATTGTTCTATGTTGTTCTTCAAGTTGACCTCTCTTTTCACGTTTTTCACGTTCAATTCTTTCTCTTTCAGCTTGTGGTAACATTTTCTTATATTCAACTTTCAATTTTCTGCCATTAATCTCTTTACCATTTAAATTACTGATAACATCCAAGGTTTCTTCAGCAGTAGTGAAATTTGCAAATGCTAAACCTCTAAAGATTCCATTATCAAAATGATAATTAAAAGCGTATGGTAGAGGCAAGTTCATTTCATCGATAATATCTAGTAATTGTTCCTTTTTGATTGCAAATGGAATGTTTTTAATTACAATAGCATTGGGGATTATATCATCATTTAGTCTATCGTTTTCATTCATTGAGTTAACATTGTTATTCTTTACAGTACTGTTATTATCGTTATCGTCATCTTCATCGTCATCATCGATTTCCTTTTCAGAAAGTTTTTCAAGTTGTGCTTGGTCAAATTCATCAGCCTCATTTTCATTAGAGACATCAATACCATTGTTCTCCAGGATTGGAGTATCCAACTCATTGGAATTTAAATATTGTGAGTCTTCGTTATTACTCATTATATCTATTAATAATATAGGTAGTGTTTTCTGATAAATTTATTATTGATAAGGTTTCGTAATAGGTTTAAAAGTCTATAGTGTGGTTTTTTCAGAGATATTGGGTACGTCTTTTGAAATTTTCTTTACTTTTTTTAGGTATTGATTTTGAAAAAATATGTTTAATCAGAAAGTTATTATTAGTTCAAATATTCACAAATTAAAATAATTTTCGTTAAAAATTAATTAAGTCCTTGAAAAGAAGATGTGGAATAAGATATGATATAGTAAGTGATATTAATAAAGATTCTTCTTTGTGAGTTGGCAATACTAAATTAACTTGCAATTGTTCTTCGATGTGGTCTTATTGTCCCAAGTGATATAATAGGAGTTTTCAAAGGGGAAATAGGAAGAGGAGGAATAGCCGGTATGTTTTGTTTTGTTCTGTTTTCTTTGTTCAATAAGGTTGTTGTATTGGTCTCCTTATAGCCTCATTTATCTTTTACATTTACCCATCGCATAAAATTTCAAATTTTGTGAATTTTTTTTACTTTTTGAATTTTGTTGCGAATGTTTTTTTTTCTTCAGAAATTTTTCATTATTTTTGTTTGTTTGTTTTCTGAGAAATTGCGGAGGGAGATGAATGTATGGCGTGGATCCTCTCGTCGAAAGTGACTGGGTTTTCATTTTGACGTCGATGACATAATTATTTTAATGACATAATGGGAGTAGATATGTTAATAAGTTTTGTTATTAGCAATTATTTTGATTTTAAACAGTGCATGGTCGTTATAGAAGTGGTATTAATATTCTATAAACCAGGTTGGTTTATTAAGTAGTTTGAATATTAAAAAATATTTTTATTAATTAGTTTAAATTTGATAAATTTTAGATATAGGTTAAATCTTGCAGTCGAAAATTAAGTTATGGTAACACATACGAGTATCTGGGTTAAGAAAAGCATACTGATATTATACGTCTGCATACGTTACAAAACTATCAAATTTAATTCTTGGTTAACAGATGAATGCTTCCTATAAGGAACAAATCATCTAAAAATATTTTCTTTTGGAGAATTGAATATGATCAATTTACTAAAAGTTCATCACAATATCCAACCTATCAAGCTTTTGAACTTTTTCTATATACATATATAAAGGTTTCTTTTCCAAATTTCTCTTTTACAGATCAATCAATTAACCCAATATTATTGCACAGTAAGGTTGGTTGCCTTCATTAAAAATCCGAGTCCTTCGATGACTGTAAATAAAACAGCAAATATGACTAACGTAAAATTTTTAAGATTCCTTAATTAGATAGGGAACTTTTTTGCATGGATATGTTGTTATTCAACGGAATAATGACCATTCGTTTTGGGTCACAATTATTAATAGCTTCAGTAGTTGAGTTAAAGATATTTCAAAATCATACCAAAAATCATACTACCGGGATATTGTAGCATTGAATTTTTAATATACTAACCACCAATTATCTGTTGTTCTAGCATTGTGGATTAGAATGGGTTCAACTATTGGTGACGTAGTGACTGGAATATCTATATTACCTAAATTTGGATCCGCAAAAGCGCCCCCTCATATTATTGATTATTCATCATCAAGTATCATTGATGTATCTCATAAATGTTGATGTACGAAAACAATTTAGGTTTTATTATATATATATATATATATATTATTGAAATTTCATATTTAAACTAAACATAAAGAGTTAATTTATAGTTGATGAAAAGGTTACAGTTGATCTTAATCAACAACAGCCTGTCTCAGTGGTACATGACTTACCACAGTTTGGACATTTTCCATCGAGACAACTAGAGGAACAATCAGCGCAAATACATGAGGATTTATTGCCACAGCACTTACCACCGTTGGAACACTTGCCGTCAGTGCAACACTTGGAGCAGTCGTCGCAGGTACACTTGGAAGATACACAGCACTTACCACCGTTGGAGCACTTGCCGTCAGTACAACACTTGGAGCAGTCGTCGCAGGTACACTTGGAAGATACACAGCACTTACCACCGTTGGAGCACTTGCCGTCAGCACAACACTTGGAACAATCGTCACAGATGCACTTAATAGTCACACAGCACTTGCCATTGGCAGCTTGCTCGATGGAAATACAGCACCTGGTGGCCTTCGTGCAACTGCCTTGTTCACAGGAACAAGAGGTAGCAGGCACAGGTTGAGCAACTGGCTTGCAACAGCAACCAACTTGAGTGGTTTGTTTGTTTGAATTTGAGGAACACATGATAGTAATTTTGATTTGTTTAGGGTTTGTTATTTTTGTTTTGTTTTGTTTTGCTTGTTTTGATATTGGTATATTTCCAACGTAGCAACACAAAACAATCGAACACAACCAGTTCTCCCAATGTTGCAACACCACCTCCTTTATATATGTTTTCCAAAAGGAACGCTCCTCCAGAAGTGCTTATTGCTGACACCTAGGCACCCAGCATCGCTGCTATTATTGCTGACATCTGATGGCATCAAGGGAAAACACCCTTTAACGGTATTATTGCTGACAGCAGCAAAATCCGCGAAAAATATTTATTCGAAGCGATTTACGCTGGTCGCTGCGCGCGTTTCTGACAGCGATCGCTCTTTGGCAGACTCTCCTGAAAGAGATATAAGGGACTTGGCTGTGGAACGGAAATCACAAACGTCAGCAAAAAGCCCAGCGATGCCAACGATGCCAACAGAGTACGGCCCTACCAGTGAGACGGGACCCCACGACCACTATACACTTAGCCGGAGTTACTAATTGATATTACGTTGTGATATTTTACATTGCTACAGACTCTACGTATTTCCATGAAGCAAAAATCGCTTCCTATTCTGGTCTGCCCCTCTTGCGGGACCTGTCGCTGTGATGGCTCGAGTCCCTGCCGTGCTTCTTGTTGTGATATTCACGGGCCTCATTACGGTCGTGACGCTCACTACCTCCAGAGGTTACCGCTGGTCTCTCCACCGCCGGGAACAACTCGCGCTCTTGGTCCTTCACAAGCCCCTTCCAGTCCCATCTCTTACGCACATACTTCTCCAGTTGCCAGTTCTTCCACACCTGTCTGCCGTAGGTACTGTTCTTCACCTTCTCAGACTCACCCACAAGCGCACCGGCAATTCTCTCCTTGTAGAGCATCAGCTTCGCCGTGAAGTTCCATAACTTGTCCATGATGTGCGAACCGTACGCATTGCATGCCATGTTCACAACATCCTTACAGAGGACGTTCAACAGACGTCTCCGCTGGATGATCTCAACACGTTTGGGGTCCAGAACACTCTCCACAACATGCGAAAACACACCGTGGAAACACATCTGCAACAGTCTCTCCTCTGGCAAAGCAAGCATACTCTCAACGGTGACATCCAGGAACTGTTGGTCGTACGCAATAAGCTGTTCCAAGAATATAGATCTTCTTCTCTCCTCCGCAGTAGGCCAGTCGTCACGGGTGTTCCCCAGAGTAGACGAGCTCAGTTGCAAACAACTCTCCAGGACATTCCTCTCCTCTTGCTCGGCTGGGTAGTATTTCTTCAGCAATTGACTGATAACTTCGTCTCTCAGATAACTGTCCTGGCCATTACTGGCATTGATGATCGCAGTGCCGAAATCGATATTCGAGTTAAGCAGCACGCTCAACTCAGGAACAATGTCGTCCAGGATCTGTCTTATCTCCTTGCCCTTGAGGTGCAACAACAACGCCTGCACAACAAATGCACCAGTGGTGTCTCTCTTTGCCAGCTTCACAACACGCTCTCTCATGTACAGCCTGTACAATCTCTCCACGTACTTCTGTCTACCGTACCCAATCACGTTCTGCAAGAAGTGCGACCCAACGGCATCGGACAACAGGTACTCCACAAAGGACTCCTCCTTGGCGTCCCTCTCGTCGTTGGTGTTGAAGATCAGTCTCCAGAACGACCGGTCCCTGTCGAAGATACCCTCGACCTGGATGATCAGCTGGATCACAGGCGAGGCCACCTTATCGACACACAGTTCCCTGAACTTTGTGATCGCTGATGGACTCACATCGGCACGCGATGTTACCTCTCCAGCGAACGACTTGTACAGGCCGGACACCAGCGCACGCAGTTCCAGCTTGAAGGACTCTGGTGTCTGGTATGTCTTGTTGAACTCATCGTTGTCCTTGATATCGATCATCTTACGCGCAATCTTCGACCTCTTTGAACGCAGGTTGGAATTGCTCTGAGTACTACTTGGCAGCAGCTTTGAGGCTAGGATCAGGATCACCAATCTCAACGTGTGCGACCCGTACTGGTCCGACATCAGTGGCTTGGCGTGCGGCTTCAGCTCGTTCAGCATGAACAAAAACATGTTCTCCATGGAGCCATACTCCTCGTCTCCATCACCATTATCACCGGAAGTGGCAGTGCTGCCTTCATCGAAGCTTGGTGTCAGCAGCTCCTTCTCGACTAATGCGGCGGAACGTACCAGCAGCGTCTCCAGGACATGGGAGGCGTACTTGTGGCAGGCCATACCGAAGAAGTTCCCGTTGAACGCTTTGAAAAGCCCCTTCAGCTGCGAGTCGTCACAGTCCAGGATCAATCTCTCC